ACCCTATTTTTACTCAAGTGACTCTAACATGAAGTTGAAAGCCAAAATATCAACTTGATGAGGGTTATTTTACAGTTAAGTCGATCATTTTTAGCTCATTTTTACTATTTGCTTTGTTAGTTCATAGCAATGTATTCAATATAAAAGGGCAAATTAGCAGCGATAGATAGATAGTAGAAATCAGAATTGGCAGGGCCTAGTCCAGTCCACTGGGCTCCAACACCATGCATCCTGATGCCAGTTTAGGGCAACAGTTGTGTTATTTCTTAAATGATAATCAGACTTTCAGCATTCAATCCTAATTTACTGGTGAGATGGAAACAGATGATACAGCAGTCTTCTTGAAAGCAGGAGGAAGTAATTCACTGCAGACTCTCTGCTATCACTTCCCCCTGGTGGGGTCATAGTTAGCACTTCATTTCCTTGGCTGTAGTCTCAGCTTTGAGGACTCCAAGCAGTGGAAAAAATGTCTCCTAACACTTGGCTGGAGTTAATGGGTTCAGACTACTCAGAGAAAGCAGACCTCTGTAATCCTCCATGGATACAGCCGTGTCAATAAAAGCCTCTCCCATTTAATGCCCTTCTTTGTAACAGTGAAATACTGCTGAGATACCCTGGCCAAACGTGAAACTCGAAACTGCTATTTTATTATCAGTTGAGACAGCATTTTGAGCTTTTTTTCCTCAAAAATAAACAGTTGAAATTAGCATTCAATAAACAAGTACAGGACTGTGTGGTGATCTCTTTGTTTCAAGTTGGATAGGCTAGACAGTTTTCCTGCTCTCTATACATCTGTTGCATTAGGTTTGAAATTATACTTTTACAACTGTTAGCCTAGCGTGATTTTGGCATCGCAAAACCCAGTGACAGAGACATCTTTCATTTATTATTTAAACTTTATATTCAATATTTCTACTATCAGGAAGATTCAGGGGAAGAGTTTTCTTAAAATTTATGTAACATTTGTCCCAACAGGATAGTCAGTCGAGGATAAACTGTTTGGTTAATGGTTTGGTCTTTCTGCAACAGTTTGTCATTTTGGGGTTTGTCTGTTGTGAAAGATTTCAAGCTAAAGAAAAAGGCAGCTTTCCCAGACATGACTTGTTTTATAGTCATCTCTTTTCATTTCCCCTGCTCAGTTTGTTTTCTTCTTGAAATACTGTACAGCACACCTTCTGTTCGCCAGTCATAATCTACACCCCTCAGACGTCTATAAAGCAGACAGACCTTTAATCTTCATGTGCAGTGTTGTGTGGGAATATTTCTATGGCTCTGAACCAAGGCCACCATACATAATCAATGTTAATGATATGCAGTAAAATGTGAGCTCCCTCTGTTGCTTTCTAACACTGTGAGGCTCGGTGGATTGTTCATTTCGAAACAAGTGTTTCTCATTATGTCGAGTATTGTGCTTGGCAGTGGAACCACGGAAATCCTGCCAATGCAAAATCTGCTTTCCAATGCCTGCTTAGAATACCATATATAGTTTCACCTGTTATCCTGCTCAATTCTCAGAGATAATCCACACAGTCAGCATGTTTTTGTGTCTTTGTTAAGTGTTTGGGCTGATATCCTGTGAAAAAAAAAAGTGTTCTTTGTACGCAAAGTTAATTTGATTTCAAGTGTGCTTTTTGTTCAGACCTGGAGTATAATCCTTTTTGAGCTTTTGGTTTGTCCCCAGTGACCTGGGCAATTTGTTAGCATCAGTATTATAACACAGCATCCTAGAAATGCAAGGAAAGACCAAATGAACAAAAATGAGGTAAAGAAGAAGATTAGTCAAATAAGTCTGGTTATCATGTTCAAAAAATTAAATAAGAACAGTTTTATTTACTCCTTTTTTTTTCAGCAAAATACTCTTTAAATCTGGTGTTGGGCTTGAAATCAAGTCCCTCATGCTTCTTTGTAAAAATAGCATGTTTGTTTATAACAGAGACGTGGAATTTGTTACACATCGATGAGAGCATTCAAAGTTGATCCATCTCTGTAAACTGATTGTATTCTTGAGACACACAGTGTACTCCCCTTCCCAGGGAGGATTTCTTCTCAAATCTCCAAATTTTCAAAGAAAGCTACCCTCAGGACAGCATCTTCTCAGCTAATGATACACAGATTGTATTCAGTCACTGCCTTTAAAAGGTCGCTGAGTACAAGCAGTTGGGTGGAGCAGGAGGATGACTCAGCTAATTCAATCAATTCAGTTCCTGACTTGAGTTTTTTTCACTCTTGATCCTGGGTTTCTAAATTGGTACAATGTTTTCACTGACATGTTTTGGCCTGCAGAAACTATGTTGATAAAGCAAGGAAAATGACGCAATATAGTAAGACTGAATCTAAAAATAGAGTTGAACAAAGTTGCCATTCTTTCTTGGTAAGTAATGTGGTGTTATATAACTTTTTCTTAGAGGGGAGATGTATGGACTAAATTTATCTACAATCCAGTGAGTCATACACAAGGAACAGCAACAATGATGATGGTGTGAACTACTTAGACACGCAAGCAAGTGCAACTTTGTCAAGTGTTGTGGATGTTATCAAGACTTTTGAGCTGAAAAAAGAGTAAATTAAAGAGTTTAATGTTTAATTAGTGCATTTTGTTTAGATTTTTGCTGCAATATCACTAAAGGGCTCTGTTGAAACAACAAAAGACTGGAAATGTGGAAAAAATAACTTCAGGCCAAAAAATGTGGACAAATGAGGGGACAAATCCTCAAAAATTGCCAAGAAAGACAGCACTAGGTAAAACCTGAGATGCTAAAAAATACATATTTGTGTACAGAGTGTATCTAAATATAATGTCACTAATGAAAAACGGATTAAAATGGCTTTTTATTGACTTGAATTAGACTTGAACAATCCACATTTGCAGAGGACTAAAACTAAATAAAAATGAGGTGCCAACATTAACACTGCTAACAGAGGCCAACGGGCAGTATGACTAATCTCGTGCATGCTTAAGCCATGTCTGTTGATGTTTTTGTTGGCCCCATCAGCGACCTGTGATTGATTGAAGAGAATTTCTTTTTGTGCAGAACTAAAATCGGCAATGAGTGAATTACTCATTGTACTGTGTTTGTGTCAATCGTGCAGATTCAGCAAGCCATATCTGATTGGCCGCACAGGATTTAATTAAACGCTCTGCTCACAATAATACAGGTCTAGATTTCAAGTGTTTGGTTTATTCAACATTCTGGCATCACAGCCTCTTTCTAAGAAATAAAAACCAAAACATGGTTAGGTTTCACCTAAAAGGAGCGTCAACAGTAATTTCGCTGACATTGATTAATGCCGATGTCTGTTATTTTTAAAAACCACAATGTTCTGAGCAAGAAAATATTATCATTTGATGGTAACTGAGGCAGTAATAGTCTCCACAGATGGTCCAATCAAAATTATGAATTTTGAATATTCCTGGAGACCAGCTCACATTTGTACGACCAAAATTGTAGTGAAATTCAGCATACAAAGCAAAACTTCAAACAAGATCATTCAGCGAGGGTTCAGTCTCCTGGATATCTCATTGGAAGTTGGACTGTATAGCCAATGTTCCCTCTGTTAGTTGACAAAGAAAATACCTGGCAAAATAATTTCTGGCCTAATTTATGTCCCTGTGTAAGCTCTGAGCAAGAACCAAACAGAGAGACAAGCTGGACAGATATACCTGACATCTCTGGAGAGGAACCACAAGATCATTTATTGCCTCTTCCGTCTACCCTTCCTGTTTGGAAAGCAGTTCGGTAAAATGTTCCAAGTATGTTATGGCTCCTCTAAATGTACAGGACACCCACATTATTTGACCTAAATATGTAAGTCAGGAGCTTTGCAGACACTCTCAGGGTCTGTTACAGGTTAGTTCTACATGAAGAGAGTGCTTAGTGTGTCTTATGATTTTGGAGGATTCTCTTAAGGCTTTTAACAAACTTCGTATACCATCACCGGTGTCAAATACTTGTTTGATAATGTAAACAATAAGCGCTCAGTAAAGGAACCCATCACATCCTCATTCCAAATTTGATGCTCTATTGATAATAAGTCACATAACCTACCACATGACCCTGTTGTACCCCACAACCAAAACATAAACATAGATGGAGACATCTATCTGGAGACAGATGAGCAGCAAGAGCCAGTAGAGCCAATAGATCATCTAGGTTGTATGTCAAGTTAGGCTCATGACACCTCAGGAAAGCTTAAAGGTCCTTACACAGTGGGGTCGACGCAACTATAGAATGCGAAATTACAAAATATTCCCTGACTATACACATCAAGCCCGATGCGATTTTGCGACTTTCCGAGGGGAATAAAGCAGTTCCAGGTGGAAGTGAGAAGACGGACACAACAGCAGACTGACTGTTTTTCAGTTCTGATTAGACACTAGTGTTGAGATGGCTGTCTGTCATGATAGCATGTACTGAGTCGGGGCCAGTACCAGATAAGAACATTAAACTATAATCCATAAACGTAATGGTGCACCTAATGGTTCTGTGACAGCAACACGACTGAGTTTGAGACAGTGAAAATACATATGGTATGTTGTATCTGAACAGGTTAGCTTACGAGCTAAAGTTACTTAGCACAGATGAAAGTTAAAACAAAGACGTTTAGCAAACTGTTAAAGCACACAAACCATCGTCAAATGAGAAATCTGACGCTATGACTCGCCACAAGTTGTCCTTCAGGTCGTTATCTTTGTAATGTTTGTGTCTTTTATCAAAAAGCACTCTGTTCTCTGACACGTAAACAATCAGCTGGACAGCTGGGTTGGATATACTGGTGAATCAGACGTCGCAACAACACACAATCTGATTGGTATGAAGTGGACACACAGTCTGCAAAACTTTAGAAAAATCGACCATGATCCGAAAAAATAAATGCTGAAATATTGCAGGACGGGAAAACGTCGCTGATGTAAACGCTTGTATTGACAGGATACAGGTTCGAAAAAGAATATTGACATCTGAAATAATTGCACGAAAAAACGGTCCCGGTGTGAAAGGACCTTGAGAGTTCGGTTTGGTATCCATCCCCTATCCCCACAATTTTTTTAGGGAAGAGAGTTGAAAGGATGGGGGGAACAAAGAAAAGAGACTCTGTAACAGATATGAAATAACTGTTGTGCAAAAGAAACTAGATACAAATGCTGTAATGGACTCTGGGTCCCCTAGAATGCAATTCAGTATTTTTAATGCACAGACATATACAGAAAACAAGTATATGAACACATAAAATGGCAAAATAAGGCCCCTGTTTGATATGACAAAGTAATACTTCTGCTCTGGGTTTTTAAGTTAGTTAGTTAGTCACTTGTCATGTATGATAATAGATGGGTGTCTATTTCATTGATATTTTGCCCAACTATGATCAGTTTCCCATCCTCTCTAGGAGCTCTGGTATCATTATATTTGAGAGTCATGGGAGAGGAAGTGTTTTCAAAGTGAGAGGTAAATGGATATCCTGTTTACATTAGGAGATCCATTCATATGGCCTCTGCTGCCTATTGCCTCCTCTCAGGATATGTTCACTGAGACTGTCACAGCAGGTGGAGCAACCCTCGCTGACCTCACAGACAAGACAAACGTTGCATCAGAGCAGCTGTAACATTAATCAGTGTCAAGTTGGCATATTGATGCTAGAAAGCACACACCCAGACACGTGCAAACCTCCCTACTTCTATTCCATGTCCCTTTACTAAACTTTATTTGTAGTTTTTAACTTTTATCTTGATACTATTCGTGATATCCTTATTGAAACACATTGAACATCTGTCGAATCAGCACGTTTGAGCTTACAAATTTTGAAAAAATGTGTCCTTGCTCTTTAGACTTCTGTTGACATCGCTGTGGTTAATTTACACGGTAATGGCAGACTCATCATACACACAAAAAAATCATTAACACAATAAAAGCCAGTGTAGTGTTTGACTTGGCCACATCTGTCCAATTGAACAGAGATTTACAGCACAGCAGACGGCGTTGGGTATCATTTCTCCAGCGCAGCCGTGTTTATGTAGGCCGAGTTTAAATATTTGAGGAGCACATGTGGGGATGAATAGTGGCACAGGATTTCATCATAAAGCTGTGAAGGGCAAACCCTGCGGGGGGTCATTGTAACAGTAGTGTCAACATCGTCAGATCCCCACCTCTGTCGACTCAGCAAACAGTGTCACAGACGCTCTGAAAAGGTAGCGACGGCTGCTTTCTGGAAAGCCCTGGGGGGGTTCTTAGAAGACCTTTTGAAGGTGCCAGCAGGCTGTGAACATCTTCTCTTGTTAGTCCTGAGTAGTGTGTCTAAAGTAGCTTTGAAAAAAGGACACAGAGAGATATAAGAGAGTACAGTCAGGGAAGTGATGCAATAAAGAAACCCACTGAACAACAGTGACAAAGAGTAAAACAGCTGCTGCTCTTTTCTCCGAGGTAGTTCATCTTGTCATGTCATTCCTGCCTCTAAAGTGTCATTATATAACTCGAGGAACAAAAGATGCTCATTATTGTTTCCAACAGCTTTTCCATTTGTTTTTAACCAATAAGAAGGCAGTAACTATTCCTTTGTTCCACAGATTTTATCGAGGATTTTTGACCATAGACTGCATGTCCACTTTCCTGATATGTTATTGTTTACCAGCTTGCTAGTATTAGTCATATTTCCACTACAATTTTTGGATTCACTACGATTTAACTGCATTATGTGTTATTTTTGTTGCTGTTTGTATGTCTGCATGTTTTCCTCTCTTTCTTTTACTCTGTCCGAACTTGTTAGCCTCATTTGCTTGTGACAGATGGCTGTGGACCAAAGAGTCTGGCTTTAATAAGGGTTTCTGTCTGTTAAAAGGACCTGGCTGTTTGTCATTGTCAAAACCTCTCTCCCCTTTTGACATATCCTTTATTTCCACTGTCTTTCTCCATCTTCTTGTGGCAGATGACTGTGGACCAGTTTGTCTGGCTTCACTCATGGTCTCTACCTGTTGAATGGAATTGTCTGTCTCTCATTTTACTATATCCTTCATTACCACTGCCTTGCCTCATTTTCTTGTGACGGATGACCATGGACCAATGAGTCTGGCTTTACCTGGGATTTCTGCCTGTTGAAAGGACTTGTTCATTACGCCTGTTGGTCTGTTGTCTACGTCTTGACCTCTCTCTTTTTGACTATACACTATCTTGCCTCATCTCCTTGTGGCAGATGAACACGGACCAGTTTGTCTGGCTTCACTCACGGTTTCTACCTGTTGAATGGAATTGACTGTCTTTCTTTTCATTATATCCTTCATTACCACTGCCTTGCCTCATCTTCTTGTGACGGATGGCCATGGACCAATGAGTCTGGCTTTACTTGGGATTTCTGCCTGTTGAAAGGAATTGTTCATTACGCCTTTTGGTCTGTTGTCTACGTCTTGACCTCTCTCTTTTTAACTATATTCCTCATTCCCACTATCTTGCCTCATCTTCTTGTGGCAGATGACCGTGGACCAATAATTTTGGCTTTCCTCAGGGTTTCTGCCTCTTGGAAGGAATTGTCTTTGTGTTTGACTTTCTGTCTGTTTTTTTGACATATCCTTCATTCCCACCTGTCTTGATCCATTGTTTTGTGGCAGGTGGGCGTGGACTACTAAGTTTGAATTAGTTCTCTCGGTCACTTCTGAATGAAATTTGGGATCTTCTTGCCAAAATTGCAAACTTTATCTTTACGTATAACTTTCCAGAACCTGCTATTTACGTCAAGTTATATGTGAAAATCTGTGGTTTGAAACTCTTTAAGTACAAGTTGATGAAATAAAGAGTTTTTCTTAGATTACAGTCCTTTTCTGACAGTAAGAACTCAAATCTTGCATCTCAGTGTACCTTTGCATCACAGCTCATTTCAAGAAGTGTCTGTGGAAGTTTCCATGCTCCCACTCTCACACTCTCCAGAGCAAGAGCCACATCAAGCATGCTTGGCTGTGAGCTAGTGGTGCGTGGGTTTTTGTTTACCCAGCCTGCCTGTCTGTGGTCGTCCACCACAGCTCACACATCATCACCCTACTGTCCACCTGACTCAGTAACTTTAGAGAAGAGGGCCAGAGTCCCTGCTCTGAAATCATGATCAGAGCTATCATAACAAAGAAAATTACTCCTTTCCTTCCTTGCTTGTAACAGTTATTTCAGTAATACATTTTTCCTCTCACTTGCTTGCGTCACCTGTCATGTTTCCATCCATCACTCCCAGCCATCCATTCTACATTGTACCACAACCTTGTCTTGTTCTCCCTCCTTGCTTACTGTTTGTGTGTCTGTGGGGATGCAAGTCTGCTTGGGGTTTCCATGCATCTCTTTTTTCCCAAAACAGACACCTGCACTACTCCACCCAACTTCTCTGACATATTTACCCACTCAAGAAAAAAGGATTCAGGGTTTGGAAGATAGAAAACACAACGAGCCAGTGATGCCTCCAGACGCCGTGGAAATTTACACACAACTGTCCATTAGCGGTCTGGCCTTGCACCAGTAATGGTATTTAAAGTTCACTGAGACACTGTAAATGGGAAGACAAATAATCCACTCTATGGACTACACTTTACGGCACAACATCATGACTCCAGCATAGACAGTGTTAAACATAGATGTCAACTAACAGACATCATGCAATGGCTTCTGAAGAGGCGCTATGAAGCCCAAAGAGGGGAGTCACCATATTGGATGCTAAGGATGGATTTAGGCCCAATCCCAAACCGACCCCTACACACTCGCCCTTCACTACCGAGTATCACTCGTGATGAAGTTACACTCCCAGCTGTGGAGTGCGCCTCAATTGAAACAGGAGGGTATAAACAAGACGGGCGAGTTTGTCCGTGGGACACCACCAGAAAACAGAAAGATCTATCGCCATAGCAACATAAAGATGCGTCCTGTGCATGGCAGCGTTTCTTTGCTAAGTGAACGGGCATCATGTACAGTTCTAGCCGCACCAACAGCCTTGTTTTTTCATTGTCCCAGTGAAATCATTAATCCAGCAACCGTGACGGGAGCTAAATTATATTTCTGATAGTAAGTGATTCAACACGTCTTTGAACCCCATTACTATTTGACATGTGTCTGCACAATCAAATCAAACCTCAGCACAGAGTAAGATTTCCGACTTCCATTTGATCTTTCCAAACCATGTCTTTTGTGAGTTTTCTTTTGTGTGTAAGACAAGGGTGGACACATGTGGAACTTTGTATGTTGTTTCTTCCTCCTCCATTTTTGCCAGCACACTACCTGCAAATCCTGCCGTTAGTGTGCATCAGTGCAGACTCGCTATTGAAGGATTGAACGGTCCAGTTGACTGATGACTCCCGGCTAAAAAAATGGAAATAGGAACATAGCCAAGCTTTCTGGCTACCTGTCAGTCAAAAAACCTAAGAAACCCAATTAATTTACCAAACTAATTCTTTGCACTAGGCTGCGATCATGTCTAATGTTCCGGTGAAAAATGTGCACTTTGACATTAGTTCTAATGGGCTACCCTGGATTTTAAACCTAGCCTCTAGTGGACACACAGAGAACTACAGTTTATTCACATGACTTTGTTTGCTGCAGTTTGTTTAGTTCTACAATGTCTCCACTTCACATCATTTGAGGTTGTCATTTGAATACCAGGCTTTGTCATCTGCAAGCATTTGTTTAACAACACTACTGTGATCTGGCTTCATGAGTCATTTTTTACACGCAGGCAAATTTAGGGTCTAATCTTTAAAAATTTAAACATAAAAAGCTGCTAAAGTGTAAGCCTACCTTTCACCAACTGAAGCACTGCAGTCATAAAGTGAGGCCATTGAAGCCTCCAGTATATGCTGTATACTAGCGGTCAGTGTCAGTCTCTCCACGCCCGGTGTGCGAAGTTGAATGTTTGACTGGAACTGACCATGATGTCCATTTTTAGTGTTTTTTTTTCATCATAAAACAGTCATTATCATCACTTACAGTAAAGGCAAATTTATTAAAATTTGAAAATCTTTTAGTCATTCAGCCCCAAAACTATTCAGCTGAGCTCTTTGCCAAGCCCCTTACTGGTCTTTACTCTGCATATTGTAATTTGGTAGTGCTACGAATCTAAGTTTTATAAACATTCTTTTGGCAGGGAAATTAATATGATTGATAGCTCATCAGGAAACCGACATGTTTCTCCAAATTGTGTCTCACAGTTATGGAATTGGTCTGGGGTAATAAATGGTCCGGGAATCACACATTAGTGAAATCCAGAGAATGGAGCATTTATTGCAAATACGGGAAGCATGTCCTGTAAATGTCCCTGCTAATTTATCAAGCTTGTCGTGAGCAACAATAAACAGTTTACTCTCTGTTTGGAACAATTCTAATATTTTCTTAAACGTGTCGAGCCGAAATGTTTGCAGACTTTTAATCAGCTGTCAACTTTTATAATATTTCACTGACCCTGCAACAAAAGAAGAATCTCTGTTTCACAGTCAGAGTAATAACAGTGAACCACCTGTTGTAGTTTAAACAACAGAAGAGGTAGACGCTAGGATGAGTTTTTATTAAACAATACATAACCATTCTCAGCTCACACAAGAGGTATTTGTCAGCAATATGAATCACTTTTTAAAGATGAATCCTCAGTGGAGGGTATTCTTTTTTTTCTCCTTTTGAGTTGAACATTGTTTAGGGAAGCACTGCCCTCTAGTGGGGACAAGCAGGCATGTTTACTTCTAAACAGTCATGAGACAGAAAATTCATTTGAAAACTGTCCTTCCATGGCAAAAGTTAACTACTTCTACTACTGCGAGAAATAACAGGTTGCATAGAATCAAAACTGTTATTCAACAACTAGCTCTCTAAGTAATTTGATTGGACAAGAGGAACTCCACAAGTGCTGGTACTAAGATCAGTCGACCTTCTCGAACAGCAGGTGTGCTGTCCTCCCCCAGAGACACAGTCAGAAGTCCGTTAATAGTCTGTTAATAGGTATTAATGGGATTAGTTAATGCTGATGGTTCCCTACTACAACAGCCTTCTGCCATCAGTGTATAATTGTGGTCTGAATATATACATTTGGCAAGGAGTGTAAAAGTGCTTTGCATAGTACAGACCAGAGATGAGCTATAAAAGTACATTTTCACTGAGTTTTAACCATTTTAACAAAATTAGTTACACTTTCTCCTTGGAGTCATATGTGGAAAAGATAGCATCTTATTTTACTGGCTGTATATTAGATGGACAAATAAAAATGAATGTCTATGACACAAAGATGCTGCTCTACTGAAATGTGCAGATATACAGTACAGGCCAAAAGTTTGGACACACCTTCTCATTCAATGCATTTTCTTTGTTTTCATTACTATTTAAATTGTAGATTCTCAAAACTATGAATGAACACATGTGGAATCATGTGCTTAAGAAAAAAGTGTGAAATAACTGAAAACATGTATTATATTTTAGATTTCTCAAAGTAGCCACTCTTTGCTTTTTTGATAGCGCTGCAAACTTTAGCTGTTCTCTCAATGAGCTTCATGAGGTAGTCACCTGAAATGGTTTTTACTTCACAGGAGTGCCCGAAGAAACCCTGACAAGGTACTTCTGTCATAGAGAGCAAAGGGTGGCTATTTTAAAGAAACTAGAATATAAAACATGTTTTCGGTTATTTCACACTTTTTTTATAAGTACAAAATTCTACATGTGTTCATTCATAGTTTTTATGCCTTCAGTGACAATCTACAATGTAAATAGTCATATAAAAAAAAAGAAAAGACATTGAATGAGAAAGTGTGTCCAAACTTTTGGCCTGTACTGTATACAAAATAGATAATGCAGGAAAATACTTGAGAGGTCTTGGATTAGACTTTAAAACACATTTTATGGAATTTTCAAAGTCTAATCCAAGACCATGCAACAAGATGCTGTTCTTAATTCTTGTAGCCATTATACTTTTATGGTCCATAGTTTAATAGTGTTTCCAATGTAAATTCACATATGAATTCTTCAAGGAAATAACTTGTGGAAGTGCGTCCAAACTCATGTCTTCGCCCGATTTAACCTTCAACAACTTGTACACATAAACTTGACATTAAGTTCACTGGCATGATTGAAAAACAGCTGTACACTTGTACCCTATTCATGACTTTGACAGTTATCCCTGAAAATGTCACCTCTTTGGTATCACCTTGTAGCATAAATGATTTCATTTTGGTTGCCTTATGCAGGGGTATGATTTTCCAAAGCTAACACCAATATGAGGCCTTTGACAGCTTGGCTCACATGCGGCTTTAACACGTGTGAGGCATTTTCTTTACCGGCCACAAAACTCAGGCCTGTGGACCTCTAAAACAAAGGCCAGACTTTGTTGAGAGATCCAGCAGGTCTGTGTTTTATGTGAGCCTGAGCTCACGTGAGGGAGGGGTTTACGTTAAAGCTGAGCATGTGTTAAATGTCAGCTTTCAAGTTGTGACTGGGCACAGAAATTATTGTGGATTCAGACTCGAGGAAATCTGAGTACTAAACGCAATACCCTCCAACACATGAAACCTTCATGATATAATATAGCCTAATAAATTATACTGATGTATGTGTTTGTAATGCCATTTTTAATTATATCCAAGTGAGAGGAAACACAGCAGATTGTTTGGGAGCAGTTTAATTTCAAACAGATGGTGTAAATGATTGTGAGAGCATTCATTTAGCTGATGTTACATAGATCATTTTAACTCACCATGCATCAGTCATACAGTAAACCAGGAGTGTAGGTGAGATAACAGGAGCCCCTTAAGGTCAATTAGCAAATCTAGATACAAGTATAGGTGCACAGGATGTTAAAAGCTTGAGATAAAAGTTATAAATGCTCTCAGACTTTGACAAAGAAAGCAGGTTGCAGGCTACTTGTGCCCTTTTTTTAGAATATATAATATGCCAATATAGATGAAAATGAAATATTGAGTCACATTAAAGCATTTATTGGAAACATGAAACAAAATTACAGCAATAAAAACCCATAATGACTTTTTAATTCATGTTTTTTTTTTCAATCCCAATAAATCAAAAAAGGTTCACATTTTCAGATTTTTTTCTTCTTGACAATCATATTTCCATTTGTCTCAGTTTACTTTTATTCTGCTAAACAAAGGCTAACAGAATTGAAATTTTCTACCTTTTTTGTCTATTTCACCAGCCAGGAATTATGCATTCATTTGCTGCAACACAGATAGTAAAATATTACATGTCTATCTATTTTCGTCATACCTGTTACCATTTGAAAACGCTGCTGTGAGGAAAATAACTAAATTGTGTTAAAATGCCCCTTTTTAAGTGATCCTTCAAATGTAAAAGCAATGCAGCAGTCACATTCAGGAGGACTGAAAGCGCATTTTGTGCACCAGCAGAATCAAAACAAGACTTTGAGCGACATACTAAAGATGCCAGCTGAAAGATTAAATCCTCTATATTTTATATTCTCACATTTAAACCATGTCATAGATGCTATTTCTCATATAATTCTGTCTTTTTCTTCATCCTAGTTCCCATTCAGTCCCAAAACCTTTCAAACTATCCCTGGCAACCTCAGCAGGACACGGTCAGCCTCTTCTTCATGTACAGAAAAGCGAGGTATGTAGCCCCTCCAAGGATACCTATCAACAGAGTAGTGCCAACAATCACTGGCGCGTTCTTCCTGGCCACGCGGAACGCCACAGGGAGCACAGCAGAGATCAGGATGTTGTTGACGTGGCCCAGCACCCTCCTGAAGGCCGGCCGCTCCACCACACGCTCGTAATATGTCTCCAGGTTCACACGGTTACCGTTGCCCCAGTAGCGACGGGAAAGGCCCAGGAACTTGAGGCGGTGTAAGGTGACCGCCAGAGAAACGTCGGCCATGCTGAAGAACTCACCACACAGCCAGGACTGACTGCCTTCTTCTGTGAGAGGAAGAGAAAGAAACGAAGACAGCTCACGTAAGAAAAACATTGCACTTTGAAAACTTTCAGAGACAGAAATTTGAATTCGAAAAGCTGTTGTGGTGTGTACCTGGTGTTTCTTCCACCCTCCTCTGTAGCTCAGTCTCCACTTGATCCATCACACTCTCCAGCTCATCGAGAAGCTTCTTCAGGTACTTCATGTTGTCATGGTCGAACAACTTTGACTAGAGAGATATTTCCATGTGAATTATTAGTGCAAATTAAATTCTATCGTACATTTCAACATATTTTAAGCCTTCAGTTAAACTGCATAACACAAAAAATCTGTTTAATTATCACTTTTTTAACATTAGGCCACTTCTTTTTGTCAAAGTTAGTTTAAATTAGCGACAAAGTTAAAAATAATTGTGTCTTTTAACAGACTGCAGATAAAACCTAGCCTGTTTTTAAAGTCCATCCACTCACTGAGGAAGATCGAACTATAAACTGCATCTTAATTTTCACTTGTAAAGCAACTGCGCCACAAAAATCAACATACATTTTATAAATTTTAAATATCTGGTTAAAATCAGTTAATTAATTTTGTTTGGCTAAGAAAAGCTACTGCATCTCCTGTTGTAAATAGCTCAGATTTGATGTGGCACTCTTGGTTTAGCTGTCTGGTAAGCTGTGTTTCTGCAGCAAAGGTTGAGGTAAAAGTGCTGAGGGGCTCTAGAGTCTGCATATTACCAAAACAGGTATTTCATGAGCAGCAGGCTTTGTGAAATTTGATGAAGCTCTGTTTTTGGCTGTCTGGTTGGGTGTGTTTTTGTGGAAATTTCAGATAATTTTTAGGCCACTATTCAAATAATTTACTTATGCATTGACACATGGGAAGCAATTTGGCCAAGAATGTTGTGTTGCTCCATGTGCTGGGGCAGAAACCTCCAGTGTAAATTACTAAAAACAAAAGTGCTACTTCATCAGCACTCTGCTGACTTGAATAACTGACCTTCAAGCGCCGCTGTTTTGCTACATAAGCGTCTTTTAGCTCTGGGTTCTGCTCTGCCAGTTTCTTCAGCTCGGTTTGTGTGCTCACGATCTGTGCTGTCGAACGAAAAGAAAAAGAGCTATGTAAGAGAATAACTAAAACTTTCATCTTCATTCTATTCTTCAAATACATGTCTAAAATATATGTCTTTGCATGCACAAGGTAATTTGAAATACATCCCAGTGTGTCTTACTTCGTATACATGTTGCTGCATATGCAGGTATGTGGGAATCCACTGTGATCTCAGGGTGGAGGATGCAGCCATGGGTGTAGGCATCCATCTGTAGTGAATCCAGCAGCTCTCTGTAGTGCTGAACTCTGTGATAGTATGTGCTGCCCTCCTCAGGGATGAGCTTTGGGGTGCCTTTACAGACAAAAACAGAGATCATTTGTGCCTCAGGAAATAGCACTAGGCTGAAAATAGGCTGTCCTTGGGTTATGGCAAGAAAAAGTATGTTTTTAATATCCCAGCAGAAGTTATTCATCATTTTTATGCGTTTAAATAGTCCCATGCTTACCAGATTATCTCTTCTTTAAATGCAACTGGATGAAACCCTTGAAACAAAGTTATTATGGATCAATGAAGAGAAACTGAGGAAGAATGGAAAATTAAAATAAATATTTAAAAGGGAAAAATAAACAGATTCAAAATAATAATGTAAAGTAAATAGAAACTAAAAAAAAAAAATTCAATGTTTCAGCACAACAGAATTTCTTAAAAGGGGGAGAAATTATGTTCAAAAGAAGAAGAATGGTGAACTTATTCAGTCCATCAAAACAGTCAGTAAATACCTTCATTAAAATTCTGTTCCAGGTAGTCCATGATCTGTGTTGGATCACAGATGACATTGTCATTGTGGACCAGTACCGGAACCTCTCCAGTGGGGTTCAGGCGCATGAACCAGGGCTCATTATGTTCACTGAGAGGTAGGCTAACATCATACTCCTCGCAGTGCAGACCTTTCTCTGCTATGGCCAGGCGCACCTGTTAAACAAAACAGAAGAGTGTTAAAATTCAGGTGTTAAAGTGCTCATACCTGTAAACCTCTGAGAACTGGAAGAACTAGAACTGGCACATATATGCAACAATAACACACAGAGGATTTGCTTCCACTTAAGTAGGCTAAATGAATGTATTGTGGACCTACAGGGGTGGGACAACGAAACTGAAACGCCTGGTTTTAGACCACAATGATTCATTAGTATGGTGTAGGTCCTCCTTTTGCGGCCAATACAGCATCGATACAAGTCCTGCACAGTGGCCAGAGGGATTTTGAGCCATTCTTCTTGCAGAATAGCGGCCAGGTCACTATGTGATGTTGGCGGACAACAACGTTTCCTGACTCGCTCCTTCAAAACACCCCAAAGTGGCTCAATAATATTTAGATCTGGTGACTGTGGCCATGGGAGATGTTCAATTTCACTTTCATATTCATCAAACCACTCTGTCACCAGTCTTGCTGTGTGTATTGGTGCATTATCATCCTGATACACGGAACCACCTTCAGGATACAGTGTTTGAACCATTGGGTGCACATAGTCCTCCAGAATGGTTCGGTAGTCCTTGGCAGTGACGCGCCCAATGGGGCCTAAGGAATGCCATGATATTGCAGCCCAAACCATCACTGATCCACCCCCATGCTTCAATCTGGGCTTGCAACAGTCTGGGTGGTACGCTTCTTTGGGGCTTCTCCAGACCCCGACTCTCCCGGATGTGGGAAAGACAGTAAAGGTGGACTCATCAGAGAACAAAACATGTTTCACATTGTCCACATCCCAAGATTTTCGCTGCTGGCACCATTGAAACCAAGTGGTGACCAAAGGTTTGGCTATAACAGCCTGGCTGTGTATACTGACCCTGTGGAGCTCCTAACAGACACTTTTGGTGGAAACAGGAGAGTTGAGGTGCACATTTAATTCTGCAGTGAGTTGGGCAGCTGTGGTTTTATGTTTTTTTGGATACAATCCGGGTTAGCACCCCGACATCCTTTTCAGACAGCTTCCTCTTGCGTCCACATTTACTCCTGTTGGATGTGGTTCGTCCTTCTTGGTGGTATGCTGACATGGATACCGTGGCTTTTGATACATCACAAAGACTTGCTGTCTTGATCACAGATGCACCAGCAAGACATGCACCAACAATTTGTCCCCATTTGAACTCTGATATGTCACCCATTATATTGTGTGCATTGCAATATTTTGAGCAAAACTGCTATTACTCTGCTAATTGAAGCTCCACACTCTGCTCTTACTGGTGCAATGTGCAATTAATGAAGACTGGCCTCCAGGTCAGATTTAGCCGTGAAACCTCCAACACTAAATAGGCAGGTGTTTCAGTTTCATTGTCCAACCCCTGTATAAGGGAGGCACAGATTTGTCAAGCAGTAATGACACTCACCACAGGTAGCTATGAAGTCTGGGTGAACTGAATACTACTATTCCATTCATGAATAACAACTAGGTTTCATCTTGCAGTTTTCTCAATTAAGAATACTGTTTATGGATTACATGAACCTCAGTTTGTAAATTGAAGCTGAGGTGGGGAGCTGTCCATTGAGCTGTGGTGCTGAAACGTAAAGACACTCACCTTCTGAGAATTAAAAGACTGCGTCCAGTGATACAGAGTTAACTTAGACTCGCTTTGTTTCGCAACTGTGCTGCATTGCTCCTGTACATCCTGTTCGGAACTCGTCTCCACAAGAGCTGCTTTCTCATCTTGGGTTTCTGCAACGCTGCCTTCGGACGCCATTTTATCTGTTAGTGTTTTAGGGGACAAGTGAGGACAGCTGACAGGCAACGGAATACACCCCCTACCGGCGGGGAGTGGAATAATCATTGTATATATATATATTTATTTAGCGGAGATTAAAAACAAATACTTTTAATTACATCTTTTATTTCTTTCTTCCTCCTCTTCCCTTTTGTTGACGTCGTGTTTGTTTACCCCCTGGTTGTTAAAAGACTCGTTTAACTGAAATTAGGGTCCGTTTTTTATGTCTGTAAACATTATTTCCTGGAAATACACGGTTTATTAATGGAGAAATATGTTATATTTTAAAATCAATCACAATGTCTGCAAAGTCAAAACCATCACTTCCCTATCTCATGGTCTTGATTCAGCAATTTAGCCAGCAGAGGTCGCTGTTATCTCTCCAATGAAGCTGCTGTTGATCAACACACTCGGTCAGCCCTAATACAAAAAAGAACATTTTAAAGCTGCAAAAGTCATATAAGGTGAGATATATTTTCGCTTACTGAATAAATCGATTTTTCTCACTTGTATATTTCCCTTTAACACCTACGAGTTCGTTTTTTAAGCGGCACAAGCCTTTGCAAACTATACCTAGTTAGGCAGCCTTTCTCTTTTATAGATAGATGGATAATTAAATAATTTACAAATATTTGAGTTAAATTAATTTAAAAGGTTTTTAAGTCTGAAAAGGGTATTTTAATACCACCAAAAGTCCATTAACTTCTCATGAGAGTGTCTGTGGGAATATAGGCACTCAATGATACTCCTTTATAGCCTATATTTCACATTGTCGCATCGCAAAGAAGCCCACGGGCTTATTGTTATGTAATAATGGGCAGTGCGATCTAAAATAAAACCCTACCAAGTAATGATATCACTGAGTCTTGATAAACAAATCTACATATCTCTGTTGGCACTTTGGAGTTTTTTAATGTGGCCTTAGGAAACACCTGTAAAGTGAGATGCGTTTTCGGATGAGTAGTCGGTTTTGGCAAAGATACAGAGGTGTCTTATTTTGGGGCAGTTGTGGTTTCCAAGCTCCTCACAGAGGTGGGAGACAGAGAAGGAGAGAGGAGAGTGGGAGGTCCCTGTGGCGTGACGTTGCTATTGGCCCAGTGTCTTTCTTTAGCAGGGACTCGGTGCTTCTCTCTCTCCCTCTGTGATCAGTGGGTGAGAGGGGGGAGACGAGCAACACACAACGGAGAACCCGGCGTGCGCCTCCGGTAAATGACGCCCACCACTCATACCTTTACACTTACCATCACGCATGCCTTTTGAATTGCATGTCAGTGTCTGGAAGTACCATCTTCTTTCCTCATCCTCCTATTTTTGTGCTCCTCTAGTCATCTTCTTGTTGGCTCATCCTGTCATCTCTCCACCGGTCCTGGATCCCCAAACCTTGGTCCTGGAGACGCCTGAGTCTGCAGCAGCGCACGATCTGCTTTATTTCCAGCCTTTATCTGAATGACGGGCGGAAGGTTTGACTTCGACGACGGCGGCACTTACTGCGGGGGGTGGGAGGATGGCAAAGCCCACGGACACGGCATCTGCACCGGACCCAAGGGCCAGGGCGAGTACGCCGGGTCCTGGTCTCACGGCTTTGAGATAGTGGGGGTGTACACCTGGCCCAGCGGGAATACCTACAAGGGCTACTGGTCCCAGGGGAAGCGGCATGGGCTCGGTGTGGAGAATAAAGGCAAGTGGATCTACCGCGGGGAGTGGAGTCATGGTTTCAAGGGTCGGTACGGCGTCCGGCAGAGCCACAACACACCTGCTAGATACGACGGGACCTGGAGCAACGGGCTGCAGGATGGATACGGCATTGAAACCTATGGAGATGGCGGTGAGAAACTCTGTCTTTATGTTTGTGTGTCTCTTTAATGTCGGTGCTTGATGGTTTGTTATGTAGCCTGTGTGTGTGTGTGCTAGGATGCTCAGAGTCAAACTGAGGGAGGCTGATGGAAATACATCAGTGCGTGAATCTCCATCTGATACCATCTGACTGGAAACTGAGATTGCGCACTGCGCACAGTGGTCAAGCATCATCATTAACTTCCCCAACCCTCCCAAGGATATGATTTATCACCCTAGTGATGTTAACTTGCTGCACACCGTTTAAGAGATGGGTTTCTCTGTGAGTCCAACAGCCAACTCATTTGGCAACTACCGGTTGCTCCTCATATGACAGAGGGAGGAGAGAGACTCCTGTTGCTAACTCAGTGGCACCATGTCCCTACTAGAGGGAGTTTGGAAATCACAGCAAATCAGACTGTGTTGAGCCAATTATAGCTGGACTTCTGATTACTTCCCTGTCACTTTCACATTTGGGGCCTTCACTGTTATAGTTATCATAAATTATTACGTTTGCATTATCAAATTCAATCAAATTTTACTTATATAGCGCCAATTCACAATAGTCGGCATCCCAAGATGCTTTTCAGAGAGCAAGAGCAGGTCAAGACCACGCTTATTGTTTGGTGAATTATCAAGACCCAACCTAAGATGGGTTTTGGCCCATCTCATCTAACATGAGTAACAGTGGCAAGGAAAAACTTCCTTTTAACAGGCAGAAACCTTGAGCAGGACCAGACTCATGCTAGACAGCCACCAAGCCGCTGCTGGGTGGGTTGGGGAGGAATACAGAGAGAAAAGGGGAGAGAGAGAGAGAGAGAGAGAGAAGGGGGGAGAGGGCAGGGGGAAGGAGAGAGAACAAGATAGAGGGAAGGAGTTATCCTAACATTTGAAACAAAGAGGTATCTTTTGTTCTTGGTACAAGTGTCAAGATTTTTCTAGAAATTATAGCCTGACTATTACTTCCTTCTTTGTCACTCCCACATTTAAATTCTTACTCTGATGATATGCAAGTTAGATACTCAGTATCAAAAATCATGACGTTTTCATAACAATAAACTTTTTAAAGAGGTTTCTAGAAACTATCTCTCAAAATTTGAACCTTTGTCAGAATATTAAACCTGTTAAATCAAGGAAATTTGCCCCTATCCCTGACATTTTTTTTACCAAGCATCAGGAATTTCTAGAATTATACCCTGGGAATACTTTTCTGATTATTAAAATGTGAACCCTGACTGAAAGGAGATGTTACACATAAATTTAAATTGTTCCCTAGAAGTTATTCCCTGGGTGTAACATGCTCTTCTGTCTCTTTAAATTGGAAATTGTACTTTAATAATACATCTGTTTATACACAATGTTTAGCATCAATACTTTCAATCAGAACAAACGTTTTATCATGTAAATGTCTGGTAAATTTCACAAACACAATACAGCCATCCCTCGAGTGCTGAGCATGCAGAAATACATCTATTTATGCCAAGATTTATACAGTATATATACTCTGAAACCAAAAGGTCAGTGCCAGCCTCTCTTGAAGCTTTGATCTCTCCGTTCAGCTGTGTTTTCACAGATAGTTTCGAAACCTTTGTGATCAGGGAGCAAACATCCTGATTGGCCCACAGACACGTGCTCTTTCAAGCAGCACAGTTGGCCTATAACAACAGCTCTCTGTGGTTATAAAACATCCTAGTCATTGGTGATTTGTGAGCATCATTTCACCTAACAGAGGCCTTATGGTGCAGAATAAATGCCTCACATATGACAGTTCCAGAGGGGCCCGGCTTGGGAAATCAGCTGATCCTAGAGGATCTACAGAACATCTGGCCGTCTGACCCTGCAGCATCCTGATAACTTGATCTGCAGGGTCACCAATTTGAACCACAGCACAGAGCCAGCCTGTTAATCTCACACTGTTTATCCATCTAAACTCCTGCCGGGGCCTGTATATCATTTTCTGTTCTACAATCAGACCATTATGGCTTATTTCATTGTGTTTGGTCAATGAGATTGGACTACAGGATTAACAAGCCTTTCTTATTATTAGGATTGGGATTGTAATATGATGCTATGAAGAAGCTACAGTAGGCCAGCACATGCTCATTGGGCTCAGCAGCACCAAATGGGATTAATGAAGTATTCCTCTCATTATGTGACTCACAGCGATTCCCTGCCGACAGAGACAAACGGTGAATGTGCCTACTGTCAGTGGGGGAGTTAAAGGCTGCCTGAAAATAGGTTCCTAGCTGAGTGATTCACATTCATCCCAAGTGATCCTCGGTATCAGTACCTTAATCAAATCTCTGTGATTGAGTTGGTTATGCTTGCGGTCCCTGATCTGTGGGGAATAAGGAAAACATTTCATTGGCGGACATACTCTGCTGCACCCCTACTGCAAGGCTCCACTTTGTGCTGATTTAGAACTTTACTGTCCAAGCAATTCAAGGTAGAGAAAGACTATCAATGTCCCCGAAAGTAACAAAGTGAGGATAAACTTACTTTTGCTATGAAGGTAAATGTGACCCAGGTTAATCTATTCAGACATACATATTCTTTTCAGATAATCAGCTTTGATCTCAGTATTGATGCCAGAACATCCCCCAAGGACTCTACCACGAGGAGCACATTAATCTCTTCTTTGTATTTCTGTCTTCCTCGAAAAGTTTGTCAAAATTCCCACATTGCAGATATTTTCTAGGCTTGTAGACTTTCAGCTACCGTTGATTCTGATAAAACACAGTACCTTTTTTTTTCTGGAAGTGCGCCCGGTGAGACAAGCAGACTGTACACACAAGCAGAAATTTCAGTGTCACGTACTCTTCTAATATATTTTGAAACCATTTGTGATTGTGTTTCAGAATGACAGCCAATTCTGAACCTCTGTTATTGGATCTGATCCAAAATAGAGAAATTGTCTGTCAGAAAAGTGAGGCCTAATTGAGAATAAGTTAATAAAAGATCATTTGCAGTGTGATGCATGTGGTCTTTCTGAAAATAGAGATGATATTTGATACAGTTAATTATAAAATCTCTTAGTTTAAGGTCTGCATGTAGTTTCTTCTTTAAGTACATTTATCCATAGATTTAAACACAGTACCCAAAAGGACTTTTAAAAGGAGAGGGGAGTTAAGAGTTTGAAATGTGAAATGTGTTGTATGACCAGCTGAGTTTAGGAGTTGAGCTCTAATGTCAAGCTGACCTGTGTCTGCTTCTCTCCCAGGTACCTATCAGGGCCAGTGGATGGGTGGGATGCGACATGGCTATGGTGTACGTCAGAGTGTTCCATACGGCATGGCCACTGTTATCCGCTCTCCTCTACGTACGTCTCTGGCCTCCCTGCGCTCCGAGCAGAGCAATGGCACGGTGCTCCAAGACCTCTCCTCCCCTGCAGACACGCCGACAGGCAGTCGTGGCGGCTTCGTCCTCAACTTCCACTCAGACAGCGAGGTTGTCACCGGTAAGAAGAAGGGCCTGTTCCGCAGGGGGTCTCTCTTCGGCAGCCTAAGGCAGTTGCGTAAGTCTGACTCTAGGACCTCAATCTCCAGCAAACGCAGCTCTGCACGCAGCGACGCCGCTATGAGCCGCATCAGCTCCAGTGACGCCAACTCTACCATATCCATCGGTGATGGCGAGCTGCCGGATGAGGACCTACCTCTGGAGGACCACGTGGATGCCACCACAACCGAGACCTACATGGGCGAATGGAAGAACGACAAGCGCAATGGATTTGGTGTTTCAGAGAGATCCAACGGGATGAAGTACGAAGGAGAATGGCTTAACAACAAGCGCCATGGTTACGGGTGCACGGTTTTCCCAGATGGCACCAAAGAAGAAGGAAAGTACAAAAATAATGTGCTGGTTCGTGGAATAAGGAAGCAGTTGATTCCTCTAAAGAACCCCAAAACCAAAGAGAAGGTGGACCGGGCTGTGGAGGGGGCACAGAGGGCTGCAGCCATTGCCAGGAGTAAAGTGGAAATAGCAGCTTCCAGGTACAGTGTTTATGTTTTCATTCATGCTTTTGTTTGTACATGAGGGTGTATGTTGTGTAAACAGAAAATGAGACAGGGCGGGTATTCTAAAGGAGTTGATTCCCGCCAATGGAAAACCAGAACTGTGGCTTTTTTTGACAAACATCTCCTCATCTGATTGAAGGGTTGGTCTTGTATAAGCAGAAACCCATGACAACAGCACTGACCTTTATACATCAGCAGCACTCAAGGCTTTTGTGAAGCCAGCGTGGTCGTCCCTGGAAAAGGTTCTGTTTCTATTCTTTACCCATATCTTACATTCCCAGGGTGCGGGGTGAGGCATCTTGTGTGAGGGGGAGATTTGTGTGTCTATGAGTTTGTGTGCGTGAGCGGTATAGCCATACCTGCGACCTGCCAAGTGCGTCTTGTGTGCCCAATAATGATACCTGCTCTTCCTGCCAAGCATTGCTCTGATGTGGCATCTGCTCTTTAACAGGTGGATGAGACGTGACCTTTTCATTTAAAACCTCCCTCCTACTGGGACACAGTTCAGCGTACGCAGCATCCCTTTGACGTCCTCTGGTTTCGTTGCATCAGGGAATTATTAGACTCAGGACTGTGAGGATGTGTACAAGCTGTGAAAAGGTCTCCGTGCAATCAGGCGTGCTTTGATTTTCACTCTCACTGTGTCTCATGAGGTGCAAATGAGTTTTGTGCATAGAAAAAAAAAACCTGGGAACAAAGTTAAAACTGCAAAAGGAAATACCTCTTTTTGGTTTTCCCTCCCTTTCACTCAGCTGGAAGAACTTTGACACTTATACCGACATGCAAAGAGTGGAAGTCATGAAGAAATGACTGAATTATCAAAAGAAACAAAATTATTAATCAAATCAACTTTGAATATTTTTGAGGACCGTTAAACAAAAATAAATGTTCATATTTTATACTTGACTCAACCAGGCCCTTTTTGCCTGAATGCTAAAGTGGAAAAACTTCACAGTGGCTTTGCTAACCTGATGTTTGTAAAGTAAAGTATTTGATTTTGAGGGCGTTTGCTGATATTTGATAGGACAGCTGGTGAGCGACAGTAGATGTCGGGAGTAGAGCGCAGGGGGTTAAATGCAGCAAAGGTTCATGGCCTTGACTGTAGCTGCTGTACATGGGGCACACACTTTAACTTCTAGGCTGAGCCGGTACTCCATAACTGAAGCATTTGACCAATTTGGCCCAGTAATCCTTGCAGTTAAAATGTTTAGTATAACCACAATCGTTAAAACTCAGTGAGCCTTTATTGAGACAAATGCAGTCAAAAACACTAGGATACAAGTTAATCATCTTAGTTTTATCAAAGGGTTGACTAGAAAGGGGAGAAATTATTTGGATTGTTTGTCAGTGGGGTTTATCCTCAGGAGACCATGAATGGCTTTACAAGCTTTTGTCACTAATTATATGTCACTGCTTGGAAAAAATTCAGTTAAAATATACAACCTGGATTTGCATAGTTCACTCATATTGATGGACAAAATCAGAAGGGCTCAAGCTTTGAGGATCAAGAATTGGGGCGCAAGAAGACTTGGTTCCACTCCACCAAATTAGTTATTGATTTTACTTCAGTCTGAACCAAAGCAATCAGGCAACCAACAGAGCCAAGTCAAAAAACTTGTATACGGAGACTTTTTGTCCCCTTTCTACACCTGCAACAAGTCTGATGGATGTTGGGAAAATCTTGAGACATTTTTTTATTTAGGTGATATGTACTGTGATATGAAAAAATAAGACTAACCAGATACAATCATTGTCTTTTCTTTTTAACGAACAAGACCTACAAGATGTGGAAAGTATTGGATAGGCTTTATCACACTGTTCAACATTGCTGATGTGAAATATGAACTTAGATAAACATAATCCAAAAAGTAGGAAGGGAGGGGTTCACCATTATTTGGCACCAGTGAGTCTGAAAGTAGCTAAGAGCGAGCCTCAGCTTCATCTTGCTGGCTGCAACCATAACACCCAGACTCCATCCGAAAGTCAACATGGTAGCATTCTGAGTGAGAAAGCATTAATTGCTTCTCTGAATATAGCATTTTAGCATAATATTGTATTTTCATTTCCAGTTTTGCTATGTTTCTATTACAAATGTTTACCATGTTAGAAGACATACAGTGCGACCCTTTTTTAGATCATTACTGTGAGCCTTGGCGGTTCAAACTGAGTATCATTTTATCACTTTGTAGAATAAATGACTAATCTGATAATCCAGTTTTCTGTGAATCTAGAAATAAAATCTATTCAACGGGTGCATAAAAAAATACACTCTCAATATTGCATAACACTGAAGACAATGAATGGTAATATTTTGCCTGAGAGCTGAACCCTGCCATTTACAGTAATACAGTAAAAGCAGAACCTATGAATAGCCGCTGTTACTACAACATCCTAAAAAGTATTTTTAAACATAATAAATCCTATCCAGCTGAGAGGGAGAGAAAGGCTTAATTCTGCAGATTTCAGGAATATAAGATAAAGATTACATAAGATGGATTTAACATGCTAAATACTTAAACTCCTGCATAGTGTTTGTTTCACAGAGTAAAAGAAAAAAACACTAGACACAGTGTTGGAAAAGAATAATAACCGTGCATTAGCAACAATTTACATCAGAGGAAGAGACGTGACCTGATGCATAGAGATAAAGCAACAACAGTAATAGCTTTCAAGCTGATACGAAGTGTTTATGGCAGCAAACAAGGTCCCATGTACTCTTGTAAGTGATCAAATTACTGCCTGGCATTTACCGCTCCATCATGTGCTTCTGAAAACAGCATTTTTCCTTTTAAGACTGTGTTTGTGGTGTAAACAGCTAGAATGGGAGACTGTAACGGTTGTTAGTAAGCAGGTTATGTAAGTCTCATTATACAGTGCAAGGGGAAAGATGCACTCATATCGATCCAGTTCTGGTCACATGATGCTCAGTCTTTGAATGTGGAGCATACTCAGCGGATGCAAAGGGAAAGAGGGGAGGGAGACAGTGATGGTGGAAGAGACAGAGGGAGAAAAAAATGGATTGAAGTGAGAGAGCCAGGGGGATACAAGTCGATTGAATAAGATGGGCAATGCAGCAAATTTGCTGAGCAAGAGGTTCCTGGGGACAGAAAAGCGGACTTTATTTTTTAAAAAGGGAACAGAGTGGGCCCAACCACCCATCTCATGATAGAAGAGCTATCCCATCAGCCTCCAGGGTGGATCTGATGACCTCACGCCTGTGACCAGCCAATCGATACAGAGCTGACGAGAGTTCTGTGGCTCTGACCCCCATTCACTGTTAGTTTGTCAGCCTTATCTATGTCAAATGGACTTCTACACACACAAACGCAGTATGCTCTTGTGTCTATGAGTGTGTATTTGGGCGTGTGTGTTTGTATTGTCGCTGTGTCAGAGGCCTGTGCACTGAGATAAGTGGCTGTGCCTTTGAAACGTTTAACGTGTCATGATGCTTCTCCCATTAAGCCTTTTTGGTACACAGCAGCAGTTTAGGTGTCCTGGCTGCTCACTGATAGACTCTCACTTATCTTCTGTAATAGCCTTTAGTACACCTACAATTCCCTCTGACTTGCTTTGTTATCTTTACCAGCAAAGGTCGCACACTAAAGTGTTAAAATCCAACAAACCTCAGCTAAGTTTTCTTTATTGAGCACAATATTGTCTGTCTTTGTTGGTCTATCTGACCTCCTTTTCTCAGGTTAAGTTGATGATGCACACTTTCCCACCCTACTATGCTAAACATGGTTAAAATGCCAAAACAAACACACTCTAAGCCAGCGCTTGCATGCAGGCCAAATGTGTGTTTCCTTTTGAATGCACTGTTTATCCTGCAGGCTCCAGTGAAAGGTTAACCAACACCAAACACCCATGCAGGTCCTCCACACAGAAGAAAGGTATTAATATGGTGCTTATTCTGTTCACAGCAATCAGCAGGACTGATGATAAACAAGAATATCTGCAGTGTATGCTATCTTATGATTTCTACCCCTGCTGGCATTGCTGTTCTGGATTGTTTTGTTTGTCTCATGTACTGACGAATTCCTGTCACGTAGAATTGGTGCTGCGAAACATAACCTGGGTGGGTGTTTGTGTTGATCCTAGATTCAAGCTGATGTAAGATAATGTAATATTAACTAAAATTAAAGGTTGGAAGGAAATGAGAGTTGTTAGCTTCCCTCTACTTGGTGTGTAGGGAGTGGTTTGGAGATGTTGTGTAGACTTCATTCACAAAATCAGATAATTGCCATTCAACCGGGGCGGCACGGTGCAACAGTGGTTCGCAGAGTTTCTTTGCATGTGTTTTCTCTGTGCATGTGTGGGTACTTTCTTCCACAGTCCAAAGACATGCATGTCAGGTTAATTGGAGACCGTGACTTTCCTGTAGTTGTGGGAGAGTGAATAGTCTTTAGGTGAGCTACAGGCGACCCTGCCCACGTTGTACCCTGCCTCTTGCCCAATGACAGCTGGGATAGACAGCAGCCCTCACGTGACCTTGAATAGGATAATAATAATAATAATAATACATTTTATTTAAAAGCGCCTTTCTGGACACCCAAGGACACTGTACAGGCATTAAGAACACAGTTAAAACACAGTTAAAATAAATAGAAACAACATGCAGGTATGAAGATGGACAGTTAAAGGGAATATGCAATTTGGAACAGATGTGTTTTGAGTTTTGATTTGAAGTGGGGTAGCGAGTGGTCCAGATAATGGAAAAATAGATAACTAACCATATATATATGACCAAATAAACGAGTGAACAATAGTTATCAATTAAACTGTGACCCCCCCATACTCTTCCACCTGTTCACAGGATCAAATATATGATACAAACAAAAGAGGCAATAAAAACAGGAGCTAAAGAACTGAGGCGAGACGATCATAATGTAATGTGGATGGAAACACATCCACAGCAGACTGTGTATTTCAGTCTGTTCAAATCAATACAGCGGGCTGAAATATGAAGGAAAAAGGAGGGAGTAAATAAATAGAGTCAAATATGATGAAATGGAATACAATTCGGGTCAGGAAGATTAAATCTTCAGTTGTGTTTTTAGATCTGTAATTGTCAAACTACTGTAGCAGAAGTAATTATTTTTGTCTTTTAGGATCAGAAATGTTTGATAAATCGAGAGAAAAGAAATCAGAACAAAAATGAAGCTCTATTGATTGTTTTTCCTCTTTTGCGAGGCGTTTTTACCTATGAGGTCATATTGCACATGCCATTTATATTCGAATATTTTGTTCAAGTGAGAGCCTCTCTGTACACATACACACACACAAGACAAATGCATAGACTGAGGGTGCATGGGGTGTCTGCTGCTCTGCTGGTGTGTCAGCAGTGAGTACTGACTAAATAAGGCAAGGCATCAGTTGGCTTATCAGCACCAGCCAGGAATATATACCCGTCCCACTACTGATATAGCAGCCTGCCATCTCACTCACACTATCATCTCTCCTGAAATGTGCATGCGAGTGCGTGCGTGCATGCGTGTGTGTCCATAAAAATGAGAAGAAGAGATTTGAAGAGAATAGAAAGAGTGTGTTTGGATATGAGGGGTGAGATAAGGTTGCTATCACTTGGCAAGAGAATAGAGGAAGTGTACGGTGTGTGTGGTGCATTTGTGTCCAGGGGTGTTTGTTTATCACCTGCTGTGTGATGACCTCAGCCACTCAGCACCTGCCCTTTTTGGAAAGAGTTATAGATCATCCTGTGTTTCAACATGTGAACAAAATAATCCCAACCCGCAGTACATCATGTAAGATTCCATTTCTGCTCTCCCTCGATTCAGATGACTTCCTCTGCTCCAAATATGGCTAGTGGTGCGTTTGGGTTGACTTATTTTGTTTCTGTGTCTGCGTGCGTTTGATGTCGGCGCTTGTGCGGCCACTTCTAGAGTTCCTATGAAGTGGCGCCACACACCTTTCAAAAGTATGTGAAGTTGGGGCCTTTATGAAGTGACAGAATGTACAGTAGCAATGAAGCATGCAGCTTTTAGTTACTGTAACTGTGGGAGGGACCGCCAGCCGTCTGGATCACAGTTCAGAGAGAAGCAAACCACAGCATTCAATATATTTATCCCTGACATGTCTCATGTTCATGGGAATATGATCATGTGAGGTAACACATTTATTGCTGACGAAATCTAATGCACACACTGACAAAATAACCGGCCACATGAGCCTCAATTTATATTTAACAGTAAAATTAATGACTAGAGCCGGTGCTATCTTGTACATACAAATAAGCTATAAATAATAAAGCTGCTGCGATGGTGCATGCATCATGACTTTGTGGAGTTGTTTTTTTTTTATCAAATTACAGCTTGTAATGTAATCTTATACTGTACTTCACCACATTAACTCTCTATAAAGTCATAGTTAGCGGTCTGGGAAATGTCAGTGGATGAAACCCTGTAAGGATCAGAATAAAAGGCTAATGATGTGTTGAGCTATAAATGGCGGCTCATTTGGTTAAAATAATGACGCATAATGAAAATTAATTGATAAATTTTAATGTTAATATTTTTTATTTAGCCGTTAAAGCAGCTTCATTTTAAGGATTTCCATGTGAGTGTTAAGTCCAGCATGTTAGTCCACACTAATTTATCTAAAATACTTTGGGATTGGTTTTCATTAAGTATTGACTGTTTTGATTTCTAATCATTTTGTCACTTTTTAACTAATCTCTGGTTTGGGTCATGTTTGGGTCACAAAAATAGCTCATAGCAGAGCTTTTTAACTGGGATGGCCAACCAGGGTATTTATTTTTGAGGGGGTGCTATGAAGTATGTGTGGACAATCAGACACTAACACACACTCTTTGTCGAATTGCATTTATTTACCCTTCCTATCTCCACTAGAAATAAAGATATCAAAAGATGTTTTACTGAGTACATTTGTTAATATTAAACAGAACAGTGACTTAAACAGACACTTAATCCTCTGAGGAGATGTTCAAACTGATTTTACATGACTTCTGTCTCTGTTTTAAGTTTTTAACTCTGGGGTGGCCAGTCAGATGAGCAGGGGTGGGGGGCTAGGTCACCCTGAACCAACTCTTTAGATCAGCCTCTGCCAGCTGCCCCACAGTCTAGCTTTGCAGATTACCTGGAGTGACTGATGCCTTGTCTTTAAGTTACAATAATCGACACTTTTAAACACAGTTTGAATAAAATAAAGATGCACAGGATAAATTTTGGCACATTTTCCACTTAGGAGTATGTTGTACAGTGTATATCTTACAAGTACAGTAGCTGCATTTTGATGCATGCTTTGCATTTGATCAATATTATTATGCTGTCCTCCAGCTTTGTTAGTGAGGATGATGTAGAAGTAGGTAGGAGAGGAAATTTAAAGACTACATTTCCAGTGTAAGTGGAAGATGCTATTTTTTCTTCACTCCCTCTTTAATATTTCTTCTCCCTGGTGGGAGGCGTGAGGAAGGCGAGAGGAGAAAGAAGCATTTTTTTTTTTTTTTTTTTTTGCAGAAATCACCATCCAACATGCCCAGCAACAGGACTCCTCTCTGATAGAGAAGGTTTTTTAAGGAGAAAGACATTGTGCAGGTTGTTCAGTGTATTGTACGTTTGACTGTAGGCTTGGATTGGAAGGATTTTTAGGGGGCTTATATTTACACTGTATTAGGGCTTTATTCCCTGGAGAGTAGAGCAGAATAGCCTGTAGGAAATGTCTGTGTGTAAACGTGAGTGTAGTGCGCTGTGTCGACAGCAGCGGTGATAGGATTGAGTTTCACCGACATGCCTTTTACTCTGCGTGGCTGTGGTTTGTAATCTCTCTGAGAATGGTACATAGTTCTGCAGCTCCTCAAGAAAGGCTGTGATGAGTCAGGCAGGCAGGAAGAGGTGGTGAAGGAGGAAGTCATGTGAAGTCCAAGGCTGCTATAAAGAGGTTAACTCATGTCGTGGTACACCTGCAATCATTAAAATTTTAGGAGTGCTTCTCGTACAAGAGCTTTCCTCCATCTCCTCAACGATCTTCCTTTCGCTCGTTCTATAAAGAATTTTCTACAAGACTGTACTCCCTCTGTTATATAACAGCGAATGTGATGCACTGCTTCTTACTTGTAGTGCAATAACTGTGTATGGACGAATCAGTGGTGAGAGTTAAATAATGGATTACATACAGTGTGATGTGAGATGTAAAGCAGATTGTGTTTTCATAAGCTGGGTCTCTGTGGAATTCTTTACATTTGTGGTGTTCATGTGTTTGCGAAATCCTGCTGGGGAAAGGTAATTATTTAAAGAAAATCCAAAACAAGAACACATGACCTTGTTTTACATGAACTGTTAAGGTGATTTGCACATATTTGACTGCAAGTACATGTGAAATCCCCTCTGATATACTACAAGTCTTTAACAACTACATTTTCCTTGAGTTGTGGTGTGCTCTGCTAGATTTAGAGACTTTAATGCAATATTGTTGACCTGCTTTGATCAGTCCCTGTTTTTCTTTAATGTAAACAGTTGCAACAGTGTTAGACCCCCATGACACTAGCTTCAACCTCACACAAGAATGCCTTCATTAATATATAATGAGAAAATTCAGCGTCTCTACAGATTTATTTGACAATAAATAAGAAGACCTACAGTAGCTACCCCAGATTAAATTGCCTCAAAAGCCTCATAGGCTGTTTTCGCACCCTAACATTTATCTTGCTCAATACCATGGCAGCGACAGTTACTGAGGAAATAGCACTGTGAGGCCCAGATTTTGCTGACTGTAGGGTTGAGTAAGCAGTAGGCTTTTTTCTTGCTGTATGTTAATAATTCTGAAAGACCTGGACTTGACAGCTTGAGTCAAGCATCCAGGTTGTGTTTAAAGGCCTGGAACTTAAAGGTGGGGTAGGCAGGATCTGAGGAAGTGCCAGTTTTTGGGAGAAATCTTGAATGTAAACACTACCCCTCCCAACCAATTTTCCCCTCAGCGCTTCCTCTCTCCTCCCTGCTCCAGCAAGCCCCGCCCACAAACAGACGCTCCTGCTCGCTCGTATTGTTTCAATTAAATTCAGATATAATGCAGTTAAATACTTCAGATAATTACAAGTGGGGCCCAGTCAATGTTAAAGTAAAAAGCATTGGTGCTACTGTAGATGCCAACAGACTACCAGCAAACACAATGTTTGCAGGACTTCTACAACTAGGATAAATTGACATAGTCCAGGACCCGAGGTAAACAGTTTAGCGGCGCTACAACACGCAGCAGGTCCTGTTTGACAAGAAACACTTCTGTTCAGACACTTGGCTTACTTTGTTAAAGCGGTTTACCTGTCCAGCAGAAAGGTTACAGGGTCCGTAAGATCATGAAGCGCCCCAATCATTTATACTTCATTGATTGTGACCCAGCTTTTTAGCTCTTGTCTGATCTAACTCCTTTTTAAGCGTCTGTTATTCCGCCAGAGTCTCCGGTATTTACTTTGTTTTCTTGCTTGTGTTGCCAGTCATAGCCAAAGGAGGATTCAGACAATTTTCCCTACTTTCTGGTTGGTTTCTACTGTACCATATTGTAGCATGCTAACTTTGTTTGGGTTCGTGCACGTTATTCGAGGACATGGAGTGTGCCTCACAACACGAGGGAGCAGCGTCCGCCTCACAACCAACCAGGTTGGGGGAGGCGGAGAGCGGCTGTGTTTACAGTCAGAAAGAGCGAGCCGCTCAAGAATTTTTAAATGTTGACTTCACAGACATAACAAAACGCAGCGATATCATTATATTCCCAAATGTCATCAATAACTAATAGCCATCGACTGATATTAAAAGCTTTTTCGTGTATATACCACAAAAAAAGCTTCTTTAACGGAGTCCTGCCTACCCCACCTTTTATCATCTAGCTATGTTAAAGACATTACTTTGCATTAAGAAATTTTCTACCAGCCTACAATACTCAGTTGAGACTCCAGCTAGTTTAATCTTTCTCGTGTGCAGTTTCTTAAAACATAATGTCATCATTCCATATCACATTTTTTTCTCCATTTACTTTTTATGTGACATGTATGAGTAATGTGCTCAGTGCAGTAGGTTGGGGAAATCAGTTTTCTTTCTTTTATATTTCATTTGAACTGTCTGTATTTGAATCTCAGGCTTTGGCTTGAGTGACATGTTTTTTAATATATTTATATCTTTTTTGCATATTTTCCAACACATTTCAAAATACATGTTTGTAGATAAAATGACTAAATCGAATAATTGCTTATAATTCAGAACAATAAATCAATATTATAAATATAAGGATTGGCTTTCGATATATGAGGAAATCTAACAGCATATGGTTAATTTCTATTTCCGAATAGTTTATTAACAACATAGTTCCTACAACCCCATTCACGTCTAATGTGACAGATGTATGTTGACACCAAGGAAAGTAAAATCTAACATTGTGCCTGTAAAGTCCTCAAAATGCACACATTAAAACATTAAAACATCCGGTTTAATGTTTGATTCGGTTGTGTGACACAGAGCAACTGTTTTTTTCTATTAAGTTTTATTCTGTTTTTGTTCCTTCTCCCAGAGCTGCATGTCTTTAACCTCTGGATACTAATGTGCCCTGCTAAATCTGTTCAGCCACTCTGATTGGCTAGCTAGGCAGCTTTGACTCCAGATGTTCACGGATTGGATTATGGAAGTATCACTTCTCTCGTTGTTGTCGGAGTATTGCTTTTCCGCGCACACCGAAAAAACCCTCTCTGATGCATGCAAGCGCTCTTGTTGTCTCACGCATGCATGAAATCGTGGCTGTGGCCTTATTTGTTGTGTATTTTTGGAGGATTTGTAGAATTTAATCATGTCTCTGTAACTAAAACATCTATTTAACTGTTGATACTTTTTGCAATATTTCACTGAATTATACTTCACTGTTGCAGGACTTGACCCACATATTATAGGCAGTTGCAATCAATTTTAGGGAGGCATAATTTGCAAATGTTTTACTTTGTTTTTCTGTCTTCCAGTTGGCCTATGAGAGACCGCACGTAAATTGTATCACAATTTTTTTTCACTGTGGGCAGATGTAACCTCTCACTAATGCTCCCTGGCTTTGCGCTGCAGAGGAAATTGATGGTTGTGTGCACATATGATTGTGTGTGTGTCTGTCTGTGTGTATGTGTGTGTGTGTGCAGACACTTGGGTGAATGGTGGCAGGAGATTGGAGGAGAGAGCACAGACCATAATTAAAACTATTCCTTAAGCTCAAGTGGTTGCCAGGCAATGTGACCTTTACTCGCACAGGTTCATCTCGGATGTTGAGCCTTGTAGTTAAACGAGACACACCACAGAGCGACAGTTTGTGTGTCTGTTTCTCTACCTGTGTGCAAATCCTTTATACTTTATATACTTGTTTTACAGCTGCTGAACAAATCACATTGTTGCTGATTTGTGCGTGTGTAGTAGAGACAAGATTTTAGCCGTACAGTAGTGTGTAGTGGCAGTTTGTTCATTTGCACATTCATTAATACAGCCAGGATGCCTAGTTGGACAGCTTGCTCAAGTGTCTCTGCTGGTTACCATGGTGACTGCCTCATCGCCGTCATCATCGTGTCAACCATTTGTTGATTTTCTTCATGAGGAAGTGGAGTGAAGAGGCGTTGTTGGTTTAACATTGTGTTTATTCATCCTTTAAGCCTTGTGCAACACATTCTGGCTCCAGATTTACCAAGGAGAAAATGCACTGGAGTCACCTTAGCGAGTCCTTTATTCAGCCCAAATATTTTATTCCCAGTAGACCTCATTATGGCACATCCTGCTAAGAGTCCTCTTTTCTCAACTTCTAGTGCAGATTTGAATCATTTGCATAGAAGGTAGCTCATTTTTCAAGCTTCTGCCTGTATTTGTCTTTGCATATGTATGTATTGTGGACGGGGGAACATTTGCATATTCGTGTGACAGCATGTCTACATTTGCATTAGTGGAGCTCTGTGCATGTGACTGTGTGTTTATGCTGAGTATGTTTGTCTTAGTGCATACCCAGGTTATTTTGCTAAAATTATCTTGGTGACAAAAGCTTGTATGTTTAGAAACAGACACATGCTTCATGACAGCAACACAGAAAACAGAGACCCTGTTCTGGATGAGGGCAGGAGTTTTAGGGTCACTAATGATACGATACAATACAATACAATATACAATATGATATGATACGATACGATATGATATACAATATGATATGATATGATATGAGACAATACGATATGATATATGATACGATACAATACAATACTACATACAATATGATCCGAAACAATAGGATATGATACGATACGATATGATATGATATGATATGATACCATACGATACAATATGATATGATATGAGACAATACGATACAATACGATACAATACGATACAATACGATACAATACGATACAATACAATATACAAGACATACGGTACAATACGATATAACATGATATGATACGATACGGTACGATATGATACGCTAGATACAATATGATTTGATATGATACGATATGATACAATATACAATATGATACAGTACAATACGATATGATATGATATGATACAATATACCATACGATACGGTACAATACGATATGATATGATACGATAGATATTGTATGATATGATATGATATGATATGATACGATATGGCAGTTATTAAAGTGATCTAGAATGTTATTTAAATGCTGCTAAAAAAATAAAATAAAACACAACTAGAACATAATAAACTAGAACACAACACAAAGCTCAACCTTGTATGGCTGTCGGTTTTTCATTAAAAGAACTTAAAACAAACATTCAACATGATGTGCAAATGTTTAAATACTCTCGATTGTTGCAACCTTATCAGTGATGGCTTTTTACAGGCCTCTGGCAAAGGGGTCTGTCATGAAAAAAGTAGCCATATAGGGTTGAAAACTTGCCGCTCAGCAGTGGTGCCCCCCTTCGCTGCAAATTTATAGACTGCGCTCTTTGGATGATTTTGTACTGTGACTGTCTATTTAGTGTGACTTTGCTTAATCATGTCCTCCATTTTTATAGAATAATATTACTGTACAAGTCAAAAGTGCATGGATTGGGCAGGTTACAATGAGCGCCCTCTGCTGGATCATACAACAAGCTACTTCAGGCAGCCTGATTCGCTTGTATACTATATTATTATGAGTTTGAACGGCTCATTGCAGTTTGAGTATGAACGTTTCCCCTGGAGTTTATGTCTCTGAATTTCAAAGACAAAGTGACAGCCTACAGCCTTGTAAGTAATTTGGTTTCAACTAGGACAACTTTTGAAACCTGTTTCAAAAAATGTTTGAGGCGACCAGTTAGAGTGACTCTGTGCTCATGTCATAGACTCTCAACTAACTAGCATTTCAATGCAGCACCTAAACACAACAGAAACATTGTGACAGGATTGAGTGGAGTTATTATATTGATAAAGCTTTTGTAAAAGAAACTGAATAAAGTCAGTGAAATAAATGGGAAATGACAAATATTTCTCTATATCTATGGATAGTCTTTCTACTGTTTCTACTGCTTGAGGTGTAGTGAAGTTTACAGAGTTCAAAAGGTTTACTTGGGTGAGATGCAGCTCCGGTTTTACTGAACTTGTTCTTTAATTTCATAGCAGCTATAAAATAATTTCCCTGATTATTAATGTTATCCTACTCTAAGTCAGTGAATTTGTATTGTCATGATTGACAGTTGCTTCTGTTTGCTCATCAGTTTTTAGTGTAATCCACCTACAGTAAAATTAAAAATCAAAACCACGCTTCAAAGGCTTGCAGATACTCTGTCCCTGTTTTTTTTTCTGCAGTATGTTGTTTAGCCACCATCCCCCCTCCCCCCTCTGTGTCATTAGCTGTATCAGCTGTGGCCATGTTTCACCAGCAGTGTTGACACAAAGAGCACCGAGCAGAGGCCTGAATCCCTGCCACTGCCCTTCACCAAAACCAGAGGGATCATCTCAGAGAGGGATTCTGTGTCACTCTCTCAGCAGACTCATGTCAGCACTCAGAGGGGAGTGTATCAGATCTGAACATGAACCACACATGTATGTTAACATCTGCAGAATTTATTGGTATAATAATTAAGTCACAATGCTTTCTGAGAGTCACTTTAATGCATTCAGGTTTAAAATCCTGATGCCGCGGCGGACACGTAGACAAATACCTATGACCATTCTTTTGGATGAAGGCCAGTTGAGGTCACAGAGGACGCTTCAGTGTAGAGCTCCTGAGTAAGGAGCACCGTTGGGAGATTAGGTCTGTTTGTAATCCATGGCCCAAAATGTTAGAGGAGTTTGGGGATTGTTTCCTATTTAATGAAATACCAATTCCACGTATTCTTTTTCCCAGAAGATGAAGTCTGTTTGGGTGCTGGTCTTGAATCTGTCTCAAGTTAAGATTCAAAATAGAATTTGGATCTTTTAGAGGCGATTATACTATTTTTGAAGTACTCAGAGCCAAAATAAATGATGTTTCTTAAAGTAAAAAACTAAATTAAGACTTGAAAATAAGAATAATTTGATTATGCTTTCTTACCAGGAGACAAGTGGATTTATAATACTGTCAAATCAGTGTGTAAAATTTTAGTCAAGCCAACAGACTACATACAACAAAATATGTTTTTTTTTTTTTTGTCTGAACTCTGGTCAAATCAGGAGAGGAGTCAAAGAGAGACACTTGTCCTTGCGTTGTCAGGAGGTTGTTTAATTCTGTATTTAAGGCACGCAGTCAAATTTGACTTGTCTGTAAATAAAATCGAGGGTTACTAGCAGAAGTGTTTTCATCCTTTAGACAGACTGGTGCTTGTGTTCTTTCAGCTTGGATAAGCTAACCACATGCTTTGTATAGCCTCTTATTTAGCATACAAATGCAAGAGTAGAATCATTATCTTTTACTCTCAGCAAGAATGCGTATAGTTGCTTTTTCTGATAATGTTCTTTTAAGTTATGTAACGTAGTGATATGCATTTTCTAAAGATGGTTATCGTGTCTTTCTCTCTCTCTTTTGTCCTCGTCCTCTACAATCCGACAGGTCTATTCATCACCTTATCATTCAGTACCCTGCACCTTGATGCTTTCATCCTTTCATTTGTTCTTTTTTTCACATTTTCACAGGCTTTATTCCAGAGCCCCTACCTGTTATTTCGTATTATACCGTTCTGCTTCACTCTCTCTGCCTTCAACGCTGCTTAGAATGCCCTGTTACTTCCAACTCTCCTTGCAGTTTCAGGTTCCCGTACCCATCTGACTGCTAGTCATAAGACTGTAGAAAACTCGATAAGCCTATCTCATCAAGGATGATGTTTTCCTTTTTTTCTGTTCTTTTACAGAAAAGATAAAAAGCTCAGAGAGAGATAGAAGGCGAATCAGCCCAGCCTGCCAAACAAGGATGTCCTTAGATCTAAAATGCTTCAAGTACAGTACATGGCCAAAGCAAAATATCCTCATTATACTGCACTGTAGCTCTCTCTTCAGGATAAAGTTAGCTTATCTCATAATAACAGCCACTCCATCTCCCATTTTAAGCCTCATTTGCTGTTGCCATTGTCCCCCCCACCACCACTGCAGCCCCTGGTAATGTGAGCCCAGACCTCAGCCCAGGAATAATTCCTGAATAATTTCAGTGTCAGTTTTAGCTAACCACTAATGGTGTTAGTCATGCTGGAGTAATCCTGAATTAGCACCAGACGGGAATTCAATAGCATTGCCTGCACAGATATAAGAGATGTATGCACGGCAGGCTAAGTGCTAATTTGTGCAGACTTTCTGTGATGTTGTGGGCTGCTCTTTTGGACCTGGGGAGTGTTTGGGCAAGATATAGGGCGGTATATTCCGTCGATGTATTATATCCTCTCATGAAAAGATTAGTGAACTCAGGAAAGGATGGGGCGTTCACTAAGGCTGCCATTTCCAGCTGACATCACGCTCAGGGTGGAAACTCACATGCTCTTTTGGGTATATTAAATATTTTGTATCTCACTTATTATCATCATTATTAAAAGAGGTATATTTCAGTTAGATAAGCTCACATTAACATTACCCTTGGTTACTGGGGTGTTACTGTTACAGCTTGCTGAGTAAGGTAGCCTTTGCTCACAATTTAGCTTATCAAACTGTTAGATTTGAAGGAAAGTGTTCATTCCTAGTTAACAGCAGGGAGGAATTTCAGGCCTGTCCTTTAGTACCATGTTGTCTAATTGTAGCTAACATTACTGGGCTACTAGAATGTGACTGTATCAGCTTCCTAAGTGGGTAGGCTATGCTAACAATTTAGCTTGACACAAAGGAGGAAAACATTAAAAGGCAAGTGTGAATTCCCGGCCAAGAGCAGCATTAGCTTGGCATTATGGCCTTATCTTGTTACGCTAGAAGTGGTATAGGTGACAAATGATCAAATGTGTTATTTAATTTTCAAATATGGCCCGGTTCTGCTTCAGTTTTTTGTAAATTGAAGTCTTAACAGTTGGAAATATTGAGATGTGACTGTAGCCGTGTGGTATTAGTATTAGCGGGCGAAAAAAGAAAGAGATGGAGTTAAATGGATTATTGTTGAGTGCTGATGTTTACAAGGACAAGGTCAAGCCTCATCTTCTATCTTATTATATACAGTACTAGTCAGCATTCCAGTTACCAGCCGCGGATAAGCGAGGTAAAAAAAAAAGGGGGGGGTTGGGGAGGTTGATTGAGACTTAAAGGGGGTGGAGGGGTGCAAGAGAAGAAGGGGCCACAGATCTGTGTCAGCATATGTGAGGGAGATTCTTCAAATAGGCCATAGCTTGGGGTTTAATGGACCGAGGCCACTCAGGGGAATGTGCACGAAGGACACACAATTGTACATGCACTCACACACAAACAGGCACCTAATACACATACTTTATTCTGAGAGAGACAGAGGTATGACACTTAAAGGAGGATGCACCATGCAGTATGGGAGCTTGGGTTTGAAATTTAAGCCTGCAGTAAAATTAGAGGAGCTGAGGTGCATGCCTCAGCAGTTCTAAATACCCAGAAGTCTTTGGACTCCTATTTACTTTCTCCCTCTCCGGTTCAGTCTTTATCTACTTTTGATTCCCACTCGATTCTTTTGAACGGTTTTATTTCCCCCCCTCTTTGTCTTTCTCACATTTATCCTATACCTCAAACAGACACACACACACACACACACTCTGCAGGGAGAAAAAAGCACCCGCTGCACAGCCTGCCAAACTGACTCAACACTTTTTCACACAATTCATTTGTCTCAAGTGATGAAACAAAAAAACGTTGATCCCACAGTTATCAATATAATCTCCCAAAGCCTCGGTCCAAGAGCTTCAAAGCCGTCTCTCCTTTCTACACTTTGTCCAAATTTCTACGAACTGCTATGTGTTTGTTTGACATCTTTCGCATTTGAGCCAGCATGTGCATTTAGGGATTCAAATACCTCGAATTGTTTGAACTGTCACCAGTACTGAGCCACAGAGGAGCACTTGCATGATTACAAACTAGATCTGAACAGGTGTTGCTTTATATGCACAGTCAGATTGGCCTCCAGTAGGGAAGCTGCAGACTGTCTGGCCAGATATAGAACTTTTTCATAGGTCAGACATGGGTTGCACTCTGTTGTTTACTCAGACTTTCGACTTTATAATCCGCTGGATGATGAACTCTAAATTCAGCTTGAAATCCTGTTTCTATCCCTTATTCCTGCTTGTTTTTGCAAATAGACACTGCAAGTCTTGTACAGGCTGTTAAAGAGATAATAAATCAATTTGACTGTGCATATTGTTGTTCTGACTTTTTCATGTTTAACACGTGGCAACAGGATTTATCTGCATCTCTTTAGTTATCCAAAAGACAGCAGATATTTGGTGGATAGCAGCATCTCCAGTTTGTATTTTTTGAATGTGAAACAGCTGTCTTTGTTTTTAGTAGTTGTATGAGTGGATGTTTTCATTTTGGATACAAGCAGGGACCGCAGTATAATCCAGCCACTTGTTCAAATGTTGTGAATGATATAATTTTCAAGACTCTTTCCAGCCTGTTTTGCTGTTGCTACTCCGTTTATTTGTGCAGCTAAAAAGAAGCAAGAATAGTAAGAATCTTCTTGAGTGATGACTCAATTTGTAGACCAAAAAGTGGCAGCCCCCAGTGGAGAAGCCTGCTAGTTTGAGTTAAATGTGTATCAAATTAAATTTACTGATGAAAAGAAGAAAACCTCCCAACCCTTTCATCTCTCTGCCTAACATGCCCACGTTTTCTCGCCTCTCATTTCGCTCTCCTCCCGTCCCACTGCTCTATCACACTCCCATCATTCTCTGCCTGTCACCTCCCGCAACCAGACATCCTGTCTGTGCACAGTCTGCAGCGCTTCCTGTGTCTGCCCGTGACTTTCGGCCCGGTCCGCCTAAAAGGAACTGTTAAGATCCTTTAGGATATGTCACGGGCGGGCTGTATGCATTGGTGACGCATTCATGCCTCCTTTCACTCGGCTGCACATTTCACACATTTCAGAAATAGAAGCATGTATGTCCTTGTGGCAGCATGTGTGGCAAGTGGATGTCTACAGTATGTATGTTTGCGGTGTGATGTAACAGGAATGCTTTCAAGTCTGTTTTAACATCAGAGACCATTAAGCTAAAATAAACTCTACCTGCATTCAGCCATGCCAGTTATACTTCCGTAACAAGTGTTTGTAATTTATGGCAATAGGCCGTAAATTGTGTGACATAAAAATGTCTGAAATCAGAATTTCCTGTTTGCAGCTGGTCAGTTCAGCCTGTAGACACAGCCTGAAAGTGTCCTCTGTATTTGGGTGATACAGAAGCTTATTTCTAGAACGGAAATGGTCCGTGTCTCTCGCCAGCATATGGCTCCTCATGCATTTTAATATCCCACTGTCCCAGCCCCGTCAAAAACACGGCTGCCTAGAGTCCAAGGACAGAGAAGTATGGTCTGAAATAGAGACATCTGTCCGTTGGGGTCACTCTGGCAGAAAGACAGTGGGAGCGAGGGAGGGGAAGAGGATGCGGCAGGGGGGGGTGAGTGATGTAGGGATGCAGCATCAATAAAGAAGGATGGAAAAAAACAGGCAGCATTGATTGAAAGAGAGAAGGGATGCTGAATGAAAGAGGAAGAGGAAGATGGATGAGTGGGGTTAAGCAGGGCGTGAGGCACAGCTGTCAATACTTACAGTGATACTCGGACAGCACATCTGGGCGCCTCGGTCGCATGTCGTGCTGTCATGAGTTGTGTAAGTGTTCCATTCATTATCAATCTACAGAAGTGACCAAAACACAAGTTAACCATGTCTAACTCTGTCTTAATTGAATGGAGTCGGCTTGTTGGAGAGCATGTGTGCCTTCTCTAGCTCTCTCAAAATTTGTGTTTTTGTTTGTACACAGGCATGTGTACATGTGACGTATCTTTCGGGGGAGTTTTCAAGGGATTTGTTAAGCAGGTCACCACCCTGGCCTCTCTGTCCAGCCATGCTACGCTCCCATAATACCTCTCAGGGCTAATGCTGCGCTCACATTGATTCCAAAACATATTACTCTTCGCCCTTTTGGGTTTGGAGCATCAGCATATTATAATAGAAGGAGATGCTAGTTTTTTTTATAGTGCTTTTTTAAATACACTCTAGGGTTTTTTCACATATTAAGAAAAATGTGTACACTTTTATTGATTTGTATTTGTAGTTTTTGTTTCCCATTTATTAACATTTAAAGTGCATTCGATTTTCCATCAGTCACCTCCAACAGTCACCTTTTTATGACTCGCTGGCATGGGATTCAAACCTAAGCCCTCATCACACCACCTGCTGTTCCTACATGTTATAATATGATACGATCATATGTGTCCACATGTATGTGCATGTGTGTGTGTGTTTGTGTACCCGCTGGGCACTGCTCCCATGTGGTTCAGCAGCAGCGCAGTGCTCCAGACTGGATTAAGGTCTTGCTTGGATGTGGCCGCGCTCCATTTGGAAAATCAGGATTTGGATTTGAGATAGAAGCACAAGGGGTGGTGTTGCGTCATCTCCAAGAGAGAGTCAGGATGGGTGATGTATGGCACAAAGATGAGGAGAATGAGGCGTGGATGGAGGGTCAAAGAGAGTGGGCAAATAAGAGAGAATAAGATAATAGTGGCGTTAGGTTGTGTTGTGTCTGGAGCTGATGATTAAAAAAAATGTGAATTGAAGTTCAACTCAAGTCTCATGTTTGTGTTTTCCTCCAGAACGGCCCATGCCAGGACAAAAAGTGAGGCTGCTGAGCAAGCTGCAATCTCTGCTGTACATGACTCTGAAATCGCCAGGGCGGTTGCAAGGGAGCTTTCTCCAAACTTCTACCAACCAGGTAACTCTTAACAACACGTTGCTGATATTTTGAAGCATGTCCTCAGAAGTAAAGTGCAAACATCAAACAGCTTGAGCAGGTAGAGTGTCCCGCAGAGTCTCTTGATACTCTCCAGCTGTCAAATTAAGTTGTAGTTGGACTGCAGGTGCACTGAGGGGTTGTAGAGGTCAGCTGTATTCACTGCACTGAAAGAAATGTAATATTTTTAATATTTCAAAGGGACTCGATTTGCATAAATATTTGGTTTGGTATTCATGGAAGTAGAACTCTGAAATAAGGTTTTTAGATATTTTAGACATAACTGGCCAAGAAATGAAGGAAGCTAAAGAGGGTTTAAATCAGGAATGGGGAAAATAAACATCTTTTTTTCGCTCTAAAAGCAAAACAGTAATGTCATCTTTTACCTTTTATCTGAAGGAGTACCAGTTCTGACGAGTATTTAAATGTATATGTGAATTAAGCAGCCTTAAGAGGACATTTCAACTAAGTGTGTTGTCCAAAGCTAACTAGGAAGGTGTGGTGTCCTCAAGCAAATGATCAGTCTATTGAAACCAATTGTTACCGAATTTGTAACAAGGGAGAACCTGGGTACGAAAAATGATGTTTTCACCCTTTTTAAAGATGTTTACACATGTTGTGTCTGATTAGCTAATGAGCTTATTCTAGATGCACAAAAAACATAGGGTTTGGTTTTCCAAGACTAAGAAGTAATCGAAGACTAGAGGTACTGAGGATGGTTTCCAACACCACAATGGAGATCTGTGTCTGTGCTTAGACAAAGCAGAGCCAGTTTGAAACCGGGTACAGTAATCTGGATGGAAGCCTTGTCTGTGCTTTCAAAGGCCTGTTGTAGCTGCTCAGGGACAAAAAAAAAAAAAAAAACTTGCAAAATTTGGCAGCCATAGACCCTGCCAAAAAAAGTGTAAATGCACATTTTTCTGTTCTTTTTGTGGTGTTTTTTTCTCCTCCGATTGTATCAAACTCGTGCTCTTGGAGAGTCATAGAAATGCCTCAGAGGTATATGGGCGGTGTTCAAGGTGGTGTTCCTATCACTCCTAATACCAAGCTGATCTCATCTTTCCTCCGCCTGAAGGTTTCACAGGCAAACTGCCATGTTTTTACTGCAGCTCTCACAGCTAAGGGTGTTGACTCGACTCTGTTTAGTTCATTTACAAGGTAAGCTGAGTTTTACAAGGCAGTGCTGGGAATATAATACTACATAAATAGTGAGGAGCACAAATCCTTTTTGGTCAAAGGGCTTATGATGCAAAGGGGGGCAGAGGTGGAACAAAGGGCACAGAGAGGGCATCATTGGGAAGTGTCTGACAAAGTTGCAGTGAATCTACTCGTTTTAAACACCAGTGGTTGGTTATAGAGGAAATAAAATCTTCAACTTTTACTCTAGAGGGATCAACAATGATCCTAATTGGTTTGGCTTGCATTCCTTAAAATTCCTAGCATATTCAGAAGCGGCATGTTCTACCCTTTATGTTTCTTTATTCACAGTGTAAGGCTTCATCAACTGGCCTCACCTCTTCCACTGTGTGCAATATATTTAGTCCTATGAGCTAGCTGACCTTGGGCCCGTGCCAAAAGCTGCTACAAAATAGTGTGTGACAAATAGATCGACAATGGGACCCATTCAAGCATGCCCAACCACTAAGCCTTAGAAACGGTCAGCCCAGGCCAGAGACATCCCGCCGCTTGTTTGTGTTGTGGAAAACAGCGGTCATGCTTGGCAGAGCAGGGGATCTCCGGGGTTCACAAGTCTGTGCGGCGAGTGTCCTTGCCTTATAAGTCAGATTATGAATGAGAAAGTGGTTGATGTCATGATAATGTGCAACGCGGGGCGACATCTGAGCCGTGCGCAAGGTTGGTAAGCCAAGTCGAGGGCCAAAGAGGCACCTGCAAAGAGCCGAACCCCATTCCCCATCCGTCAGTTTTATTTCTATCGTGTGAAAGTCTTTGTCTTTTTGCAGTTTGGGGAATTCACTCAACCTACTAGTTCACAGTTTGTCCTACAGGTTTGATTATGTTTGAGGTTAAGTAGAGTCTCTTATTTTGGGCTTCCCAGCAAAAGACAACAAAAGAAAAATATTGTTTTTCCTCATAATCTTTTTTTATCTATGTGTTTCAACTTAGATCCTCACCTACAAAAACAGATATTTCCCAAGAGAAACCTCCAAATATTCTCACTTAGCCTCATCCCTCAGTGTCTAACAAGTCCTCCTGGGTAACAACTAAGGGTTCAAACCCCTTGTTGTTTGTAATTGGCATTTCAGACTCATAGCAGATTATCACCCAGATTGGGAGAGTGCACTTCAAAAGGGAAGAGAGGTTCACAGGGAATAGGACCCTGACCTTTACGATTGGTTCGCATACAGCACCCTGGAGTGTGGGGGGCAGCAAGGGTTAGTGAGGCGGGGCCTAAACCGTGACGTTAATTGAGCTATATTTGGTGCTCACAGGGGTCTAATGGAGGCATAGCTGAAATCTTTATGCACTTGGAGGAACCCGGCCCCACGCTCGCCCCCTCTCAAGGGCTGACGCAGAGCAGCTGTCCCTTCCTTCAACCACACCAGGGGAGGGGTTGAGTGAAGGGTTGGGGGGGTGAATTGGGATCCCACTCCGCCCTGTTTGACCCATTCAAGGTACACAACCAGGTGGAACCATAAAACCCGGAGCCTGTCAGGGCTAAAACCTAGACACCGGCAGGTGTTGTTTTATATTCATGGCGACAGGTGTTTTGGAGTAAGTTTCATGACAGTAGATCAGCTTAAGTTTAAAGTCATGCAGCAACTTCATGAACTTTCAAGGATAGTGAATGCTAATTTTCAAGAAGCCACTGATTTGACCCCATACTTCACATTTAAAAGCATTATTATCTGTCCATTTTGTTGCCTGAGTTAACATAATGTGTATCCCCTTGTGATTTAAAGACTGAAAAAGCTAAAATGTTTGCTTCTACTTCCTTGTAGTATCTTCCAGCATGTATCTCTGTCAATCACGTCATTTCATGTGAGCCAAACCGACCCTCTACATCTTTCTTTTCATACTTCCTCTTTCCAAAAAAGGCCAGAAAGACCATGGCGTAGTCCGGATTTGCTTGTGTTCCTAGAAATACAAACGTAAGCCAGTACATGTGTATGTATCTATGAACAGTAGTACCAGTAAGCTGGCCAAACAATGACAGCTCTCCTTGTCCATCTGTCTGTGTGAGTGGGAGGATGAAAGAGAAATCACAGCCCACAGACGTGACTAATACATATATATTACAACAGAAATTCAAAACAGGAAAATGCAAATGCCACTTAATGCCTTTTTTGTCCATTTTGTATGTAACACACAGACACAATGAACATTCATGCAAAATGTTTACCCGAGGAAATATGTACGACTGAACCTTACATGTGACAAGGATGTCAAAGCCAATGGAAATCAAAATCTACATAAGTCTGTCAACATGTAAACAAATAAAAAACACCATCTTTTCAGTAAGTATTGATATTAACCCTCTTTAAATAGCTTATATTGACCCAGAACTGGAACTAGATGTCGTATATTACAAAAATCAAGCAGTTTAGTCTGCAATCAAATAATAAGTAATGTCACACAGTGGTTATCTTGAATCCGTTGCTCGTATCTGCTGAGTATCGAGAGCCATGGTGGTTAAGTCCTGCTTCTTATTTAATGAGGATTCTATTTTTACCTGCCAAAGAGTTTGACTTTGTCGTAAATAGAGTACAAGCCAACAATACAGAGTCATTAACCTTGATATCATTGCTTAGAGATCTGTCGAAGGATTATGGTGTTTACTTGCTGCCAGCAATGATATGACTAGTTCAGCATTTAGGCGGTTGCCATCTCGTCACCAACTGAAACTTTTATTATTTCTGTAAATCTAGCTGCAACGTACTGGATCTCAAGCTTAATTTGATGGAGAGCAACTCAAAGTTTATCTTACTACATTTTACAAGTAGTTTGCCAACCCCTGACGTATATGTTGATCAAGATATAGGTTTTCGAATAGTTGTAACGAGCTACTTTTGCTGAGATTACTCTAGATGCTGCATGGAATTCTAGGTTTTGATATCACAAAAAGGTATTTACTGTCATTTATATGTCAAGAACAGCCTTAAGTCAGTGTTTGGTCATGAGGATTTCATGAAAAGTGAAATGTAATTGATATGTCCAGGCTCAAGCGGCTGAGTGACCTTTAATCTCTAGGGTTTATATGCTACTGCCCCCCTTGATATACCGTTGAACTTCAAATGATGCTCCATTGCAACAGATGTGATACGAGCACATTCTGTACTCCCCCCCCCTCCTCTTGTATACGCACATCCAGGCATGCACACTCATACTGAAGCTCCCCTCATGCTGCTGCTGTTCATCTCATATTAAGGTCAACAGGGGTTAGGCTGGGACTTAAACAGCCTATCTGTTGTGTTTTGTGCACCTATATAGCTGTGTTTATGTGCGTGTTGGTCAGCGCGCGTGTTTCGCTGAGAGATCACTGGAGCAGAAAATGTGCTGTGGATTAACTTGAACAGAACTGGCAACCACAGCTTAAACAAAAGCCTGTATTCTCAAATCCTCAAAGAGATAATGGTGTGGATGGAATTAAAAAAAAAGAAAAACAGAAAGTGTTGTGATGAGGTTTTTTTTTATAAAGAAACTAAATGTAATTGCACATTCAAGGAAATGAACTCTGAATGCTGTAACAGATTTTTATATGTGTGTTTTTTGTGCTTATTGGGGTTTGTGTTGAGTATTTTTGTCTTGGTCATGACTAATACCGTGGCCTACTTTAATGACTCTATTTGGGGGGGCTGCAGACTCAGCCTAGATGATCAATGTTCAGATGAAAGAAACACCACAGCCATTTGGGTAATTGAGTCCCAGTACATGATCCAGCTGACCTGGCTGGATTCCTTGGGAGGGTACGACCAGTAGATCTTCACTGTCATTACGGTGACATTTACACATGCCTCCATTTCTCCAAAATGCCAGCGCTTAACCAAAATCCATGTTTTTAAGTAGAGGACTGCACTGTCTAGAGCTGTAGATGTTGTTTTCTTAAATCATCAATGCAGCACTTGGATATGAGTGTGAACCTGGGGGTCATTTTAGTGCTGCAAACCATTCAGAAAATGTCTGGAACCCCTTGCAGGAATCTGTCCCCAAACAGAGTGAAACTGCTTAGGTCCGCCCACAGGGGCCTAACTCTTATTGAGTTATGGTGTGAAATTAAGCTCAGCAGATACATTAAGCCCCACAGATGTTCAAATGTCCCCTTGTGTCTTTGTAGTGGGTCTTATTAGTTGTGGAGGTTATGAAACAAATTACAAATGCCATGCAGCCAAAAAATACTTTGGGCTTATGAGTACTGGGGCCAAAGTGGCCCGGTGATAGGCTGTTTACACTGACATAAGATGGGATATACTTGTTCTCCTCTGGATTTTAGGTTTGCACAACTGTTCCAAGAGGTGATATCTAATTAGTCTGAAATCTCTGCAGTTGCTTTGCTGCTGCACCTGTGCAAAAGTGATTGACTGAGCTAGCCTAAAATGAATGTATCAGTATGAACGCATCAGAATCACAGAATTTCTATAGTCCTCGAGTCAGGGCGACTGTATATTGTAATTTTATGTTGAACCAAATAATAGGGAACCTATAAGAAGTGAAAAACAAGCAAAACAGCTGAGAGTTATTCTCTTTTAATATCTTCTCTTTAACATTTACATATGAAAGGACTATTCTGTATTGTGCCTGTGTGTCTTTCTTTCTAATTCAAAGTGGTTATATGGTCGACCAAGGATCCTTCGGTGCTCATACCATCTGATGTACTTCACACAAAGCAGCATTGTCTCTGTGTTAGTCACACTGACACTGCCTAATTTAGACAGAGTGAAGAAAAAACAGGCAAACAAAGAGCCTGATGTCTCTAATAAATATTAATTCAGTGCCGAACAATGGGGCAGATAAAGTGTCATTTTTCTCACATGCAGAAAAGCATTTACATTCAGAACCAAGCTCTACTGTTCGTGCACTTGAGCACACAATGTTCATGATAGAAATTCAAAGGTATATAATGGGATGAGAAGTGCTCATTTATCCTCGAAGTCCTATGACTACAACTGGGCGAAATAACCAAGGACTGCACTTCATACACTTCTTATTGAGTAAGCGCTCCTCCAGACAAAAAGAAAGGCGTAATTGCACCTTAAGATCAACTCTCATTATCCGTACAAGTGTGTCGGTTGGATGCTGGGAATTGATGTGACAAGAGCTTTTCCAGGAAAACAACAAACTGATAAAAGAGAATAAGTGATGATAAAGAAGCGCCTGCAGAGAAGGCTCGCTTTGTGAAAGGGAGTCTGTGACCTTGCATAAATCAGCCTATTTCCCTGTCTCCTTCTTTACAGGATTATTGAATATATAATGTTGATTCATGAATATTTTAATTGAAAGTTCAGCTCTGCTTTGGGCCAGCTTTGGTCTGTATCTAGCTAATGGTGCAGCACAGTTAGGTGAGACGGGGTGGAAAATGAAGCGTGCTCTTTGTTAATCTGGCTTTTTGGACAGTTGCTGGATCAGAAATGTTAGAATAGAACTGCTGTCATTTTAGGATTTGGTTGGGTCTCCTGTGGTAATGCTGAACTATCTCTGAACCTTGGATAATGGGGTATTTGCATTTGTGTCAGCCTGTCTGTTTTGCTCCAATTTTTTTGAGCTAGGCAGTTGTTAGCATCAGTTTGTGCTTTTTATGAGGGCTCCTATTACATTCAAGTCAAAGTGGTTAGTTCCAGTGGTGGCAGGGCCTATAGAGAGTAATGACATGATGAGTTTTAAACATTTTTCTTTGTATTTCATTGAGTGTTCATCACATGGAAGGGAGCTCTCAGTTGCATAAAATGCTTCCAGCTCTCTTCCTAATCAGATGACTTTCACACTTAAACTTTATCTGCCAGTCTTGTCAGATAAACAGAGCTTGACATTGGCCCGCTACTGACTTAATGGGCTGTAGCTGCTTCAGTAGCATGCTGCATTCAATGAAATTATGGGTGCAATGATGACTGAAATTCATATTGATGCTTTTTTTATGACACCAAAAAGCAAACAGGGAATGCCCTGTGTAAGTTAAGCGATAAGTGATGCAGTACATGTCCAAACATGTGTAGATTATTGATAATCCTGACATGTTTTACTTTTCTCACCTCTGCAGGACCTGACTATGTTAAACAGCAGTCAAAGGAACCGGTGGAAATCAAAGAGGTCCCTGTAGAAAAGAAGGACAAGTCCCCAAAAGATTCTCCCCACTTTTACCGAAAAGGTACCACCCCTCCTCACTCCGCTGCAACCAGTCCTGTAACCACGCCTCCCCCCTCACCTCACTCCAGCAAGAAGAAAGGTCAGCTTGCCAACAGCACCAGCCGCAAAACCAGCAAAGAAGAGAAACCTTCCCGCAAGATAAGCAAAGAAGAGAGGTCAAGTCATAAAACCACCAAGGATGAGCGGTCTAGTAGAAAGCTGAGTAAAGAAGAAAGGCAGGCTGTAATTGACGGCCCTAAGGCTCCTCAGACGCACCTTGAGGCTCCGCCAAAACCTGCAAAGGGTCAGCAACCTGCTGCGGCGTCTGCTCCTCCTCCCCAGCCTCCTGCAGTTCCAGTCAACGGAGAGCTTCACACAGAGTACCACAGTTACTACGTCAAGGCTCCCACAAGGGCCCCTCCACCGCCGGACCCTGAGGAGGATATAGAGGAAGAGCCTAGCGCCCTAGCCCTTGCACGCATGCCCCCACAGCCCCCTAGGTCTTTTAGTACCCCCACTCCTAAGCCAGCCTCCATACGGGAGAGCAAGAGCGAACCGAAACTCAGGAAGCAGGATTCTCTAAAGCCAAAGAGCCTCGCAGACACAAAGAAAGCCAGTATGGAGATGGCCGAAAGCGTCGAAGAAACAGTAAGTATGAGTGTGGAGGTAGACAACTCTGTAGCGAGGTTTTGATGGAGTATTTGGAGACATATTTTACAGTAAGATGTGACTGAGAAGAGCTAAACTCACAGCCTGTAGAAAAATGTGGATGAAACGGGCAGCCCCCCAGAAGTGAAGCCAAAATATCTGTTCCCCCTACTGACTGGCTGGAGTAGAATAAGGTCATAAGGCCTGCCTCCTCCATGTTAACAGATGTTGCATTGGTAAAGCTATAAAATTTAAGTATCGTATTTTTCGCACTATATGGCGCACCTGATTATAAGGCGCACTATCGATGAATGCGTCTATTCACGTCTATTTTCATATATAAAGCGCACCAGATTATAAAGTGCATTAAACCAAACAAAACAGTCAGATAAGTCAAACTTTATTTAACTCATTCAGTAACTCTGCAAGGCTACGGTAGCTGCAGTGCTCCGACAAGCCAAACGGATTTTAAGTGTGAAAAATATGGTACATGCTAAATAAAGCTGTCTGCCATCTTAGTTAGCTGACTACATGCTCACTCTTGTCCAAAATAAATATGTACTTTATCATAATGTCATTTTTTTTTCACAGGGTCCTAACTCCATCCTGGTTGCTATGGTAATGCTGTTGAATATTGGCCTTGCAATTATATTTGTCCATTTTCTGACATGATGATGCTGTTTCTCAGGTGAGTGTGTTTATCTTACCTGGCACTCTTATTATTTTAAGACATGTGTTATATATATTCTCCCAAAAATGACTCAGCAAATTTTACCAGCGTTTGATTTGCGTTTTGTGTAGCAATCTATGTCTGAAACGTGACAAGCAGTCAATTCAATCCAACAAACTGTTTCTGTGTTACAGTGAAACCATGGCAACCAGTCCAGTTGCATCACCGGCCTTGAAAATGAAAATGGCGCCAGTGAGACACGTGGGGTGGCCGTAGGTGTTGAGGAATCAACGTGACACCGAAGAAAGAGAATCGGGAGGGAGGCAACACTACCACCAACCTGTCATGGGCCTTCTTTAAGGGCCAGCCCCATGAATTAGCACTCCTTTGGCTTCTCGAAAAGCTGAGGTGAAATGTCGTGTCTAGTGAGATTAAAAAAAAAAAAGTTTAAAAAATGCAACTAAACATATACAAGCTGAAAAAAGAAGTAATTGAAACCCACACGTATGCTGATCCAAGCACTGGTCTCTGTAGCCCACTCCCACTGCCTTGGCAGGGAGAGCGGTGGGCTGACGGACTTTGTTGGAAGAGTGTGGAGATGCACTTTTAGATGACGGGAGCAAACAGCTGCCTTTCTATTTTGCCATCTGACGTTTTGATGGGGAGATGTGAGCCCGGCAGCCCGGAGTGAGCAGTGGGTGAGTGGGGAGGGGGGGCGCAGTCGCAGCGGGAGCGTGCGTTTTCTGGGGTTCACACCACTCTTGCAAGAGGAAACTGGACACGGCCGTTGCCAGCAGTCAGTGCTAGCACGGTCACTATCCAGTCTTACTCTGTTTACCCGATCATCACCGCAGCTTTCTCAAGCTCCGTCCATTGTTACCCAGGACACACTGCTTTGACACACTCCCCCATGCATGGTACAGTTTTTAACATTTTGTTTTTGTTTGTTTTTTTGTTTTATTGTAGCTTTTTTTGTTCATTGTTGTTCTCTGAATGTTGGTTACCTGCAGTCATATGATGTAGTTAAAAAAAAAAAAAGATATATGAGTAAATATTTTTTTGCCCTTTTATTTTGAAATTTTACTCATTTCAACCATTATGTTGTAATTTGACATTACACACCCATGCTACAGGAAGTGCAATATGTTTTATTTTTTCAAGGAAAGCTTATAGTATATTTTGCCAAGAAAGTAGATTTGTACCATTTTGAAAAGAATCCAGTGTTCCTTTTAATTTGTCAGACTCATAATTTGAATGACTGGTGTTGAGAGATGGTGTCAATTAACAGCTGGCACTGTGTGCAGGAAGCAGGATCACACTTTAAAAGCTACCTAGCTCTGTGAGAGTAAAGTAACAGATGTCTTATGTTATTTATTAAATTCAGAAGGAGAATTATTTCATTGTACATGCCAAGATCATCTTGCTTGAATTCCTTCATTTTATTCTTTGTTTTCATTTTTTTTTTTTTCAGTATACCACAAAACGAAATGCAAAGATGCAGTTCACGCAACTGCTTCTTTCAGCCCAGCAGTGCTCGCGTGCTTGTGGGACAGGACTGAGAGAGTCCTGTGGACGGTTGAAGGTGAATTTATTCAGGTTGAGGCCATGGGGAATGTGGCAGCAGGGAGAAGGAGAGATGCCTTTAAAAAAGTCTTTAACAGTACTACTGTTTACCTCAGAAAACAGATGAGGAAGGGGGGGAGGGAAAGAGATGCCATCCTTGTCTTAACTTTGTCGTGCGGGGGGATATTTTGACTGTTGTCATCACCTGAGTCATGCTTTTATCTTGCCTCATTGTAGCTGTTTGTAGTCTTTGTTGCAGGTATGGCATGAGTTTATTTGATTTATAAAAAGTGGTTATTTATATGATTGACATTTAGTGTCATCGCTACCAAGATTCATTATTTATTCATTGTATAACTGACGTGTTTGTGGACATTGGTAATCACAAAAAAAGGGCTTCAATATGGCTTCTTTCTTTTCTGAATCTCAATTTTGAACCATGACTGGACAATGATGTGTTACACAATAGGCAGCCTTTTAGTTTGCAAACTGACCACACTAAAACTGGAAGCTATAAATTCAAAATCTAAAAAAATAAAAAAAACAATACACACAGACCAAGAAAGTAACTATTCAAAACAATTGTAATATTATTAATGTGATGCATTAAATAACAAGTTTTCACCCTTTCTGTGCAGCACCCTCTTTTTCTTGTTTGAACTGTCTTCACAAAAGCATGGTGAAGACTTAAGTTTCTGGAGGGTTTAACAGAACAGCCTGTTTATGGGAATATTTTTTGAAATGCAACATTGCATGTTGGAGTCATTTATATATAGATTATTATTATATACTATTTGTAAGGATTTTTACAGAGCACAATCCAGAATCTGGTATGAGTTGGTATTTTTCTAACAATTTGCACACCTGTATTTTGACAATGAATATAACTTGTTTGTAATTGGTAATGTAATGCACATATGATAATGTTTGACAGTGGAAAACAAATACTTTATTTCTAATTGGTTGTACTGTATGTACCATTTGGGGATGTAAAAGGCAGATGTACTTGTTAAAGTATTTAAGGATATGAAGAGGAACTGCGGGAGACTTTTGATATCTCAAGGTTCATGTTACCCCACTGATTTGTGCAAAGTCTTTGGAGATGAAGTTATGTGTATAACAATAAAGATGTTATGCCTTGGTAAACTACAATTGGGTAATATCTTTATATTTTTTCACATTGCACTCTGATACATGAGGAAAAGTATGTCTTTATCTAAAACCATGTCTTCTACTGCTGTCTGCTCAGACCACGAGTCAACAAGTTCTCTGGGGATTAAAGAATGAATACTTGAAATAGAAGGGGAAATCATTGCGGTCACTTGTGGCGTTAAGAAATTAGTGTCATTTACTTTCTCTCCATCTCAGTGTCCAATTCAGGAAACACACTGTGCTCATATTATTCAAGTACAAACACACTCATAAAGTTTTGGCATTTTGCCCTTGTGTTGTGTCAAATAGCAGAGTTGAACTTTCAGCATCTCTACTCTCTGCTGCGTGAAGCTGTGTTGTGCACTCCCATCCTGAGGCAGGTGGTCGATTAGATTGCAGGCTGGGCCTGTACTGCACCTTGTATATAACCTGATCAAAGTTATGAGTGCTTTGTTCCTCAAACTGTGGTTATGATGCTGTTTTATTATGTTGTTTTAGTCCTAATTTGTGAGTAACATCAAATTATGACATGAAACAACACAAGCTCCATTTCCAGAGACGACTGAAGCGTAAACTTGTGATCTGGAGTCATTATAAGTCTTGTGGTCATTTTCAGCATCAACAGTAATGTGCAGTTCTTAAAGAATAACATATTTCAGGGTTTTGATTTAATAATTAGATGTTTTTCTAATAGAGTATAGTCTTACGGGAATCATAATAGCCATGTGAGAAAATCAAAAAACGAAAAGAGAATGTAATATCAGGCGTATAATTCTCAGTCAAGTCATGAATGCCGAGACTTCCACTTGTCTTACAACAATGTTTTAAATTCCAGTCCCATGTTCACCTCTCAGAGGTTTGTTGTCTAATCCATGCTTAGCCTCATCCCAATCATGGCCTTACACTGACCTTCCCATAATGAGATCTCGAGGGGAAAGAAGGGACATGAAATCAAAGTATCGTGGTCGGGGGTCTCACATTAGTGTTGGCGTTCACAGGCTGGTGCCCCAGTTTGTCTGGGGTCAGTTTGTTCTGTTTCCACTGCTGATCAGCCTGGGATTAGTGTAGTGTTACAGCAGCAGTGGCATCTGCCTGGAATCAGCGACTCCATGTCATACACTTGCCATGACCTCTGACCTGACCATGAGGGACTCTTAAAATTTTTCATGTCAGGGTGTAAATTTGGACCAGATTAGGCATGAAGTAAATTAAAATTGTTGACTTAATGTTGTTGCTATTTTTTTTTTTTTTTTATGATAACTACACCTAACAAGTGCTTTAGTCTAACAAATTAAAACATCAGGTGCCATTAGAGCTACTGACAATTATAGTATCATAGCTTCATTATATCCTGGCATGTAAAACCTCAATGTTAATCGGGACTTGTCAGTAATAGTATAGAATATCTGTTACTATTCTGATAAGGCACAACAAGCTGGCTAAGAAGGTGATTGCTGAAGTTGTCCTGTACAAATATAAACCAAAACCTTATAAGCGTATACTATCTTCAAATAGGACTTTTGACTTATTGTGCTGACAGCTTTGATTCTAACCATCAAGATATCGACACATTTTAAACATTTGTGTTGAGCAAACTTGAAGTTCCTTTCCTGTGTTGTCTGAATTCACAGCCATGAAATTATTTGCCACTTTATGTCCTTTTTCAACCTTTTCAATGTGGTTTTGTCAAAGAAAAAGACAAATTTAGATATTTTTGTGGAGGTCCATTTAAATAAAAAGTTGGTTAAAGTTGACTCAACTTAAAGTCTACATAAACCCAGAAAATGCAAATTTAAAGCTTCAGGGAGGAGCTTTTCCACATCTGTGAATTAAACTGGAATTCATTTTGATACCTTTTTATCATATCTAAAAGCAATTTATATTTTCAATGCTAAAACAAGAGCTTTAAATATGATCACAAGTGGAAAAGTCTGATTATAATCCAAGCAGATTATTTGATTTATTAAATCAGTTAACTTGTTAAATTGGATTTTATTTAGAACGTTATAATTCTTTAAAGCTCCTGGAAGACAGGGGCAGATCCAGGGGGGTGGGTAGGGTGGCCAAAACTAGTGATAGATTTCTTAGCAAATAAAAATTGCTCATTCTCCAGGGTTAAAAATAATTCCTCACAAGAATGTAACATTTGTTTGATAATTGAATGTTAGTGTTTAAAGTGAACATGATCAGACAACTGGAATTACTTCCCAGGTGAGTGATACATTTTAGTGAATGCAGGGTGATTTTTGCTTTGTTTAAAAAAACAAAACATGAATTGCACATTAGATAAAAGGTGAGCCCGCAGTCTTCATTTTAACTTTTTTTCTGTTGTCACTGTGATAAAAAGTTACTTCATGATGGGATCAGTAGACAATATGTAGAATATTAGAATATACTCTTCATTTATATGGAGAGCACTGGTTGTAAATGGCCGAAAAGTCAATGGTAGAGAAAAGAGGACAAGAGATGACAAAAACAGCACAGAAATTAGTGAGGAAAGTTAAAACACACAAGACTGAGTGAAAGAGACATCAACTAAATTGAAGAAAACAGACGTGAAGTAACCACAAACCACAGCATGAATATGGGCTTTGGCAGTGTCATGGGACTGGTCAAGTGAGATAAAAATATAAACAGAAAGAGAGGAGGGCTTTATTTGGGTGCTGCTGCTATTTTCTGCATCTGTAAAGAACACCAACAGAAAAATGCTATTTTCACATTAAATGGTAATAACATACATGTTCAAAATGTCTGTTTTCTAATGCAGATTTGAATGGGTTTTTCATGCAGTTCAGGCATCTCATCTTCCACATACACCCACTTTGATGGAAGTAAGACGAGTTTCTCCTGCATATATTTAACTCCCGTCTCTCTGAGACCGAGCCTCCACCCCCTGACTAGATGCAACTTGGTTGTGTTTCTAAAATTGGATTAAGGCTTGTAAGCAGTGAGGGGATATCAGTGCCTGGCGTTTTTAAAAACTGTTGCTAAGACATCAGTATTAAGCAGATCCCTTTTCCATGCCTGGCATAGCTAGCTTAGCTTAGCATCACTTCATCTGTTATATTTACACAAACAAACCTCAACCATTACACCATAAACCAATCACTCTGTCACTGAAACTATTATCAGTGTTTTATTTTTTAAACATGCACAAGCCAACATTCCCAAATGCTGTTTTTAATGCTTGTCAACAACTGTGAAATAAGCACAGTTCACCAAAGCCATCAAAGTATTATACTTCTTATGGCGTGTTTACTTAATGACATTTGAATAATGGCGAGGTTTTTTTTTTTTTTTTTTTTTTATCATAAAGGGGTTTGTAGGGTGAGTCATTATAGTTCAAACAAGCAAGGCCTCAACAGTGCATTAGCCTGGAGCTCCTGAATGTAAATGGTTGTCACATCCACTTAAGTATCTGTTTTGCCGTTTGAAGCTTTCATCGTGAGTGGAGTAGAGGCGATAAACTAGTACTGGTTGTACAAAACAAACATGGAAAGCAGAAACTTCTTTAAAGGTTTTTTTTTAGATCATTTTATGAGTTTAAGGTTATTTTTCTGTTTGAGCAAAGCACTCCATCTTAATGGCTGCATGAGTTGGTGGCTTTGAATCATTATTCTACTCCAGGGTACACTATTAATCACACTCATGCTAATGGTGCTTCAATGACTCAGAGTATATTGTGTTACTACTTTGGCTTCTGTAGGTGTCATTTTCAGATTTATTTGGATAAAGGACAGAAAAACACATTTTTTCTCCATGACCTTCAATGTTTGATCAACAGCGTTGGTACCTACCTGTGCATCAATTTGTTTTTAAAAACTCAAAAGTGTGATACAGCCCCTCTTTTAAGGTTACACAAGAGTGACACATAAAAAGCATGTTCTGTTTTTCTTTGAATTGAAGAACTGCAATGTCAATCATCTGTTTCACAAAATAAAACGAGTAAAATTAAAAACTTACTGAAATCTGTTATAGCAGCCTCCCTCTTTGTGCAACATGAGAAAATTCAGTTCTCAAGATTTAAGCTAATTAAATATTTGAATTGCTCTTAAATAAATGCATATTTTAATTGCATTGCATATCATTATTTGGCCTTTCTAAATTCTGAGTGACATGCCATGGGTAAAGGATGCTCCTTTCCAGAGCAGGTTCCTGAGATTAGGCTCAGCATGAGAATTTCAGGGCACCGTGACTCGCTGCAGGCAAAAGTGACAGTACCCTCAAATTCATTGTGACAGGCCTCTTCCTCTTTTCACCGAAGAAATGCCCAGAGACACTCCTCCCCCATCTTCCCCTATCATGACTAAAATTCTGACCTGGTTTCATTCCCTGCAACTTGGCTATTGTACCGTTCATTAATGAGCCTATTTACTGACATTTGACCGACTCTGGGCCTTTCACTCTGGTGGTATTTAGAAAGTCTGAAAGTATGCTGGTGAAATTGATGGTGGAGTTACACTTTATAAGCATTATTAGATAGATAATAAGCCACGAATGAGACGATGCTGTTACTATGTGTCCTATCAGCACATTAATTATTGCTCTTACAGCATCTCATTAGAAACTTTTCAGCATGTTATATAACAGCTACTAACATCAACTGGGTGTTTATTTATCTAACTTTAACCTGGACTTTTGCTTGCCTTGAAAGATTCAACCCTGACTAGATGAGGTGCACCAAAGAAAAACACCAAACAGCACACTAAATTGATAAAACTGAGACACCTCAAGATGGGCTTGTTTTTTAGATCAGACTGTTGCACTGGCCTTGATACATGTATCAGTCTAAAAATACTGGCCCATATCAGTCAGGCACTAAACTGCATCTTTTATCCCATACTGTGAATGGATGGTTTTTACAGTAGAATATAAGGGCCATTTTTCACAGATTACTGCATCGATGTGTCGTGGCCCTGCTGGATTAAGAAATGCGTTTCACCATAAAGCTTTTCAGCAGATGGGAAGTATGAAATGCTCGAAAATCTCCTGGTAGACTTTAGACTGCATTGACTCTGAACTTGGTTAAACACAGCAGACCAACAGCAGCAGACAACATGGCACTCCAAATCATCCCAGACTGTGGAAACTTTATGTTGGACTTCGAGCTCTTTGGATCCCGTGCCTCTCTGATCTTCGTCCAGATTCTAGGACCAAGATTTCCAAATGAGATGCTAAATTCACTTTTATTTGAAAAAAGGACTTTGGCCTGCGGATCAATAGTCAAGTGAGACTCTTATGATGTTGTCTCTGTTTCAGAAGTAGTGTAACAGTAGGAACACAACACTTGTGGCTCATTTCCTGGACATGTCAGTGTAGTGGCCCTTGTGAAGCTCCTCCAAGTTCTTGAATCAGCTGTGAACTTCCAGCCCTCCTTTGTGGAGGGTCAATGATCGTCTTCTGGACAACTGTCAAGTCAGCAGTCTTTCCCATGATTGTGGTTGTGTGTACTGAGCCAGAGTGAGAGAATCAGGCTCAGAAGAACTTTGCGAGTGTTCAGAGTTAATATGCAGATTTGACTTCTTTTCGGGACTGAGATAACTGACAAGAAACTGGACTTTTCCACAATATGTGAACGATGACTTAAGAATATATTAAATTTTCCCTTTTTTAATTTATTTACAAGAAAAAAATGTGACTTAATGCCAACATTAAATTAACAAGCATATAAATGGACATGTGTGTGCAACACAGTGTGATCACTTGGCATGACAGGAGATTTTGCATGCATTATGTGTGTATGTGTGTGTTCAGGAAGCCCTGTTCTGAGGACCCACAGCAGCCTCCCCAAAATAGAGCCGAGAGCAGCTGCAGCGGGGTTGGGTCGTATCAGGGAGACATCAAAGCGGCTGCCGTCACCCGCCCGCTCTGATCATAAGTACTAATGGTGTAATGGGGGACTGGAAGGTCAGTGATTGTTTTTGGTTGTGAGAGTGTCTCTTTAAGTGTCTGCGTGTGTGTGTTTGTGTGAGTGCGGGTGAGTGAGAGAGTCAACAGGCTACTAGAACTTTCTGGAACATAAGCTGAGAGCATAGCAAAGCCTGGTATAACTGCAAGACAAATACTAGGTCAGGTGTCACCTCTGCAGAAGTCAATCTTTGCTAACTTGGTAGCAATGAGCACATTTAACTGAATTTATTCGTCAAATAAGGTGAAAAATAATCTGCTTTGACCCACATATGTGTAATTTACTAATCCCTTTCAAGTATGTGTACATAAACAACATTATAAGACTCCTTGCATTACATTCCCTCACATAGCACCTCAGGGTCAAATGGCACAATTTACTGGCATGCTCGGTACTCTTCTCTCAGTGTCACAGCTCAGATAACTCTGAGTCCATTTGTAGGCCTCACATTTCGACAGTCATCACTTTTCCTGCATGAAAATGGCTTCAGGCAAGACCAAGAGAAGTCACATTTTGAACCTGACCATGACTACTTACAGTATGTGCCCACTTCTTAACTGTCTCAAAGACAAACAACCCCTTTGCCAGACAGTAGAGGGGCTGAGAAGGCTAGTTGTTACAAAAAATGGCAACCGAGTGAGCCAGTTCCCAAAATGTGTGCCCCTGCAAGGTCATAGAACAATAACACAGGTGAGTACTTCACTTAACACTCAATCCACTGTAGGCTGATCAAAACAATGTTCAATGAGTTTAAGTGTTTGCCCCTTTCAAGCTAGACTGTCTCAAAGTGTGTGATAATGCTGACTGCATACCATCTCTCACTCATTCTTTCTTGAATCCAGATTTATGGGCCTGCAAAATGTCTCTGTCAGGACCCATCAGCACCTGCTCCGGCTCATCACACTGAACAGAAACAGCCTGTCAGGATCCTGAAACACAGGCGCCACCTACAGGCTTTATAGAAAAGTTTAATTTCCCTATAGCCAGCCTGTAAACCAGTGCAAAATTGACGAGTCATCTTATCTCGTTATTAACATAAAAAATTCAAACCCTTATTTCCCCTTTCTTGTTGGAACTCATTACGCAGTGATATTGGACAGCAAAGGTGTACCATGCAATTTTGATCCTACGTTGCAAAATACTCTTCACTTGCTCATTCTTGATATTGAAAATGATAATTTCACGAAATAGTTGGCCTCTTTACAAAAACTTTAAAGTGGACGACAGAAATTGAGCTTCAAAATACAAATGCGTGATTATGCTATACGGTCTATGTACGGTACCCGTAAAATTCCACGGAGGTTCTGTTGTTTAGTTCGCGAACGATTCGTTCAAAAGAACCGAAACTTCTAAGTGAACGTACTGAACCGAATCATTTCCTCAAGTGATTCGTTCGTTTCTCACTTCAGTCAATGTGACAGCAGGGCAGATGCTATAGCATGCAGCATTGTCAGGCGGGAAGCCGGCGAATGAGGAGCGGCATGCACCAACATCTGAATCACTTGGTAAACGAATCACAGATTGAACTACACTTTCTGAAATCATTTTTGTAGGACAAAACTAACTTTAATAAAATTCTGCTCAATTGCCACCACAACAACTTGCATACAATGGGACACAGCATGTAACAAGTAGTGCATAAAACCCACAGGATCCTATCATTGCAGCGGTTTGCGAGGGAACAGTGCATGTTCAGTGTGAATTCTTCTAAACATTCAGTGAACGAATCACTCATTGAGCCCAATTTACTGAGCAGACCTGATAAATAGCATACCATAGGACAGTACACTTAAAACATCATGGCTGTGTCTGAAATGAATTACTCAATCCCTAACCCCTAACCCCCATTTCACTATATAGTTGACTATGTAGTGAGCTCAATCACTGGAGGTTTCAGATACGACATAGCAAGACGCAATTCATGACGGGATGCCCACCACCGGTGAGTCACCATCGGATGGTCACGACATTTTGCAATGCTCTATGGGAAATTTTGAGTCGCCTATATGGGGCATTGGAATTGATCACTCAGGTTTCGGACACCCCTCCAAATGGCACTGGCCCCGATATAGTCGCCTATTTAGGGGTTAGGGATCCATTTCAGACACAGCCCATGACTTATAAACAAGTTGATTTTTACAAACCTATTTGCCCAAGCGACACAGCCAAACACTCTTGTCCCAGAAGCTATGAATTGAACTGAATCCTGAACCGTTCAGCTGTGTATCAGTTCAGGAGGTCGGAGTCGCAGGCTCCTTCCGCCAAGCACTGAATGATTCGATGATTCAATGAACGAATCTTTTGAACGAATCCTTTTAATGAACTGATTCTAGTGATTCAGTACATCTAAAAGAACTGCCGTGCCCATCACCACACGGAGGACATTTCTCGCGCACCAGTGTTACGGCGAAGTAGTTCCGGGTATCAACAGTCTGTTGGCTAACATTAGCTGAACGTCAGTCTCCACTCCACTATCTTCAACAGAGTGGTAAGAAAAATGTTTGGGCTTGTATTCCGTCCTGTCGTTTGTTGGAGTGTCTACTACATTTAATATGAATGTAAAACTCGAAGCTACACGTTGGGGATTGATGTCATTGTCTGCCGTTTCGCAATGCGTTAGCCTGCTAGCATATGTTAGCTGAGCCGACGGCCGCAACTGACAGAGAAAAAACATCATAGACTGAGAATCTGTCCGGATAAGTCGTTAATCAGTTGATGTTTTTGACCTGTGTTTTATTCTGTGTTCCTGCCAGGGCTAACAGACACCCCGGAGCAGGATGGGTGAGTGAAAACAGTTATTTTCTTCTCTTACACTAGTCTCTGTCATCATTGTTTTCCTCTTTCTCAGTAGATCGTCGCCTTAAGCTGTTGTCTAGTTTGCTTGGGTAAATGTCTGCGTTTTACATTTGGCTCACACCTGTTTGAAGTCGTCAGTTACTGTTGCTCCACAGATGGCGAAGAGCGAACCTACGGCGGCTGTGAGGGGCCAGATGCCATGTACGTGAAGCTGATATCCTCAGATGGTCATGAGTTTATTGTGAAAAGAGAACACGCCCTGACATCCGGGACTATCAAAGCCATGTTAAGCGGACCAGGTAAGGATTTATCACATTTAGGGGCTCAAAATAAGGGGACTATCTTCTCTTATCAGCCTAACTTTAACTTTAAATATTATGAAGCGACAGATATTATCCTCGTATAAATATCCTGGCTTAGAGAGGCTACTCAACAGAGAAGTCACATTTAAACCTGCTTAACTGAGTATCTTTGGAACTCAAAAAGGAAAATATATGCCTAAAGCCACCATTTACCAATAGTTCACAAATCTCACCAGCCTAACCAGCTCTTGGCAGCTTTGCCACTCATCAGATCACAGAGAAAAACATATTTTTGGTGTGACTTTTTCACTCCTTGGCCGGCTATGATTAACTGATTAACTGTGCATTTTTAAATCAAAAAACATCTCCATGAATTAGGGCCTGACCGATATGGATTTTTTGGGGGGCCGATGCCAATAACGATTAATGGGGGGGGATTACCGATTAATCAACCGATATATATATATATTATAAAATATATATATATAGACTACTGTAGATGTAGATATACTGTAGGCTACTGCTCTTCATGCCGGCAGGAAGACTGACTGCTGAAACTCAGACCAGAAAAGCGAGCCAGTGTGCATATTCAATATTGTTGTTGGTGATTTCAATGCTCTGTTCACGAATACAGTCATTTCAGTTTTTACTTATAAAAAACACAACCAATAAATTGCTGTTAATATAAGTTTGGATGTGCAATAAAGCTCGCAGCAGATGCAGATTACCCTGTGTTACGTCTTATCAACAGTGTGAATAGTCCCTGCTGAACCAGGTTTCAGTTTCACAATAACAGTGGCTGTTTTCGTGATTTCTGTTCCACAGAAAATTACTCACTGAGTTGAGAGAACCATGTGATATGATCATACTCTCTATTAATAGGTGAAGGTCTAAACAAGAGGAGAAAATATAGAATATGAAGGTATTTTCAGTGAAAAATTGAACAATGTGACGTACACTTGGTGGCTTCAAGTAATAAGGAGATTAGCTTTTGTGTTTTCTATTCAGACTGGTAAACAACAGTTATTCTTTTAAGCTGCTGCCTGGATTTAAATACATAGGCTTTGATTATACTTGAAATAGCTTGGTTCTTTAAAGTAGCTGAAATAGGCTGGGTTACAAAAAAGTTCACTAGTGCACAGACTGTAATTGTTATTGTGGAGCAATAAAGAGCATGAAACCAGAGCAACTCCTCTGTTAGTACTTAGACCTGTGCAGGTTGAAAATAACTCTTAGTGTGTTTATTCTCAATTTGCTGTTGCTGTTAAAAACACATACACAAAAAACTATGAATTTTAAAAATTATTTTACATTTACATACAGGGTTAAGCGTGAAGCAAGTAAACCAATGCCACGCATCTCGGTGTTGCCATTGCTTATTTGAAATGCCTTGAAAAAACCCAACAGCAAAAACAAAAAGAAAGCAGTATACAAACTATTATGTAGTATAATGCTTCACTAGTAACTACATGATTATGTTGTTTTTGAAAGCTAGTTCATTTTGAAGTTTCAAAACAATTGAGTTTCAAATGCGCTCAGTCATGATCTTTTTATTTATGTATGAATAATTGACAGTTTGTCATTTGAAGTAGCAGTGCTAACCAAATAAAAAGCTGGCAGTTTGGCTGTGTTTGTATTGTTTTAAGCTCATGCACATCAGAAGAAGCAGCAATAGGCTTGTGAGAACTGAAATAATAACATGACTGCGCTCCAAAAGCTTCGTTTTCTCTGCCATTGTAAACACTTTCAGAATTTACTTTAACTGGAACGAGTTTTCCTAGAGCTTAATTTAAGTTGCGCATGTGTGTATGTTCAATGTAGTTGTGACTGGTATAAAAATTGTTTTTTTTCTACATTTGTGGGTGCTTGAATTGCCCTTAAAACATCTTCCAGAGACTTGCATTGGGTGGGATCTGTGCTTCAGATAATATCTGATTAAATTCTGATAGGTATGAGATGGGTGACAAATAGTAAGTTTATATCAGCCTGTCCAGTTGGTGGCACCAATCTTTTGTCTTGCATACATACTATACTTCTCCAATCTTTCATGTATGCCTTTCTTTTTAATGTAAGTGGAAAGGATCTCTATACTGTTTCATTGTTTAATCCAGAGGAGATAGGATGTCAAGGATTTACTTGTTAAAATGTATGACATGTCCAATATCTCTGTCAACACATCCTTTGATCCTCCTCCTGCAGGTCAGTTTGCTGAGAATGAAACCAATGAGGTGAACTTCAGGGAGATCCCCTCTCATGTCCTCTCCAAGGTTTGCATGTACTTCACCTACAAGGTCCGCTACACCAACAGCTCCACAGAGATACCTGAATTCCCCATCGCTCCGGAGATCGCACTGGAACTGCTCATGGCTGCCAACTTTTTGGATTGCTAAAGTTAAAGAAAAAATGTAGCAGCTTAAAACATTTTTAGATTTTTTTGGATATTTAAATTGTTCTCCTGTGTACACAAAAGAACATGTCACTTTGACTATTCTCTCTTTTCTTTCTTTTTTTTTTTGTGCACTTGGCTTTTTGTCATAGTTTTAGTATTATTAAAGGATTTAATTTTAATGTAACAAATGGATACGGCAAGCTGCATTACTTGCCCCGGAATGTGATAAACATGACCCCACCCCTTCATCTTTCCTCACCTCTCCATCTTAATAAAGATCTGTTTGGTGAGCAATGTGTTGCCATTTTCTACCTTAACCTTTAAGAAATACTTCAGAAATCAGACCTCTTACCAAGGATGCACCTAACTTCAATTCTAGCAAAATTTCTGTCTTGTACAATGTTTGAAATGACTATTCAAGTTGTCAACAAGGATCCTATCTCCACTAAAATAAATCAATTACATGTTGGTCTGTTTAAAATAGTTCTCCATTTGCAGATTCAAGGGATGTTTAGAAGATGCCTTCCTAGAACTTGATGTAACAAAGAAAGCTCTTGTGCTTGGGTTTTGGGAATCTGCTAGTTTCATAAAGCATGATCTCTGAAGCTCTCTCACTGTCAAAACAGCAGAAGAACTTGCCCTATTTCAAGTGCTAATCAATAGAGTGATTATATGTGAAACAGTTCAAGAGGTTCCTGATTTTGGTGGAGATGAAAATTTGAAGTTTGTAAAGATGACAACTCTGTTAAAGAGAATAATAACTTTATTTTTATAGCACTTTTAAAAACAGAAGTTTACAAAGTGCTTTGACAAAGAGTTGCAAAGCATCAGCACATGGAAATAAAAACAAATAAAAAACAAAAGCTCAGTTTAAAACAAGGCCTCCGAATTGAAGGCCAATTTCATTTGTCATAAGAAACCCAGACAATACGAGAACCCTCCAACATAAAATGAGACCATGAGGACCAAAAAAAAAACAGGAAACAGGATAGTAAATATAAAATGACAATATTAATAATGATAATGAAATCATGATAAAATAATAATTATGGTAATATTAATGATAAAATGGAGTAACAAAAATGAGCAGGAAAAAACAAAATTAATAAAGGCCTAAAAGGTTAAATAAGAAAAGATTATAAGTAAAACAAAGGCTAAAAGGACAGTAAGTCGAAATAAGATAGAGGTAAAAGCAATAAAAGATAAAAGATGGCATCACATAAAAGCAAGTCTGTAAAAGGGAGTTTTTAAATTTGACTTAAAAGAAGTGACTGTCTCTGCATGCCTTATCTCCTCTGGCAGGTCATTCCAAAGTCTAGGAGCTCTGATGGAGAAAGCTCTATCACCTTTAGTTTGAGTCACGACTTTGGTACGACCAAGAGGCCTTCACCAGAGGATCTGAGGCTGCGAGTTGGCACAGAAGGTATTAAAAGCTCTGAAATGTAGCTTGGACAAAGTCCTTTGAGTGCTTAAAAGTAATCAATAAAACTGAGTAGTAATCAATTCTAAAACTGACAGGAAGCCAGTGAAGGGAGGCTAAAATTTGGGGTGATGTGATGCCGTAGACAGCATTACCAAAAGTAATTAGTTTTCACGATAAATAATCATAACAGGGTGGACGTGTTGTGCTTTACCACATCAGACAATAGAGGAAAAATTAAACTCAGGGACACATTATTTCTTGCCATTTTTAAATATTGAAAATGTATAAATGACAAAAAGTAGCTTATGGTGAGGAATTTTTTATACAAGGCCATACTTTAAAAACAAAAAATATATATTTTATTTGGTTTCTGTTAATTATCTGTTATCTAAGTTGAGCAAACCTGACTGGGGACGTGGCAGTTTCACTTAAATGCTAAAATTAGAGTAAGTACTATTTTTAATTTATTAATTCTGTGTAAATATAATTTTGTTCTATGGTAGAAGTGGGTTAACCATGTAGGATAAGCTTTTAAAAACAAGTGTCAGCCCTTTTTTTTTTTTTTTACACAAAATACACCATATTATGTAATGAGGACTCAAATGCTAGGAATGACCCGTCTGCTAAAACCAGTTAAAACCCTCCCTGCTGCAGTCTGAACTAGTTGGAAGTCTGACTAACTGCTGGGAAAACAGCTCATCGAGAATTTCCTTATTACTTTGACTGGGTTTCAATGATGTGAGATAACCCCCACGCCTCCCTCCCACGAGCAGCGGTCATTGACCTCCCTGCTCAATGACCTGTGTGACCTCAGTGGATCTGAATACACTTATCGTTTTCTTATTTTTCTGATAATGAAATACGAAACAATGAAAACGCAAATAAGGGCTAATCCGACGACAAAATAAGTGAGATGGGACCGGAATCCTTGCTGTGACGGTTTGTTTTCCTCTGTCAAAACAGCTCCTCCTGTCACGTGACGCCCTGACGTACAGTCCTCCACTCTGCGCTGATGCAGGGGGGTTTCCATCATGGCGTCGATGCAGGTAAGAATACAATCGCCAGCGGTCGCATATATACAATTTACCTGACCTTCATTGTGGCTGTCCCTGCTAGTTTATCACCCACTTTGTTCTCATACATGTATTCGGTAAAAGTAGCCATGACATTATAGTAAAAGCGGAGATATTCATCAGCAAAGAAGCGCTCGGTCTTAGCTAGCAATACAACTAGCCCATCATCCACAGCACCAAGTCAAGGCGAACGTAGAAATCAGCTTCCTGGATACACGGTTGATTTATTCACTGGCGGGTTCGTATTGTAGTGGAAACAAATGGATGGTATCTCAAGGAGTAAGATGGTATGAGCTGAAATTCATTGTGTTTTTATCTAATTGAGTGCTGTTTGGGTGACGTTGACGTAAGCTAGCTAACGAGACAGTGCGCAGATTGAGTGGTTAGTTTGTGCCGAACAGGTGCATCGGTGTGACATTTTTTTTCTATACAAAAAAGAAACTATAAATGTGACTTTATAAAATGATTAACACTGATGCATATTGCTTTGGTGTGGCGCTTATTCTTCCCCCTGTCATTAATTGTTCCATTTATAAACGAGGTAAACGAGTTATGTCAGTCAGGGTGGAGTTTGACCATAACTACATTTGGGACACTCGCTTTTACGTGCCGCCATTAAATGCACCATAATAAATCAAGCTCAAATATTCACTAAATGCTCGTTGCCATCGCTCCCCTGACGCTTTTTTTGATAAATCCTTTTTTTTCTTCCTCAACAGAAAAGGCTACAAAAGGAATTATTAGCCCTGCAAAATGATCCACCCCCAGGAATGACGCTAAATGAAAAAAGTGTACAAAACACCATCACACAGTAAGTGTTTTTCTACTTTAGACATGATTTTTTTCCCTCTTTGAATACTTCTCCATCTCCACCTCCAGCTTCCTTGAAATGGGTGACTAATATCAGTGACTAAACACGAAATTGAGTGTGGCTCCATGGAGTATCATGCCTCATCACTGTGACAGAGCAGTGTGGCGAACATGTCTGCAAAGAAGCTGTTGAAAAAGAAGTAGTAGGAGGGTTTAACACATTCACACACGCACGCTCGGCTCTTGTTTGTACTCTCAGCAGCGACTGTTGAGGAGGAATTCGGGTCATTTCAGACACTGGCAGATCTGGCCCCTCACTGGAAAGTCTCTAAAGCATAGTGTCACTATTCATCCTAATGAAATATTCAGTAGTTGGCATGCGGGAGTTGGGCTAGGGTAGCATGGAACAGAGGCTACTTAGCTGACCTTTCCGTCTGGGTTTCTTGGCGTTCACTTAAAAGCCCATGAATATACCGACTAAGTGAGTTGTGTCTGATAAACAGAAACAAAAAACTGAGAAATCTGTGTTTGCAACCTTTACATTAAAATGTACTGCCTGATTGTACTCATGCTTCAAAAGAGTCATTACACTGCCTTGCTGCGTGCTGTGGTTGATACAAGAACATTTTGTTATAATGCACGATGCATGACGTCTGCCGCTCTCTTATTAGATAACAATAGTCTGATCACAATGAGCAAATGTTTTGTTTTTGTCAGACTGAAGAGAGCTCCTGAAACCTGTTTGGCTGGCTTCCACATGCAGTGGATCCCAGGTTTGACATGGTATTTATGGGTGTGGCTTTTTTTTTCCCCTCAAGTGTGATGTTTAAGGTCTTTTTACCCTGCGGTAGTTTTGTGTCATTTGATTGACAGTCGTTGGGATTTGCTTGTTTTATCACATACGTCCCAGTTGAGTAAGATACAGATACTGTGTTCCTGTTTTATGTAAAAACGAAGCTTATCCCTTTCCTAAAAAACAAACATCATACACATGGTGCCTGTGGTGGAGATAAGGTGTACTGCGTGTTAGCACACTCCGTCTTTCAGTGCTCTTCATTAGATTAAAATCTTTCCGTTGACTGTGTGATAGACAGTTGGCTCAGCTTGATGCTATAATGGGTTGGTCTCTGCAAACAAGGAAACTGCAGCTTTTCACCATTGTGGAATCTCTCAGAGATGTTCAGCCACTTTTTTTTTCTTCCTGAAACTGATACCTGAACTAAAAGTTTGCAGACATACGAGTGCCAATCCAACATCAGTATTAAAAAGAAATCATGTGAAGTCAGTGTAATCAGCTTACAAGAAAAGAAAATATTTAGTTAACTAGAATAAGATGAGATGATATTTTAGCTCTATGAGACTGTAAAAATAATGAAATAGCATTTCAGTGGAACCAAACTCACAAAGTGTAGAATATTGCAGGCCCATTTAAAATGTCGTGAAACTTTAGTAAAACGCCTTCCCACAAATTAAAAACAAATCATATAAAGCCAGTGTAAAAAAGTAGCACTGAGTTTTTCTGAGTCTTATTCTTCGAGGCAAACAATCAGTCAGTCTCTCAAAACTCAAAGTGCACATTTTTCTGCAAGATTCTGGTTCAGGTATCAATCTAGCTTATCCCCTAAAAATGTACACCTCATGTACAGATGCCAAAGTTTTCATTGCAGCAGTCACTTCTTTGACTCCAGGGCCTAAACCCTTCACTGCATGTCTACCCTCATACTCCTCTTCCAGCATTCCACTTCTCTCTTCATCAATGTCACTCTCTTTCTGCTAACATAGAACCTAGGGGTGGGTATCTTCGACTGTCTCACGATTCGATTCGATTCCAATTTTTGGGACCACGATTCGATTTCTGATCATGATCTACTCCACTCTGCTGTGCAAGACAGAATGACAAATAAAGACATTTAAGTGTCTTTTTCACATTTATTAAGCTTTAAGCATTTATCTATGCTTAGATGGAATTTTTTACAAGCAATAGGCGATAGACCAGGTTTATTTTTTTTGCCTGCGTTGGTCTGCAGCTGGCGGCTGAGTCTGCTCCGTGTCTCTCATCTCCGGGTGATGCCTTATAATGTTTTGTTGCTGAAATGCTTGATTCTAGTTTTACAATTTCGGCACACTGCGTGTGTCATGTCCAGCTCAGTATGTCCGGGCATTCGGTAAAATCCGAAATGACGCCAAACTTAAGCTTTTAGTGAAGACAGGGCTGGCTGGATCTCCTTTTCCTCCATCATTGTATTTCCTTCTTTGTTTTGGTGCCTTCTGCACATGCGTGCATTCCAGAACCGTCTGCGTGATGACGTCAGGACGTCCAGCGTAGTTCCAAAATGAAGGCAGACAGGCAGCGGATATTTAATCTTTTAATAACGATTTTGGGACATTTTAAATAGATTATGAATCGTAGTAAATTAGAATCGTGATTCTTGTGTAAATCGATTTTTTTGGCGCACCCCTAATAGAACCTGCATCTAATTCACCAACAAATGGTCCAAGACCCTCAGGTTGGTACAGTCCACAGAACGGATGCTTAGGTTGATTTGGAAAATTGATTTGATGGGTATTTTAATTGAACAGTATGGTCCCTGTTCCATCTGTTAGCATGTAGGCGGCAGGTTTAAGACCTGTGCTGCAGCCAGTGAGTAGGGGGAGCTCTAAATCTTTTGGCTTCACAATCAGTCGACAACTATGCCATATATTTATTTAGTTAAAAGTCTTTGGTACTGACCAATCAGAATCAGGTATTTCCAACAACACTTTGATACTTCTCATCCTTGAGTATGATATGCATGCTGTATTATCTGGCGAATATAAAACATTGCAAAGTGTTTGCAGATATTTACAGATAATGTTCCACTAAAACTGTATTTTATCATCTTAGTCATACTTCTGTAGAAGGTTTTGGCTCCTATTTAGAATCTCCCTGAGAATGAATAATGAAAAACACACATCTAAAACCAAGTGGTGCTCATAGAAATCTGTGTTTCTCACCATGCTGACAGTGGGTTTTATAGCTGCTTGTGATATTGTGTTTCCTGCTAAAAGTGTCTGAGAATCATTGATTTTTAACATGAAACTGCTTTTCAGTTCAGGTCAGACTAATGCCTCGTTTTCAGTCAACACTGCACAGTGCTCCATCATAATGGATTCGATTTCTTAAATTCTGTATGTTATTTCCACTGTTGTTATTGTCCCCTATCTCTAGATAGATAGTGATGTTTAAGGCGATGGGGAGTTTTAGCAATTTGAGCATTATGTCCTTGGAGTCCTTGGCCGTGTTTAGCGTGGGTTGCGTCAGGTGTAACTCATAAATAGTAAGACTGCCTCCCCTTAAGCTGCTCTGCCTGGAAGAAAAATGAAGCTCCTTATAGACGCTTTGACCGCCGGACTTTCTGAGGGGGCAGTTTCAAACTGCACTGACCTTGTACGGTGGCCTAAATGATCACATGCCTGAGGCTAGATTTGAAAGACACACAAGGCTGTACCTCTGAACAACTGCCACAAGTCTCTTTGGCGTCCTTTCTGGAGGAAATTAGGCCAAAGATTGTGCTGCTGCCATCAGTGTTCCTTTTTTTCTCCTCTGAGGTTTCTGCTATGAGGAGGTGATGGCTGCTTTATCAGCGAGGCTACATCCGGCCTCTGTTTTATGGCTATGGAGATGCTGCACACTGAGCAGACAGATTGTCTTTTGACTGAGAGAGCCAGCATCAATCCAATGCTTTTACGGCCATCTCTCTTTCCCAGTAAGACATTGAATCCCTCGTAGCTCTGTCAGCACAGTCCTGTAGCAAGGCCACAGAGGCGAAAATAGATTTGTCCAGCAGATCAATAAGAGTATCACATTAATTCTGAGCTACTGTCATAACCCAGCTGTCTATTCAATGGCAGTGGAATGAGTCAGACTTCAGGCCTTTGATTCTACACCTACTGCTGCATTGGCAGCTCACACTGAGTGTGATTCTTTTATTTGTTTTAATAAGACGTGCTCCATGAAAGTTGAACTGGTTTTGAACTAAAGTACTCCAGAAGGAGAAAGAGTAACAGTGCTTTATTTATCACCACTCATCAGGTCTTAAAACTGTATCCCTGGAAGTGGTTCTGACGGGAATTTACTTGTACACATCTGCTAATTAGCAGTTCATGATTGGAGTATTGTTTTTGCAGGGGTGTAATTATAAAGGTCTAAATGTATTGGACAAGTTAGATTCTTTTTACTTGATGATTAAAGAAAATATTGAAAGTCTGAGGGACACCAAAGTCATCCAGGTACATTGTTGGAGTACAACAAGTGTGTATATTAGGGCCCAACCAATGCATTTCTCAGCATTTTTTTCCTGAAAATATCGGCGAAAATCTGTGAGTTTTGGCCGATTACCGATTAGTCTCATACGGGCTAAAAATGGCCGATTTGATTGGCTCGCTGATAAATCAGTTGGGCCCTAGTGTATATCAAAGATGAACCATTTTCGATAGTTTTACTTCCTGCTAGTTTGGCCTAAAACATAACAACTATGTGATAAAAAAGCACAGAAATGAGTCGTAGTTAAAGGAAGTGTTGACCTGATGCTGTAGTTTAACTGGGAAATTAAGTATCTGTTGTGTTTCTTTTTCCACTGTCTTTTTAAAAACTGCTTCAGTTGTAGGATGATCCAGCTTGGGTCAAATCCCTGGTTTTTGAACTTTAGAGTAAGAGGCTAAGTTTGCTTGGAACATAGGAAGCTTAGAGAGCCGAGTGCCCTCTCAGTTTGGGGTAATTCATGGAAACTTGAACTGTTTGAATCTGAGCTCTAAACAAACGTGAACATTTCTTGGTTGTTAAAAAATAAATGGATGTCCACAGTTTTCTGCTCCTCTTGTTTGTTTTAGTGAATTTAATCATCTGATGCTTTTGATTTCAGGTGGATTGTAGACATGGAGGGAGCACCTGGCACACTGTATGAAGGAGAGAAATTTCAGCTGCTTTTCAAATTTAGTGGTCGATACCCTTTTGATTCACCTCAGGTAAGAAATCTATCTCCATGTGTCACTTTGAAAAAGGCTGAACGTTATTGTTTAATTGTTTGAATTTATGTATATGCCACATGATTAAACACTCATTCTGGTGATAAAATGGGTTTATGCAAAACACAGAATTCAGGGAACTTTTAAAGACATGGTGGATTAGAGAAAATACTAAACAGAATTTCTAGAGCTTGTCTGGCTAAATGCCCCTAATCTATAATTCAAACAAATGTAATCTTAAATAATAGAGGAGATTGCAAAAGCAGTCTTGCAGGTACAGTGAACATGAGTGCTCATTTCTAAGATCAAAAAATGAGAGTGAAACAGTCCATCTCTCTACAACAATCCCACGACGAAACACTCTGCTGTTGTTTGTGGAATGAGTCTAAGCCTGGAAACATTGGAGCCAGAAATCACTGACAGAGACACCGGCACAGAGCATCCGCTAAAGCCACGTTTGAGGAGATTAGTTTAACTCAACAATCTTGTTTCACTCATTGGGAGCTTTGCCATCTATAAATAGAGGGTGAGTCGGTGTAGAGAAAATTAGATAAACTTAGCTACTATGCTCTTAAATAGGAAGGACAGGCTATCTAAGTAGCCCTCTGTTGGACCACAGAGTCAACTGCTGCAGTGCATTATAGGTAATCTAAGGAGCTTCAGCGATGACATGCTTCGCTTTGTGGTGATGGACTGTGCGCTGTTACACTCTGTAGCAGGTTTTGTCGACTTCAAATCCACTGGGGGATTTCGGAGGACATCTATCTCACACTGTGCGATGCTAGTCAGTTTGTCACAGGCCTCATCAAACTCAGTGGATAACATTTGTGAGATCAGGAACAATGTACTCGACTTTGTACTTGCACATATTTATGCATTTGTTACCTGTTGAAATCTATCTTTTCAGCTGTTTTTTCCTCATCAATCATGCCTCATATCCTCCTACCTTTTAACTGACTCATATTAATACGAGTTTATCCCTGGTTTTGTGTTGCATAGATTATGTGGATGTTACGGTTACAAAGCATAAGTCTGTATTTTTTTACGTTACGCCCCAGAAAACTGAAAGTTCTTTGCGGGCGGAACTTAAACCTCGGCTAGAGATTGTCGAGCAACATTAAGATTACCTACAGGGCCTGTCTACTCAGACTGAAGAGCTTGATGTTTTCGATGTAGTGCCAGCTCCACTTTGTGCTCCTATCTGTGACACTCATCCTGTCAGCTCAGTGATGTAGACTCTGCACTCTCCTGTGAGGCCCTGTCTGGTGCCACACTGACTCAACCCATTGTTACCCTCCATCGCCCTCTTTAGCCCCCCCTTTTTTCTCTCGACTTCAGCACTTTAGTCCTGAGTTGCGCTCCTTTCATCACACTTTCTGTATCTTCATGCTCAGCCCTCACTCCCGCTCCCTTTTACCGCCTAATATCCCTGTTACTTTTAATAACCGCTGCTCCGCTTTTCATCAGATGTGTCCTCTCTCTTCCCCCCCTCTAACCCCCGCCCTGGCCCCAGTGTCCTAATCCCAGAGCCTCATATCATCACAGAGGGCTAAATCTGTGCTTAAACTGCAACTACCATTATTTTTTTTGGCAAAGTCCCACATTTTTCAGACAAGAACTCTCCTAAGATTTCTGCATGACCACTAAAATACCACAAATAATCTTACAGAAGCTTTTTTTTTGTATCATCACCTTTTCTGGTTTAGTAACTGATCTTGACTGACTTCTCTTTGTGCTGCTTTTGCAGGTAATGTTCACAGGAGAGAATATACCTGTTCACCCTCATGTGTATAGTAACGGTCACATCTGTCTATCTATTCTAACGGAAGATTGGTCGCCAGCACTCTCAGTGCAATCTGTATGTCTTAGCATTATCAGCATGTTGTCCAGCTGCAAAGAAAAGGTAGGAAACCTGACATGATGACAAAATGCAGGAAGTGCTGGTTTGTAAAACGCTTGTATTAAATGTGAATGTGTTGTTTTTTTGACAGAGACGACCGCCTGATAACTCCTTTTATGTAAGAACGTGTAACAAAAATCCAAAGAAGACAAAATGGTGGTATCACGGTGAGTATCTTAACCTTGCATGTCTTTTTTTTTTTTTTAATGAGCACTACTACAGAGTGAAGAAAAAGAACTTCTCATCCTGGTGACTTTTGAAGGTCAAATTTATCATGTTAGGTCCTTTCACACCGGGACCGTTTCTGTCGTGCGATTATTTCGGTCGTCAATATTTTTTTTCAAACCCGTATCCTGTCAATACAGGCGTTCACATCAGCGACGTTTTCCCGTTCTGCAATATTGCGACATTTATTTTGTCGGATCATGGTCGATTTTTTTAAAGTTTCGCATACTGTGTGTCCACTTCTGAGCAATCAGATTATGTGTTGTTGCGATGTCTGATTCACTGATATAGCCAACATGGCCGACCGGCTGATTGTTTACATGTCTGTAATATTTGTGTCTTTTATCAAAAAGCACTCTGTTCTCAAAGATAACGACCTGAAGGACAACTTGTGGAGAGTCATAGCGTCGGATCTTTTATATGTTGATAGTTTGTGTGCTTTAACAGTTTGCTAAAAGTCTTTGTTTTAACTTTCATCTGTGCTAAGTAACTGTAGCTTGTAGGCTAACAGATACAACATACCATATGTATTTTCACTGTCTCAAACTCAGTCGCGTTACTGTCACAGCACCATTAGGTCTCAGTTGTTACCTTAAGTTTATGGATTATAGTTTGATGTGCTTATCTGGTACTGGCCCTGACTCAGTACATGCTATCATGACAGACAGACATCTCAACACTAGTGTCTAATCAGAACTGAAAAACAGTCAGTCTGCTGTTGTGTCAGTCTTCTCGCTTCCTCCCTGGACATGTCTTTTTCCCTCTTGGAAAGTTGCAAAATCGCATCGGGCTTGATGTGTATAGTCAGGCGCGTCAAAATTTGCCTCAGAATATTTTGCGTTCTATATTCGCGTCAGCCCTGGTGAGCAAGGACCTTTACTGTGAACATTTTCTGTGGAAATTGTAACATCAGAGTTCCAGTTTCAGGCGTTAGAAACTAAAATATGAAAGTTTTCAACTTGTTGTTAGTGCTCGTTTGCTTTTGGGTATCATGAAAAGACATCAGTATGAGTTTCAGCCAATCTCGTTTGATATATAAAAAAAACCTCCTGATAAAAGCTTTAAAGTTCAAATATTTGTTTTCTGTAATCTGGCTCACTTCTTTAGAAGACAGAGATGCTGATCCTCGCTATTCTTACTGTTTGTAATTGTATTCTTTGTTTTCCTTCACAGATGATACATGCTAATGTACAAACTTTGTAATAGTCGTAGAAGAAAGAAGTCCTACTGACCTACGTAAAGCACTTTTTAATCATTCAGTCTTTGAACTCTGACCTTTGACTGGAATAATGGACACCATGCGCTGGAGGCTCTTGACTGCATTACCCCCCATGGATGGTTGGATGCATGTTTTAGACGGTTGTATCAAATAGAGAGCGGGAAAACGGTTTAGGTGCACCCGGGGCGGATCGTTATATTTGCTAAAGGTGGTAAATGCAGCAAGCAGGCGAGGTGGATTTGTGGTGAGGAAATTATAATTCCTGTTTTAAGATTATTATTGTTACCTTTTTGTTTATGTGTGGGTGCATTTTAAGGTCCTTGTGTTGTGCAATAAGAACTGATGGATGCATGCTTGGGCCTACAAAGAGAAATCCAAATCTAATTGTGTTCCTGAAGGGATCTGACCATCATTGCCCCAAGAAAATGCTTCATCTGTTTGTTTTTTGAATATTATGCACTGTGAAAGTAGTTTTAAAAAGGCACTATTAGTATGGTATTCCCAACTTGCAGTTGTTCTGTAAGCAGTCCTCCACTTATTTATCAGGTTTAAGGGGTTTAAGTTTGCAAAAGTGTATCAAGAGAAAACACAGTTATCTCCTTCATCTTCCAACTTGAGACCCGGCTTCCTGGACAGAATGTCGGTACTGGTGGGAATTAAAAAAATAACACGCGACACGACAGATGTCTTGGTTGAGAACATCTCCTCGTCAAAGAATGGGCTGAACTCGTGAAGCGTTCGCTTGTCCAGCCTTGAAGATGCGCAGCGGCCTCTCTTCCGTTTTTCAGAATGTCTGTTTAGAGAACGTTGTCGCACAACCCATTTTTATTTGTATGATACTTTTTATTTTTTAATTTCATGCTTTAATCTTCTGAAATGTTTGATTTTAATGTCTCGAGTTGTTTTTTTGTACTGTTTTTCAACTAGCTGATACTTTAAAAAAAAAAAAAAGAGGGGAGGGGGGTCTTTTGATGGGTCAGTATATTCTGATTTTTCTTTTCTTTTTTTTGTATTATTTAATTTAATTCTCCACAACGGTAACGAATGACAAAAAGGAGTGTCTTTATCGGAGAAGTAAAGACGAGGCTTTCGTGATTCCCCCTGGTCAGAGTTTTGGCTCAGGTACTTTTTTCAATATAGAGATCACCTCTTAAAAGATACCTATCAGATATTTTGAATTTAACTATATTTTCACCAAAAGAGACTGTTATGTTGTGAAATTATAACATGTCTGAAACTATTGTATATAAGTCTTGAAATTGTTGGATGGAGTGAAAGAAATTAGCAGAGGATGCATTTACTTTATAGCAGATTGATAATAGGAGTGCTTTATTTCATTGGACTTAGGCCTGCATCTTTTGCTAATTAGGATGTGTACAGACAGCAACAAACACTACTGTTGGTTCAAAATAGAAAAAAAAAAAGTTTAGTAGTTTTTAGTGGGGGTGCATGCAGTTTAAACCCTACTTTTTCTTATTGGCATCAGACATCATAACAACTTTTAGTCTTTCCATAACTTGGGTAATGGTTTTATAGGATGGATACTACAAAGCTCACCTCCAGAGGCTGTGTGGCTCTGTCATTTCAGACTGTAATCACTCCATTCCTAAACAAATGTTTTATTGCCATCCAGTCAGAGATACTTGAATTTTCCACCTTGGGTTGTTTGTATTGCGTTTGCTTTTTTTTCCAGGGTCTAGGTGAATTTCTTGAATGAACATGAGTGAATGTGATGATGCTCTATACTGTAGAGGAGATTACCACAGCACACCGCTATCTCAAAAACTATATTGATAACTTAAAGACATCTATTTAACCAATGATTTTTTTTTTTAAAAGCTTCATAGTAACAGTCTTGTCTGCTGTCACCGTGCCAGGACGAAGAGACGGTAGGCCTGAAATGATTGTGTAAATGTAGTCCCAACAGCATTTGTGTGTGGGGACAAGAGGCCTCATCCATACAGTGGCTCAACGGCGATCTGAAAAACATGCGAGCAAATATGTTACAAGGGTTTGGATGTGACTTTTTTTTTTTTTCCTAGGTTTTTTTTTCTTTTTTTTTCCTTTTTCAATGTGGTTTGAACTCTTAGCTTGCAAGTTGTTGTGAGTGATCAACACTAATGAGGGTGTGTTATTTATATTTGAAATTTTGTTCTGGGATGTGCAAGCCCCGATGTAATAGGTGCCTGTTCATTTTCATAATCAGTAATAAAAGCAAAGATTCACTTTTATTCAACCTTGGTCTGAAAGTTAGTTTTTTTTGTTTTTTTTTATGTGGTCCATAAAAGCCTTTAAGAAACTGCATATATACAGTGTCTTTGGAGGAAATGCCTTTACATTTCATTTTCAATATTTTTTTGCCATACAAATCTTATCTTCTGTCTTGCTTTGGTGTTTTAACCCTAGCCACATAACCCAATACCCCGGTAACCCATAGGAAGCCCTAACAGCTATAAGAAAAAAAAAAGACATTTTTCTTAATTCTTTTTGTACTAACTGACTCCAAAAGGTCTGAAACATGCTCCTAAAAAGGTCCTGGACAGTGATTTTAACCCTTACCCCCAAACCCTAACCCTAGCCCTGTAACCCAATACCCCAGTGTTACCTAAAGGAGGCCCTAACACCTAAACAAAAAATAATAACAAATTGACATTTTTCCTAATTTTTTTGTACTAACTGACTCCAAAAGGTCTGAAACATGCTCCGAAAAAGGTTCTGGACAGTGATTTTAACCCTAACCCCAAAACCCTAATCCTAACCCCATAACCCTCACTGCATAAAAGTCACTTTGCAGATAAGAGATATGAACTAGGGGAAAAAGAAGTCAGAAAATCTTTCTGCATTGAGGCAAAAAAGCGGGGCGGTGGCACCATCTAGTGGTCAAAATGCAAAAGGGCTTCTCCCAAACTTGTAATTTACCATCCACTTCACTGCAATCCTTATTCCCAGTGGAAATGTTGGCCCCTCTCAGCTCTGAGACTTCATATAACATCACCTATTATCTGAGTCCAACACCTTTTATTTTTCTTTCCATTTTTCACAAAATAAATTGACAACTGATCATCTATAAGTGGTGATCTTTGTAAGAAATTAACCCCCCCTTTTCCCCAAGGTTGAACTTTGTTGTCTTTGTATCCTACTGACAGCTCAGTTCTCTGCTCTGAGTGTGGTCTATTGCTCTCTGGAAAAAACTGTCCCACTGAAATATTAATAAATTATTTAATAATTAAAGTCAATGAAGAACATTTCCTTACAAAAATAGAACAAGTGATTTAAGTACCTTAGAGTCCTATTCAGATATTAGACTCAGCTTTATTAGTCAGGTGGGCTATGTGAATACATACAAGGAGATTTAGTTCCTGTAAAATGCACGTCATTTAAAGGAAAATGAAGGTAAACACACACCGTCTGCAGAAATGCCATGTAGGCCTACAGAAATCCAGGTCGAAAATCTTGGTGTTTGCTCTGAATCAAAGTTACAACTGTTTCAGCCTCCGAGGAAGCCAACCAGGACTGAACCATTTGCAGCGGCGCGGGGGTGGCTAATTCATTCAGGATTTATCTCAAACCGCAACGTTCGTACCATAACGATGTGCCAAACTTGTTATTCACGACTAAACAACAAACAAACCTCATAAATAAAGAATCAAAATGACCACTCTTTCGCCTGTAACGGAACATATTTGAACATTTTACCCAGAAAAATAAGGTGGTGCGTTCCCTCTTCCATCCAGTTCTCTTTAGTGTTTGCCAATGTCGGAGGTGTAACTGGGGTCTGGCCCTGGACAAAGGTAAAAAATAACCTAAATAATGTGTCCCTTTGTTGTCGGGTAGTGTCTGGGTTAGTTGTCACGCCGTCGGCTGTCTGTACACGCTGTTACAGTGGACTGAAATTCCCCAGACTTTCCGTGAAGGATGGGGCGGTATGGAGATGCTAGCAAGAGGGGTGCTCGGCCGATCAGCCATGATGAGCGCTAACCGGCTAAACTAGCCTTGCTGGAGGGAGGCGAGATGGGTGTATAATCACCAGGAGAAATCTCACGGGAAAATTAATGACAGCATGCATTCTTGCAGGGTATGATAGTCTGTTTGCAGGAGCTGACATTCGCAGGAAACACCGCTTTCTGGTTGGCAACGTTAGCTTCCTGCTAGGTTAGACACTGCCGAGGCTGTAGTATGTAGGTTCAGAGGGGTTGCAGACAAACCGGTGGGTCTGTCAGTCAGACACAGCGTAACACCACACAGATATTCAACTAATATATGTGTGTTAGACAGAAGTGCATTTTTCTAGGTGTGTTTAGTCTTATCACTGCCTGTTACAGTGAGTAATAAGAAGAGGAGCAGCACAGATTGTGACCCCGACAACCTCGGGGTGTGCAAGATGCACAGAGATGCAAAGAATCGAGTGCATGCAGTGAATGAAGGCCACAGATCAGGGTGAAAACCGTGTTAGATTCTTATTGAAAAGTCGATATCAGCTGTGTTATGGATATTTCTCTGTTGTTTGTACTAGCTCAACCTTAGTCTGTACTATAAACACTGGACTTGGCTGACACCTGTTTTCCCAGCCTGATGGGGTATAATGATCATTTGTACTCTCATTTACTTCTCAGTGTCATAAATTGACATCCTCTTGGATTTGCAGCGATTGGAATCTGGTTTTGCACTTAATATCTAAGTGCAAGGTGCCGTATCTCTCCTGGTCTCCTTCTCTAATCCTCTGAAAGAATTTCACTCATTTCCTTCCAATGCCATCCTAATGTTTCTCTTGAATAATCGTGAAATGAGCTTGGTAAACTGTTTTAATACAGATTGTATCTCTTAAAATGCAGAGCTGAATTTGATTCGCCTGTTTGACTTTTTGATTTATATTAAAACAGTGGTTCTCAACTGGTTTCACTCAAGTCACGACCCACCTTAATAGAATTCAAACCAAGCAAATTAATTTTTTATATAAAAAACCTTTATTGAAGTGGTGACATCATATAAATACCTAGGTGTACATCTGGATAATAAGTTGGACTGATCTAAGAATATAGACTTCATCTCCAGAAAGGGGCAGAGCCGCCTCTTTTGCCTGAGATGACTCCGATCAATAGACATCTGTAGTAAGGTGCTGCAGATGTTTTATCAGTCTGTGGTGGCAAGTGTTCTGTTCTATGTTGCAGTCTGCTGGGGAGTAAGCATCAAACACAAAGATACAAGACGTCTCAACAAACTGGTGAAAAAGGCTGGCTCAGTAGTAGGACTCAAGCTGGACTGAGTGGAGGATGTGGTGGAGAGATCTACACTGTGTAAATAGTAGATAACTTTTAGAGACATTTTATGTGAGACAACAGACAATTGAATTTCTCTCCGGGGATTAATAAAGTTATTCTTATTCTTATTCTTATTTAAAGACTCAAATCTTAAACACAAATACACTTGTTTTATTCGGTAAAGTGCATTTCAGAGCACATGAACTGAGGACGACAACTACAGAAGTTGTGCATACAAAAAATATCAAATAAATATTAAATTGCGCAAAATAAGCTATTTTTCAAAATGAAAGACATGTTAAAAATATGATGCGCATTAAATATTTTCTTTTTTGACCAGCTGTTTGCGACCCATCAAGGTCGTGTCCACGACCCACTTTTGGGTCGTGACCCACCAGTTGAGAACCACTGTTTTAAAAACATATAATTTAGTAATGCTCATCTTGCATAACCACAGACTGTGTCTGTTGTTTTCCACCAAAGTATTTAATGCAGTAGTAAACTTGTGCATGTTTTTAACTGTCTGTCTTTCTGCTGTTCATATCATCCTGTGTTTACTTCATGTTGGAAGCTCTTTTTACTCACAGATGTAATGTGATTGAGCGTCTGTTGTCTTGTTCAGGCTGCTGTCACAGGAATCTCCTTTTTTTCCAGAGAGCTTAGCAGCAGTAACATGAGCAAAGCTCCTTCAAATAAAGCTTCATTGTCTGGGTGTATTAGCTGCCAGTGGATCAGATTGTGAGATAGGCCCAGAGCTGCTCAGTTTGAAGTCTGTTTTCCTGGCTTAGCCCACAGAAGTCTGTCAAATGACAGTGAACAGCTGTAACTTGTGCAAAAAAAAGCAAAAGATACTTAAGCACATGCAGTAATGTATGCAAAAGCATCATTAATAGTAAATTTTAACTCTGTTTTTCAGATTTTGCTAAATACTAGTTTATTCAAAATGATGTGGATGACAGTAGATTTAGGGCTCTAACACTGTTGAATGTCATCTGGTTTCAGGAATAGAGCATGGCTCAAGTGAAAGTACAGACCTCAGCACCCCTGGCTGGTCCTGGCCTCTCCCCTGGAGTTCCCCCGCCGGCCATGGCCAGCCCAGGACCCCTGGGTCTGCAGGCCTCCGTCAACGGCACAGGCCCGGCCCCCACACCCGCCTGCCCTGCTCCTGCAGTCGGATATGGGGACGCCCCTGTGTCCTCCACATCGCCAGGTACATCGCACTGAACAGTTTTCCTTCAGGAGGAAAATAATGTACATAGTTACCATTCTTTCTATAGTCATCATTTGACTAAACAACTATGATAGACTAACATCTCATCTGTATCTTTTCTAGAACAGTTGTAGGTTTTAAAAGTGAAAGTTTAAGTGCAGTAAAATCAGAAATAAGATTATAGAAGACTGCTGTGTCAAGACTGAGTCACAAGCTTTTTATGCTTGTAAGTCCTTGATTGCTGTGAATGCAGCTCTCAGTGTTTGTGGGCTCAGTGGCAAAGGGCTGCACTCACTGTGGATTGTTTTTACAATAGGAATCAAGATTAATGTCACACCTGCATGAATTTCTCTGTAGCAGCAATTTTAAAGAAAGATGTTTTCTGCATATTAAATTGATCCTCTATGAACATAAGTACCATTGCCTCTGTTGCTGTCACCATGTTTCTCAGTAAAGTGTGTTTGTTCTGTTGTGTTTTGTTGTAGGCCCACCCCAGGAGAACATGGCAAACCCTAAAGAGAAAACTCCAATGTGTCTGGTGAATGAGTTAGCCCGTTTCAATAGGATCCAACCACAGTACAAGCTCCTAAATGAGAGAGGGCCTGCACATGCTAAGGTAAGGACTGGAGACAAGAAACTGAGGTTGATTATTATGTAAAAAAATAAAAATAAAAAGGCATTGTGTTTCCTTTTGTTGTACAAGTGCAGCTCAAAAATAAGAATATCATGGAAAAGTCCTTTTTTCTGGCATTTTATTCAAAAAGGTAAACTCTATATTTATCACATGTGAAGTAAAAAATTTCCCTCAAGAGCACATAAATGTCCAGCAACTGAAAAGTATGTACATTCAATGATTCAGCGCTTAGTCGGGTCTCTTTGGCCATGAATGAAGGAATCAAAGTGGTGTAGCATAGAGGTGAACAGCCTGTGGCTTTGCTGAGGTGTCAAAACAACCTTCAGCTGGTCTGCATTTTGAGTTGGGTGAAAATCTCCCTCTAAACACCCTGTGCATCACCTTTAGCACTGCATGTTGGCATCTTTGTCTCTACATCCTGGCTTGTGTTGAACTTACTCTTAGATTTACGTCACTATGGCTGAAATTGTCTACCTTTTGACTATACCATGTATTGTTTTCTATGGGGCTTAGGTCAGGTGAGTTGGTTGGCCAATTGAACACAGCAATGCTATGATCAGCAAACTAATTGGTCAGAGTTTTGGCACTGTGGGCAAAGTTAAAGTCATGTTAAGGGATTTATTTTTACATGTAATGACTGTAAACGATGTGGCACTTTCAGGCTCTGTAAGGAACTTTTTAACGTTATTCAATTTTTATCTTCACCTGTAAGACTTTTGCGATCATGCCTTGTCAAATGTAAACTCATGCTGACGTATATAATGGTCTTATTTACAGCATCACATCTGTTATTAGTGCCTCAGATATTTTCCTTATTAAATGTTACTTATGCATAATTCAACTCCTCTATGGGTCCATAAGGGTACTGCTTCAAAGTGGTTGTCTGTTAATGTCTCCCCCTCTGGGTGTCACTGTTGCAGATCTTCACCGTGCAGCTGACTCTTGGGGAGCAGGTATGGGAGGCAGAGGGAACCAGCATTAAAAAGGCCCAGCACTCCACAGCTGCCAAAGCTCTGGAAGAGAGCGTCCTTCCAAGGCCAGCACCCCGCTCCCCGAAAGTGGACATCAACAGCAACCCAGGTACTGCATTCTGAGACAGTTTCAGTGAAAGGTTATGGTCAGACCACCTTGTTGGTACCATTTCCGGCTTAGAGAGGCTGATATTATCCAGATTAAAACCTGCTTTTATAAAAGGCTGAGGCGAGTATATCTTTGTCATACTTTTATTTAAATGTTATATTTCTGGCAAATGGAAACAGCCATTTCTAATTGATTGAAACAGATAGTGATGAAATATAAGCACTTTAAAAATGTTAGTGCTGTCTCAGCTTAAGCAGCAGTTAGCAAATTCTGGCAGCAGCGACAAGCCAAAGCAAGATCAGGTAATGACAATTATTGGAAAAACAAAGAAGGAAAAAGTAAAAGGGCCTGTTCAACAGTACTCAATATGAATCTAAGAGACAGTGTTTCAGGATCGTAGACTTTCGGCCTTCGGGTTTGTCCTGAGGGCAGTGATTACATTTGAATAATCCAGGTTTAGAACAAAGCTGGGACAGACTCTTTCATTAAAGCCTAAGTGCAGGCTTATGGTTTTTTTCTGGTCAAATTAATTCCTTTAGTCAGTCTTACCTTATCTGCTCTCTGAAGTATTGTAGTGGTGAAAGACCTCATAACCATCTCTTAATGGGATTAGGAGAGCCGTGCGGTAGGTTATGCAACCTCAGGACGGATCTGAGGGATTAACCGTGTGTGTATCAGACAGGTGGGACAGGTACAGGCATCCTCATATTTGAATGTGTTGGGTATTAATAACGAATGCTCTTTGCCGTTTCATAAAACATTATGAAAACCCTTGGTGGTTGATAAGATATTAAACTTCTTCTCCAAGTTTTCATTGACTTTGTTGAAATTTTTCTCATTTATTTCGACCCACAGGCAGTATAACACCCACAGTGGAACTGAATGGTCTAGCCATGAAGAGAGGGGAGCCAGCTATCTATAGGCCTTTGGATCCCAAGCCCATGCCCAACTACAGAGCGAACTACAACTTCAGAGGGATGTTCAACCAAAGGTAAGCTCCACAAAAGACCCTGTTTTCATCTGATATTAACATCACTTTGAACACACACACGAAATCTCAGATCTCATCACTAGGTTCGCATATGGAAGTGGTCTGACAGGCATATGTACACATTGGTCTGGTGGTGTGTATGCACATGTGTTCTTCAAATTAAGGACAGCCAACTCTTCATATAACCAAATACTGCACAAAAGAGTGAAGAGTCATAAAAGATGCAAGCAAACTGACATGATCGATGAGTTCACAACAATTCTTTGTTTTAATAAGAGGAGGTGAGCTGGTTTAACTCTAAGCTGTCTAGTTCTGTGCTCCATAAAGCCAGGTCTTCTGCATTAACAGCCTGACCTGTTCTTTATTTCAGTACACAACCTGTTACTGAAAGGATCAGCACGTGATCTGTGCCTTACCATGTTGGAAATGATCGGCAGAGAGCTTCAAATGTAAACTCAAATGAAAATATTGTTCTTAAAGACTCCTCCAGCTTGGTGAGGACGTGCTCTTGATATATCATCGATGGCCTCAAACCGTTTTGTTTCTTTGATCCCACTGGCTCAGATGCGTGTCAGACGTGGTCCTCGGCTCCATATGTTCTCTAAACTGATGAACATGGTGCCCTCATGGGGTCCCTCTGCAACTCAGTCTCTGTCAACGCTCTTTCTTCCCTTCGTTTTTTTAGCTTTACTGAAGCCATCCAGCCATTTCCAAAACTCCATAAAAATGCCACAGAGATGCAATTAATGATTTCACCTCCCTGGGTGAAGGAATGTTTCTGGAGGCTTTGATTGTGTCAGCTTACCTAACATGAAATCTAGGCGGACTTTTTTCAACAATTACAGGCACAGCATAGTGTTGTATCCTCAAAAAAGGCTTATCCTCAGTTTTAGTTTTCTTCATTGTTATCAATATGATTTTACCATTTTAGTTTGTAGTGTTACATTGATTTTAAACGTAATGACATGTTTTATGTTTGCAGTAAGGTACGATAAGTCTTTCTAAAAGCCAAGTTGTGAAGCTCCAGAGCACAAACAGTGAATTTCAAAGCCAACATTTATACTATGTTGGGTTAGCAGTAGTTTTCAAGTCAAGTCCTCGAGCCCCTCCATCCTGCATATTTTGGATGTTTCCCTGCTCCAACACACCTGATTCAAATGATCAGCTCGTTATTAAGAGCTTGATAACGAGCTGATCATTGGAATCAGGTGTGCTGTGTTATTAGAACCACTGGGTTATTGTGCATGAAGTCATTTTAGGGGACAGTGAAAACCGCCTCCAGGTGGCAGTGTTTCCCCATTTTAAATGACCCGCTGATTTTCTGAGGTGATTAAGCACCCATTTTGTAACAGGAATTATCATATTATACAAAGGTTTAAAGGGTATAAATATGTGCAGTTTTGATGCAGTTTTTACATTCAGTTACAAAAAGCAACAAACACCCATGCTTTTACTTCAACTTTGCCTCTTCATAGTCTCATAGTAAGGTATTCTTATGCCCAATTTGTGGGATTTATTTTTATAATGCGAGTACCTTTGCCAGAAGAAGTCTGGGATTCGGTTAGCGTGTTGGGTAACCGAGTCAAGTCAGCAGACGGTCTAGCATCTGGCTTACATCTTCCACTATCTGATCCATGCAGGAACAAACAGGGGTGAAAGACAAATGTCCGCATGCTAGATGAGAAAATCTGTTTTCCAGCATCTGTTTGTCAATGTCGTATGTCACAGTGATGAGTTTCTAAAGAGAGGGGGTGTATCTGTTCCTCATGCTCTGCTTTGTTTACGTACGCCACTTTGGCTTAAGAGTGAGGGAATGTGTGTGCGTGTGTGTGTGTGACCGAGACAGAAAAGACCTCACAGTGTATTTCATCCCAAGGTCACTTATGTTTTCACCAGGTGTCTCTCTTTCAGTAAAGTCGAGCCCTGGATTAATGAAAGCGAGACCTCCTGAATATGAATCCTCTCCATCAGACGACTGACTATGAGGCAGAGTGACAGGCCATATTCACAATCAGTCACCTTAATGATGCTGCGGGGAAACGAAGGTTTCCATATGCCCATGTCCTTACCTATTATGATGAATAAGAGTGATCTGGAGTCATGTTGATGGAAAATCAGCCCATTAAAAGGGCAGCCTGGCTCTGATCCATCAGCGCTCTAATCACCACCAAGACCAGTATTGATTCATTCAGAAAGTGCCCTGATGAGGAAATATAGCGATAATATGAAAAGTGCATTTGTCAATGTCTTAATGAATCTTATTTATGGCGAAGGGTTTGTGCATAATATCTTACCATCCAAGTCTACTTTTATATCTGCGGCGACTCTCTATTATCCTGCAGTCATGGCCACGTCAGTGTTCATTCTCAAACACTGAAAATATGCCTGAACGGTGTGAAATTTTCAGCTTATTCTTATGCTATTATTTTTAGTTATTTCTGTTTTTTCACCGTTATTTACCAGGTGGAACTTGTTGAGTTTGAAATTCAAGATATAGATGAGCACAGCACATATAAACAATACAAAGACGTGATTGTAATGCGAAGAGAAATGGATAGTAAACATTGGAACATCAAAGACTATCATACATTTTTTGTCAGAACATCTTCAGCATGATGTGCTTGCCTCCAAAGGTTCTTTTACACAAGCACTCCTGAAATTTTCTGGAAGTTTCCAGGATCCTTTTTTCCAAATGTGTCTTTAGTGATATTCCCTGTCATATTCTCACATCAGCTCATCGTGAGCAGAAACGGCGCACATAGACATTTCAGCTGAAGTCAGGGTCAAAATTTTACTGTTTTTATTCACACGTGCATCACACCCTGAAAATTTTGGGAGTTTTACAGCTGTTGTAACTTTTCCCAAGTTCAGTTCTTACTTCATGAACAGTCCGGGAAAGGCCAGAGACTCAGTCCCATCAAACACGTGTACACAGCTTACAGTGATGAGTGTTGAACCGCAGTGCTCCATGAACCAGCGTCCAGATCATGTAGGCTTTGAGTAGAGGCCTGCATCTTCAAGACATTATCATCATTAAGCACAGACTAAAAACTGGCAGTACCCAAGCTCTTTTGGACTCTGTAGAAAAATAAAATAAGAGGAAAACAAAAAGGCATTTATAAAAAAAAAAAACCTTTGAAGAGTAAATCTTGTTTTGTCTGCTTTAGAAACAAGTTTCAAATCAGAAAATTGACTTGAACAGTGATGAAAGCAGGCTGTAACTGGATTTACTGAAACAGTAAATAGAATTTCTGCCCACATGATTCACATAAATGACCAATGAATCAAGAAAATACTTCTGTTATTAAGAAATCCTGTGACATCAACCGTATTAGCAGACAATTTTCTACTCCTTTGTATTAATGGAACACCTGACTCCAATGACTCATGCTGGACTCTTTCCGTCGGTCCAAGGCGCTCCCAGATTTCCTCTCCCTACTCCGGTCCCAGGGGGGTGGGGGCGCGTGCATCCTGTATTCTGTCAGAGCTGGACTTTTTGGATAGGACTTCCCCTGTTTAGTGCAAAGACGAACAGTCAGAAGCCGCCCACCTCTGCCCAACCCTCATTTGGTTATGACCGAAACGTTATGTCAGCTGGAGGGATGGTGGGTTGAATGACTGGGGGTGCTTTGCTCTGTGATATTTCCTCCTGTGATGATGCTCAGATAGTCATCTGGCAGTTGCTGCTTTCTCTGCAGGAAATAATAGGGGTCACCCGCGATGGGAGCTATTCTGTACCTACAGGGATGTTGTATTTGCCAGTTTGGAATCGTTCTTCAATAGGAGTGTACACAAGGCACCTTTCCCTTAGAGGATTAGTCATTGTTGATATGTTAGCAGTTGTTTTTAATGACAAACCCTAACCAAATGTTGACCCAACTCTCCAGCCCTTCTTGTATCCTCTTCCAGCTCAATATCTTTTTATTTTGTTTAAGTTTCACTGGTTTTATGAATCCCTTTTCCCGCTTACATGGCAGCAGCGGAAGTTAAAAAGGTGATGACTTACTGTAAACTAGCCACCATGCGTCAAACGGCAAACTGACCAAAACCCTTAACAAATAAGAAAGAATATTTAAGCTCCTGTAATGTCATGTCTTTGATACTTATCGCACAAAGATGTGGTAATGTTTGAATAATGAAATTCCAAATGACTGAAATTACACATTGGGACATGACAAAGTACAACTGACAGATGCTAACATACTTTATACACATACTCAACCCCGAAGCTCCCACATAGGTTCATGTTGACCTCTCAAAGCCCAACACTGGGAATCAACACCAATGCGAAGGGACACATGCAGGCGGGGGAGACGTGGGAAAACAAAAAATCATCAAATTCCAAATCTGTCATACGATTTTAAACTACAATCCACATCTGCCTTTCGCAACAATCTTTTAATGACCTCTCGCTACCTCACAGAATAAAAGCAGTCATACAATCATCCGTTTGAGAATTTCTTTGTAATGAAAGTAGGGATTTGTTTTCCCCAGATTTTTCTTAATTTTTTTAATTTTCTGTCCTGAAGAGTTGACTCATGAAATATGATTACCTGTGCCTTTGTAGACTGCCTCAAGTGGACACTTGAGGAACTGCAGTTTTTAGCACTTCCTCATCAGCTTCATGTCTCTAGGCTGGAGTGTGCTGCTTGCAAATGATGCTGGCTTATGATCTAGTTTTTTGATAAGTGCTTTGTTTACTTTGTGCTGTGAAGGCTGCAACTTTCTGATTTCATCCAGGCCCAGAAGTGGAGAAGACTCACACGATCTGTGTGGAGAGTCACTCCAGACGTGCTGTAAAATTGTCTTGCTGTCCCAACTACTGACTACCTAAAATGCACCCCTGTAACTTGTGTGTGTAGCATGCATGTGTGTGTTTGTCCTCATGCTTATGAAAGAAATAGAGATAGTTGCCATAGAAAGATACTTATCCTTGAAAAATGAATACCCTACTCATGCCTGCGGGATATCGGAATAATACCAGACAGCAAAACTGCAGCATGGATACAGAGAGCACACACACACACACACACATTGACAGACACACAAACACAGGTTTACTCTGTCATCTACGTTTCTAATGGGCCCGCCAGTCTTACTGAAAAGGCAAATAGCTCCTGTGAATTCAACGTGCCCACACTTAGAGTTCGCGACAGTATTAGATATTCCCTGAGGTCCTTCTCTGTTTTGTTGATTATATTTTTGTTATTTTATCATTGGCCTATAGGGCTTAAAAACCTCATGTAGCCTAATCAGGTCACTGTGTGCTCTTTCCGCTCAGGCACAACACAGATATGTTTTTTCTTATCCATCCCATCATCACTGCTGTCCAAAAGCTCAAGAGAGCTGCCAAAGCCCACAAGGTGGAAACTTCAGAGGAAGAACTCTTTCATTACATGATGTTTTTTTAAAAAAAAGTCTCTCCATATCTGTGTAGATCAGTAAATCAGATGCATTCTATCAGATAGTTCATAAATTGCAGCAGGCCACAAGCCAGAACAAAGAATAATCCGTCCAAATTGTACAAATGGGTGTAAACTCATAAAGCGGTGTTTTATTGTGCAGCCTGGGGGTGGAGGAGTGGAATACAGCTCCAACATAAACAAATGCTCAGAATGATTTGTGCTGAACAGACTCAGTGACACAGAAGTCTGGTCTCTCCTTTTATCTCCTCTCCTCTGAGTGGAGCTTCATGTTTGTGTATCCCTGTGTGTCCTCCTCTCCTCTTTTTGCCTTGATGTATTGAACCTGAAAACGGTCCTGAGACACAGGAGCAGGTCACATGAGTGGAAATACCTGCTTTTAATTCTGCTTTTTATCTGGCTTACCTTTATGATTCACATAACTGACTGGGCCTATTCATAACAACTCCTGTCAGTGTGTTTGTGCGGTGCTGTTTTATAGCTAGATGATGTTTTGATTTTGAACTGGACTTGTGAATTAGCTCTGGTACAACAGATCAAACAGCAATATTTATGCTTCATTTTGTACATGCCCTAAATACCCAGGTATATTAAATTAAATACACAAAAATGAATACCTCTATTTGCATCTTGTTTTGGGAAATTCATTATATTCACTTGTTTTCAGTGCGACAATTAATTATCAAATGTCTGAATGCAAATTTTTACACATAAGGATCCTATCAGGGTGATTAGGACCTCGACACAGAGAAGGCGAGCTGCTCTCCCTGCAGGAGCTCTAATTCCCATAACCACTTTGTCATTATACATTGACCTGCCTACATGGTTGGATTTACTTTCTAGTGATCAAAAACTTAAAGATACTCTTATGAGCTCTGCCATCGTAACCTGGATTGCAGGACAGGATTTTACTTTCCAGAGAGTTGGGATCAAGCACCTTTACATCCATATCAGATGACTATTATGATAATCCAAGTCTCAACATCGGCCTGAGATGGGGTCATTTTTACCACAGTGTCAACAGGCAGTTGTAAAACATGTTGGACTCCTTTCTGTGAATTGATTGTTTGACTGTCGGCACAGGTTGATCAGATCTGTGGCTTTACGTTGAAATTAGGGGTGTCCCAATCTAGCTTTTTTACCTCCGATACCATACCGATGTTGTAGCCTTCAGTATTGTCCGATACTGATATTGATCCGATATTAGTACAAATTTGTGCGTGATAAGTTTTGCACTCAGCTGCAACATCTTTTTCAGACTTTAATGAAAAATACTCCCACATGGCTGACATCACTCCTACTCCTTGGTACTTTGTTAGTACATTAGTACACACTGTTGTTGTGATCACATGCGCTCTGCATGCTGAATGCGGGCGCTGCTAGATAGAGGTGCTGGAGCGGAGTCTGGAATGGACTGCTTGTATCAAAGTGCTGATATCTGAGGTTTTAGATGCAGGCCGATATAATCCGATATTTGACTTTTTGTTTATATTGGACCAATATCCGATATCAATGTTGTATTGGGAAACCCCTAGTTGAAATATGGCCCAATTTGCTCTTGATTTCCACTACGTTGTCTCAGAATTAAAAACTGGCCTGCAGTAGACTATGACACATTTGACCCTTATTTTACTTAAGCGCCCTTGTCTCACCTTTTAAGTGTAACAGTTACTTGTTGTGAAGAAAAACATCAATGCGCCAGACTAAACCGCTTTCCCGCTGCACAAACAGCTCCTGTTTTGTCTGATTCACTCTGTCTCCACATATCAAGGTTGCTGTACCTCTAAGTTGCCTTCTGGGAAATTCTTCCTGAACAGATAACAGAGATAACCTTTAAATGGTCTCATGATTGTGGGAGCATCCCTGGTGCATATTGACCCAGAATGCAGATGCATGAAACACTCTTTTGTCTCTGTATAAAGAAACACATGATCAGCCGTTTTCTGTAAACTCTGTGTTAATATTTCCAGTTCAAGCCTACGACCAGGTGTTTGAAAGAAGACAGAGAGACTATTTTCTCTTCTTGAAGGAAGCAGACTCTCAAGTTTTACCCACATTTGAACTTAGTCCACATCCCAATCACCATCGCTATCCTGTGGTTTAATGTGCCACCGAAGGAGTGATGAGAAAAACAGAAAAATCACGAATCTCTGGCAAACCTATACCAGAAACGCCGTTAAATTACATCTTCCAAGGTTCACGCTACTATGTAACTCTTTCAAGACTGATCATCATGTCTCTTTAAACACCTTTCAGAGCACACAAAAGTCAAAACAAAGTATTTAATGTTAAGTGATGCTGCTTTTCTTCTTTGGTGGCCTGACCAACTACAAAACAAGAAATGTGAGCAACTGTATGTAAGTAGTCTGTGTTGCACTTTCAGCAAAAGCAAACCACAAGCTGAAAAAAAAGCCTGTGTTGGAGGCATCTCGGCATGAAAGGATGGTGTGTTTTCACGTTTTCAAGAGGACTGTTAGCTGATCTTGAATGAATCAAAATTAGTCAGCAAAGAGAATGAAAGAAAATGAAGTAGAATTACCCCAGTGTGTTGATAGATCACCTGGTTTTCCTAATGTTGACTTGGAAAATTGAGTAGTTTTATTATCCGAGTGCAAATAACCTGTAATTCATTCCATTAATCTGCCATACACGCTCAGTCTTTAATGCTCACTGTAGATGTTTCTGCACGAACTGAAAGCTTGCAAATGAATTCAAGACAGAATTTAATTAGAGTTAGAAAAAAAACACTAAAATCTGTTGCATGCTCTCTCCCAAAATGTCCATATAATAAGACAGAGGGAAATTGTTTGTAGGCCAAATAACTTGCATAGAGACCAAGTCTGAACAATCTGGCAATAGAAAATTCATATTATGTCTTTGAGAAAATGGCACAGGAGCATTTTTCAAACAAAGCAACTCGTTTTCCCCTCTTAATAACAATACATATAACTCAGCAGGCCACAGTGTAATATTGTTAATGAGGACAGCAGGGTCTGATTTTAAACTGAACCTGAGCCAGACACCCCCCCCCTCAGTCAGCCGAGCCTCAGCAGTTGGCGCGTGACGGGCGTAAAAAGTTGTTTTTCTGCTTTGCCTTGTCACATAAAGGCACACATGGTGTAATCTTTTGCACATATTGACCAGTTTTGTATTAGTCACTGATATTTTTCTGTGCTTCAGTTGTCAGAATTATCCACGCGATGCCTGTTTTCACTGAAGTGATGAGAGATGAGACTATTTTCCAGTGGCTGCTTTTATTGCTTGTGTACAGAAATCAGCCCTTTTGTTTTTTGGAGTTAATAAGCCTGTTTGAATTTTTTATTTCCCCTGTGGCGGTGCTACCTGTCAGCTCCAAGTCCAACACCGTAAATCTGCCGTGTTGGGAAAAATACTTGACGTGTAACTGTGACTCAGCTGTAAAGTGTGACAGGAGGAGCAGGAGTCGGTTTACACTCATTGGTTTCATGTGGAAGGAGGCAGCTCACTGATCACAGGGCTCATGTGAAGACGGCTATAATCTAATGTTCACTCAAAACTGGACCCACAACAAACAGTAAAAACCCTCAGATTGGACAATTTAATTAAAATAAGTTATGAAACCTCCTTTTATGCCCCAGTCTGCTTGATAAATAGCTGTTGGGGGTTTGGGCAGTGATACAAGGAGAGACTAGCTGTCTGCCTCTCAAATACAACAGAGCTTCCCCCAGTCCTGCATGATTTGGATGTTTCCCTGCTCCAACACACCTGATTCAAATGATCAGCTCGTTATCAAGCTCTGGAATGGCTTAATAACGAGCTGATCATTTGAATCAGGTGTGTTGGAGCAGGACTGGACTTGAGAACCACTGCATTAATGGTTCTTATGAAAACTGACAACATTAAAAGTTTTAAAAAGAGAAATTCAGAAAGAGTAATAGGTTACAGTCATTATTCTGACTTCCTGGTTTGTTGATGTAACAACATTCGTGTGAAAATAACTATTTCGCTCCTCTACATGATTCATGGTCCGTTGCTCAAGCACTGAAAGTATGACAACACATAAACCATTTTCAGTCCGCACCTTCTCTGTGGATGATTGTTAATCTCTGAGTCACAGCTGCCTCGAGGGACGTCCGGTTGAATAACATTTGTTGTGGCTTCTCTGGGACCGCTGCAGCTTCCCGTTACTCTGATACTGCCATCAAAGAGACTGAAACACCTTTAAAGACTTTGTGTCCTTTTTAAAATGTTGCATAACGAGATTAACAATATAAAAGTTTCACTCCAGGTTTTTTTTCTCTGTATAGTATTACAAACCATCTTAATGTGCTGTTTTAATTAAGTTTCAGTTGTCTCCTGAATGCTCCAGTTTAACCAGACTTCTGTTATTGCCAAGATACTCCTCAGATTCATCCCGCAATAAATCACAATAAATGCAAGCACTGAAAGATAAAGAGCAAATATCAGGGTCATATTTTTGGAGTTGTTCCCACCCATCATTCTCGTATTTGACTCTGCAATAAGTCTCATGGTGTGCCTACGACCCAGAGAGGTGGGTGGGACCTGGTCTGTCAAAACCAAATGGATATTGCCTCCACTCCCACAACTTGATTAGACTTAAAAAAGGTAACTTTTTCATAAAACCAGGTCCCATCAGGCTAAATGGCCAGCATAACAAAGGAAAAGTACTCTGTATACACAGGCACTGAATTGGTTGCACTCTGCTGATGTCATTGTCGAATAATCAAACAACAACACAACCTACGATGCAATCAAACCAACAGATGTTTGTTTTCAACATTATTGTCATGTTAAACACACTGTTTGTTTTTCCAATCCAAAATCTGATTTTTATTTCTCATTCATTTTAAACTTCACTTGTCTGCTTTTGTTTCATGTGCGGGGGAAAAAATATTGCTTAACAAGCAATCACTGACAAAGACATAATTTCATATAAAACCACAACTCTGGCATCTCTCTGAGTCGACTTCTCCCAAGCGGTTTCTAACCCCAAACAGGGTCCAAGGATTTTTAATACAGCCCCCAACACCATGACAGTTGATGTTTTGAGCTTTGTGTTTACTTGACTACATGGGCTGTTTTCTCACACCACTGTGTATTTTCTCCATTAACATTCGCGTGAGGCAGAGGAGAAGGAAAGCAATCTATGATGGACACAGGGAATGAAGTATGGCAGTTGGGAGGGAGAGAAAACAAGTAAAATTCTGACAGGAGATTGGAAGAAAGTGCAGCTGGTGGAGGAGTGATCCTGTCCAAATCGCTGTCACCCTTTTCGCTCCCAGTGCAGCTCTGTCCCCTTTACAAGACTCAGAGTTGGATGTGTGCATGTGTTCATCATGTGTGTGCTCAGCTTTTGGTTTGGTGCATAAAATCATTAGTTTTTGCATGTGTGGCCCGCACATTGTTGGTGGTCAAGCTCAGTAACAGTAGAAGATGAAGTAGGCCGGTATACTCTCATGGTGTTATTCGTCTGTTTGTTTGGCCTACATTTTCCTGTCTGCTGCTTTAGCTGTTGTGAAAGCATGTTTTTTTTTTCTTAATACAAAGGAAACCCACAAGTATTCTTAGCAGTATAAGCGCCCCATTCAAAGAGGCTATAGTTCCTGTTGCTGTGGTCGCTAGTTAGAGTCCTGTTGCTGCTTGCTTTCCCCTGCTCTCTGTTACCTTAGTTTAACATTGTGTGTAGGAAGGCAAACATAAAAAGGCCATGTAACTGTACTTTAACAGCGACTAATCAGCTGTGTGATACGGCTGGGCGATAAACCCAAAATTTACTGATACTGAAATTTACGACAATAATCAATGTCATTTTGCCCATATTGGTATATTCTGTGCAGTGTTGTTTTGGTTGACGATGATGTTGACAAAATATTTCGTCGTCATCGTCAACAAAAACAACACTGCAGAATACATGTTTTGCGTTTGACTGACGAAATGCTCATGAACACCTTGTTCGTCGTCCACCACTAATGTTTTCGTCTAGTCTCGTCTCATCAACGTAAACGCACATTCGTCTTGTCACATTTGTGTCATCTAAGACTTATGTTTAGCTCGGGGCGTTGACGAAATATTTTCGTCAATGAAAACAATACTGATTCTGTGTCAAAAAAATGTTAAATAAAAATTGGTTTTGGGTAGGCTATGGTCTCATGTCCCTTTAAGATGCTGTCCTATGTCAGAGACGTGACTCCACCCCATCCAGTCCATAACAAAGAGGGAAAGACAGGTAAAGAGATGGAGGACAGTTCAAAAGTTGTAGCGGCTGGAGCGGCAGCTGAAGTAGACGAACTTAATGTGGGAGGGGGTGAGCAGCTTGTAGAGTAGTTATCCTTCATTTATCGATATCGAGGTGAACTGCTCAATATATCGTGATATTGATTTGAGGCCTTATTGCCCAGCCCTAGTCAAAGGTGCTACATAAGAAAAAGACTTATTGTTAAGGTGTGGCAGTTCTTATTTATTGCCACGATCAATTACATGTAGGGGAAGCCTGATCTTATATAGATTCCATTTAACTTAAGACATTTAATGTAACTTTTCTGATTCTCAGGCTATGAGAAGTAATGGGTCTTATCAGTGTCATGAGTTTGATCAAGCTGCAAAAGGAAAATTAGCAACACGGGGTGTCTGTTTACTCTTAAAACAAATCTAACACATGCCATAAGAGAGAATGAGCTTTCCCTCCTAGAAAAGTTTCCAATGCCAAAGGAGAAAATAGTTTCCAGCCAAAATGTCACCCTGTCATTTATAGTAATAATTACAATACCATGTCTCTGTATTCCCAGTAGAACTGTGTGTGGGCTTTGAAGCTCCAGCGTTTTTTTTGCCTGCGTCTGCCTCTGTGTGTGTTCGTAAATGCGTCTTTGAATGATTAAGATGAAATAGTAACCTTAACTATCTTATCCCACATTAAAGAGAGCTGCAGGAAAGCTGCTGACCTCAAAGTCAAACTCATTACTCACCGCTGAATGCTGATGAGTTATCATTTGATTGAGCCGCGGCATCTGTCGGTTAGTCTTTCCCTCACACACTCGCTCTTCCTCAGAATCCACACGAACATGCACACACACAAAGACACACACACACACGTCATCTAGCAGACATGATGGTGTTTTTTTCCATATTTTTTCTTCACACCCTCCCCACAGGTGTCCTGGTCCTATTCCCTTACTGCAGTAATAATAATAACAAAAATAATAATTGATAACACAGAACAGGCAGATCCAGCCAGCATGTGCTGATTTTTGTTCTAACCACAAAGCGCTGACGTGATTTTTCTGCCTTTTTTTCCTGTCTGCATTATTTTGATGTGTGTGCGTGCTCTCGCCTGTGCTCTTGGCCGACTCGCTTGTGTGTAAGCCACTACTTTCCCACGTTGTAGAGTAGGGTCTCCCACAGGCCTCCCTCCATGTCTTTCTCTTTCTCCTCTCTTTTTCTTTACTTCCCCCTCTCCTTTTTCTCTCTCTCTCTTCAGTCTCTCCTCTCTCTCCCCCACTTTCTCTCTCCTCCTCTCTGCACCTGTACTCAGCGCTGCAGCCCCAGCTGCTCCCATCTCAGCTCAGCGATGTTGGCTAGAGCCCATGTTGCACTTGGCATGTCCTCTGAGACCCTGGGGCCACACTTGACGTGCGAGGGCCAGGCGGGCCCCCGCCCAGGGAAGGCTGGAAGCAGACGGATGAGAGAAGGGCTGAGGGCTGGAGAAAGACCTGCTGGAATTTCTGGGAGTAAAACGCTGACTCATTGTTGGGCCTGCCGGGTAGGAGACAGAGGAAAGGCATGAAAAGATGTTTACAGAAATGACAGATGTGTTCTTTAGGAGTTATCTTGCAGGATTTACTGTAAGTGGCGAGACAGTATTCCTGGTACTCTGATGTAAAAAAGTATCAAACAGTATTGGATTTAGTTTGAAGCTCCTTAGAGATGTTCTAAGCTAGTTATGGAGTTTGTTAGTTGTTTTTGCCCAACATCCACTTAGCAGCTATGACAAGCATTAAAAATGACCATTTAGCATGGTAAAAGCCCACTTTTCTGCTTCATGGTTTCACTCCTTTAATTTCATTAAACAGTCACCAGAAGAAAAATTCCTGACAGTGCACAAGCTAACACACAGTTTGGAAATCAACTCTATGTTTCTCACTCTGTTGCCTGCAGTACAGACGCAGATACTCAGTACAGGTATGTAAGGAATAGCGAGAAAAATAGTTTCCTGGTTACGATTTGACCAGGTGTTGTCTATGTGTGGGAAAAATACAGGTAGTTTGTTGTTGATTGCAAAGTCTTCTTCTACTACCATTATGTGTGTATACCTCTAGACAACGATACAAGCCATCACGATGTCAAACAATTAGAGCCAATAACGGAAAGCGCCCTCTGCTGTTTAGGAAAGGGTATTGCAGTTTATTTTTTATCTCACTTGAGAACGTCCCAAATGTGTACCGAATGTTTAACTATTGCTACATCATTTCAAAAAAGTGTTTGTTTGGATTCTCCTCAGTATAGATTCACAGTGAGTGATATATTTGGTTGTGAAAAGACAGCGGGAAGAGTTGTTCTTAAAGAAATGCTCGCACGCATGTACAGGATAAGCTAGGCCGAGGTTAAGAGATACGGTGAAGTCCACAAGACTGGCACAAATCAAAAGTTGAAGTTGAAGTTTAATTCAAGTATATCTAACTAAACTCTTACTATTTTATTTTGGCCGTAGCTCATATTGTTTGTGATAGTATTCTCTCCAAAGACATTGTTGGAATCCGAAAACATGGCGTCATCGCTTCAGTGGACATTCATAAATCAAGTTTGAGCATTAAGTTCGTCAGACAGCTTGTCGACAATCCAACAATTCAGTCAAATTATCTTACAATTTCCTTTGGGATAGTATCCTAAAATCACCAAAATTGTTCTCTTAAGCTTGATGGATGACAACAGCCGATAGTTGGGGTCATAGATTTAATGATCCTTTTGTTTTCATGTTTTTAATTTGTATCAAAGTCTGACTGCTCGTGTTTCTTTCCACATCTGAGCAGACATCATGTTCAGATCAAAACCCTTGTGCTGTTGATTACAGTTTTATTATTGCCAAGAGAAAGGACCAAAGAACTACCAAAATCAATCCCAATTCATATTTTATCCGGAGTAACCTTTAACTTTTAGTGACACTGGGAAACCCCGCCAATGGTGTGCGTATAACCTGAGGCTTTTTTAAAGTTAAGCTGGAAATCTTAAAGCAAAGCTGTTAAGAAATTACAGATGATGCTGCTTTAAGTAACGAAACGCAATGTAATGCACGCCACTCAATGTCAAGTCTCGTCAGCTTACATATGTCAGAAGTTTGGTAACAATTACCCCCAAAAAAGGAAAGGAAGAAGCAAAATACCCAGCTTCAAAATAACAAACACTTCCTCATTTCCCCCTGATATTTACATCAGCTTTATATGTTGTTTACCATTTGTGCTCATTAGCAGATGTTAGCTAAACTAGTGTGGACATCAAACCCTAAGCTAGCATAGCAATGCAACCAGTGCAACACAATACAATGCAATGCTAGCACAGAAGGCTACCTTGGACTGTATTTCAGATTGGTAATAACTCAGTTAACTCCAGTTTCTGTGGGACTGCCACTTGAAGCAGCAGCATGTTAACTGAACCCAAACTTTGTCCTAAGCCCTGTTGGAACCGGCAAGATCAAAGCTAGTTAGCCCACTACAGGAGGTGACATGTAAGGCAACAATGCTGAGTTGAAGGTGGCCTTAGAAAAGTCTCTACTTGAAGTTGTTTGGCGGAGAGGTTTGTTTTCAAAAATGGAATCAAGACGTGAACATATTTATAAGCGGGTGTTTGTTGCTCTGAAATGTAACACTAGTTGTTGTCGAACTACTCTTTTCCACGGCCTTATGACTCGCAGTATCTTAAACTAATGACATGCATGTGTGCTGTTGTGAAAAAGACTGCAAGAGTTTCCAGTGCACGCTACTTTTCTTGTCTTACGTGTTTGAGCTTCTTGGATTATAAAGCTTCTTGGGTTCCCCATATTCCAATTAAGTATTAAATCTCACATTTCAGTGCCAAGCAGGATGTTTTGGTATAGCTGAAAATGAATACATATGTATATAGCATTTAAGTCAAGCTTGTTTTAATTTTCTTCAGCATGTAGTGAAATAAACTCCATTAAATTTTAGAATACATTTTGGCAGCAGACTCAGTTCCATAAATCTGAACTGCTGTTATCCATTTGTTTTTACCACATAGGTTGGCTGTGTGTCCTTGTGTATGTAAGCGTATACTGGCAGGGAAAAAAAAGAGGACAGGGAGGCGGATATTAAAAATTCGGATTCCTCTCTTCTCTTGTTAGCTTTCCCACTATTTCTCTTTCCCTGTCGTCGATCTGGCAGACATTCTCTGCCCTTCTACCCCCCGGCCCAGGAGGGGGTATGACACACGCGGACTCGCAGACCTTTAAATCTGCTCTGTGACGGCTCAGTCCCGCTCTGTCAGGACCCAAAGAAAGAGAGGAAAATCTATGATCGGGGCCAGGAGAAAGAGGAGAGGAAATATATTTCTCCGGGCTTTGTTTGGCAACACTAAGATTAGATTCAATAGCAAGACATCAGTCAAGTGGTTGGCCAACAGGCTATTGTGCAGTAATTGACCCTGATGAAGTGGTGAGCCTTTAATTTGGGAACAGTGTAATCGGTTGGGATTGATAACTTGGCCATAAAGTCTAAGCCTCTCCCTCCCCTTGTTTTCTAAACCTTTAATCTTATTTTCGATAACAGTGTTGAAATACTCACAGAGAGTATACGTACAAATACATGTTTGGATTCTGGATCACATTTAAACCTTTTTTTTCCCGCTGTGTTTTTCCTCCAGGTACCATTATCCTGTTCCTAAGATCTTCTATGTGCAGCTGTCTGTGGGGAGTCATGAGTTTATCGGCGAGGGGCGCACCCGCCAAGCAGCCAGACACAACGCTGCCATGAAGGCCCTGCAGGCGCTGCGCAACGAACCAATCCCTGAACGGCCTCCACAGGTAAACAAACACATAAATACAAACAGCTGATTGTTGGTTTAGACCAGTGAAACCCAAAGGTCTCTTCTTTGACCGCTTTGTGGATTCATGAAAAGGATCATGAAAAGGATCAAAGAATCCCCCCCTGCAGAGTTTGTAAATGCAGATGCTAAGATGAGTGTCTAACCAGCTTTCTTGAGATTTAATCCCAATCCACTTCAGCTCCTATTACCCTAATGTATGATTTAAGCCTTTCTGTCTCCGTAGTGAAGTTGACACCTGGCTCCAGAGCTTTTTTCTCCTCCAGGTCTCTCCTTACATTGTCCTTTTACTTTCTGCCTCCTCCCAATGTCACTGTACCTCTCCAAAGTTTCCCCCTCAGGCATGGCTGTTAACTGTTGTTATCGTCTCCCACCGGAAATCAAATTACCCCATATCCTCACCGCCTGGCATCGCTGATGGTTATTCAAAACGCTTTGGCTCTCCTCACACGCCTGACTCGCTGTCTTGTGGCGTCGGCCCGCATAAATACGCTCTTTGTTTGCCGCTGCTTCTGACTCCTGCTTTACAAATTGAGGAACATTGTGTCTACTACGGTATACGTCTGTCATGCTGTCTCCATGTGAGTGTGTGTACGCTCTTGTGTAAATGTGGAGACACCCTGGAGCTAATAGTGTTCTTGTTTTCTGTTATTTTTTTTTCCAAAAACCACAACCTGTCAATCCTTTGATTTAAGGAAGACCACAGGTTAATATCAGTGGCACTCGGATTGTGTTGTGTTTATACAACGATAGAGCAATAATGTGTAACCCTAGAAAGCACAAATTTTCATGCCTTCAAGCTGTAAAGATCTAGTCTGGAAACTGGTGACTAACCTTTAAATCCCTTCCAGTGAGACAAGATCCTGGTGATTAGATATTAAAGCTTTTATTTCATAACATATCCCTTGTTATCTGGAGAGACCACCTACTCACTGAAGACATCAAAAATGAGACACAAAAGTTCATTTGGTCATGATTGTATGAATTTCAATTGATCATATTCCTTCTGCAAAAAGTCTTTAGACTTTCAGTGGTCTGCTATAGACAAACATTAGACTGTACCATACTAATAGACAGTGTCTATGTCAGTGTGCATGTATTCTGATATCTCCATTGTATCATTGTTTGCTTAAGTCATACTTCCTCATGATTTCTCTCTGTTATATCTGCAATACCGTTCACTGTTCTTATTCACTTGTTGTTAATTACTGACATTCTTTCCAGCCCCTCGTGTGTCTCATGGAGATGTTTGCATTGCCTTCATGTCTGCTCCAGAGAGACAGATGTCACCTGGTCTGTACATGTTTCCCAGTGACAGGGAGCTGTGCATCACTACACAAAAGCAGACGCATATTTAATAAAGAAATTAGACAGTATACAATCTGTAAACACATATACTACTGTCTTCTGGATTAACATATATTTTTGGGCTCATTATTTTGCAGAAAACCTCAATTAATCTCTTTCATGAATATAACTGCTCCCAGTTTGTGAGGCTGAAAATCAAAAGTTAGAAAACAAACCAGCTTGGGGTACCCAGGTATCACTATTTAGTGTTCTTGTATTGAAACAAGTGTTCCTGTTTTTTGATTTTTACTGGAATCACATCGAAGTCCAAAATCCTGGTCTGGTAACAAGTCTCCAGTGTGGTGTATTTTTATACCTCACCAATATAATGTTTAAAAAAATATCCCGATAACAATATTACAAGTTCATAAATCCTACTTATAAACACAGTTAAGTAACATGTCATCATCCATTTATTGTTGTGCTCGAATTTATGGTTTATCCACATCATAGGGCGGTCAGCTGAAACTCTTTTAAAAAAAACATTGCCACATAAACGATTGTCTGGCATGCTTTTATTTTGATAATTTGTTGTCTTGCATTTAGATAGTATGGTAAAAGATGGAGTAAAGCTGTGCTTTTAATTTGAAATGCAAGCCATCCCTGGTGGATCTAAAGTTCTACCAAAGCAAATCAACAAAAAACAACAACAAAAGAACATCATCGGAGATGACAGTGGCGTAGATGAATATTGATTAACGAGGCATATTAAATGTTTAATTGAGTCATGTGTTGGGAGCTATTTCTTGCATTTTCCTCTTCAAAGATTCCAATGAGTGATACTCTTGACTCCAAAAATAGAAAGCAGGAGGAGATTATTTGTTTGGAAAGCTACTCTCATATTAACAGAAGGATGGGAAAGGGACATTATGATGCTTTAGGATCTGGGAAACATTTCCCTCCATGAAGAATCTAAGACTTGGTTTGTTTTGTCAGTCCCATCATCTCATCTTCTGATGAAGACTCCTTTCGTCATGCTCATGGATATAAATGTGAATGTGAAGCCTTCTGTCCGCCCACAGTCACTGTTTATTCACGCAACCCCTTCAGGGCGAGAGTTGATGTCTCACAACGCTCCGAGTTATTCACGGGCTTCTGCTTTCCCAAGGACTCTCTGTTCAGCAGATCTGTAAAGAAGGGGAGGCTCCAAAATTAGAGCTGGCCCTCTGTTTGTCTTAGTCAAAGGAAGGTTGCTGTTCTGCTCGGTCATTCCGGCTTGCTAAAACAGACACTTTTATATGCAGCCTTGAAGTGCAAACACATCATAAATCACACAGACATGAAGCTGTGGCCGAGGGAAATGTGGCCTTGAAAACGATCAATACATATAAGGAATCTTAAAAAGCGGTGTATGGATGAGGTGTGAGCAAGGATCTGTGGATTGACTCATCCTTGCTTCCCTCATGTGCGCACATTCGGCAGTCAATAAACGCTGGAAATGTATGAATGTCTTGGAGCTCGCAGCCACACGCCTCTCGCCACTTGGAGGTCTTTCCCCGGGTGCAGTAGGTGCATCTATCACGTGACAACGTTTCCTGTGAAATCTAAGAGATCTCTCGGTATGATTCATGCATCAGATCAGGTCGCACAATGAGGCGGGAGGAGGGAAGAAGCCCAAAGGGAAAGACAGAAGCCATTCAGACATAATCAGACAAAGAGCTGGACATGAGAAGATAAAGATCGAGAGACAGAGCTCTGCATTCCCATAGACTATCGGCACCGAAAAAGCCCTTTGGTGTTGATGATGATTTGATCTGTGTGGCATGAAGACGCTCTCCTTGCTTGAGGATTGATAGCCAGATCTAGAAATAGATAATAACCAGTCTGAAAGATCCTGGTAGATTCTGTCTGTTCACTTGGTGTTTACACAACTAAATTAAGAACAAAAAAAGAAACAAAAAACTGATCATGAGTTGAATGTTTTTCATCTGGTATGCTGTCTAACAGAAACTTAAACTACAAATCCTTCATGTGCATCCTCAAACTTTTGGAATTAAAGGGTCCAGTCAAAAAAATCTGCTTTCTTTTCTCTTTTTAAAATTTCCATCAACAGATCCATCTTTAATGCCAGATAAAAACACAAATTTGAGCCATTCAGTGTTTGTTTCTTCCAGGGAGTAGTATAAATAATGATCCAACCGTCTAAAAACAAGGATTTATATACTGGCAAATTCTTATATTTGATTGGACCACCTTTTTTTTTTTTTTTTTTTTAAACTTGATTTACAGTCCAAGGACCACCAGTCATGTCCTGGAATAAATCTTAATCCCGTATCAGATAAAGATCAAATCCAAAAACAGACGGGCCTCACGTTGCAGCTGCTTGGCTTACATCCACCCTGTTGATGTGTAGTTCTTATTTTGATCCGGGGGGCAACACTGCGCTCCCATTTTTTTTTTTTTTTTATTAAACAGGAAAGATTGAATAAACATAATTTTATTTTTATTCGTCAACAAGGATAATGAACACAACAAAAAGAGCAGGCCTGAAACACTTGTTGTGCTGTTTAACTGTGAATTTAAATTTTTGGCACTCCATTGAGACTTAAGTTTTCCTTTTTTTTCCACTTGCACCTCAGTATGTTAAGTTCCACTATGTTTGCTCTCATAATGTCATTGTAAATATAACACATAGTGACTTTTTTTCCTTGTTTTCCAGAGCCCAGAGGAAAAAGGGGAGACCGAAGAAGGCACCGACGCCAGCAAATCAGAGATCAGCCTGGTCTATGAAATCGCCCTGAAGAGAAACTTATCTGTTAACTTTGAGGTGAGACACTCGTGCTGTAAATTACACCTTGTGTTTTTCCCTGTAAGCAGTGATTGAAGATAAGGCCTCGCAGATACAGAAAGTCTGAGTACTCATGATTTACAGTGAGGGCTGGAAAAATGTCATAATGCGGTAAGTGTTTCAATAAACTTACCAGAAATTGAAGGAGTCACTCTGATAATCGTTTTTCCTCTGGTGATAAAGACAGTCATGTTTACTCAGCTTTTCCTGACTTGTTCAAAAAACGTCAAAAAAATCAGTTCGCAGGAAGTTTGGGTTGGATCATCGCGTGCAGAATTTCTATGTGTGTCAATTTCAAAATGTCTGTGGGCTGATGTGCGACATTGGTATGAGACTCAGTGTTGTGGTTTGTGGCCTGGTGACTCAGCTGATAAGAGTCTTCTATGATTCACTCTTGTATAGAAAATTAGATTATCTTATGTTTAATTAGAAATTTTGTAAGCCTGTACTCCCTCATCCAATATTTCTCCTCCAAGGACGGTTCTTGACGTGTTTTTGACCAAATTGAAAAATGTAATGAGGTTACCAGAAATCCCCAAATGTTCCTTCCTCCTGAGTGTGACACTCAAACTCATTTTAAGGACTGTATGCTGCAGTATTGTGAAATTTTTAAGGTTAAAAATGTCATGCTGATTCATTTAGATTTGGATTAGAATTCAATGTCAATGAAAAAAGGAAAAGGAAATGAAAACAGTTCATTGCAAACCCTGCAACTGTTGGAAAACCTTCAGTGATCTGACACCTTGTGATTTCTTTCCTTTGTGGAAGTGATTCAGGTCTCATGACCCGCCACCACCTTCCTGTAGAGGCGTTATTATGCTATGCTTTATTTTTTATGATTTAAGTAAAATTAAAACTCTTACATTGACATTTTCAGTTTCCAATCGCAGGTGTGTCTACAGTTCTGACAGAGATGGTTCTCTGTTTTCTGGGGCAAACGTGACTGTAAGCCCTAATCCATCAGTCCATCACCTGTATCACCTGCCAGAGCGAATCCTCAGCATGTCATCTTTGGTCGACCTTTGCCTTGTTAAAAAGCACCACTGCTTTTTTTAATACACAATTTCAATCTGATCCCACCAAGACTGCTTTCGTAACTCTTTTAGCCACTGCCCCCAACTTTTCCAAATTCATGATGTAGCCTTGTGCGTCCTTACATGACCTGCTGGGCCTGTTCCCCTTGGCCTTCGGCGTATCTCAGCTGACTCATCCAACATTCACTCCCTGATGGCCCCCTCTTCTTCTACTGCACTCTGCAAGGTGCCAAAAACAAGGGAAGCTCAGTTTACTCTTTGTGCCCCCTCCCTTCCTCCATCAAAACCCCTGCCTTCCACCTCTCCGACTATCATCTTAAAAATCACACTGAAGGGCGGATGCATGTTGAGGCTAGAAAGATGGTGTTGAGAGAAAACCAAGACAAGGACCGAAGGAGGGAGGGAGGGAGGGAGGAAGATTTTTCTTGCTGTTCTCACTCTGACTTTGCTTGCAAATAAAAGTTTTCACAACACTGAAGAAATTATCTGGAAAGCTGTCCAATCCTCCCTTTCACGCCCTCCCCCTCCTTTTGTTCATAAAAAGCATTTGTTAATCGGAGCATGACATGGCCGTCCTTCCTGGAACTACTATTAATAATTTCAGCCAGCCAAATCTGGATTGATGTGACTCATCTGTCATGTCTTTGTCACTGTCAGCAGTTATGCCACTTTCATTTTCTGTCCTTCCAAATTGGAAGCTGACAGCGGTGGGTTTTAAAAGCAGCTTCATTTCTCCAGACATCTCGCCGTTGGTGTGGAGACTGGCTGCTCGTTACTGCTGTCTAATGAGCAGTAAATCAGTGATTTCTCTCTCCTTCTTCAGTCTGTCTTTCTTGAAGATTCTGTCTTTGGACCAGAATTGTACTTGTCTTTTTGGGCTTTTGATAAAATTGATTTGAAGTGGAAAACGATTTATTATAAAGAGCTTAACATGGAATCAGTCTGCAGATGGACAATTTGAAACTGTCTGCTCGTACGAGTTGATTTCCACCTCTTCGTTTTAGTCACACCACGTTTGTTTTCTTGTGATGCATCAAAAGAAACCGAAGGTCACACCGTTTCTTCTCCCCGTTCCTGGTATCACCTACCTTTCACCTACCCCATATGGTGCCTCTGATGGCCTACAGTGGATTCACTTACATTCTCAGCATGTTGAACGCAGTATGCACTTACAGTGTCAATATGCTGCATCTGCAGATTGATTGTGAATCATGAGGAACATTTTAGACTGAAGCAAAACGTTCATCTTCAATGTGAATACCTTTCATTGAAACCGTGTTTACACGTCATTTCATTCCTTCTTTTACTCTGGCATGATTTTACCCATGAGTCACTGCATACAAATATGCTGCTTTCTCATCCAACGATGCAACGATGAGGGTCGCCGCCACCCTGAGAGCCATTTGGCTCCCTTAATCCCCCCGTCAGGCAATATCAAACAGATGACAGCATCAAAGAGGAACCAATCTATAAATCACAGCTTGTGTGTTGGATCAGAGGCTTCCCTTTCCAAGGAGGACACAGGAGAAGAGGGTCCGAGCCAAGAACCACCCATCTTACAAGAAGCAGCTCCCCTGAGGGCTTGTCCATCCACTAGTCGTCACAAAAGAGCCTTTCTTCCCTCTACCAGTCCTCGCCATTGTCCTACACTGCTCCCATAGCCTCCTCCGTCAGTGTACCTGAGGTCTCGCATGCATCCTCAGACTGCTCAGGGTATTAATGTCTCCCTGAGCAGTCTGAGAGCAGGCCTCCCATGTTAGAGAAAAGAAGAGATGAGCAGACAAGAGCAGAAGGGGATCGTAAAAGAGAAAAAAAAATAAAAAATCAACATTGAATTACAGCGTGTTCCCTGTGTACAATCTGATCCTTGTTATTAGGTGCCACATGGGTGTGTTTGTGTGTTTTTTTTGTGTGTATGTGTGTGGGATCGTGCGTTTAAATGAATGGAAGTGCTGAAATCCCATCGGAGTGGCGCAGATCCCGTGTCGTCTGCCAGGAGCCTGACTGCAGCTCGTCTGCCGCCATCCTGGGCCAAGAGTGTGTGACATGTGTGCAGTGACACACTCTTTGTTTCACACTCTTTGTTGACTGAGCCATAACTCCAGACAGGCCTCATTTGATGTTAGCATCGTTGTTAGTTACTGCGTGTTTTTTTATCAGGCAAAGAGTGACAAACATAAAAGACAGATTACTAATTACTGTTTACTGTGATACACCAGAAGTAAACTAAAGATTGCCGTTTTAGCAAGAGAGCAGGTAAGCACTGAATCAGTCTCAAAGGACAAATGGATGCTCTGGTCTTTTATGTGATGACTAAGTGGTGACTAAGTGGTTCACAAAGTGGCCCAAGACCCATGAGCTTACACTCTGCTACACCGGTGTTGACAAATGCAGACCACACATCCTGCAGTAACCAACTCTCAGGTGCTTCGACTCTAATGCGCCTGACTTCCTCTAAATCTGTGTTCAGTTTGTTTTTGTTCTGTTGCAGTTTGGCCTCCTGCTCCATCATTTAAAGAAGCCTGGCTTCTGGTTGGACAATTACAGGTCATCTGACTGCACAGACATCCTCTGATGGGTTGACAGATCAAAACTATGCTAGCAGTCTTTATCTAGCATAGTAGGCTAACAACAGAAATGACACTATTTTACGAAAAGTCATCATAGGTTACCTTTGCTTTTGGAAGATGGGATGTGGACTGTGTGGACAGAAAGTTGTCTGTCTCTCAAAGACAGTGGATTTTACAGGAAGTCATAATGGTCTGCCCTGTGTTAATTGATACGTTGTGCAATTAAAAGCCATGTGTATCTGCAGCTAAAGGAACATTCAGCTTTGAGCTCCACAAATGTCACAAAAACAACAAAACTGTGGCAGCGATCACTGGTGCTTATCCAATCCAATAAATAAAAGCGGGTAAACAACATTTAAAATGAAATAAAATAAATGAAATAAAAACACAAAAGTATAAAAGAAATAAAAGTGATAAAAGGACCATAAAGGACATAAAAAGACAGAGATCACACAATAGTTTAAATTACTTGATGGTGATTGGCAACTTTACGATAAATAAATAAATATATGATATTCATTTTTTATAAAAGGGATGTAAACAGTCAAAAAACTAGAAGAAAGTTTGCAAATTTTGATTCCTTTGGAGAATTAGAGGCAGAAAACTATGCCTCTCTTTTTCTTCTCACAGTGAATATGAGGCTGGAGCCGGCAGCGGGTTAGCTTAGCTTGATTCAAAGACTGGAAGTAGGGAGAAAAAGCTACTCAGGCTTTTTCCGCTGGTAGCAAAATTGAACTAACATGACCTCTAAATGGCACTAATGAACATGTTGGAAGTCATTTGTTAAATCCGAGTGAAAACAAAATGTAAAATTGATCATTTGCAGTCTTTATGAGAATTATGTGCTGGATCATTTCTTAACCAGGACCAGTTTCTGGAATCCCCGTTTGTAGCCTGCCAAATAAACAATGACAACTGAGGTTGTACAGAGGAGTAACAGAGGTTTGCGGTCGGAATCAAACCAGGCACATCGTGGTCACCCACCAGGAAGCAAATTTGTTCAGTTTTTTGTTTTGTTTTTTTCAGTTTACAATTTAGCCACTCAGCCACTCGGGTGGAATAGCTTCACATGAAGAGGCTGTGATGGATGAAGAGAGAAAGAAGACTTGAAGGAGTGTTTGATTCACTGAGCGCAGCCACAGAATTAAGGACAGCTGAGGATGCTTCCTGTCCTGCACATCCCATCATTCATCGCAGCAGAACCCCACTTACATCCTCATTCTGTTACCAGCCTTTTTTTCTTTTTTTTTCAGAGTGTAATCTCAGCTGGCCAGTGATGAGCAATGTCATCATCAACCCCATTGACTGACTTAAAAAGAGTCAGATGTATCTAGTCCCATTGAATGCTGTAATGCTCAAGCAGCTGCCATGTTACATTTCCCCTTTCTTGTGATGAGCAAGACCAGATCACATCCCCTGGGTGGGGGTGAGTTTGGCTGTTAGCTTTGACAGCTAGCGCTCCAAGGCTTCTCCCCATCACGCGTCCTCACAGTCACTGTACAGGAATGCTGACAGCCTAACAGGTACATTGACAGTAAACACAGGACTGGTGTTATAGCCGTGAGCGTCCTGCACTCACTCAAAGCCCTCTAATAACCTTTTAATAACCTCCCTCTGTGGCCTTTTTGTGAAACGTTGACCTGAATTTTCACAGAAAACTTCTAAACGCCGCTTTTGCATTCAGTCTCTGTTGTTTAATCAAAATAACAAAGACGTTTGTGTGCGTAGGGAAGGAGGGGTTTGTGCACCCTTTGTTCTCCCACAGGTCTAGTATTAGGGCTGGTATTAGTCTGTGTTGATGTGTAAAGCATTTGAGGAATGTTCATGTTTCCACTTATCAGTTTAATCAGTTTTATCGGTCACTGGGTTCAAATTAACTGTTTCTAGATTGTATCTGATTGCAACAATTTGCGCTGTCTGCACCGCAAATTGAGCTCAAATGAAGGCGGCGGAGGAGGAGGAGGGGTTGAGAAAGAAACATTAATAGAGAGTCGCCGCGGTTTAAGGGGGAATGAGGAGGAAAGTCTGTGAGCTATGAGTCCACACAGGCGTCCACAATCGCTGAAACATGTTCTCTTAGACTCGGTAAGTGTGTGAAATCTAATTCTTCCTCCAGTGTGTTTGTCCTAAATAAGATTTGGGAGAACCCCACCTGCTACACACACACTCTCATGCACACACTCGCACACTGTTCTCGGACTTCACAGGAAGTAGATGTGATTGCAGAAGCATGACCTAACGCCAGCCGGTGTTTGTTTTAGGTCTCCCAGGTGACCAGAGGCTGGAGGAAGGAAACTGAGCCCTCAACACTAGAGACTGTCATCTAGAAACATGTTCCTCTTCATATGTGCAGTTGTACGTCACTGTGTGTGCGCGCGCATGTGTTCGTTTTCTGTATTAGAGTAGCACACGCGCATATGGGTGGGTAGCACTGTGACCATCGAGAACAGATGTTTTGGACCACCTGGTGTAGCTGCTTGAACATATGAATGACAAAAACACATTTAGATCTTTTTTTCCTCTCTTTTGTTCTTAAATCGTTTTCTGTCTCCAACCCGCCTGAAAAAAAGAAGACAAATCATTTTTAAAACCCGCGTTTAATGAAGTTTCTCTCATTTCCATCCTCTCTCAGGTGTTAAAGGAGAGTGGCCCCCCGCACATGAAAAGCTTCCTGACTCGCGTCACCGTGGGGGAGTTCTCTGCCGAGGGCGAGGGCAACAGCAAGAAGCTGTCCAAGAAGCGTGCCGCTCTGTCCATCCTGCAGGACCTGAAGAAGCTGCCCTTCATCCCTGTTGTGGAGAAACCCAAGACACACTACAAGAAACGCACCAAGACCATCCTCAAGGTACTGCGGGGGTCACGCTTCTTCTTACAGTCACATTATGCAGAATATTTTCATTTCTGGAAACCGTTTACAACTCTCGCTGTAAACTGTTATGAAAGCATTAATTTTTCTTTGTTTGAGTTGTTAAAAAAAACCTTAAAAGTCTTAGATTTGATTCTAAAAAGTGTGCAGAAACCTTGGTAATGCACCCATCATCTGAGCGCATATGTCAGGTACAGTGCAACTTACATAACAAAGCTGTGAATTAGGATTTTACGTTTTTTCCCTCTTCAATATCCTGTGTTTCCCACTTACCTCTTTATCTTTACATCCACCGCAGGAGAGTCTAATATAATTTCCGCTCACTGTTATTCAATACTTTTACATATGAAATACACACACAGACACCTTCAGCTCCATCAGTAGACTGCAGACGATTGTGATAATATGATAACAGTTTGAGATCAACCATCATGTATCCCCTCTTTCTTTCTCCTAGACGGGACCAGATTACGGTCAGGGCATGAACCCGATCAGCCGTCTGGCTCAGATCCAGCAGGCCAAGAAGGAAAAGGAGCCAGAGTACCTGCTGCTCTCTGAAAGGGGGATGCCCCGCCGCCGGGAGTTCATCATGCAGGTGAACAATGGTTCTTGGTTGTATGAACACTTTGAAAGGGTTTATGTCATGTTACAGAAATACATTCAGATCTAAGTGAAGTGTAATTGAGATTTTGAGGGCTGTGGAGGTGGAAGTTATGTATACAGGAGCGCATGATGCATTCACGTAGGGCTGGGCGATATGGCCTCAAATCAATATCACGATATATTGAGCAGTTCACCTCAGTATCGATAAATGGACGATAACTACTCCACAAGCTGCTCACCCCCTCCCACATTAACTTCATCATCAGCCGCTACAACTTTTGAACCTCTTCTTCGTGGACTGGATAGAGTGGAGTCACATCTCTGACGTAGGACAGCGTCTTAAAGGGACACAAGACCGTAGCCTATCTACACACATCCAAAACCAACTTTTATTTATGTATTTTTTTAAACCGAATATACCGATATGGGCAAAATGACTTCAGTTTTCCGTAAATGTAGGTATCAGTAAATATTCGGTTTATGGCCTATCCTAGAGTGAGGGTAGGATGGAACGGGAGATCCACAGGAGGATCAGAGCGGTGTCACTAGTGTTGCGGACGCTCATCCGATCCGTCGTGGTGAAGAAAGAGCTGAGCCGTGAGGTGAAACTCTCGATTAACCGGTCGATGTACGTGCCGACCCTCACCTAAGTCCATGAACTTTAGGTGATGACCGAAAGAACAAGATCGGATACAAGCGGCTGAAATGGGTTTCCTTCACAGGGTGGCCAGGCTCAGCCTTAGAGATAGGGTAAGGAGCTCGGACACCCAGGATGCGCTCAGAGTAGAACCGCTGCTCCTCCACCTCGAGAGGAGTCAGCTGAGGTGGCTCAGGCATCTGGTTAGGAGGCCTTCTGGACGCCTCCCGTTAGAGGTGTTCCAGACATGTCCCACCGGGAGGAGACCTCGTGTCCAGCCCAGGACCAGGTGGAGGGATTATATCTCTCGCCTGGCCTGGGAGTGCCTGGGAATCCACCCGGAGGAGCTGGCGGAAGTCGCTGGGGTGAGGGCCGTCTGGGGTGTAAGAAAACGACGACGACCAGCTCTACATTCAGGCACAGTAGTGAGTAGAGGATACCTGAGGTTTGTAAGGCTTGAGGGCCAGAGCATAGTCAGTGGAGTGACGTCTTTTTCCGATGAAGAATGACATGTGAGATATCCGAAATGACAGCTTTGGACAGAGAGAATAAAACAGTACATTTCTCTAATGCGTATTTTGACTAGACAGAATTGAATTTCAGAAATCTCATGTCCAATCTCGCCATTAAATGTTCAACAACTGTGCGTAAACTCAAGCAGATGTCAGAGCAAGAGGAAACTTCTGTGATTGAGAAAAAATATGCAGCCAGCAGCAACATTATTATATAACCTCTTAACAGAAGGACACAAGTCTTGTGGTGTTCTCCAGAGACTTGGTTCTGGTCTCTCATTTCAGTCATGTGTGTAGTCCCAACCTTGCTTAAACCCAACATACTTCCTTTAGAACAAAGCCCGAGGCAGTGTACGCTTAGGAACACTTACATGCATGAAACCTCCACTTTACTACCATATCTGATGTCCTGGGGAAAAGCGTTTATATATCTGGACTGAGCTTTGTGCCTTCAAATAACCAACAATGATCCCAGTGTTTTCTGATCCCAGTGTCCCTACTATCAGCCCACAGCAACAGTTTCAACACATAAATATCACAAATACATGCTTCGATGATGAAAACACTCATGTTCAAACACATGACGTTGTTTTTCGTGAGACTAATTCGGTGTAACAGCTGTAATGTTTTGTATGTAGTAGATGATTTATAATTTTATTCCTCTTCACTCCACTTTTAGTATCTTGGACCTCCCTGTACTTCCTCTCACTCCCTTCGTCTTCTCTCTCGAATCCACTCTCTTTCCCATCCTCCCCGTTCCCTCTTAAACCTTCGCTGTTTGATATTCATTATTTTTATAGCGTACATACAAAGCTCAGAATAGCTGAGAACCCATCTTTACAGCTCTGTGTTCCTCGCCAGAGCCGCCAACTGTTTTCATTATACTAAACTGCCGTTGTGAGCTGTTGTTCTTCGTCAATGAAGCACACAGATGTAAGTCTTCCGACTGCACATAGATTATAGAGAGTAGTTCGTGTTGTGAGGAGCCAGAATCATTAACAGACCAAATGCCTGAGTCCTACTGCAGCAGCAACCTTTCACCCTTAACTAAGTCATGGGAGATTTGCAGTTTATCACTAATCCAGTAAAAAGAGCAGGACTTTGTATGAAACAGGGGAAAACCGCCGTTAACAGATTCAGAGAGACTCCAACTTTTTTTTTTTTGGCTCTTATGAAGAAGCACTTGAGCTCTGGATACACATTTGCAATTTGCAGTAACTGTTTAATGTTATGATAGCGGTATTAAGTATGACAAATGAAAAAATATCAGAGGCATTATATTGGCTTTAATTCAAAGTTTCTCTGTTTATCTGCAGTTCTCTGTGTTTGGAAAGAGAACTAAAACATCGAACTTTGAGTAAAATGACCAGATCTGTAGTGAACTTTCTCTTGAGTAGAAGCAGAACTACCACTCTGTTAATCTGCTGAAGTAAGAGTAAATAGTTATTTATGTAAAATCTACTTCACGCCCTGAATACTTACTTCTACCCCATGAGACGTGAGTAAAACTATATTGTCTAAACTAATTGTTGTCCTATAACCAGAAAGAAATCACAAATTTTTGACATTATTTTATTGACCCAAGCTGAGATGAAGCCTTCGGATATTTTTGCTGCATCTGTTCACAGTATTTGACATTTTATCTTGATGGACTAGTGCAGCAGAACTGTCAGGTGGGAGACTTCTTCCCGTCAGCTGGCAGTGATAAGTTGATGAAAAGCTTGTACTTCTGTTTTGTTTTGCTTATCAAATGAGATGAAATGTGAAACTCCTCACAGTCAAAGTAAAATGAATGATTGTACATAAAAAGCCACTTACTGGCTTTAACATGAGCAGATGTAGTTTGTTATTTTCCACAATACCTAAACTTGGAACTCTTTTCTTATTAATCCAAAATAAAGCCAAAACTTTTTTTTTTTTTTTTTTTTGCCACCAAATTGAGCCCCAATATTCTGAGAGTCAACGAACTAGCCAACTTGAGCCTCAGGCTGCATCAAAATAGTGGGAAAACATTGACGCTGTACCCAGGACTCTGTCTAATACTTAGAAATGATGTGTTCAGGGTTCCTACGCAGTTGGAATTTCCATACTTGTCCACTTACTTTCCAGAATTATTTTTAGAAATGCCTACTTTTCTATTTTAGAAAACAGTATGTAATATAGTCTGTTTAAATAAATGTTTTCCATACTTTATTTTTTTATTTACCATATTTTTTAAGACGTGGAAATTGATCAAATTACTTCCATACTTTTCCATACTTTCTATACTTGCTTAGGAACCCTGTGTGTTCAAAAATCTCCTCATTCTCTTTTCTTCTCTTCAATTCTGCCCCAGACCTTGTCTGCGGGCCTCTTTGACACACTCTCACCAGGCTGTATGTGTGTTTGTGAGCTTTATCTGGAGTTCACTCATTTGTCTAAAATTTTAACAGTTTCCTAAATCAAGTCTTCGTATCAGCTTCATACCACTTTGTTTGACATGTCTTCAACTCTATGTTCATCTTCAAAAAGAATGAAAGCCTCTATTTTAGCAATTTAGGAATTTATTGAGACGTGGCCTATTTGATGCATTCAGACGAGCACTTACTGAGCGTGTCAGAGCACTTTGAGTTAGTGCACTGAGGCCTGGCTCTTCAGAGAGGCTCTGGCTCCCAGGATGTTATTTGTGGAGTGTAATTGTCTGTTTGCATAACATGACGACGTCTGATATTCATTTGGAAATATCTGCTCTCATTCTGTGTGGACAGATTTAATGTTTTGGGCCCACTGTAAAGCAAACACATCGCTTGTAGGCTTTATTTTTTAAGGATGACTCGGCCCAGTAAGAAACACAAAGTGCTCCAGGCTAAGAGTTTTAAGAGCGCAGCTGGAAGAGGAAGTGTATTTCGTAAAAGTTTCAGCAAGTCTTATCATTTCATATCAGTGTCTGCACAGCCATAAAATCAAGTAGTGAATCTGTTATTTTTTTCCCCCCTTTGTGTTTGTGCAGGTGAAGGTTAACAATGAGGTTGCGACGGGAACAGGACCCAACAAGAAGGTGGCGAAGCGGAACGCGGCTGAGGCGATGCTCCTGCAGCTGGGTTACAAGGCCTCCACGGTCACTCAGTCTCCCACTGAGGTACACACTCCACTTTACTTCGGTTGTTTCAACCGACTTGCATATTTCATTGCCAGTTTGTATATAAACCTCCCCTGAGTTAGTTTGTTTATCTGCCTGACTACTGGAAGTGTAGGTAGTTTCTCATAAGTACAGTAGGGTTTCAGTGAGGGCTGCAGTAATTTGCATTCTTCATGAAATATCTTAAAAATACTTTCCTAAATCATGTATATTGAATGATATTAACAAGATTGCTAAAATCAACAGGTATGATTTAACTCACAACTTAATCTTTCAAGTAGATACAGTACAAAAACAGTGAAATTACATATTCAACAGTCAACAGTCTCTCAATCTAAGGCAGTGGTTCTCAAGTCCAGTCCTCAAAAACCCCCGTCCTGCATGTTTTGGGCGTTTCCCTGCTCCAGCACACCTGATTCAAATGATCAGCTCGTTATTAAGCCATTACAGAGCTTGATAACGAGCTGATCATTTGAATCAGGTGTGTTGGAGCAGGAAAACATCCAAACATGCAGGACAATAGGCCTCGAGGACTGGACTTGAGAACCACTGTTCTAAGGGTTGGGGGTTTGATGTCCAAGTGTCCGTAGCCCCAACCTGTGCCTGCTGACTGTGTCCAGCGTTTAGCTAACTGATGGGCGCTTTACATAGCAGCCTCTGCCTTCAGTGTGTGACTGTGGTGTGAATAAGTGATAGTGAAGTGTGATGCAAGAGTGCTTTGAGTGGTCTGAAGACTAGGGGAACACAGTCCATGTGCGACTTACTATTGAAAGGGACCTACAGGACTTACTCGGTGAAATGTAAATTGGTGATGTAGGCCTACTTAATGGTATCAATTTGGACAATGAAAACATCCTCGACAATGCATATCACACCCCCTGATTAAAAGACAACAGAGGGAGACTTTTTGATAGGAAATGCTCCAAACGTGCACACAGGACAAAATCACCAAAGAGATTAGAGGTATGACTCTGTCCACAGGGGGCCCCAAAACTGACACAGTTCCTCACAGAAGCTTTAAATGTCTCAGTTGTTCAAAAACACATGAAAACAGTAAAAGAGGGAATGCGAAGGATCACTCATTAGAACCAAACCAGATACATGACAGTCATGTGGCTGCTACAGTCCTCATTTATGTAGTTTCTGTGATTATAGAGTTCACATGATATAATTACATTGTACAGGGTAATGTGATTTGTGCATCAAGTTAACTATTTTCACAAGCGTTTCTAGGAACTTGTATTTTTCATGAATGGAAGAGCACATGTGTTTAAGCACAGTAAGAGACATATAAGGTGTTTTGCAGCACCTGTACAGCTGTGTGCAGAAAGATTATATAAATCTCTTCACCACTCTCATTTAGTCTATACACTATCTCGTCTCTCTCACCCTGTGTAGAATCCAACAAAAGCTGATAGTCAGTCAATTTTCAGATTCATCACGGGTCCCCATGCTGCTGACCTGTTATGCAACCTGTTCAGCTCCTCTGAACCGAGTGTGTTTTTTTTTGCAGAGCATCCATTGATCTCCATCATCTTTATTCACCTCATCGGTTTTCAAGCTCAAGGGAGCAGATTCAGAGGGAGACGATGTTACATAACCAGGCTCTGTGTAGAATATCCAGCGCTCCCTAGACAGCTCATTAGTCTGATATGTGCTGCTGCATACATCTCACTCAGACAGCTATACCATAGAGCTCAAGGATGGCATTTTGCTCTTATCAGAACAAGTGTGGACATGCATGTTTTCTTCTGAAGGAATACCCTCTTTGTTTTCATCTATTTTCTTTATTCAGTGCTGTGACTTGGTGCAAATCAGCCCATTATAACTCCACAATGCTTCTACTCACGTTGAGATACAGTATGTTTTGAGTACAGTATATATGTTACCATGAGTCAAGCCAATACCATAGAGCACATAATTTGAAAAAGTAAGGTGCACACAAAGAACTTTAGGGGCACAGTGAAAATTGATCAAATAACGTGTGTCTTATTGGTCAACTTAAGAAGTATTATTTGAAATCAATTTGGGGTTTTTTGGTCACATGACATGGACGCTATTGAAGAAAATGTTTAAAATTTGCCTTTGAATTTAACACAAAAATATTTTAGATGACAAATTGGTGAAATAAAAAGGTGTGTCTTATTGTTTGACCTTAGTATTATTATTTGAAATCAATTTTAGTTCAATTGATCACATGGTATGGAAGTTATTGAAGGAAAACAGCCTTTTTGTGGACATTAACCGGTAATTTATTGATGGTCCCTTATTCAACACCCGATGTTGACAGCGAGGGTGCCGAGTAGATTTAACCGTGTTGCTGTTGCTATTCCCGGTTACAGAGAGTGAGAAGACACCAGTAGATCTGCAGTGAATATCCGTCGAATATCCAACCTAAAACTAACTTCACCACGGTATTTACATGAAAAAATATTTGTTGTCCCTAAATACATTTTACTATTACAATACAATACAAAGGTGAGTGAAATGGTTGCACTGTCCAGCCCTGACCTTACATATGTGTAGCATATGTGCTTTTATTTTGAAAGGATACAAAGGTACTCCCAAAGTTATAAGAATAAAATGTTGTCTGGTCTTCTACCAGTGGTTAAGTCTTTATCTGCTGCCAGTATGTTTGTTCATCTATATTGGTATAAAAGAAGTGATTACGTTAAAGGCAGAAAGCGCCCCCTCCAGTTCAAAAAAGGTATTGCAATTCATTGTTCATCTCGCAGATTATCACCCTTGAAATTCCCCTGTAACTTCTTTGTAAGATAACGTTGCATCCCTGTCAAAAGGGGCTGAAAACCAAAACAGGAGACATCTCCACAAGGTTTTTGGATGGCCTACTTCTCATTAAATCCTCAGACAACTCAAGCCCCCATGTGGTATAAAATGTTCTTTTACTTTAGATCTCCTTCATTTTGTCTCTCTATCTTCTCTTCCTTTTTTTGTTAAGGAGCTCTGCAGCACTACGTTCCCACCGTGGGATTGTGTGTGATCTGTGCTAAAGTGTGAGGACACTTGAGGGGGGGTGTCTGCATTTGTTTACAGCTATGTCATCTCCTCAGCTGTCACACACATCAGGAATGATTTGTTCCTCATTTTCACACGTGTGTTAGCGACAGTGTGTGTTTATGCAGACAGACACGCATACCACAGCAGAAGTAACACTGAATAGGGGCCTTTTTTTAAGTGACTAAACACTGACAACCCCCTTAATTGAGTAGCTGGCGTAGATAGACAGACGCTAGGCTCCTTAAGCATCCCCTCCTGTGAGCGCTCGTCTCTTTGTGGCCCAAACAGTAGGAAGGAACTCGTCTGACATGCGTGAAGAAGCTGTCTGTTCAAGAATCTACATCTCTCTTACCTCCCCCTTTCTCTCCTTTTCTCTGCATCGCTACAGATGGACAACAAAGGCTGGAACGGACAAAAGGCATCATTTACCGAAGGGACGAGTAACAGTGAGTATCTGCACGTCTCCCTCTGTCTCTGTCCATTTCCTCCTCCTCCTTCCTCTCTCTCCCCTCCGTCCTGCAGGTGGTTTTAGCCGCCGAGATGGCCCGGCGTTTAATCTCTGTGACTGGTCAATGGGCTGCTGACTGTCAGCTTAATCGGCCGTGTGTCCTCGTGGGGAGCCTGCGAATTCAGGCTCATTCACGCAGGCTTACAGGGCCGGCACACTGGGGCCCACCGGGGAGTCCCTCCACTGCCTTCCTGTGCAAAAAAAAGAATACCATAGCCTTTCACTCAGGATTAACACACAAGCACACTGCAGTCCAGATCCACGCACACATTGCCATAATCCTGCAAAAGAAGACACAAACAGTGAGGATAGCTATGTGATAATAAGATATGGGTAAACATATGGGGCTTTTTTTTAGATAGCTGCATATCTCCTTCATAATAACACAAAGAGCTTTTGAGAAAAGCTACAGGAACTTTGAAGCAACTTAATCATCTCCTACTAGCAATACGATGAAGGAAGCTCAACTGGTATTAGTTATTGTTGGGATTTTTTACTACTTCACTGGTGAAGTCCAGGTTCGAGAATACCATCCCTCATTTCAGTGGAGGTCTTTCCAGACATGAATATTCCCCAGAGGATGAATCCTTCTGTTTTTGGTGAGCCACTGATATCCTAACACCACAATAAGACTTGCATTTTGGGAATCACTGTAACGTCTCACCAGATCATTGATTTTTGTGCATGTATCCATGTTCGCCTAAGAGTCAAATCTTCCATATTATATTGACTTATAACTTTCGAACCAGAGCTATTAGTGGCCAAGTGCATGTGATAAACGCCAGTCTTGAGAAAAGAAGTCACTATTTCATCTAAGACCTACGATGTCCTGATAACAACCTGCTGATCCATGTTTGTGGGTCATTGTTCAAGATTAAACGAAATCTGCAACAAATGAAGCGACATGGAAAAGAAAGCCTCCCCAGCTGTCCTGTAGCTGAAAAAAACTCTCTCACTAATGGACATATTTTATCGTAGACTAACACAAAATTGCTTCATGACAGGATTTATGTCAAATTTACATGGGAATGTGATGGCCTTGGGGGATATTTCATTTACAACAGCGTTTGGACTCCTTACTTAAAAGCATAAGGATGCAATTTTGTAGGAAACAGCTGGTCTGCATCAGCTGTATCTGTAGTTAAGTTGGCTGTCTTCTCTGTAATCAAAATAAAAACGATAAAAAATCCTTCCTCTCACAAACACTATTTCAAGACTACATGTTCTATTTTCAGTTTCCTGGTCTGCAGAGTCTGGCAGCAGAGTTGTTTTTCCATTTATTTCTCATGGAGTTTAGTAAGTTAATATTTATTACAGGTGCAATAAGTTATGCAAAGAATTCACCGTCATGATGCTGCTTAAACAGATTTATATGCATTGTAATATCTTCAGTTAGACCTGCCATGATGTCCCAGCTCGATGAAAGGACACACTGCAAGCGGTTTCATGCCGGTTGCCAGCAGAAGTAAATGCCAGCAGCTTGAGAAAGAGCAGTTTAGGGGACGAATGAGCAGCCTGCAATGTGGAGCAGCAGAGTGGAAAACAAACAGATAGCCTTATTAGATTCAAATGTGCTGTTGTCACTCGCCTCTAATGGGGGATTTTGGCAGAGCCGCAGTGCTCTTACATGGGGTATCCAGCTTCAGTCAGGAGAGGAGAATGGATGTTAAGTTTCAGCTTTCCCATGTTTGAAAGTACAAAACAGCCTGGTAAGACTAATCACTCTGACTTATTTAGCTTGCTTATTGTTGGTCCAGACTCTAGAGAAAACTGAGACACCGTCAACAGACCTCGTTTGTGATTTTTTCCAATTTCCTAAAAGATATATCATCTAAATTATGTTTATAGATAAGTGCTTCCTGGATTGTGTAAACTATTTTGGTGCTTGTGGTTTCTATGGTAGCCCAGGCTCCAGGCATTGCCCAATACCTACAGAGCAGAGCCCCCTGGGAAACGAAGTCTTCCTTATTTGGACTTTATTCCTATCGTTGGCTGGAGCGTTCCTTTGGTCTCCTGCCATTCTCACTCATAGTCTATCTCACACTCGGCATGAGTCTTAACTATCTGCTAATTGCTCCTTTTATAGTCACCCAAACCGCACAACACTCACACGAAGATAATGTCTGAATAACGTTTATTGCATAAACACCGTTTACAACTCATTCAAACAGCTACAGCTGCTCTCTGGTTTCTGTTTGTGTCTCTGGTTGCTGAATGGGGAGATGTTTCTCGTTTGTCTGTTGTTTTGATGGATTCTGCTTTTTATTGAATAGAAGTGGAAATAAGTGAATCAGTGTGCAGAACTGCACCCTGAATAAATCAGCACCGGCTTCAGTGTGGTTGTCACATGTTTCAGTCGATAAACAAAAATTAAAGTGTCAATATGTGCAAAAAGTTTTTTCTTGAGAAAACACATAGAAGAACAATATTTATCCCTTTTTTGAGTAGTCAAAGCTTCTAGTTTCCCCTTCTCGCTGATGTTTTCACAACTTTTACAAGTGTTAAAATTACTGGAGTTGTTTCACAGCTCAGTTCTTTTTGCTAGTTAATAAAATTTTACAGGTACTTTTCAAGGTCAAGGTGAAACCAGCTGGAAAATCTAGCCGTGGATACCTTAGTAGATTTGATTTCTCTACCAGATACAGATTTTCTCAGGATGTGTACCATGGACTTTATAGATCCGGCTAAAGTTTTTGAGAATTCATCTCTGTCTACGACTTTCTCTGGATTTTTTATCCCACTTTAAGTGAAGGCAGAGGCAACCAAGTCCCCATGCAGGTTATATAATGCTGCTGGTCCTTTTGCAGTTGGGCTTCAGGAAAATCAAGGAGATTAATAATAACAGTGTGCGTTACATATGAGTGACTTGGAAAGTTACTAATATTTGCTACATGAGTAAAAAAAAGTGTTTCATCCATGAGTTACTTGTCGACAACAGCAATCTTTAGTCCTTGTTTACTGAGCAGAGGTTGCAGCAGAGGGTAGTGATGGTGGCTGTAAGTGGACTTAAATAGGATGCCAGACATGTTTTCTGCCTTAATTATATTTGACAAAAAATATGACAAACAAAAATGTTCACAAATAGTTTTATTAGATTAGAAGTAAATAGGTTTATTGAATCTCTTTGCAAAACAACCTCTTTGTTAACATGCATTTTGCTTGGTGCATATCCTCTGTTTGTAAGGCTCACACATAGAACACTTGGCCAATGGTGCCCCTTCCCAGTGATTCCCAAAACATATTTCTCCAGTGTAATGCACAAACAGAAGTTTGGTGTGGAAATACAAGCTCGTGAGAAGGGGATAAAGGGTCACAGCAGGCAAACATTCATTTTCATTTTGTAGTATCCAATGCCTGCAAAGGACAAACACATAAAAAATACTGGGATATTAAATTTGGGGTATATTGCCCATTCATAGCCAAGATCACCTGTCTGGTGTTGCAAAGAAAGCAAAGAAAATATAGAATTTCTTTGTTTGATCATAAATTATAATCTATTTCCCTTGAGTCTCAGTTTCACTGTAAATAGTAAGTTACATGGATGGTTTCCTGTGGCTTACTTCAGTAAAATCAGTAAGGAGGAACCAGTTTTCTTGTGACCTAGAGCAGTTTTAAGGTCTTAAGTTTGGTAAAATAACATCATGATACAGATTTAGAAAAAAAGTAAATGCAGGGTTTGTTCAGTCGACCGTCAAAGATTCAAGTTTGACTCTTGGGCATTTCTGATGCATTCCACTCAGATTGGCTTTCAAGGCGCACCATCATGCAGATCTGTTGCTCAAGTTGAAATTTTTCCTGGAACGGACTGTTTGCTTCGCCTGCATGCAGGTATCTGTCTATATGGACAAATGAATCATCTACATATTATCGCCAGTGGGAACAGGGATGATGTTATGCTGGTTTGCGTCCCGTCTGCTTTTGCTCTCCATACCAACTTTTTTTCCTGTGTTTACCAAAGCCTGATCAATACCACTCAGACTACAACCATATACCACAAAAACAAACAGAGCAGCTGTGCTCCAATCAAAGCACATTCCTTCATTCTGTGAGGCAAAGTGGAAGAAAATGGGTAAATGTGTCACAGGCTGTTCACTTACGGCTATTCTCTTTTGTTCCCGCTCTTCCAAATGAAACGCACACCATCGCTCAACCGCTTGCACGTGTGTATGTGTGAGTAAGGGTCTGTCTTTAGCCCCTCGTAGACTGTTGGATGTAGCTTTACAACAAACAGGGTGGCTTAGAAACAGGAAGAGAGAAGAAAAGAAGTAAGAAAAGAGCGATTTTTCTCCCTTTTATTCCTATGGGCATTGCAGCAGGGCTTTTCACTCAAGTTGCCACATTTCATTTCCTGCTGTGCATATTTGTGTGCACGACTGTGTGTCTGTGCGTTGTCTGTGTGCATGTGTGAACTATGTGAGGGTCTTGCTCCACCGTGGTGATTTATAGCAGCGGGCTCGGGCCCTATCTGTTTTCGATCAGTCTCATGCTTGGCTCTGGCTTCCCTCCAACGCTCCCCTGGCCCACCGGACGCCGAGTTTGGGTGGGACCCCTCTGAAAAAAAAAAAAAAAAAAAAAAAAACTGCCTGGAACCAGCACCACAAACACGCTCTCTCCCCTTCCACTTCTCAGCCTCACTCTTCTTCTCCCCTGCACTCATCTCCCACTTCATGTCCGCGGTTTCACAATCACACTCCATCGCTTTCACTTAGTCATTCTCACTTTCTCCCTCTTCTTTTGTCTCTTTCTCGCTCTTCATCATCCGACGGCAGCTTCAAGCACTCAATCACATGCAAACATGCAAACATCCTCACAGGAACGCCCACACACAGGCAAGCACACACACTCGCATGGGTTACATTCACCCCCCCCACTCCACCTCACTACACTTTGTCCATGCTGATGTCATGTTGGCTAACACCTTTCATTTTCTGTGTTGCTTTCAGAATGCACAGGCCTGCAATTTCTACTTGCGTAAATTCAAATTAAAGTTGTCATCATGATTGGGAGGGGGGTGGAAATCCTAGCAGTTGTGTCATTGCTGGCATGGGCCAGTCTGTTGTAGTATGAGTAATAAGAGCTGGATTTCATTGCTGTTTCCTTCAGCTTTTCTTCTTCTCTGGAAAGGAATGCAAACTTCATTGTTCACACAGGGAAACACTGTGTGCAGGTTCCCAGAAACCTTAGACAAGAGTTAGCACTAAACTCTCTGTCTTTCTATCTGTGTATCTAAGTGTGATGGTAATGTTAACTCAAACAGGAAGCAGCCTGTCAGTCATGCGCTCGCTCCGGCACTTTCTCCCAGCTGTTGGTCCGTACGCACACACAAACAAGTGCGCTCAGACACACACAGCTGGTCTTCCTGTCTCTGGTGACCTTGGCTGGGCTTCGGAGGCTTCGCATGGTTTTCACATCCACTCATCCCCACCTCCTCTTCCATCTGAACCAGCTCCCAGCTCATCCCCTCTCTCTTTAATCCTTCACGTCTCTCCTTCTTCCACGTCTTTTATTCCTCCCTCTCACTTTCGCTGACCACAGCCACAAAGTGACAAAAGTGTTGAACTCCAACCTGTCGGTGCTTCCTGCTTCCACCTGTCACGACCATTTCGGGGCAGTGATGTCAGACTGATGGAGGCCAATAAAAACAAAGTGGGGTTCATCCAAATGGTCTGGATCTGGACAAAGTCTTGGAGCGCTCTTGTGCTTAGCTGGCGGGAAGCAGAGGAAAATCTGGACTGAAAGAAAAGCTGATCAAAGGTGCTTTAGCCTTTGTGATCTAAATCACCCAGGATGCTCCCAAGCCTCCAAAATATCCTCTTAAGAACTTTGATCTGACGCCGAACCTGCTCCTGAGTCCTCTTTGGTCCACATTTTAGGAGCCCAAAGCATGCCGGATAGCTGTCGGTGCTGTTTCCCATCAAAGATGAAGTCATTGGCGCTCTGTTGATATTGGTGGATGCTCCGTTTGTGTCTCTGTGTTAGTGTTTGAGGATGAGAGTAGAAAGAGGCTGTGTGACTGTTTCCCAGCAGACAGTTTGATAGTGCTGGGAAGCGCCAAACCTCATGAAACTGTCATCTACGTTTGGTGATGGTATGCCAGTTTAGAGAGCCAACATGCAAGCTTGTACACACACAAATGGACACAGGCACACGCTCATGCATAAACACACCCTGGTTTTGTGTGACAGTGTGTGACAGGGAAATATGTGCGCAGATCATTTCTGTGGTTAATAAGGGGAAACAAACTGACTTCTCTTTTTCCTCTGTGTCTGAATCGTCTATCTCTTATGCCATTTGCTCTTTTTAAAACCATTAACCTCACCTTAATTGCATTGCTTTTCCTCTTTTCTTTCCATTGATTCAACTGTTACCTTTTTTTTCTCCTCCATCCCTCACCCCCTTTTCCCTCTTCTTTGCCTCATCCAGCCCAGAAAGGTCTCCTCCACCTCAGCCCCGATGTCTACCAGGAGATGGAGGCCAGCAGGAAGCAGGGAAGCAGCAGTGCTCCAGGCTCGGGCAGCAACAGCGGAGGCTCCGTCAACTACATAACATCCAAAGACATTGGGCCGTGCTCTGCCCCGCTGCCCCCGGGACACCCTCCGTACTACAGCGGCTCAGCCTCTTCTCCCAGCCCAACTGCTACCATGGCCAGAGAGCCGCTGCTTAACGGCCAGTCACCTCCAGCTGACGCCTCCCTGACCATGAAGGGGAAGAACCCGAGTTTGGCCTGTGGCGTCTCTGTGCAGCCTGCACAGCAGTTGGACTACCTGGCTCGCATCCAGGGCTTCCAGGTAAGAGTGGATGGGCTTCTGTGAGGGAATCTGTTGATCCAGAAGACCTCAGCTTTTAATCTGCTGTATTAGTTGAGAAAGGATTGTTCTGCTAAGTTGTTAACTGCTAAGTTCTGGAAATGTAAAAATATGGCAAAGTAGGCAAATATATTTAAGAATAAAACTTCACTGATTGGTAAGATTATCTAAGCTTTTCATGAAAACATCTTTAAAGGCTTTACTGACATGGTCTCAGGGTTAAATTTGTGCAGTGAGTATGTCTATGTGAAGTTTGTAAACTTCCCTGAAGCACACATTCCTCTTTATTAACAAAAATAATTTGATTAGCTTAATCAGGCTGATCTTGATTTGTCCTCTCTGCCTTTTAATTATGGGTTTATTTAATAAAAATAAATAAATAAATAAATAAATAATGATAATTATCTGCTGATTGATTTTGGACCTCTAAGCTAATATCTGTCAAAATCAACATCATGCAGATAAAATTGTGTATCCTGCATCACTGGTGTAACCTGTCAGCACCTGAATCTTTGGCAGTGTTTTGGTTTTATTTTCTTGTCACTGGAGTAGATGGAGGCTCATTGCTTGTGTCTATTTACAGCCAGTGGTTGAAACATGACTAAGTTAAATCTTGTCAGAACTAAAGGAAATGACAGCAAATAACAGAGAAGTTAAGAAATATATCCTATTAGGTTGCACATTACTTACGTTGACGCTTGTTTCCTCTCGTAAACAGCCCTACAGAAGAAAACCTACAAGCCCTCCGTGCTTGAAGTTGCGTAGTTGTTTCTTATTTCACATTTTACGTCACTTATGAAGTTCAGGCGTTCATTCCATTTGGACTGTCATCAATTTCAGTAATCAGCGTCATAATTCATATGATTCACACACCCTGTGGTATAGGCATACAGTATATTCACATGCAAGTGAAAGCACAGATGTTAGCGTGACCATGCATAAATATGACCCCCCACCCTACACACACACACACACACTCACACACACTTACTCTGCACTACTTCTCCTCTCTAGTCTATTTCTGTAAATAAGATCTTGGTCCTTGATATGACTTGATATGAGTGTGTAAGTGTTTACGAAGAAAAGTTCAACCAAGACAGCCACACAGAGATACTGTAGGGTGGAGGTTAACCAAAAGTACAAGGTAAAAAGTCTCTCCAAGGTAAAGAAAAGTTTGTTTTTTTCTCAGAACGTTGCATAGCAGAGATGGTCTCAAGTCACTGTTTTGAAAGTCCAAGTCAAGTCTCAAGTCTTTGACCTGCAAAATAAACAGCACACAGCCTATCAAATCACAGCCAATTGACAATATAGTTGATTTCAGAATAAAGGTCCTTTCACACCAGGATCATTTTTATTGACGATTATTTTGGACGTCAATATTTTTTTTTAACCTGTATCCTGTCAATACAAGCATTCGCATCAGCGACCCAGGACACGTTCCCCGCCCGGAAAGTTGTAAAAAATCGCATCGGGCTTGATGTGTATAGTCAGGGGCGTCAAAATTCTCCTCCGAATATTTCGTAATTTCGCGTTCTATATTCGCATCGGCCCCGGTGTGTAAGGACCTTAAGTCCTATCTGTAAGAAAGGACTCATCATTCCAGATTTCAGGGTGTATAGTGCGATTTCAGCGAAGGGGGGGTAACCCTGGGGCTGGGGCACCCCTTGGCTATACCCTAAATCCATCCCTGTTACCCTCATCTTTCCTCTCAAGCAGCACTGTGACCCTTCTTCTTCCTACAGTTTCTTTTGTCTTTCTGTTTCTGGTCTTCAGGAAAAACTCATCAGACAGACCCCAAATAACATAATAACTCAACCTGTATTTTTCATGTTAAGTTGTCACAACAGGTGACCTGTGCTCTGACCATCACCTGTTGTGATATCTGTCCACACCTGAGAGCAGCAGCAACCAAAGCTTTTAAAACAGCATAAGAAGGTTTATTCTCAATATTGGACACTGATCGTTCACAGATAATGTGTTGGAGCTTGTTTTACTTTTTTATTGGACTCAAATCCTCTCTTACGCACCTGTTTCATAAGAAAGAGGTGTTAAATATTTTTAAACTGTAAACTCTCCTCCCGTCAGTTTGTTGGCGTTGATTTTCCTGATACCGATCAGATCAACTAAACCTCGCAGATGTGTCTGTCATTACCTACGAGGACGTGCACAAAGCAGAAACACGCTCCTAGCACTCTGTGGGTGACTCTGTATCCCAAAGAGAGACTGCCCGGTGTCTGTTTTAATCAGTCCCGGCTGCATACCATGCCACTGATACCAGCGCCTGTTCATTTAAGCTGCAGATGCTTTTTATCAGTTTGAGCGAAAACATTTTATCTTAACCTGCTGAGGGTTTCTTTGAAAGGCCTTTGTTATTGCTCTGAGCCTTCCTGTGTGTGTGTAACCTGAGAGAGCTCCGCTGCCCAGCCAAGCCCCAAACACACTTGTACATATGCACACACACAGACACACACAGCAGGTTCTGTTTAGGGGAAATGGAAGAGTCGAGCTGAGACTGTGTGTGTGAAGTTTAAATCTTTGTCGTTCTCATACTGCACAAACCACTTGGCACAAATATCAGGATTGTCTCAGTCTTCATGCTTTTAAATGATCTGGAGAAATACACACACATGCATCACTTCTCTTGCATGTTTCTGTGTGTGTGTGGGTGCATGTTTTTTAAGTGAGGAAATCAGGCTGTAATTGAGACTTTCAGACCAGGGAATGTTTTATATCACGAGAACCTTGGTTTGCCGTGTTTGCAGACTTTTTATGTCTTATTTACTCGCATCTGTTTTGTCGCTGAAACACCAGAGATTTAAATGTTACTGTCGAAAAATTCACCTGTCTGCTTTTTCGCTAACCATATAAAACAGCACCTCGTGTCAAGCTGTCTCTCTTATTCTTCTAACTTCTTAAACATAAACTAACATCAACTGTTGGATCTTTTAAATGTAATTTGATAATAATCTCCTTTCGTGATTAGTGACTTTGATTTTGTTATTTAACTGTTATCCAAGCAAGTAGATTACAGTGACTGCCCAACGCTGGATTAAAGGAACTAATAAGCACTGAGAACATTCTCATAGTGTCTGTTTCATCCACAGAGCAGCGCAGACAAAGGCACAGGCCTACCTGCTAAGCCCTTCTTTTGATTTGATTGGAATATAGCCTCTGGTGGAAGCTCTGACTGGATAAGTAACAGTGTGTTGTACTCACGCCAGCTTGGAGCAAGGATGCTGGCACTTACTCCACTCTGTTTGTCTGTGTGTGTGTATGTGTGTGTGTATTTCCTATTAATTTGGCTGGTGTGTTGTTGGCACGGTGGGTATGTGCACTGGAAGTAGGGCAGAAACAAAGAAGCAGGAGGTAATAGACAACACATGGACTCAAATGAAGCACCGAGTAAGAGGCACATAACAGATTCTTCCTTTTTTTCTTTTTGTCCTCGTATCTCCCCTTTTTACTCTCTGTGGTTAATTCACATGACTTTCTCTCTGTGCCACAATCATGGTCGCTTCCTATCTTCAGTTGTGCTTCCAAAAAAGCACTAAGTCTTCTTTCTCATGATAAACGTGCAGTTTCAAAGGTTTGACCCCGACTATGCAGTCACCAGCTTCCCATTTATTCTGCCATCACATCACGTAATAGAGTCATCACAGGCTGCCACAACTTCCCATTATTAACCACTACCCCTCTGTAGAGGAAGAACAGAAATCATTTTAATGGAGGATCAGTGATTGATGGAAATTTAATGATATTTTTTCCCATGATCTTTATATGAAACCATGATACACACCTGGTCTGAGACACATCTTCTGTTTCAGGCCTGCACACTATTTCTCATACCTGACAGCTGTGCAACCCATAGTGAGCGTATATGCCTCTTTTTTTAAGAGAGAAATACACTTGAACAACTATAAGATTTGTCTTAACACAAGATTACAAAAGTGTGGCTAACATAAGCAGCGCAAGCACCACCACCTTCGGTCCTCGTATACAAGGTTGTGCTGGTTACACCAAGCCTGAGTCAAGTGACACTCAGTTTCAAACAGACACAACCTACATGCAACCGAAGCTCCATTCTCCAGATCAGAACACTGTGCAAATTGTGATGCTGTCCATCGTTTGTGTTTGTGTAAGCGTTACAGCTCAAGGGCAGAAGCTGCAGCCCATGCAAGTGCTACTGCAGCTCAGAAATAAGACCAGCATATCAGGCCTAGAATAGAAGTCTAAAAATCAACAAGTGTCAGTTCAGATAATCACGTGAATGCATGCAGCCATGATCACTGCATTTAAGAAGACATGAAACAGTGTTACTGTCAGCTGGTGAACTAAATTGTCTGCTTTTTGAAGCTGTTTTTTCTTAGTTAGTTTGCTCCTACAATAACATAAATATCTACTAATGATGTGATTTTTTCCAGATTTTTTCCAGCTGTGAATCATGAATATTTTTTAAGTAGATTGAAGGCATTTGAGGATGATGCAGCAAGCAGGTTGTAGAAGCTTTGATTGATTATTTTTTTAATGTGAACCAACAACAGTATATTGACATGTGTTCAACATTGTTAAGTGTTAAAAGTTTATAACTGCTGCTGGTCTTCCTGAAACGCAGGAGGATGTTGGTGTTCAGCTTGATCTCAGGCTGTTCCTTTAAATTTACAGCGTCGGCCCCGGTGTGTAAGGACCATTAGATGGAGTGTAAAGCTAGATCAAGCACTTTGTTTGTCTGTGTCCCTGCATCACAAACTGAGCTGATTACTAAGTTTTGGTGGATCAAAGGAGGTCTGCTCTTGAATCAATGTCAGTCACATGCCAGAATCATACTTCATTTAACCATCTTGTAATTCCTCTAATTGACTAAACATCTCCACTCATAAGCTTAGATTTCTGGACAATATTCATGCAACTCATCCACTTTCTTCTGCATCTTTATCCTTTTTAAGCTACAAATTTTGCTCTAAATCAAAGCGTCACACAGACGAGAACAAAACAAGAACACTAAAAGGACGCCACAATGTGAAAGCCAGTTTGACTCCAGAGCAGAACCCTTTTGTGTATTATACTGAAAGACATAGCCTGTGGTTGCAAATCAAATTAACTTTTTTATTTGCCAGAGGAAAAATGTTTTATTTCATCTTGTAAGAGTTCTCACCCTAAACCGTGTCTGCAATAAAAACCTTCAAATTGCATGCCGTCACTCTACATTTGGCTATACTGCTCTATATAGATGAACCTTGTCAAACCAAAAGTGCTTAAAAACAATGACACACAACAGTTAGCATGCATCTCATTATTTTTGCTGCAACTAATACAATAAGCCATATTCCTAAGTAACTGGCAGGTACAGTGAATGTAGCACCAGCCTGAATTTGGACTTACACCTCTCCTGGTTTTATGTTCTGGTTGTGCAATGGAAAATATGACAGAACCACTTTGTGTATTGTAGTGGAGAACTAAAAAAGCCAGTGGAGTTTTGATTACCTGCATAAAGCACAGCCTCATAGATTTTTTTAAACAATTCATTAAATTATTATTTGTGTTGCCGGAGTGAAAGATTAAAGGTGTGCTGTGAAAAGTACCAAAAACATGAATCATCACACCTTTACATGGGTCAGATGTTAACTCCTAATGACTCCGGATATTGCAGTGATTCAGAAATTGTTAATATCCTCCTGCACAGGCGGATCAAAGGTCAGGATACTGTATTCGAACACTCCAGGTTGTGTCTGGGAGAGTTGAATGGTATCTACTGTATGTATCAGCAGAGTCCACCTGCTAAACCCAAATGCAATAACACAGCAGAGATAGCGATCAGCTGAGTTATGTTATCTCACCGTGACGGGCTTAACTCTAGAGATGGATTTAGAGGAAAGGGAGGGCCGGTACTCTTTGCCGTGCTGGAATCAGAACTTCTATGCTGGAAATCCCGTGTTAATGAAAACACTATCCTTGGCGGGTGGCTGGTGTTGAAATCTATGCAACGCAGTTCCCAGGATTTCTCACACGTTCTCGCTGTTTGCTCTTCTCTCACTCTCTGCTTCCTTCTTTGGCTGTGTAGAAAGACCGCTTCAAACGGTGCCGACTACACCTTCTACCCTTCCTGGCACTCTTTTTTTTCCCCCCTTATTCTTTTTTTTTTTTTTTCTCTCCATGGCTGAATCTCATCTCTCTGTATCAACATCAAACGCCTGCTCTTGAACAAACATTCAAAGACTCTAACAGTTTGTTTCCAACTTCCTTGTCATCGTCTCATTCCTCCACTCTCTGTTTACTCAAGGATTTGCTTTAGAAAATACATTTTGGGATGCCTAATCCCACCAAGTTTGATTTCTGCGGCAGGGTGATGGCTTCCAGCTGCGCTCTGCGGCATATTTGTGTGAAGAACGATCTTCGAAAACAAGTTTTGTTGGTGGTATAAATCAGACTGTTAATGCTGTGCTGGCTCGGCGTACGGTCTCTCTGCTTACATGGTGGCCCTCTCTGCGTGCGTGTCACTGCGTGTGTCAGTGCCTGTGTGTGTTTGGCAAAACCGATGATGACTGATGATGTTCTTTCACCACAATCAAGCCCATTTGCAAACCCTTAAATCAAATACCCTCAAATGCCAGCACAGCAAATTGCAAATTTGAATATGCAGCATAATCTGTTTAGCTTGCCTTTGTTCTTCGTATTTTGATAGGATTGATCATATTTCATGTTATTCTCGAGACTAAGCAGTAAAAGCAGCTGGGTAGCAGCAGCTGGGGAGATGGGGAAGTGGAGGGTGTGTTAACATGGCACTCTGTTTGAAAACCAAACAGCTCTTTTTATTCCAGCACTCCCACAACAGTGATGTTACACATTACCCACTCTAGAGATGGCTATTTGGTGCAGTCCAGAGTCCTTTATAATCTATGAGGCTCACAAAGACACAAGAAAGTCACAGATCCTGGCAAAGAGAATCTCTAAATCTTTGAAATACAAATTCAACCATCTTTAAGTTAACATGAGCAACCCGCTTTTTCATCTTTACTGTCAGGGAGCAACGGCAGAGGGAGGTGACTACAAACTGGGTTTAAAGACTTTTGTTTTTGCATATAATTTGGATTTTTCGGTTTTCTTATCCTTTTCAATCACTGGAGGCCTTCAGTGTTTTCTCTGTTGTAAAACTCTCATGTATGTCCTAAAGGAGCGCATCAAAGGGACACCACCGTGAACGTGACTCTCATGTGACTTAAGATTCATAATGGGGATTCCCAGCTGCAAGACCTAGAACTAAAACACCGAATTGAATTTTTCTCTGGAGTTATTTTTGACCAAATCAGCTGATGCGGATCACTTAAAATCGGAAAGTGGAGGAATTAATCTGGCGTGCAGTGAGACTCAGGAGCGACACGGGAGAAATGTCAGGGCTCCAAATGCTGAGATCAGGATCAGGAAAACCCAAACCACGATTGACATGGCTAGTGTTGTGTAAATTTATATGGTTAGAAATAGTTAGCACTGATGGGAAATATACATCCTCTTCAGTTAGGATATAAATATATGTGTGGAGGTGAGTGTGACCAAATAAGCAACAAATGAGTACAGTCTGTGTGTGTTTGTGTTTAACTGATACAATGGAGTCCCCACATATATATATGTATGGACAGGTTTTTTTCTTTTCTTTTCAATCTATGTATGTCTGTAAACATCCCTCTTTTCAATACCTATTGAGTTCTAAAAAAAGAACTCCCAAGTTCTCTCATCCACAGGTCCTCGCTTGTGATTAGGTAAAAGCGCTCTCAAAGGTTTGGAGTAGCAGCTTTGTTTGCCCTCAGCCTCCTGCCAATAAGAGATGTTAGAGGTATACTCACAGTGTGCTTTAAACACTCTTGACCCCTGAAGTTCCCACTGAAGTGGCTCAGCTTCGTCCTCTAATTGCTTCTCACCAACAATGACAGCATTCCTCAGCCGAGAGGACGTGTTTATTTAAGTCAAATCAAAGTTATTTCCGTGCTCCTTGACTCTCTGCAGACTACACGGCGTTTAGTCTGAAACCAAGCTCTAAGTCCTGAAGAGCTTGTAGCTTTAGCTCAAGTGACATGACAACATGCCTAATACGTATTTGTTTTTGCAGTTGCCTTGGCAATATTGCGCAACCGAGTCCTAATGATGGAGCCATTTGCGCTGTTGTTCATTGTTTATTTATTTGTGCCGTTTTTGGGTGTGGACATGCATATTTGTGCGCTCGACATAAATTCGAGCATGGCTTCACGAGTGCTGTGGCTCTGATTGCTTTTTCAGTTTGTGCATGTTCATGTTTGTTCAAATGAAGAGGAGCATTTGAAGACAAGCCATCGAGCTTTAGAAGCCAGATGTCAGAGGTCGTTCCACATTAGTGCTGCCGATCAATCGCAGGCCTTGCGTAACTCTCCTTCTCCTTTGTCTCTAAAGGAAGTGGATTAGAGGCTGTTTTCTGAGCGGGGACCTGGGATGATTAGTTCGGCCTGTTTAGAATGCATGCACTCACAGATGCATACAAACAGGCACTCAAAACAGACGGCCTGGATGGGAGAATAGACAGTTTGTTTTTGAGATGCTCATTATTTTAGTTTCTGCCAAATCATGGCAAATGAGATGATGCCATAGTCTTCTTTGATGCTCAGGCAACATGCAACTTTCTTTCCTGCCTGCAGGTCGGAGTCGCTGGAAAATCTCCTAAGTAATCAGAACTTTGACTATTTCATCAACAAGCCACCAACAAAGTGAGACCTCCTAGTCACATTTGGTGATGGGCCAAACTTGTTTGAACCAGAGTTTGGCTGATGGCTGCAGAGATTCTTGTTTATAGAAGTCGCATGCAATATGTCAATTCATATTTGAAACCTTCAACAGTAATTTCCCAGATCCAGCTCAAAGTCCTTAAGAGGATGATGAAGATGAAAAGAAGAGCTTAAACACTAAAGGAAACAAAAATGTGAGTCTAGGGCCATGCTGATGGCGTGATGAGCCTGTGGATTTGCATAACATTGCCTTGAACTTCAAGCATGCTAACAGGCTCGGCGTTTGAATTATTACATGCTAATGTTTAAAAGCTGTAATTTTAACCCCGCTCTTCCTCTTAGCTTAGCATTAAAGCATGTTAATGTCCTGAAATCAGCACAGTGTATGGTTGGAGCCAATGGGAAGAGAAGGTTTGAATGTGCTACCAACTGTTTAAAAGTTAGAAATACTTTTAAAGATAATACATGTATCGATTTTAAGGCGATCAGTCACAGAGTTTTTGAACCGCACTAGTGTCCGCTTAATGTTGGCCCTGGAGAAGAAGTCAGAAACAAGGATGCACTGATCCGATATTTGGATCAGATATTGGATCCGATATTGACAAATTAACTAGATCGGATATCTGACACCAATCCAGTGTTCTGATCCAGTCTTTTTTTCTTTTAATTAATATCATACACAGCAACACAGCGATTCTGTTCGCCCAAGATTCTATGTCTGTCTATCCTTTTGCTCTAAATTTTTACAGGGAAGTCTTACTTCTTTTTGCTGTGTGCTAATGTGCAATTTGTTATATGTTAAAAATGGGCCGATACACTCAGCCCAGGTATCAGTGCATCTGTTGTCAGAAAATCATCGAATTCATCAGGAATTATTTCATTTAATTCATTTTCATTGTTTGTTGCTGTCTTCGCCCGTTTTTACAAAGATCCATCCGTTAGTTATCGAAACATTAAACCTCAGCAAAAACTTGATGAGACCTTCTTTACTGGAAGGAGGAATAACAGAGAAAAAATAAAGGAAAAGTGGAAAAGATTGTTTTTCTTCTTTCCTTCTATGAGTAGCTTTTGAGTGGTGTCAGTGTGGACTTTGAATCTTAACAGCTCCTACAATGCAGTCAAAAATATAAAAAGTACTGAGTCATATAACTCCTTATCTATAATACATTTTCAACAGATTAAGGTGTATTTTTTTTTTCTTGTTAGATAAGCTGTGACTCCTCTTGGAAGCTGCTATAACTCTCGTGGTCTTAAGCACTTTGTTATTGGCATTTTCCATCAACTTCACACTCAAACTGGAACAATGGGTGAGGTTGGAAATTATTTGAAACTTGACACAATCCAAGCTTACGGTATGTCTCTTTACATTGAGGGCCTGAGTGAGAGAGTGTGTTTCCTGCAACACCACCGACGGGCCTCACTGTCGGCTGGAGTCCTGACAGTTAGCGATAGTAGATGAACCGACCAGAGTGCCCTCTGATCAGACAGAACCATTACACAACACATCCCCAACCACTGGCTTCAGCGCTGCTTCTGAATACTATCGAAGAAGTCGTATCTCCAGCTACTTCTAAGCATTTATTACCATCTGGGTTGAGTTCCTGTTTCCAAACAATTATCCCCTTTTCCCCCCCAAAATGAGCCTCACTTTGTTTAGTTTTTTTCACCCTTCTTTCTTTCTTTCTTTCTTTCTTTCTTTCTCCTCGACGTTGATGTCTGGAGAATTTATTGGAGATTAACTTGTCAGAGAAGGCTTTTTCCACGGCTCACTTTACTACATTCATCATTCATACACATAACAGATAGCATTCCACAATTTATCGCTGTGGGCCCATCTCCTCAGCAGCAGGTGTGTGTGTGTGTGTGTGTATATGTGTGTGCGCCTATGTGTGTGCACATTCATGTCTATATGCGCATGTATGCCCATATTTCTGCATGCACGTGTTCATTTCTCCCATGTTTGCGTATGTTATGAAAGAGCTGTTTTATAATGGTCAGACTTCGATGTGTCTGGCCGGCTGGGGCGCACACACACTTTTCAACATCTGATCATAACTCAGTCAGAGAGGAGAGAGACACACACACACACACCTAGCTCTGGAAGCTTTCAGTCACAGATCATATAGTGTTGTGTCCATGTGTGTACACACATACGCACACACTCACACACACACAAACACACACACAAGGTAAGTATGCCCAGCCAAGACAGGCCACATATTATTAAGTTTAATACAATGGAGAAAATACACAGTTGTGCACACATACACATTTTCTGCTCAATAAAATTTTGTAATGATTTTAAACTGCCCTGCCAACCAAACTAAACAGACAAACCAATACCAACATTGTATATAAACTCAACAGGTACAAATATGAATGTACGCTCAATCAATCAATCAATCAATCAATCAATCACTTTATTTATAAAGCACTTTTCATACATAAACTTGTATCACAAAGTGCTGTACACAAGAAGGAGAGGATCAGGGGATACAAAATAAAACACAAACTAAAATACAAACTCCTAAAACCCCACCCACCCACCCTCCAAGCCTGCATTCAACAGAGACCCCCCCCACCCACCCACACACACAGACACACACACAGACACACACACATACACACACTCTCACAACGATCATGACACCAAGTCAGGGCTCAACAGGAAGTCACAGAGGACCAAGGAAACGCTATCTTAAACTAAAATGGGGGAACACATGAGCTGAAACTAAACTGATAAAACCATGACAAGATATAAAAAAAATCAAATGAAATAAAATAATACTAATAATACTACTACTACTACTAATAATAATAATAATGAAACCGTTTAAAAATCAAACAATAAAAGAAAATAAACAAATAGTGTTAAAATATAAGATAATAATTCTAGGACTAAAGTGGAGGGAAATACTAAAAAGAGTAGACTAAAAGAAAGGCTAAAACACAGCCTTCTGAATTTCAGGATGAAAACAATGATTCATAAAATTATTTAATATGTATTTATAAATCATATTCTTGTTAATTTTTGCGCTGTCTAACCAAGAGTTGGTTAGTCTTTTCTTGTTTTTTCACTCTCAATGCCACAAAGCTTTTTTGACAGTGTTTTTGGTGAACCACTCCATGTGACACCTGCCTAACTGCAGTGGATCCAGACATTAAAAAAAACAACCTTCTATAGCAATAACAAAACTCTTTGCTTATTTCCTTGTTTGCTTTTTGAGGACACACTAAGCGGTAGTGTTTACAAAAAGTCGACTGATGCCATAGTGTGACTGAAACTGAACTTTTGAAGAGCGTGTAAACACATTAGTCTGACTAAAATGGCACTAAATCGAACTCTGGATAATGCAGTCTGGATAATGCAGTCTGGGATTGATTTTCATTTGTATGTTTACGGCTCAGACAGAGTGAAACCGGCCAGAACTGAAAGGACACTTAAAAAAAGGCCAAAAACTTTCCTATCATGGCGACAAACAGTACAGGGTATGTAGCTGTAGAAGTGCCAGTGTTTTCATTGCTCGACATACATCCTGTTAGCCTGATGGTTATTGATTTGATGGGTAATAAGTCAAGAAGGAGACAACCCGATCATGATGAGCTGAAAGGGGGCATGTCACTGTCTGTTATAGCCTCTGTCCAGTGCATGTAAACTGGAACAAGGACAGTAGTCCAATCAAATCACCTAATCAGTCTATGTCCACAGCTCACCTTAACTGTACATGTAAACATAAATGAGTGTTATTTTCAGTCTGTGGCATGACTGGCTGAAAACACCCCACAGGAGCTTAAACAGCTTACATCCTAATACAGATGAGTTCTAAAATATTCACTTCCCACTAAGTGTTTACAAAAATTTAATCTCATCTAATTTCATTGAATGTGACAGATAAAACCCATTTCATTTGGAAGCTTTTTGCCTCTGCTAATCCTTTTTGGAAAAACTGGTCCCACCTTCCAAAATTTAAGCAGAGCAAATTTTACAAGTTAATATTTTATCTGCAGAATTTTCCTTGTCAAATTTCACCAAATTGAACCTTTTGAAACTGTTGATAACTTTCTATGTAGGTGTATGTTTTGGGGTTTTTAAGGGGACCATCATGTTGTGGTTAGATTGGTGCTTACAGATACTGTACTTTAATGATAATGGAGGTATTGTAGGTACCAGTTGCTGCATCAGAACGATCTGTTCTGCGCTGATCTTTTTCTTATTCCTTTTGTCATTTGTCTCGGAGCGTTAGTCAAATGCATTTCCTATTTTTATTCTCTTAGCTGGTGCCCTTCACCAAGATGCCTGCAGCTGTCCTGGGCAATAAAGTAGGCCAGGCCAACACATGCATGCGCACCCAAGACATACACATGCAAATACACAAGCGTGCACAGAGCAAGAGCCAGTGAGAAGTAGGGCAGACAAGCAGGCAGCGTTACCAGAGCCCTTGGATCAGAGGAGTAGGCCGTCCCAGAGGAGCATCATGTCATAACAGTCTTGATTGCACAGCATTTAGGAATGCCTGCAGTTTTAACCTCACCATGATGAGGGGTCACCCAGTGATGTCATCGCCAATCCTTCAGATGCCCCCCTTTAGTTGCACACAGACATTCTTTAATTCACCCCCTCCATTGCCATCCCCATGTGGTGTGGGGTAATCGTCCACAAATGCTCTGTGGTGGCAATTAGACATGCAAGATTTCCTCTCCAGCCAGCCAGTACCCACTGAAAACTAGAGATGCTTCAGTTCACTTGTCTTTTGTGCGCTGACTGATCTTTTCCTGTATTTACTTTCGGACTGACAAAGTTTTCCCACCTTTGCCCTCTCCTCCAGGTGCAGTACAGCGATGCCCAGAGCGGTAAGGATTTCGTGACCTATCTGACCCTCTCCCCTGTGCAAATGACTTTCCACGGCACCGGGAGCACCCTCCAAGCCAGCCATGACCAGGTACAGCTGTGTGGGTTGGTGGGAGGGTGGGTTTGTATGTAAGCATTTGAGTGGAGAGTGAGTGTCACGTTTTATGAATTCTTGTAGATTTTTCTCAAAGATTGGATATCAGAGATGAGCAAAAGCTTTTCTTAAGACCACAGATTTTTGTTGGTTTTCTGAGTGTTAGCCAGAACTTATGGATTATTAGCACATACATGTTTTTGTTGTTCTCACCTTCAAAGTAACTCTTTTAATGTGTCATGTGTTTTGTCTTGTTGCCAGACTGTGCCATATAAATGTACTTGCCGTGCTAACATTATGACACACCTGTATGAGGAGGGTCATCAAACTCACGCTAGGTGCGACTGCAAACCTATGTCATTTCGTGATCATGCGTGCGAGTGCATGTTCAATCGTGACATAAGTAATTACCACAGATGCATCGACAATCATTGCGGTTATGATGGAAATGTGCAGACAAAAGCGTTGTTGCCTCGTAACTTTGACCCTGAAGTTCAAATCTCATGGAAATCTAATTATCTGTGACTTTTTATCAAACGCCTTACTAACAACATAACCCAATTTCAAAAGGTAGGAAGCCATGCACAAACCACAATGAAGAAAGTAAACAAAACACAAATTTCTCAAATTTCTCGCTCGCCCAGTTTGTCCGCTCTCTGCCACAGCAATAAGAAATAAAACCACACCCAGCTCCATATAACCAGAGGTGATTTCACTCATTTAGGAAGTGCAGTGCAACAAATATAAAACTTTATATTAAAACTCCTAAAATTAACCAAAACTGCTTTATCAAAAAAAGGGGAAAACTATTATGAATTGTTGATGAAATGTAGTCACCAAATCATTAACTGCAGCAGTGTTTTCCTCTGCAGCTTCTATTTGATCCCACAAAGTAAACAGTAACGCCCGTTTGTCCGTGCCAACTCAATAACAGCGTCTTATAACAGGCGCGCTCTGCTCTCTCTGTTGGTCCTACCTATCATAATGAAATGAAATGAAATGCAGCATACTGTATATGGTTCACTATACAGTATATAGGGCATGGGGTCTCCTCCTTTAATTAACAGATGAGCGTGGGCTCTGTTGCTGTAATATTAATCATGAGGGCATCAGAAGCACCTGTGATAATAATCATTTTTCTGCACTTATCATGACAAGCCCCTCTTACACTAACACTCGGCCAACATTTTTTATGATTATCAATCCTTCAGAGTTTTACTCATCTTCAAATCTGAAACAGTTCCTCCGTGACTTGTGGCATAACCCTCTCCCACCCCCCCTTCAGTTTTCTCACTCACTCTGTCTCACATACTCGCTGTATTCAGAAGGAGGCTCTTTGTCCCGTGTTGCCCAAGCAGAAAACCAGTTGCTTACATTCTATCATCTAAACATAGGACGCCCCTTTTATTCAGCGGTCTTCAAAGCTTTAATAAAGGGCCAGCGGAGCCCTGAATGGGACAGCTGACAGGGGGCTAGTGTCGCTCCTGCTAGCTGAGAGCCAAGCCAATATAGGGCAGGCAGGTCTGCGTCCTCAGGACCTGTTGTTGCCAGGAGCACTGGGGCATGACCGACTGTTAGGAGAAGCCTTTCTTTTCCTGTTCTCAGTACAGTGAGGAGCACGGCCACAAAGGGAGCACCAAACAATAAGGGGTCACCCTCAGAAGCCCCCAAACCCTAACACTTGTTGAACAAAGTAGACCTCAGGGGGTCACACATGTGGCTGATGGAGAAGGCTGGTGCCTGTGAGGATGGGAGTGTTGTTGACGCTCGTATAAAGCCAGTAGATTTACCTGCAAGGCAACGCAATGGATTTATGAGGCTCTGGTATCTCCTTTTGTCAGTCAGATACACGTTTTTTATACCACGTGTCGACCTTCGCACCTGCGCACACCCGCAGATATGTACCTTTCGCTTTTATCTGTGTAGTCAGACACTGTAAAGATGGGGTAGGAGATCCCTTGGATAAGCAGCAATGACAAGTATGACTGGTGCGTGTCCCTGTTGTTGTCCCAATACGACAAAGTATGCGGTGACTCTGATAGGAATCTTCCGCTGTGTTATCTGTACAAAGATTGAGATTTTAGGTCAAGTAACCAGGGCATTGCACCCAGGTGGACTTTGATATTTCCCACAAGTCAGGGTTGGGGACAAATAGTTCCTGCAAGGACTCTGAGAGTTCAGGGAGGAGCAAACGTAAGAAAAAAGTTTGCAGAAAGAATGTCTGAAAGAAACCCTGATTGGAAGAAATCCTCAACTGATGAAAATGAGTCCCTTACTGCTTCGCCTCTTGTTGTTTCTCCTCACCAGAAGACACATAGTTGTCCCAAAAATTTGAAATGATCATGGTTCGACTACTTAAAGCACCTGAGCTCTCTGTATCACCATCCTTTGAGAGGGATTTGTTGGACTTAAGGAGAGGAGATGTGCAATACGGACCTCAGGGACTCTGAGGCAGCTGATGAGTCAAGTCTTCAGTTGTCAAATCTTAAAATGATGGTTTCCAAGTGGAGCTAAGCCAACCTTCATTTCAAACCTACTGTAATGCGGTAAAGGATATTGATATTTTATTTAACTGAGCAGTAATTCTGGTGCAAACTAGCAAGGTGACAACATGCAATCATAAATTGACTGAATTTCAGTCCTACTTTGGGTTTCAAGTCAAACGACAGAACATCAACAAGCCTTAGGAGTGCTGACACAGGAATCACTTGTGTCTGAGACTTTGATGACAGACTAACAAGGTTGGGCCAAAGAGAGCATGACAAACTCACAGTGATACAAAATTTAAGGTCAGGTGGCTCCAGTGATAACCCTTGCTTTATAATCCGGGCTTCTACGTGACAACATAAATGTCTCTGTAAACAATACATACCAAACTGTTGGTACGATATGGTACCAAACTATGGGCGGCATCTAATGCACGAATCAGCTATGCCAGGAGTATGCAGGTGCACACTGGTAAAGTGCCTGAGGGAGCGCCTGAATAAACAAAAAAAAATTAGGGCATGAGGGCGTAGCTTGGCACAGGTGAAGGACTTAATAGTCGTAATAATATTGCATGTGATAATTGTTTCACTTGTTATGCCGTAAGTGAGGAAGTGCCGAAAATAAATGTACTTTCCTTGATTATAGAAAGTGTCTTTTTCTCAAATTGTTACAAATAACAAAAAAATATTATGACTATTATATTTTTCCATTGTCATTCAAAAAAGTCTGTATTACAGATGTAGACCTGGGTTTAAATTTGCAAACACAATAACTCACATGCACCTCTTTGTGGGTATTTGGGCTTTAAAACCAGAAGGTTTGGCTGTTAATTGAGTTGTGTTTCTTGAATTAAGCGGTTCGCATGTGAGTCATGAGATTAATTAATAACCCGTCTGAGTTACAGAGTTTGTGGTCTGAGATCTAAACCTCATTTTTTGCCTTCTGCTAAAGGGTAAACAATTATGATTGAGAGCAGTGGTGCTGTCAGTGGAAGTTTTACAACTGTCTGCTCTTCATCAGCAAGTGCGCACACAAACTCACACAGAAGCACCTCCACCGAAACCGTGTTTAGGCACCGTAATCCTTGGCCTTGTGTAGACATTCCTGGAGGGCCTGTATGTGTGAGAGATATACAGCTGAGTGCTCCCCCTGACCTTATGTGCCATCCACTCTGTGCCATCTGCCAGACACATGTCAGCCCGCAGGCTGCTGCAGCTCCTGGAGTGAGAGATGTTTGTCAACATGCCCTCCATTTTCGCTCCAAACTATTTTGGGATTTTTGTTTTCAAATATCCAAGGGAGCGGGAACCCTGCTCTTTGTAAATGTTAAACATGTCTCCTGTTTTCATTATCCATTATAAATTGGAGGGTGTATTTTTAGGTGACCTCGTGTTAGTATCAACATCAGACTTACAACCATGACCTACTTATAACCACAAACTTCCAGTACAGCTGTCTGAACGAACCCCTTAAGGTCGTACAAGCTGGCTCTGTTGACTCTGCAATCACATCATTGATATCTGATCGTTACAAGAACAAATTAAAGAGCATGGCTCTGTGATTTATTAAGACTCTCCACTGACATGTCTACATGCTTTCTGGACAGGCTGATTTCTGTGTTTGTTCTGCAGAGCTGAAGTAACTCTCTGGCAGTCCCTCTGTGGCGGCAGTGGGACACCAGGGGGGCCGTAGCCCACTGAGCTGTATGTGAGGTGTCGCTGGTCCAACATGAGCGGCCCGCAATCGAAGATGACAGGGTGACTGTTGTCTGCCACCAGACTCTTGTGTGTGTTTGTATGGACGTGCATGTGTGTGTGCGGGCTTCGCTTTGCGTGCAGTTATGTCCTCAGCTGAGCCAGCCCGGGTCCTTGGGGCCCTGTCTCCCAGATTGTCAGCTGTGGCTGCTTGGGTTTCCTGCAGCAAGAGCACATTTTGGCTGATTTGACATGACTTGTTAGACATAGTTTATCAGGATTAATATGTGTTTTAGACAGGCTTCCAGGTAATGAGGCCTATGTTTTTATTCTGAATTTACTTCTTGAGATTTGTTCTGAGCCTGTCAGGTATTTTTTTCTTTTCCTCTGCTCTTAGTTTTGTAGCTGAACAAAGGTTGGCCCATCTGAACAGCCTTTATTAACTGTCTTTCCAAGACTGAGACCAGAATACTGATGGATATGTTAATTGGTGGATGGATTATTGGATGTCAATGGAAACTCCAAAGCAAGCATAATTAGAAAATATGCATAACTTTAATAGTGAAACACTGAGAGGTTGACGTCTTGGTGTAGATATAGATACTTATATAGATTTAGATATTGATATTGCCACAGACTGGGGGTCAACCAATGATCTGCATTTGGCAGATTATCCCTAGTATAGTACAGAGAACAGTATTGGTTCAAGGGCTGGGATGAAATGCTTTTCTCCCGATTCGATTCTTGTATGATTTTTCGGGCGCCGAATCAGTTTCAATTGCAATTCTACAATATTGACGATTTTCTTGATTTTTTGTCCGTATTTTTAACACCAGTGAAACAGTTGAGTGATTAGGATTGTCTACTGACTATTCCAGGAACCATATTTCCCCAAAAAACACACATCACATGTAAGTCAGTTTTTAAGATTTATTCTTAAATTTGAACAAAAAAACCCAAAAAATTCTATTTAAAAATTGTAAAACAAAAAATCGCAATATTTATGTGAATTGCCTTTTTTTTCCCACCCCCAACTGGTTCTGATATCAGCATTTGTTATCAGGTCCAGTACTGGCATTGCTACAGAAACTAGATCCAGCATCGATGATGGTATTGGTATTCATACTTGGATCAGCTCTATTGTTACCTCAGATTCTACTTTTATCCCCCTTGCATAATGGCTTTGACATAACCTAATCAAAACACAATTTAGTCACATGCTTGATTACCGTGCCATTATGTTACCCAATCCTCCCTACAGAAACAAAACCCTGGCCTGGACAGTTCTACCAAACTAATTGGGCATCTGACCTTGTCCCTGGTATTTAGGTTTTGGCTCCCAGCTGAGGGAACAAAGAATGAGGGAACAGTGCTGGAAGAGAGTGATAATGAGGACATCTATTTACAATTTGGCCGCATTCCTGCCTTCACTCCCAAGTTTGATAACAGAGGGAAAAATGGCACCAGGAAAAGGTGGTGGTGAGAGGATAGATGAAACTGATTCATGGTGTGGTGACTGCTGGGAGGGTCTTCACAGATCCCCCATGGAGCTAAGCAGAACAGCAGGAGAGGGAGCTGCAGAGGGGCGGGAGGTTGTACAGGTTTTTTTTGTTTGAAGTCTTCCTTCCCGACTGGGGGCACAGACGTTACCCAAGGCTTGAGCTCCTCTCAGGGGGTCCAGCAGGAGTGTTACCCAACCAGGCAGGCAGCTGTCCGACATGCTTGCCTCGCCTCTTATCTGTCTCGTCTGTCTCCTCTTTATGTGTCAGTGTTGTGTAACCAAACACAGCACCTGGACACATCTTAAATCACTGTATGTGGAGAAAACAGGAGAGTCTGACATAATCTGCACTGGCATGCACTGAGGGCATTTGATGAGTTTGGAGCAAACATTTTACCGTTCAGTTTTTACATCCCTCACTGACGTTAGAAAAATCCAAGACAAATCAGAAAGCTAACCAAAGGCTTTTGGTCATTTGTGAAGAGATGCTCCCAGTTTTGTCCTTTTATCAACAACACTTTTAATATTCTGAAGTAGAAGTGGGTTAGGTCAGAAAGCTTGTTTGTTCCAGTTATTTTGGAACCTCAAACATCTTTACGGGATGAAAATCCAATTAAATTGAGTTGGATGACTCTTATGAATCGAATTGAGAATAAGTACTTTCATTTTCATGCCTGTATTACCAGGAAAGGAAAAAGGCCACAAGCTACTTGTGGTCATCCTGGGAGACTCTGTTTGTTTACTCTTTTTTTGTCAGCATTGAACATTGTATAAAGACATAGCATTAAAATAGGTAGAACAGTCTGTTCTGGCCCTAAGGACTCACTGTGTGGTCCGTGTTTAAGGGAAGTGCAGATGGGCCCTTCTAGTGGTGTTGCACTGCTTGTGACCTGGACTCCTGAGTACGAATCTCTTACTATACTATATCGTATTGTATTGAATCATATCTTATTGGTTTGGTATGGTATGATATGGTCTTTATTGTCATTGCAACTTGTGCACAACGAAATTGCATGTTATCCTGTCACACCATATCCTATCATATCTTACTGTCTTGTGTTGTACTCTATTGTGCTTCTCTACACCCTATCATATCATGTTGTACCCATATGATAACACTTTATTTGATGCCTATCTCAATAACACATTATGAATATATGTATAATGTGTTATAATCATGTTATAGCACTGTGTAACTATAGTTATAAACACTCATAAATGATCATAATGCTTTATCACAATCACCATAACACATTATAAAGCATTTTATCATGACTTACAAGGTCAGGTATTATAATGTGTTATAACTGTTAAAAACTCACTGACAATGCTAACATACTGTTGTTATAACAGTTATAACACATGATTATACCTGACCTTGTTAGTCATGATAAAATATAATGTGTTATGATCATTGCTATAAAGCATTATCATCATTTATAAGTGTTTATAACTATAGTTATACAGTGCCATAATGTGATTATAATGCATTATACATATATTAATAATGCATTACAGAGCTAGGGGTCAAATAGAGTGTTACCTATCATATCATAGTTTTGCAGAGGTTTTAATCCCGCTTTAATCTGACAACAGGATTTCGATAAATAAGATGGTCCTTTACCCCCCCCCCCACCAACGCTGCATCACTGAGCACCCCCCGCTGTCAGGCCCCCCGACTCTCCCCCTACCCAAACTCACCTCATTCCCGCCCCTGGAGAAAAGACAAAGCGAAGCATCCATGCAGCGATCCATCACTCCCGCCTGTCTTTCTCACATGCCCTCCTCAGGAAACACCTTTCAGACCGGGGAGATTAGAGTGTGACGGGAGGGGAGAGAAGTAGTGAAAGAATGATGGAGGAGGAGAAGGAAGAGGGGTAAATGATTCAGAGAGGGAAAGACAGAGTGAGAGGGGCACTGGAGAGAAGTTGATTGAGCAGGGATAGGCGAGGTTGTGGAGGAGAGAGGAAATTGGGGGATGTGGTTGACTTTTTGAAGAAGAGGAGGAATACACATGAACTTGCCCATTAAGGGACATGCTAATAGCTCCAGGTGCCCCCCCCTCTTTTCAATGTCTGGGTGATGTGATTACAGGTTTCAGTCTTATATCTATATTGTTCTCTTTACCTGTTGTTTTATGCACCTGTCAGACCAGGGTGATTACTTTAAGGCAACCCAAGGTGTTACATTCATTATCACCTCTGTGCTAAGAGGAGCGAGATGTTTTGGCAGTGGCCTTGCAACCTCCAGCGCTGTCAGGCTGCATGTGTGATTTCCCACACGCACGAATGTGGCGGAGCCCCGAAAACTAATCACACCTTCCTTCACTCATCGCCCCCAGTGGGAGGAATGAGCGAGCAGCGCTGCTAATTCACCACCTACCTACCTACTGCTCTTTGTATCATCTTTGGCTCATTAGCTTAATGTCATTTGATACTGAGTGATAGCCCGCCTTGCTGAAAAGGTCCCCGAGATAAGGGACAGGTATTTAATCTTTTTCCTCTGCCTTGCAATCTCCACAGGTGACAGTGTGTGAGATATGTCACCTGTGGAGAAAACACCTTTATGAAAAACCAACAGTTAGGCTTTTCTTTCTCTGCAAAGGTTAACACGTGTCTTTGTTTCATAATCAGCATTATGCAAACTGTTTTACAACCCCCCCTTATTGTGGTATTCTAATATACAAACCGTACTACAACAGGGGATTATCAGGGAGGTTTTTGAGAGTTAAGCGTAGCATGTGAGGAAGGTTTAATAAGCCCCTGTTTGACACCCTCATACAGGCTTACAGTTGATAAATCTGAGAACTCTCCAAAGTAACAGTGGTGCTTTCAGTCGTACCCTCCTCTTCCAGAGTCGAGCTGTATGTCAAACATCTTTTGTGCAGCTTCTCGGGGGACAAACTCTGGATCTCAAAGCCCTCTAACTTGATCCATGACACACGTCTTGTGGTTAAAAACATCTAAGAATTAATCATCACGGAGCGCTGCGAAAACAAGTCGCACACTGACAGTAATTGAAGGCACACCTCAGGGGCTTAAAAAAAACTACACATCTACAGAGAGCAACAGACACTGAACAATAACCTGTATTGTTGGTTGTTTTAAGAACTTTTTGCTTCCCTGACTCAATGAAATCAGATCCCCCAAAGGCTTAGATTATATTTGTTTACGGAAGTTGTTTTCAATTTCCATCATTAGAGCGCTTCATTTGGAATTACAGGTAATTGTTGGGATTTCGCAGATAGGTCCATAGATGTATAGAGTTTATTCAGCTTTATTCAGAAGAACTTAACTTAATTTTTTTCTGCCTTTACTGCGATCAAAAGTGCAAAACAAGGAGATTTTCTTACACGGAGACCCTGATTGGGCTCTAAAAGGGGACAATGCTCCCTGTGGATGGAGTCAAGTCATTAATGTCCCACATTAGGATCAGGTCTCAATGGCTGGGTCCTGAGTTATGGAGATGAGCGTAGCGACTGGGGAATGTTTTTCTGTCTGTCTGAGCCCCCCTCTCCCCCTCCTCTCCTCCCTCCACAGCCACCTTCCTCTCATCTGGATGTTAACGCATTCTCAGGCCTCAAACTGCAGACATTTTGAAACACTCAAAACAACAGCCACATCGGGGGTTAACACCAGTTACGACTGAAGTGTCACACACTCCTGCGGTTTACGTAAACACTGTGTGTGTGTGTGTGTGTGTGTGTGTGTGTGTGTGTGTGTGTGTGTGTGTGTGTGTGTGTGTGTGTGTGTGTGTGTGTGTCTGCCTCACAACAGTATCCCCCTGATCTTCCAAATCTCCTCTGTAAATAAAGTCACATGTGACAGCTTGTGTTCTGTTTTACATGCAAATTCATCCCCGAGCCTTTGCATTCAAAGGAGATGGGAAAGATTAAACAAACCACACTGTCACTACCCGACTGTGAGACGCAGCAGCAGCAGCGAATGAAACACGAGATGCATGGCAATTTTTTGAAAGAGGGATCAGCTCCCCTCTTGCATGTCCAAGCAAAAGCAAGTTTTGCTCGAGGCGGCCCTTGCAGTAATTTAGTCAGCATGATTCTGATTTGATTTTGACGGATTATAAACTCATACGCTCAGATTCAATGTGTTTATGTGGTTCATAGTGAATTAAATTATAAGTCATATCCCACAGGAATAATCAGTGAGTAAAGAGACACTTTGTAGTTTTTTTATGGAGCCTTTGTTAGTTGCCTGGAAACTGCATAATCACCTGATAAATGCTTAAGTTTTGTAACATGTTGAATAATGAGTAAAAGAGGTTCCAGTGGATTTTCAGATTTCAGCCTGCTCTCACAAAAGTTATGAAATGACCACAACATCTCAAGACTGAGTTGTGTTACTCCAATGTGAATTCATTTATTTGTTGTTTATTTTGTTTACCATAATCCATTTATTATGTATTAATCAAGTAAAACATGGATAAAAGATAATGGCAAAATAATGTTGCAACTAGCCTAGCAACGGCCCATTTTATGACCAGGAAATTCCTGTTCCTGTTATGAAAAAGGATACTCTACAATGGCATTATTTTTCGTGTTAGAGTGATTTCATTCTAAGGTTGGCAGATTCTGCTACTTTTCTAAACAGCCAGTCTAGCTATGTCCACACTCTCTGCTATCCCATTTAGGGCTGGGCAATAAAATGATAATGATATATATATATAAAAAAAATTCCCTCGATATTGATATAAAACATGGTTGATATGCTTTTTGACAGTCGGCATTCTGCCATGTTTTGGTTGACTATATAAATAGCCAATGAAAAGGGGAGTTGCTCCGCACCTTGCTGAACCAATCATACTGAATTAGAACAAAGTAGCAAACAACTGCGTAGTAGCGGGCCGCAGCTACACGCAACCATAGCACTTAAGCATGTGAAGCCGACAGCACTGTCAGTAAGAAAAAAGAAAATGAGTGCTACCCCGGAAGAAATGTAGATGAAGCCTCAACAAATGACGACATCTTCGACAACATTTAAGAGTAACAGGGAACATTTAAGATTGACAAGTGATTTTTTTTTTTTAAATCGTGATACTTAGCGATATCGACTGATATGAAAAAATATATTGTGATAAACTTTCTCCCTTATTGCCTAGCCTTAATCCCATGTATGAAACATATTCACAGTATCAGCGTAAGGGTGGTATAGTGCACAGGCAGTCAGAAGAGAGCACAAATCAGCTACACCCCATGAAACACCATCAACACACTCAATCCTCTGCTACAAATCTTCACCGATTATTACCCACTCCTTTCAAAATATTTACTCCATATGACATGAAAAAACCATACCAGAAATCTCTGTGTAATTTCAGGTTGAACTGAATAAAAATAACCAGATAAGTTCAGGGTTATCTTATGTTTTAATCCAGTATGTCGTGATTCTTGTGTCGCCTCATGCAAATGCTTTACTGTTCCTCTAACATACAGCTAATAATTAACTGAGGTGTCCCTCATGGCTCAGATCAAGAATTCCTGGTATTTTCCTTGTTTTCCTCTTTTTAATCTGTTGTTTCTGTTTCCTTTATAAGCCTCAGGACTACATATGTTACTGATTTTGATTAGATGCCCTCAGTGTCAATCATATGTTGTATAGACAGACTGCATACCCGGAAATAGTCATTATAAATTCATATGTAACTCATCTGGCCTTGTTATGAATGCATGGACTGAAGAAAACCACAAAGCATGATCATCTGAACAATCATTTATTCCTCCCATTGAGCGCAGACTTGAGTTTACCATGAAAGGAGTAATGATGTGTTTTGATTGCCCTCCTTTAAGTGTTGCATAAGCTGCACATTGACAACAAAGGAGGATATTTAATCCACTCACATGCACACATGGAGTTCGACTGATGCAGTAATGACTTTCCCAAAATGGTTTGATTTATTGCTCATGCTGGTAAGTGAGAGGTGTAATGCAGCGTAGTTACTAAATAAACATTTATTTCAGAGGCCCTCTACTCCTCTGGGATTCTCCCTATTCCTAATTTCCCTCCACATCTCTATTAACTCAGAAACCTTCCCTTTCTTTTTCCTCTTTGTGTCTTCGTCCGTCTTTCTCTCTGTGACACCGGCACTCACCCCCACGTACACATCTCCCCTGTGCCCAGTGAGTAAACGTGGAACCGTGTGAGCCTTCAGGAGGACTTTGAAATGAGACATGGCTGGGACATCAGAGGACTCTGCCACTCTCAATGAAGCCTGCTTGATTTATAAGAGCGCAGGGATAGGGGGGTTGTTTCCAGAGGCACACAAGGCCACGAGGTCCTCCATTAGTACCCTGACCCCTGTTTCATGGGACCAACCGCTGCATAGAGGGAAAGGGAGGAGAAGAATGGAGGGATGGATGGATGTTGGACATGGGGGGTTTTCTTTTTTAACCACAGAAAGTCTGCTATTTACATTTTCGCCAAAGACATGGCTGCAGAAATGAGAAACCCAAGCTCGGTCATTTGTCAGTGGCCTGCGGTGTCCTGACTTAAATGTCATCTGGTTGTACCTGATCCCTCGCTTGGGCTTTTCCCGACTCCCCTCTTTTTCTTTTTTACAGTTTCCCTCGCTGTTTTACTGTCCGCAATCTAATTAGCTGTGTCTTAATCACGTGTTAAGGCGCAGCGCCTTCCTGGTGTTTATTGTCTGTTTGCAGTGCTGTAAAAATGTGTGAGGTGGCTTGTAAAAACTCACAGAGGATTAAGCACTCAGTCTGCATCACTGACGTGAAATGGGTTGTAGCCACTGGGCTACTGCAGAAAGACTGTAGCACTAATACACTTGATTATGGCAGTCCAAGTCTTTTAAACTGTTTGAGCAGCAAATCAATTACAGGCATTACCGTAAAGTCTGGAATAGAAGCCGTACGAGTGTCCAGTTTATGGTCTGTTTTAGGGAGTCTCCCAGAAGAAGAAGAAGGTTCAAACTGTCTTCCTGCTGCTTTTGTAACCTAGCAACAGAAGGCTTATGTAATGAACACAGCCCCTTTATTGAATATGCAACACAAACATAGGTCACGCACATTAAAAAATAAACATAGGCAATGTTCACACTGCATGCCAGTTCTGATTTTTTAAGCATATGTGACACATATCTGATTTTTCATGTAAGTGTGAACAGTGCAATTCCTGATTTTTTCATATCCGACCCAGACCTCTTTTGTATGTGGATATAAATCAGATTTGTATCAGATGTGACTGCAGCGTGAACGCTCAGGTGCGTTTATCCGACCTATACATCATCAATATGCAACAAACGTCGCCATTGTTCGACAACACAAACAGGCACGGAAAGCAATTTGTTCTTTGTGCGCATGGGGGTCACTTCACGGACGCATTCTGTTCACATTAGATGCCGCATTCGTTGTTGTAATGTGAATGACCGCACAAAAAGACCGAATTGTGCATCATAACCTGCAGTATGAATGTATCCATAGATGCACAAACAAGGTCCAATTGGAGAGATATTAGAGTGCGGGTGTTCCAAGCAGTTTGGGGTTTGGTGCTTTGCTCAAGTGCAACCAGGTAGCGAACTTACACCTTTCCAGCCTTCATCCAGCCCAAGTTTGTTCCATTAAAATAAGTGCAATACTGAAATTCTCATCTCATATGGTGTGGCTTATATGACTTCATTTATTTGCTCTGATCTCTCTTATGGAGAGAATCATGTCATGTGTTATCATGCATGCTTGCGTCAGTCTGTGTCTTTGCCGCACGTCAGCCTTTCTGTGTTTGCAGTCTAAATTCATAACATTGCAGTGTTTCTTTAAGGATCAGCTCTCATTGTTTATACGCCCACAGCTTTAAACTACAGTATAACAGCGTTATGCTAATTGTTTACAAAGACAGACGTTTTCAGCTTGCATTACGTTATATTCTTCCCCACCACACTCTATCGTTGGCTGGTTAGCGAGGCCCCCCCAGACCCATCCATCAGAAAACCAGCCTGGTTAGAGGAGAACCTGTCTCTTGATATAAGCATACTGGAATTTATTGTTTTTAGTAAACATGCCGAAAACATCATCCATCCCTGCTGTACACATGTCCAGTTGCCATAGTAACACAGGAGAGTTTTCAAAACACTTCAGGGGCTCCCTTAGGTGTGATGGGTCTCAACTGACCATTCACACATCGAGCCACAGGCCCCGCTTAGTATTTCTCAGCATTTTGGGTGCAAGACAGAAAGTCCATCCACATCTTGTAGGCCCAGGGAGCATGCTGGGTAATGAGAAACAGGCACAAACCTTGTGGGGATCCGTAGCAAATTATAAAATACTGCAACAGGTTTTACAGGCGTGTCCCTTGTGTGTATGAGAGGATTAAAAGTCAACCCAGAAAGAAGCTGAAGGAGCTGCAGGGAGGAGGAGACAAGAGGAAGAGGGTGTAAAACGCTGTCTGACTGCTCGTCTTCTCTTGTTACAGGATGTCCTCGTCCACCAGATTTCCACCCTCTTGTACACGCTCCTATGAGAAACCAGAAAGCACTTGTGTTGGAGAGTTGAGGATTATTGCATGCAGCTGGAGGCTGTCTCAGTGAGACTCCTAGCCCCCTCTCCCATCACCCTCAACTTTTTCCTTCCCTGAGTTACATGTTGTTGTCTTACCACACCTGCAGGACCCCTCTGTCAGTTTTGCCCACTTTTTGTTAGGTTGAGTGGGTCAGTAGACTTCAAGTTAAAGGGATATTCCAGTGTAAAATTAATTTAGGGTCAAACACACCATAACACCGAGTTAGACACCCCCTCGAGAAATTAATGTTGCTTTAGTAACGACCGCACGACAGCAATACTCATTGGTCTAAAGAGCCAAACACAAGCCTTAACCAGAAAGCCACTCTATAGCCACAAATAATGCTCAGAACAGCACCTAACTTCATCAACAGTACATAAAAGGGTCCTAGCCACAGCACTAGCCACCAAACACCTTTTTAACTTTGCCTTTTTTCTTTACAAAGACACTAAACACAACTCACCTACTCTCTTCCAGCAGCCGCTTGTTTGGAGCAAGACCTCAGGCCAGTCCATTATGGACTGCAGTGGAGTTTCGCAGCGCTAGGAAGAACATTTATGATTATTACTTCATGGAAATGCAATCAGACGAGACGCTAAGGCAGAAGAACTACCGCGTCTGCAGTGCGGAATGATTAATATGGTGATTATTACTTCAAGGAAGTGATAAAATAATGATCATGAACGTTCTTCCTTGAGCTGCGAAACCCCGCTGCAGTCATGATAGACTCATCCAAGGTCTACCTACAAACAAGCGGCTGCTGGAAGAGAGAGGGGGAGTTGTGTTTATTGTCTTTGCTAAAGAAATTAGGCAAAGTTAACAAGATGTTTGGTCACTAGTGATGAAGTTAGGTGCTGTTCTGAGCATTATTTGTGGCTACAGAGCGGCTTTTTGGTTGGGGTGTGCGTGTTGGCGCCTTAGACCGCTGTGTCTGGCTATCGTACAGTTGTGACTAAAGTTGGTATAACCAGAGAAGCAAGCGGTCGGCAACATTCCTCTCTCGAAGGGGTGTCTAACTCGGTGTTATGGTGTGTTTGACCCTAAATTAATTTTATGCTGGAATATCCCTTTAAGTGCTTATTGGAGCACCATGTAACATATGAACCTCCTTGCCTTTGTCTTTTTTTGCATGTAGGGTTTGAGGGATTTAGTTCAACAAGCTGCTTAGTGAATATGAGTTTTAAATATCTACAAAAGTAGCAGCTTTTATGACTCATCATAAGAGTCGTCAGTCTCCTCACTTATTAATTAAAACACACGCTGTCTTAGCTTCTGTCACTGAGCGAGGGATGGAGAAATAATTGGATTCTAATTTGAACGGAAGCCCTGATAACAGCCAGCAATGCTCTTTGACATCCATGCTGATATCCTCACTAGTAATTGTTAAGGTCCACTGCAGTATCTCTTCCAAGGTTGTTATCTATGCAAACGGGCAGAAGTGATTAAGATCGGAATCGGCCTCTTGTGTGGGCTGCTCTTACCTCCATGATGCAGATAGACGATATAAAGCAAGCTGCCAAACCCTTAACATTTGCATCTGCTCCTTTCTCTGCCTTTAATTTTTGCACTATCCACATTAACTTTATCAATAATAAAGCATTGAGACATTATTATTATAAATCAATGACAATATAAAGTAGAGGGGATATAATATCGTCAACCTTTGTCATCAAGAAAAGAGGAAAGGAAAGGAAGCAGAGAGGAATAGAAAAGAGACACCCCTGGAGACCGATCACTATCTCTCTGCTGATAAGCGAGCGAGTGCCTGAAGGCTCACTTTTCTTCCAGCAGCTTTTTGTATCTTCCCCTTGTGGCAATTTGAGTTGAACTATCCAGGATTATAGAAGCTTTTCCCTTGGGCATTGAAAGGTGGATCCTTGCAGGTGGAAACGAGGTGATGTAACACCGCTGTGGGATCACTGGAGAGTCTGATGGAAACAGACATTAACCACACAAGCACAGGTCAGAGGGTTGTTTCCTCAAATCTCCCACTGTTACTTTGCTATCAGTCCCGGAATTAAATGTTTGAGAAATCTGATTATCTCCTCGACTGACCGATGTTTGCGAAGCATCTTTAATCCTTTGGATGACAAGTGAAGCATAAGTTATGAATGAAATAGCTGTGTCTTCTTGAATGAGTCATTAAGAAAGTGTCTAACCCAGACTGTGTCTCATCTCCCAGGTTGCATCTCTGCATGGTGGGGTGTTTTTCCATGAAAATTCAAAGGCCATTCCTTTGAGATTCCAGCGTTTCAGCTGAGTCAGTGGTCATGTTGATGACTCACTGGACTTGAAGCTGTTTTTCTGTCCTTAACCAATGTCTTCTTAAGAAGTCATACCTTCACTAATCCATTCTTCATGCCCTATAGCTCATCCCTACATTCAGTCACTGGTGCATCAGCATCCTTGAAAGAAGTTAGCACTATATAGAAAGGCTAAAGATAGGCGGCCTGTGTAACTTCCTGTGGGTGGCAAGTTTTTTTCTCAATGAAAATGCGTCATCGTCTCAAACTAATGAAAAGTGAAGTGACACACTTTCTCCTTTTGGTCAGACAATGTGTCATCTTGCAAGTGTTTGATGACTCTGTACCCAAATTTTTCTTACAGTTTGAAGGCAAAATACACAAACAAATCCTTTTTTTATGCTCTACCTTTCTCTGAATTTATCAGTAGGCTTTTACTGCATGTTTTTGCACGTACTGCAGAAAACTGCAAATGTATTCCAGCACTTAACATACAACCTGTGATGTTTACCGATGTGTTACCTGCGTCTTTGACATCTTGAAATGGGTTGTAAAAATATAAGAGTCATTAAAACTGTCAAACTGACATTCAGGGTTATCTCCTCTCCTCACGTTTCACCTCTAACCAGAGCTATCTCAAAACACTTTACAAAAGGAGCAGATCTAGACAAATACTCTGTATTTATAGTATTTTCAAAGACCTAGTATCAATAATAAATCTCACCGTATTTAAATATTCAAACAATCCTTTTTGCAGCATCATCAATGAGAGAACTATCAGACTGAAGGTAATAGTAGTAGCAGCTGGAGTCTGGCAGGTCCACAGGAGCAGGCAAAGATCCAGAGAAACCCTTGAGACAACGGAGCTTATAGACTCCCAGAAAGATCTTTGGCTGGTTACTTTAATGGGATGTGATGATTTAAGGTGACAAGCAGACAGAGAGCGGACGACACTCAGAGCCTCAGCCAGGCCTAACTGTGAGCTTTGTCACAAAGAAGAATTTACTCTTAAAATTCAAGAGTCTGTCTGCCTTAAAGACCCTGATTTCATAAATGAAGGCTCTGCCTCCTGTACTACTTTTAAGAGACTCTAGGTATGACATGTAGGCTTACGTTTCACCTTAAAAGTCGTAATGAGCTTTTAAGCGACACTTTTTTCCAATCTAAATGGGGATGACAAAAATGAAAAGGCACCTAGTTTAACTCCTGCATGCTCTGCAGCTAATCTCTGACTGTATGTTTTCAACATGGCTTCATTTTCTTGATTCGCGACATCATTAAAGGCTTCAGTTGCTATTCTTGGCACTGCTGTATCACTAGATGCAAAGGTGGCTGCCATTAAATACGCTCAAAATGATGACACCATTTATTTCTCTAACTTCTCTCTTACAAAACAACAGTTTTTCTTCACTGACTGTATAAACAGCAGAAAAATGTGGAAATCCTCTTGGAGAGAATTTTCTGGATTTTTTCCCTGAAAAATTAATTAATCAGTCAATTCAAGAAGCAGATCTTTTTGAAGTCTGAAACATTTCCAGATGACATAAATGACCACCTAAGGGTCCAAGGAGTCACAACGTTAAAAAAGCATGTCTACGTTACTGCATACATCATAACTTTAATACTGATTTATTTGTATAGATTCTTAAACAGCTGTTTTTTGGGGGTTTTTTTTAAAAGGGGTTTATGAACCAAAGTTTATAAAACTGCATCCTCTTTTCATCTCATTGAGTAACTGTGAGTATCTGCTCTCTACACTGAGTGTGATCACTGCACACTGGTGAGGTGTTATCATAGGGGCTGTCTTCAGCTGTATCTGCTTTTTCTCCAAGAAGCTTTGCTGACAAGGCAGGAGTAAGGTATGCTGAGGTACTTCTGCCCCTCGCCCTTTGCCCATATGTTTTGTATTACGCCCTAGGAGGTGCCATCCTCAGCAGCTCAATGATGGGAGGGGGATAAAGCAGGCCTCTCCGGTCCAAATGACGCATGACATGGTGCTGCACCCTGGGCTCTTATTTATGGCTTCCCATGTCAGCGAAGGCTTGCTCCCCCGGGGGAGCCCCACGGCCGTTACCCAAAAAACCAGCCGTCGGAGCTCCTCTCAGACCACTCTGCAAACTAGTCTTTGTCGGAAAGATTTCTGATCACTATGAAGTGGCGGCACATTCACGAGGCTGAGAAGTATTTCAAAATCAAACAGATATCCTCAGAGAGTTTATTCAGCTGTTCGGCGCTCACAGTTGCCACACTGTTTCACAAGAAGAGGAGTGGTATGTATGAAGTGCTTCTTCAGAAGAATTAACGTCATGTCAGGGTACAGCTAGACCACTGCCAAGCGCACACTGCCTCTTTTATCAGTGCCTCTGATGGGGAAGAGGATGTGAAATCTGGAGAGAAAGTGAGGAGGAGATTTGGTAAGAGGATCTGAATATATTTTCTCTGTAGTTACTCGAAGAATCCATGTACATATCACACCGCATTATCAAATAGGAGTATACACTGGCAGCACTTGTGCACACACAGGTGTTCTCCATGAGTTATCCGGGAAAGCTCCAGTGATCTCTGTCCAAGGTTTTGATGTGGGTAGAAGGAAAAGAAAAGAATTCAGATGAAACGTAGGCCAAGGGATGAGGAGAAGCTTGAGAGAAGATGACAGAATGAAGAAAGGAGAAGAGTCTGTGATAGATAATGCTTAAAAGACTTTAATGAACATCAGAGACAGATGTGACAAAACGGCTCAGTAATGACAACACAGACAAAAAGAGGGCAGGGGCTCTCTCTCTCTCTCTCTCTCTCCTTCCTGGTATCTCATATTTCTTTGTGCTTTGAGGAGTGAGCGTAAAAAGAGGGACCACTGTAATGGTTTTATGTGGCCTTTTGAAAACAGAACAAGCCCTCTCCTGAACAGTATATCCTGCCTCAGAACCTTTCTGGCAACAGGGCGCTTGTTTTTCCAATATCCAGACTGTAAAACACCCTGTTTGAAATCCACTCTGGTCATTGTTTAGTCTACTGGAAGTCCTTTAGATCATCCTCATCAGCAGCCATGACACTTCTCCTTTATGTTCTGAGTCCCCCCGGCCACTCAGAACCAACCACTCGACAATAACCCATGATTCAAGAATTATTAAGACTTGACTGCATGTTATCATGCTATCGTAGATTGTGACTACACAACCGCGTAAACGTAAGTGAACTCTGTCCAACCCAGCTCTGTCTCTAGTTCTGAACATTATGTTTCCTTTGATTTAAAATCTCAAACTGTTTGGTTTCATTTGTGTAGACATACTCAAAATCAAAGAAGCTGATATAATGCATGATCTACAGGGCTTGACACTAACTTTTTTCACAAGGCGCACATGTGCTCCTAAGTTGAAAAAGTAAGGAGCACACAAAGAACTTTAGGGGCACAGTGAAAATACTGTGTGTCTTATTGTTCGACATAAGTACTATTATTTGAAATCAATTTTAGGTCAATTGGTCACATGACATGGAAGCTATTGAAGAAAATGTTAAAAATTTGCCTTTAAATTTAACACAAATTTTTTAGAGGACAAATTTGGGAAATAAAGAGGTGTGTCTTCTTGTCCAACCTTAGTACTATTATTTGAAATCAATTTTAGATCAATTGGTCACATGACATGGGAGCTATTGAAGGAAAACAGCCTTTTCTAAAAACATCAACCAGTAATTTATTGATGGTCCCTTATTCAACACCCGACGTTGACAGCGAGGGTGCCGAGTACATTCAACCGCGCTGCTGTTGTTATTCCCGGTTATGGAGAGTAAGAAGACACCGGTAGATCCGCAGTGAATGTCCGATGAATATCCAACCTAAAACTAACATCACCGCGGTATTGACATTAAAAAACATTTGTTGCCTTGGCTGATTTTTTTTTTTTTTTTTTATGCGCAAATTGTAAAATACATTTTACAATTTGCACACATCTATTTTTAGTTGAAAATGCAAGTGAAACTTTCGCACTGTAGAGCCCTGATCTATGTCTCCACATGCTTTTATAACACAGGCAGGAGATGCAGTATTAGACAAGTTTCATAAGACAGGAACATCTTTCTTCATTATCTAACAGAAGATATCATTGCAGATCATCATATAACTGCCTGCCCTCCTGTGACACACTATAACCTGATCACATATCCCCCATGCTCTGTTGTAAACAGATAGTTATTTCATTGTTGAAGACTAATGAGGGTGAATAAAGCTCAATGTTTATTTGCAGCAAGATCTCATCGTTACTGGAGATGCACAGTCTGGCCAGGTGTAAACAGATGTGCTTAGAGCTGACCAATAAGATACTCACTAGGTCTCATTATGTGGAGCTTTTGTTAAGCCTCTTAGCTACTGGGGAAGTGCAAAAACAAGGCCTAGTCAACAACACAGGATCAAAGCATAGACAGGATGCTGCTGCCGCTGATGCTCTTGGCCTGGACACAAGATAAGAACTCTTTGAGCCATCATGCTGGACTTAACAGAGCCAGAGAAAGCCCTGGAACAATGGGTATGCGTCGTAGTGAGGGAAATACCAAACTATAACACAAATACTGGGTCACTGGGTTAAACCTTAAACTCCTGTCTTTGCTTTCATCTGGCCTCCAGCAGAGCCAATGCAGGATCTGATCTGATAAAGCCAAGGAACACACAATCTCAGCTGATGTTTCTCTGTCAGCTGTTTCTCTGAAGATCCTGAGTAGGCAGGGAGATGCAAGTACAAGAGTGAATGATGTGCTGCTGGTCATCGCCTCATTAGGACCTCCCTAGTGTCTTTGATGGTTGCTAAGAGCCAGAGTGTAACGTGAAGGAGATCCAAGGATTGTCTCCCATCTTTTTTCTGGCTGTTTTCCCATCCCCTTCTCTTTTGTAGGCTTATCTATCTAAGCACTTGTCCAGTCAGAATACCATTCACCGGTATTTCGCCGCTTGCTTCCCCAGAACCCAGTCAGATCTGACACCGGGTTGAATTTATCAGGGTCGGTGTTATCCAACGATCCATCAGATGCTACAGGCTGATACCAGGGACTCCTTGGGGACTGAACTTTTTGTTTGGTCAAGCTGCTGACAGAAGCGAAGCCTCTGTCTGGGAAGCCATTAAGAGCTCAGCAGGCCCAGAAAAATGAGCCTCCCTTGTCAGTCCACATTAGGAGCTCGGCCACGGTCGCAGATCCTTCTCAGACATGACACATCAGACCGCTGTTTATCAAAGCCTTTGAACTAGAGGTGGCTTGATGGAGTGATGAATGAGCCCATGTGTGAAGTGGCTGTTCGGCTCTTTAGGTTGTCTTGGATTAATGGCGACGGTTTATTTGTTATCTTAAGTTGAGGTGAGGACAGAATTGGTAAAGATGGATATGAGTGCTGCCATTTCTTTACCGTTGCTCTTGTGTTCATTTTTTATGTAACAGCAGATTCTTTATCCGTTATTTTATACGATTAACAGAATAGAATAAGGTATTTCCCTTCCACTGAGCCAGCCTGAAACATATATTTCTGCAGATGAGGGTGACTGCAGTACTTATCAAATTGAAAGCACTGCCTGCTTTGATCGGTACTTGGGAGAAGATTGGGGAAACCATTTAGAGTTTTAATTTTAATCTGAAACATCGCAGAAACAGCATTTTTACCTCCTGACAGGGTGATTTAGAAGTAAAAAACGACATAGCGGTGTTACTGTTCCTGTTCCTGCTCAGAACGTCACTAAAGATAAGAAGTTTTCGTGGAAGAACTCAACATTTAGTTGTCATAGCCCTCTTCCTCAGCACCCTTCAGTGGTCTCATTGAAGCGAATGAGGCACTGTTTTCGTGACGGTGTTAGTACTTAGACATGGATCTGAGCGCACTCATCAGAGGTTGCATCAGCACCCTACTATGACACCTCTCCTTGTTTCTTGGGAGAGTGAATCCTACTTTTTTTCTGATTCCTGAAATCACTCTGCTGTTGCTTCAGCGCCATTTTATTGGCGATAATAATGAGGAAAACACAAAAGCATGTCTCAAAAACTGAAGTCCTCTCTAGGCCATGACTGATTATTTAAATCTTCAGCATCAAAAAAGGATGTTCTGGCTGATTTATCAATAAATCAGTCATTTCAGTTTCACTTCAAAAAGCCCCCACCATTCCACTACCCACCCATTTGCTAAATGACTCAGCATCTTTTCTGCAAATTGTCTACCACCCACCCACCTCCCACGCTCTATTGTTCCAACACGGAGATGGAGCACCTCCACTTTGCATGTCACAGCCTCAGACTAAACACACTCTCCTGGTGTTGAAGCATCCGAGTAGAGGCAGCCGCAAATGATGACCAACTTATCTCATTAGAAAAATAATGATTTCACTGGCTGCCATTCCCACAGATAGGCCCACTATTTGCTTTAGGCTCTTGGCTGCTGCAACCCTCATGCCTGCCCGTCGTATATCAGCAGCACTGCCACCGTCAAGCCCCTGATTTATGGCTGTTTATCTCCACTCACAAGGCCCCCAACCCCAACCACCACCACCCTTCAACAGATGGGCTCTGGCTATTTACTCAGGAAGGGAAAGGTCCCAAACTGATGAGATACAACAAATAAGGGGTAATCATGACCAAGTTGATTGCAATTTATTGGTGGCCAGAGAAGTTGATCCTCTCTATTGTTGACCTGATCACCCATGCTTGATTAATCTAGTTTAGTTTAAAGCCCTTTTTCCACCTCGGTATGAGTTGACAGAAGACATGATGGCGCTGCAGACCTAGACAGAGGCTTGAATGAAAAGCCCCCTGATATGATTTACGTTTATTATCAGTGTAATTGTTAAAACATTCCCTCAGCTGTCATGTTCTGCGGGGTTGTCACCTTAAATCTCTGTAAGTATATTCGCGCTCTAAATCTCGCTGGCTGTCGGATCTTCACGGAGAAAAAAAAACACATTGCACCATAAATTGTCTGCTGCAGACTTCGAGGGGCTCCAGTTGATTTCTGAGTCTCTGGAGAAAGTAATAACCCAACAGTGTCAATTTTTCAAACCGGTCCCGCTATATTGTTGCAGATTTTTCAGGACCTAAGCATTAGTAGTTGTTTTTTTTTCCCTCAGTTTGATGGATAGAAACCAGATTTTGACCCTTGCACCTGTTGCTCATAGATTATGATTCCTGCTTTATGTAATTTATAATCTGAGATTAAATGCATTGAATATTATTTCGGGAGCAGACATCAAGATAACTTTGTAACATCCTCCTCCGCTATATATTGCAAACCGAAGGAGCATGTTCATCTCACATTCAGTGAAGTCTGCATGTGTCCCAAGAGAAAACATTAATTACAGGTTAAAACTGGGTTGGTATGAGTATGAGACGCCTCTGTGCCTCAAAGTGAGATATTCTCATGAGAAGATTTATAGAGTTTATCGACCCCACACAGCTGATATAACTAATAAAAGAAAAGCACAGACTGATATTGGTGGGCTCTTTAATGAGGAAACCCAGCCAGTCGTCACATCTCACTCATCCACCGAGCAGAGCCACGGACGCTTTATCTCTCCTCTGATTAAACAGTGATGAAGTGTTTAGAGTCTCGACCACTCCTGACCGATGAAGTATCACATGTGTTCAATATTAAGCACAGCTTTCAGCACAGATGTCACTGTGATTGTAAGTGTTAGGTTTTTCACCCTTGTCTTTTTCATTTACATTTTTAGTATGTTCGAGAAGATTTGTCTTCAAAGACTTCCCTCATTAGACTGTGTTATAGTTAAAAATGAAGACTAATTTAAAATGAGTTTTGAAAAATGAGGAATGCACGAACAATATGTCTCGCTAAACCAAAAATCAGTTTCTGTTTTTGGAAAGAAATGAGTTTATTCTAGATAGGGGTGTCCTGATACAACATTTTTACCTCCAATACGATACCGATATTGTAGCCTTCAGTGTTGTCTGATACAGATATTGATCTGATATTAGCACAAACTTTTGCATGACAAGTTTTTTACTCAGCTGCAACGTCTTTTTAGACTTTAATGAATCATACTGCCACAGGGCCGACATCACTCCTACTTCTTGGTACTTGGTACACACTGTTGTTGTGATTACATGGGCTCTACATGCTGGATCTGGGGGCTGCTAGATAGAGGTGCCGGAGCGGAGTGCTGATATCGGAGATTTTAGATGCAGGCCGATATAATCCGATATTTGAATTTTGTTCATATCCGATATCAATATTGTATCGGGACAGCCCTAATTCTAGACCTTACAATTAAAATACAAAAAAAAGGATCAAATGTTATTCAAAATGAAATAAAGTAAATGTTTCCAGCAGCTGAAAGTATCAGAATATCATGTTTATATATCCCTTTGCTATTCTGGTGTATTTAAAGATCACTAAATCATCTTTGCTTTGATAACAAATGAGAAAAACTTACATAAATTCATTGTTTGAGCTGCAAACTGTATCAGCAGTAATTGAATTCTTCTATAACGTGACCAAATCAGCAGTATTCATCTCTATACTTATTTATGACGAGTAGCTGATGAGTGATGTCCGTTTCAAAACCTCCTTACAGGAGCTCTGAGTCTGGAATCTTGTATATCAGCTGATAATAGACCGGACCCTCCTCACATCAGCAGCAGCCCCCCTAGCTGGCACAGGCAGGCAGGAAGGAAACAATCCAGTCTTAGTAACACTGAATTATTGAAGCTGCACTGATTGAAAGATGGGATGTAGATTTTATTGCTTTGTGGTTATGAGCTAATATGGCAGTCTGTAAATTCAAAGCCACATCCTCGATTTTGTGGAGCTGGAAGAGACGCTTGGCATTGATAGCTTCCATCCTCAGCCACAAATTGAGTTTAATTAAGTCATTATATGATTAAAAGTCGAAACCGACTCTAAATGTTTTCATTCATGTCATCTTAGAGTGGGTTTAGGCTCTGCTGGTCATATTATCGGTCATGTTTTGATCAGTCCATGATTTATTAGTGTTGTGGACCTGCTGCTATTTATTTAGCTGTGGTCACTGAGAATGCAGATGTGACTCACGTTGTCTTAGGAAAATGCAGAGCAGCCAAAACATAAAGTGGAAATGTTAACCTAATAACGCTAGATAAACAGCGAGTGGAGAGGAGCCAAAGACAACACAGGGCGACGGGGAAAGTGTCCTGCTGGCATCAGGTTTCCCAGAGTAAGTGTTATTTGAAAAGCAGCTGAAGGGTGACACTCACTCTCCTCCCACCCAATCTTCCTCCTCTGCCTCCCCTCCCTCACTTGCTCCCTCACTCAGTCACTCGACCATCTGTTGTTCCCTCTCTTTCTCAGGCTGCTCTAAGTGCCTTGAAACAGCTGTCGGAGCAGGGACTGGACCCGGTGGATGGCCCTATCAAGGTACAGTAGGACCGGATCGCGCCGAATACACACCAAACCTGTAGAATCAATCAGCCAATCAGAGCGGACGGATACTGGTCCAGTAGGGAGTCAGACATGTGTGTGTGCATGAGTGTTGCAAAATCCCGGAGCTGCAGGCTGCCCCCATCATCATCTCCCTCCACACCCACACACACACGTCCAAACATTTCCTCTACACTCTTTTCTCTTCCATAGGAAAGCAACAGTAGGCGGTTATATTTACATGCAATACACTTCTGTCAGCACTCCATACTTTGCATGATTGCTATCATTATAGTCATGACGGAAAAGAGGGCTTTCTCCACCTCTCCTGTCTCCTCAACGAGGAGGAAGGAAGGACAACAGCCGAGCGAAGTAGGAAAGAAGTGGTGGGGGGGGGATCTTTCTGGAAAGCAGGGAGGAAATCAAGCATTTCTGAAGTATTTTCATAATAGGTGTGCCCTGGGAAAAATAGTTTAGGCAGGGCTGTTCTCTTGCAGCCTCATGTCTTTTTGAGATGGAAAGAGGAGTGGAGCAAAGGAAGGAAAGACAACTGCGGTTTAATAACAGCTTCATTTACGTCACTCTGGAAGAGAAGCACAAATATGGCTGCAATTATTCTTTCACCTGAGCATTTAATCGCTCATTTCTTGCCACAGTAGCCCCCCTTTTGGTCTTTACAACTCATAAACTCAGCCACACTCTTCTGTTCACACATTTTCAGTCACGAGGATTCAGATGAGTACAGATATTTATACCAAATCGTGCAAATCTCCCCCTCAGGATCAGCTGCTTTCTCTTTACTTCTGTTTGTACTCCCGCAAGAAATCCCTGCTTCTCCACTCATTTCTGATGTAAACCACCCTACAAGAGCCCATCTGATCAGTTCATGTGAAACAGATTGAGGTCAAGGACTTCTTAAGTGTGTAGAGTATCAGTGGGAGCACTTTCGTTTACCTGAAAAGTTGACTTTTACAAGAAATACTCATCGTGTTTGAAAGAGGTATCTCCCAGGGAAGACGTAGAGGAGAAAACCCCAACTCTGGGACTGATGATTAGCTCAAACCTTGACCAAACTTGACCTGACTTGGTTTTATTTGTCTTTTCAGACCAGTGAACCATGTGGGAGGGAGGACGGACATTAAACAGACTAACTCAGGCACCACCACTCAGGTCTGCAAGGATTCAAAGGCTGTCGTCTAGGAGCTGACAACCCCGAACCCCCTTCCCTTTCGGCATACACAAACCCTGACATCCCCTCCTCCTAATACCCCTCACCCTGATCTCCTATAACCCACAACCCTGCGATTCCCACACCCTTCCTTACCCGTCTAACCCGACCCCCCACGATTGCCACTGTATCCTGCAAAGCCTGTCAACATGCAATAGGGTGGATGTGCACCGAGAAATGACCGACTAAAACACCATTACCTGAGTCTATGTGAAGACAACGCTATCTTAACACGTTTATCGATGGTTTCAGTCAAAATTTCACAAAAATAAACTAAGAGAATAATGCATGGTACTGTATGAAATCAAGGGAAATCCAAAGTGATAACACTGCATAGACAACTTTCCCTTTGGGTCAATGTCTGTTGGTATGGTTAAAAACAAATATGTACATCATGCCATTGAAACACAAAAGAAACATTTTAGGGGAGAAACCAACTTGCGTACAGTAGCTTATTTTTCCGGGGGTATTCTGTTTCCGTTTTATCTTTTAATTTTTTTTCTTTTGTTATTTTATTAATCTAACAATGCTTGAGTACTGTATTTAAAATTAACCAATGCCAGTGCTGTGAAAGTTGTAGTTGTTGTCTTCATATATAGTCACCCAGCTTACCTTGTATGCTGACATTAAAAAAAAAAAAGAGTTCATCTATCTATATGGATGTGTATGACTTGCAAGAGTATCATATACTGAAAAATAACAAGTTTTTTTCATGTGGACAAAAAGGACAAAACTGGTGTTAGCAGTAATCAGTAGAAAAGTTGACCAGTCCAGGAGGGGAGGTTGGACGAGCCTTTTTCCTCTTGAAGGGTCTAACTTCCCCCCGTTTAACACAATCCCACACTGGCATAGCATCACTGGAGCATCACCTGACCCACAGCGAAGACAAAGGGGCCACCCGGGTTCTTCTTTTTATCTAGAAAATAAAGATGCCAGTTAACTTCTTCCTCAAAGTCCTGAAAGTTCAGTCCAGGTGTGACTGCATGTCCAGTGAATGAAAATAACCTTCGCTCCATTCCAGTGATTTTGTGTCAGTGAATCGTCCCCTCCTCTCCCCTCCCCCACAGTTTTGTCGATCACATCTACACCCATTGTGTGTGTTGTATTGACCCGCCAAGGCATCAACTGGGTGCTTTTAATGCCTGCATTTAGGAGCGCGTCTATGAAACGGAGAGAGCCGGCATCTGATTCAGTCACGCAGACTCTCTCCCTCCAAAGGCCGCTTCACTTTGACTCACTTTGATCACTGACATTGAGGACGTGACTTCTTCTTCACTGTGAGTGCAATGTGTAATAAGGCTGTTTCTGTTACTGAAATGCAGTAAAAACACCTCAGTTCATGTGGAAAAAAAAACATCTGCCTCCGTGTTTCATTTATCTCCTCTTCACAGGTGTAAACACAACATCTCACCCTGACGACAAAGGCCGGTTTGATAATTAAATCTGCTTTTTCACACATTTTCAATGACTATTAAGCAAGGTAAACTGAATAAAAGGAGGTGAAAATGAGAAAGAAGGAGGTGACAGCAAGCAAAGCATATTGTGTTGATGACTAAACAGTTGTTTCTCAGCATAAAGAGGTTATGTACCACTGAAGCTAACTGATAAAAAGTGTAGTTTTGAATTTAGCAGCATTTAACAGTCAGGGTGGGAATCACCAGTGGCCCCATGATACGATATTATCATGATACTTGGGCCACGATGTTATATTATGGTGATTTTAACATTATTCAATACAGTGAGTATTACGATACAATATATTGTGATTTATACGATTTTTTTCAACTGTTTTGCTAATTTGGTATTTGTCTTTCCTTTACGTTTGTCTTATTTACTCTGTATTTTATTTTCATGTAGCACATCTTGCAAACCTTATATATATATATATGTATATATGTATATATATATATATATATATATATGTATATATGTATATATATATATATATATATATATATATATATAGTTGTTGCACTAACTTTCTCCTGCTCTATGATGTCAACTCTGCCAACTTTACTGGACAAACAGTGGATTTTATTTTTCCATTATTATAGATTTGACCTCATATTAGCAATTTATTTGAAAAAATCCATACTTGGTAAATAAGACGATACAATATATCACCAGACAAAATATCGTGATACTGTGCGGTATAGTTTTTTTCTCCCACCCCTATTTAGTAGATCAGACATGGTGCAAATGGCATTGACCTGGTTGTGCACAGAAACTAGAACACAGTCTGCTGTTTAATATTCCCATTTCTACTCACTGTACCTTTAAATGCAAATACATAATCTACCAGCTGCTCCAGCAGACATGTAGAGAAAGGTCATCTGAACGGCTTAAGTTTGGACTCTTTCCTGGATCGATATTGTACATAATGCTCCATAGAAACAAAGCAGTAATTCCCTATCACAGCTGAACGATGCAGGAAGTCCTCATGTCAGCAGCAACATATCGACATGTTGACCGACCCCTTGACACATCTTACATGACCTGTTATTGCGAATCCTCTGAAGAACACTGAATCTCGTCCCACGGGTTGAAAGCTGAAACTCTGGGAGAAGAATTTAGGCCCTTAGAGGGATGATTGTCCTCGCATTGTGTTTGAAAGAATGGCTACAAGAGGATTTGCGGCTATTGGTCTCTTGAGTGTCTTGAATAAAGCATAAAAATTGAGAAAAGCCACAGCGCTTTAGCTGGCATGCAGGTGGATTTTATAAGAACATTCTGAGAGGACAAAAGCAACACTTGATTGCTCTTGTTTTATTAAGTTCATGCCTCACAAATATGCTTGACTTTTGAAATGTCATGGCCTCCAGTTAATCCCTCTTCAAAGTCAACCTCAATCTGTAGTTGTCATGTATGTTGTGTATCCCAAATAGAGACACTTAATCTTTAGATTGTGTGGACACACTTGAGTAGCATCTCTCCAACACTTTTACTTTTCTATCTACATGTAAATCCGCCTCTGCATCACCAGACCTTCTCAGCTCCTTCCCATTAGCGAGATAAATGAGCGAAGCTGGACAGCGGTGGTCTAATTCAGCTCTACTGAGTAATGGACTCAGTTGGCAGCTACATCTGCTAGCCATTGAGGAGCGCCAAGGCTGTTCACACACACACACACACACACACACACACACACACACACACACTTACACATTAGTGGCAGATCTCTATTCCAGGAGCTTGTTCAGGTAGTGGCGGAGCAGCTTGAGGCTGTGTTAGACTCAAGATGGATTGCTCTGCTCTGACCAGCCAATATTGGAAGTGAACCTTAATGCCCAAAATAGAACAAAATCAATGGGGTGGTGGAGCTTGTCCATGCCACGCAAAAAGCAAACGCCAGAGACATTGATTTTTCCAGCTGAATTATGCGCCATCAACCCACTTGAAGTCCTTTAAATCAACAGGAGGATAAAAGAGTGAGGGAAATCCTATAGCTGCAGATAAATGTCCACCTTTTTAAGCCAAAATCCTAATTGTTTTCTTTCTTGGGATGAGCATTTTCGTGCGTGCTTGAATCAAAGCGTCTTTGGAGTGATAAGGCCATTTTCAGCTACGCGGGGTCCTGGAGTGTCTGCACTTGCTGCTGATTGCTTCTGTACACAGAGGGGATCAAATCTGTCAGTACAGCTCTCCCTCATATTAGAGCTAATCTGCCGCTGAGCAACTTTATCCAGCCTCCATTAGTCACGGCAGAGGAGCACTGAGCGCCGATGAAGGCAGAGTATCTGACGTCTCAGCGCTGAGGAGGCCAGAGAGGAACTCGCAGTCTGCCGGACGGGTGTATTCTCTATCGCTGAGCAAGAAATTGATTTGTTCTGTGGAGGGAGAAGTGTCTGCTACCACTCTGACAGATGCGAGGAAGATGACCTAACACCCAGACTCCAGTTGGATTGAACAGTTTGATCAAACTTTGTGTCGTTTCTGAACCAAAAAGCAGCCGGTTGACTTAGTGACAGGAAGATTTCATGTTTTATCTATCTGGCCCCAGTTTCACATGAGCTCAGTTTTTGGCTCTGAGACAATACCAGAATTGTCTCATGTAGAATTGATCCTCTGTGGAGACATGTAAGAGATGATGGAGCGTCTGAGACATTTGACATGACCATTTGAGCCAGATTTAGATACACAAAGTTCAAGCCTTCAGGCTTCCGCTCATGACCTTTTTGTAGACTTTGCTGCAGGGAAGAAAAAGTGACTCCAACGCCCTTTTTTTTTTTTAGTTTCCAGCTCAGCAAGACTGTTCGTATGAATAAAAGGGGAGCAGATTTAGGAAGCTATTGCACACAGAAAAGCAACTAATGCATTTATATAAAGGAAAGTGAAAAAATGCAAATTTAACTCGTTCTCAACTGGTGAGTTGGGACTGAAACAGATGGCTGCAGAGGTGTTTCCAGTTAATCTCTGTGTGCTGGGAAAGAATATCAATCACCATAGTTATTGACATGACTAGAGAAAATTCCCAGTGTCCCATGACTTGGCCACAATGACAACTTCGTGTTGACAATCCCATTTCATATAATTTGAGAGCAGTCCGCATCTGCAGGGTAGGGGATTTTTGCATTCATTCACAAAGAGCTTACAAAGTGAAACCGTGAGGTTAGTTTACTGTCTAAATTGAGTCATATCACTGATGGTTTCTTTCGTGTGAATGCCTTTCCTGATAACAAGATACCCAACTATTGTTTGTCTCTTTAAAGTTGACAATAGGTACCTCATCATACTTCCAAGTCCAAGAAGCCCAACATCATTTCCAACTTGAAATGTTATTGGATCTACAGGTGTTGGACTCCAAGTTTATATCTGTTGAAAAAGAAGCTCCAGGATAAATGAATTGGAGATTAGTTCATTTTGATTGGCAGGAAAATGGCAGAAATTGGGGTAATGTTTTGTCATCAAGAAGGCAATGGTGGGTCTTGAGAAGTTCCCAGTTGATTTTACATAGTTCTATGTTTGGGGATAGAAACGTAGAGTATGAAGTCATCTGCATAGAGGGTGTGTTTTCATTTTTTTACATCTTAAACTTCACCAGCTGGCAAGATTTGGTATAACAAGTTCAAATTTTGGATGTTGGGGCCGACTTTACTCAAGTTTTTGAACTTCCAACCCCACTGAGTACACACACAGGAATCAAAAAGCCCAAAGTGCAACTGTTTGGGTTCTCTTCATTGAATTTTTTGTGTCTTGTTGTACCAAATGTTTTCAAATGGTGATAAGTCAGGACTGTTAGCAGGCTAGTTTGACACCTGGACAGCGGCGCTGTTGTGATATATCAAGATAAGGTTTAGTGTTGTCTGGCTGAAGTATGCAAGGTCTCCCCTGACCTTGTGTAGTTGATTATGATCATAATCAATTTGATCATATTCAATAATATTTAACTATGATTGTAGGGGATTTTTAAGAGGTTTGTAAAGTAGATAATTGGGGATTTCATAAATGTTTTCCAAAGTTAATGAACTTTTCCTTTAAAAACAGAGCAGACAATGGTTCAAATTAGAGATCTTGTATATATACAGATAGATAGATAGATAGATAGATAGATAGATAGATAGATAGATAGATAGATAGATAGATAGATAGATAGATAGATAGATAGATAGATAGATAGATAGATAGATAGATGTGTGTGTCTAAAGAGGGTGTTGAAAAATGAAGAGTCAGAATAAGCTGGTTGAACCTCGGATTATTGAACCGTTTTACTAAGCTTAATTTTTCTCCTGGTAAACAACCACTTGGTAGAACTTTAACTCTGCAGTAAAAGTGTTGACTTAGGTCACAAAAATCCCCAAATTTTCAAATACCAAGAACAGAATCTCAAGTCAACACAAACAACTCAGCAGTGAAGCATGTGAGTCTAAATGTAGCTCATGACATTTCAATGTGACACTGGACAGACACCAAGTACAACATTTGGTGCTCTGTCTTTTTCTCATTCTTTCTGTCCTTTGGGGAAGTAGGACGTCAGCATAACCTCCTCAAACCCTGCAGTGTTTTGGCAACTTATAAAGTTGAAGTGGGGAGAAATGTTTCTGACCCTGTTTTAACCTCTTTGAACTTCGCTGCCCTGTCAGTCATCCTTTCTTTGTAAAGCACATGTGATGTGCGGTGTTGTACACGCTCTATATTTACTTCCAGATACAAATGACACGTCCTCAGTGGCTAACACCCATATCGAAAGGCTGCCTGACTCATCGTGTGGCACAATATGAGGTGACAGTGGTACTGATAGTGGTCAAAGTTATAGTCATAAAGAGAAGAAGTGGGAATGAGAAGACTGCGCTGGAGAAGCATCTCTTCCTGTCACTCTTTTTGCTGATTTCCTGAATTCGAATTGAATTCTTTCCACTTTTTGTGATTGACATCCAGGAAGAGAAGTAATAACGACACACTGTTTAATAATCTAAATCACTTTTATTAATTTAAGTTAGGTAGAGACACTAAACATTGGAACCACATTTGCTCAGAAAAAATTACAAAAAAAGAGGCTTATGTCATACTGTCAAAATAAAAATGGAAAAAATTAAGAGGTAGAGAATTTAGGCTCATCACTGTGACTGGAGGAATGACGCAAATTGGAATGTAGCTGAAAATTCAAAAACTCTGTTGTCCCAAAAAAGTACATGAAATATGCATACACCAAATATGATGGAGACAGTCAATCGGGGATACTGGGGCACTCACAACATAAGAACATTTACATTTCACTTTAACTGGACAGGGTGGACAAAAGACATGAGATAAAGTGTTACTTTGGAAAATAATGGAACGCTTATGCCTTTAATGCATCCCCCCCAACCACACATCGGTGTCAGGACAGCGGTTTGCCTAAATGGGGTCATTTTTTTTTAACAAATAATATTGGTAACAGATAAATTTACAATATAAACACCGTAGACCTTGAAAAGAACATATAAATGAGGGAAATTTCCTCAGTTTCTCTCAAAGTAGTACATTCTGAGTGAGTCACACATGCAAGCTTTACGCAGTACACAGACTCCCTCGTCCACTGTTTGAGAGTTTAGTCAATTCAGACCTTAAATAACAGGACCATTAAATGGACGAGCCTCATTACACTGTGAAGATCTGATTAGCCTCAATCTGGCCTTTAAAAGTCCCATTGGGAATGTGTAGACTTCATTATAAACACGTATGCTACATGTCTGTAAATTAAGTATATAACAACAAAATATGGTAAACCTTTATTGAGAAATATTCATCTTGCTTTGTTTCAATGGCACAAGCTTAACTTAAAAAAAAAGAGCCTCTGCATGGGGAGTTGAGTGGAAATGATATGCTGTGTCGAACCTTCCTACACAGAGAATGCTGGCAGTGTAGAGAGAATAAATCAGAAATTACAGTGCATGTCTACAAAAATAAAATAAGTGATTTTTTTACTGTTTGTACAGTAACATACTGTATATTTCCACAATGACACTAGATAAGGCTGGTGACTACATTACGTAAATAGTTATTATTGAATACCTTTTCTGTATGATTTCAAAACTAGTGACAGAATATACATGTTGGTTTCTTTAAACTTAAAAAAAAGACAAAGTCAAATAAATCCTATGTGTAGTACACAGCTTTCTTTGTTCCAGAGGAACAATATGGTAAACCTTTGCATTTGCTCAATGCAAGTGCACCAGTCTAGATTCAGTCCCCTTCTTTCTTTCTTTACTTCCTTCCTTTCTTCCCCCATTTTCATCCACAGTGGTTGTTTCCTCATGCGCGCAGGTTTTATGTGCCTCTGTTCAGGTTTCAAAACAGCACCCCCTAGATCCCGTTCTTCGCCTCGTTGTTGTTCATGGCCTCCTTTCTCTGAGCTAGGAACGGGTACATGCACTTATCGGCACCCAGGAACCGGTACATGCACACGATGGCCTCGAAGGGCAGGATGCTGCAGAGATGAGTGAGAGGGATTAGATATCTTCCTGATAGTTCACAAAGAGTTGATGCCCAAACAGAAATTAGTGTCTGCATATGGGATCAAATATTGTAAGGAGGCGGTTTACCTTTTCATGAAGTTGACCATATAGACGATGCGAGGTGTGCAGATCATGGGCTGGTCGGTGAGGATAGCCCTCATGGCCTGTTTTACACAGAACTCTGGCTTTAGGGGAGGCAGAAAAGGCTCGATTTCCTTCCTGTATGGAAGGAGAAATTATTTGGATGAGTTTGTGACAGACCTTAAATTAGTTAAAAGTTAGATAAAATTTACAGTTAATATTTTTTAAACAGAAAAGTGAGTTAAAAAGAAGGATTAATGGTTCTTTGCACACAATTAAAATGATCTGTTGTGGGGAGACGGGGCAGAAATTTGGGAAGCTTGAAAACAAGTTGATTGAAAATGGCTTCAAATTGGATTGGAATAGATTTTTAGTTACATAAAGAACCTGCAGCTAAATTGTCCTTAAAAGTTTTTTTTTTTTTTTTTTAAATTTACTAAAAGAGCATTTTTCAGACTATAATCAAAAAAAGATACCAGCTAAAATGGTGTCAGAGTTCTTTGGCGGGGCAATAGGGATTTTTCCAAAGTAGAGGGACAGTAAAGCAGAGATCGTGCCACCTGCTAGACTGTAACCATCAAACAAAGTGAGGACTATCACAGCAGCAGCAGGGGAGGGCTGCGCAGGTGCACCTGTTGGTGAGGTTTCCCCTGGGAAAGTCGCCCTCTTTGTTAAAACCAGGGTGCTGACCAAAGGCATAAGGGCGACTTTGTAATATCTCTAAAACAATCAGCTGCCGCTTTGAAGTTCAAAAGGTGTTTGTGAGATGGTTTTTATATGGTGCAAATTAGACGACATAAACCCATCCCAGGTGCGAGAAAGCTTTTAAAGCAGAAACAGAGACACGGAGCACAGGAACAGCCACACTGCTCATATGTACCTTATCCTGCAGCCTTTGAACATTCCCGTGTCCACCAGGTAAGGGCACACCAGAGTCATGTTGATGCCGTCCTTCTCGGAGGCCTTCAGCTCATGGCTCAGCGACTCATGGAACCCGATGGCACCGAACTTACTGGCGCAGTAATCCTGTGGGAATAAAGGGAGAACAGGTTAGCCCTGTAAAACTCTGCACCCAGGGACCACAGAGAACATTATCAAACATGCCCCGCGGGCTCAGAGGGCTCTCTTTGCTGTTAATGATACAGCCACAAAAACCTGAGCAAGCCTGTCCTCTGTTCTACGGTTTCATTAGCATTCTTCTCCGGTGCATCAGGAGACCGCACGGCTTGGCGGGAAGGTTTTGATGTGGCTCGCTGTGGAAATAATCTCCCTAAAAAAAAAAAGGGCTTGGGCAAACACAGATGCATGTCCATAAACTCGGGGAGGATAAAGAGATTTGACTGCGCCCACATGACAGGCGAGGGCTTTGGTTCCCTGAAATTAATGTGCGCGACTACAATCACATTTGAAGCGTTTCTACGAAGCGTGATAGCCGAACAAAAACTGGCTAAATTTCAGCGCCTTTGAAGAGGGACTTCATCATTATGGATGAGTGCTTGTGCAACAAAAGCAAAGTGCAGCTATAAAAACAGAGACAAATGGAGTAGTAAACCCTGCAGACAATCTGAATATGACACCACACTCAGCAGAGGGATAAATGAGAACTCGGTTTCCGTGGATATCGAAGTAAAACTCCTCCCAGACAGCGACCAATTTACTCCTCCTGTTGTTATGGAGATAAATAAATCCACTGAGTATTTTTGTTTACATTAAAACAACAAAAAGAATCTATACTGGGAGAGGAAAATATAAGAAGGACAACTGTACCCACTGAGCGCAGTGTGAGCTGAATACTGAGTGAGCTCAAAGTTGTTCACAAAGCAGTGATGAAGATGTCTCCATCCCTCGGGGAGCTGTCAGCTCATTCTGGCCCTGGGGCCAGAGCCCAATAGGGGCCCCAACACCCCCACTGCTGCAGATAGAGGAATCTATAAGAGGCTCCCCAACGCTCATGTGTGTCCCTTAATTTAACGGGTGGAGGGACAACTAGAGAAAAGGGGCCTAACCTCCCCCAGCACAGTGTGCTCACTGGCACGCCGGGCGTTTTGGAGAAAAGGCCTGGATTTGGATGGTGGGAACGATGGGGATGTGTATCTGTATGTGTTGTTGTGTATGATACTAACCTCCACTCCAGCTGTGCTGAATAAACCCAGAGAGCTGGCAACCGTCACAATGTGGCCGTGATTCAGCTCCAGCATCTTGGGGAGAAACGCCTTGGTGGTCTGTGAGGAAGGACAGAAGAGACAGAAGGGCAAAGACAGAAAAAGAGGAAGGTTAGTTCACTTGTGCAGTTTGTCTGTGCCAAAGCCCTTTGATCCTCTCTGCCTCCCTCTCCATGTGTTTCTCCTGCTTCTCCATGGTGATGCAGAGAGAGGCGTCTGAATGAGATTTCATAACAGGCATGAAAATAAAGATCAGTCTGAGCGCTGGAGGTGCAGCATTTTAGAATAAAAAGTTTGGGTCTTTCTGGTAGGTGTGAATTAGATTCTGAGAGAAGAGAAGGATGTGGGTTTTCCCCTCTTCAGGCTTTTACTGAACCAAACAGGTATTTGGTGTGTGTGCGTGTGTGTGTGTTCCTGTACAATCTGTCCTTTTCCCACACAGATCTGGTGCCTGTTGTCCGGCCTGGCTCTAAAGACCTGGTGACAACACCGATCATAGGCCTCCGTTCACTCAACAACAATACAATTCAGCCTCTCGTCTACCCGCACGGCCCTGCGCCCTGCCCCAAAAAAGCGGAGCAATCGGCAGTGAGATGAGCACCGAGATGAAAGAGTTTCACCAGAGAGGTTTCCACTGAAGGTCCAGCGAGAGTTAGAAGAAAGGTGCTGAGAGGAGAATCCCTGCAGAGTGAAGCGTCACAGACAGAGCAAAAGGAAAAGAGGAGTTGATTAAGCTATGGATCTGCTCCCCTTTCTGCACGTCTGCTGACTCTGGACACAGCGTGAGTCAATCAGCAGGTGTGACATGTGACAGGAACGATAGGAACTGACCAATCGCTCTCCCACTAGGAGGTCTGCAAATGAGCAGGAGGCCTTTTGTTGGGAGCTCTGCTACTTCTATTCAAGTCCGATGTGCTAGAGTGAAGAACAATGCATGAAGTCTGCCACGCTCTTTTAAAAAAGCACTTTGTTTCTAAATAAAATCACTCAGGACACATTAAATCAGGATAACAAGATTCCCAGTGGGGCTGTGGTGAGTATTTAGGGTGAGAATCAGCCAACAAAACAAGTCCATTCATTTAAACCCCAATATAAATCAACCAATCAGCTAAAGTGTTAGAAAATGTTCTTCTGATGAGGAAAAAACAAACTTCTGTAGAACCAGACTCTTGAGTTTAATAATAAACCGCACTTTTGACATTTTTACTCTGTGGTCACACCAATAAAAAGTGAGTTTCACTGCTCTGCTTAGTATGTAAACCTGGCTGAAGAACGTCTGCAGCCTCCTCTCTAAATATTTGCAGGATGGGAAACACAGATCCAGAGAGTGCATGGTACCAGGTTGCACAGCCTTGAAATCACAGGCATGAGGAGGGAGAAAAAGCCTCATTAAAAGAGCACCAAGAGATTAACTGCACCGGACTGACTTCTGCTGCGGTGTAATCTCCACTTTGCATAACATCTGTATTTAGACATCCTCCTTGTTCGAGTAAGATAAGTCAAACTGGAAGCAATAAGTCAGATTTAAGCAGAGAGAAAATGACTTCACTGTTGCCGGGTACAGTATAACTGATCTGACTCGGCTCCAAACATCTGCACTTTTCCAGGGCATAAATTTTCAAGTTCCTGTAATATTTAACTCATTGAACGATGAGGCCCAAAGAGGGAGGAACACAAAGCTCAGAGGAAAAGCTGAGAAAGGCCTCCGCAGGCCAGAATGGCAGCGAATGACGGAGGGAGTTGCGTGCAAATGAAGCATTAACTTCAGATATGCCCGTATCTGACAAGAGCCAAAGTTTCCCACTCTTACAGCAACTTTCAGAGCACAGAATGACTTGATCTGGCACGATGCTGTACGGCTGAAGCCAACACTCAGATATAACTGGACAATTTTGCTGAGTGGTGCGAAAATAACTGGAATTGATGGAGGAAAGGCTGGTTCTCTCAGCTAGAGGAAAGCGCTTAAAGTTGAAGAAACATCCCATCTCCCTCTCCCGGCCTCGTTCCATATCCTGCTTCTCATGGCAGCTCTGGCATGTGGGTATGACCCCCACTGACCTCTCAGACACAAAATGTGTGAAGGCGACCAGGGGCTCGTGTCCGACATCAGAGCAGCCGTAATTGGGTTTCAACGCTTCCTTGTTCCGCTAAATTACCCGCTGACACAATCGGGCCTCCTTGGACTATGTGGGGGTGCTTTGCCCGCTGCACCCCCTAATTGGTGCGTGCCCCCAGGAGCATTTAAGCCACACAAAGCTTCTTGCAGCTGGGGTGTCAGGACACATTAGTGCAACAGGAATATGAACAAAATATTGGCCTTTGCGTCGGACCAGATGGCCATTTAATTGGGCTGACTTCTCCCTGGACGAGAGAAAAACGCCTGAGCTCGAGAGCTCGTCTGATCCTACAACAGATTGTGGAATTTGAGTGGGCTGGGTTTACTGGTCATCGGGGGTGATGGATGTAGATTGGTCGTGTTGTGGTGGCCATGCTGGTCAGTAAGCCTCAGCTACAGCTGGCTAAAGCCCAAAACCCCCCTGCTGGTTGTACAACTGGAATCCAATTTACCTGGAAGGCAACTCCATCAATAGGTCAGGGGTAAATATCACAATACACTGCAAACACAAGAATGCTCCTGCTGTGAGAAACGCTGTGTTTGAAGGTTGCTGTTGGTCAAGTGTAATGAGTCTCTTTGTTATGGTCCTTGTCCTAAATGACAACTCCTTAAATGGATGTTTTTCTTGTTCTTAGATCCCTATTTTAAGGATTTAAATGAGTCCACAGCTGAGATTTTCAGTCTCAATAAATTGATTCTTGTTTTTAAAAAGTCTATTTTGTTTAGTTCAAGCTATTCAGACACGAGGGCTGGATTCTTTTCCTCGTCTTGTGGTAGTAAACTAAATCTTCTGATCATTTTTTTTGAGAAACAAAAATGTCTTTTTATTTAAGACATTAATGGTCTGTCTGGGTCATGTTTTAGGGTATGAACAGGTAGGTGGACATGGAGGGACTTAACATGAAAGAAGAACTGGCTTGATCCAATCGGGGGTACAGGTGCACCAGGCTCGAGGAGGGGCCCATATAAAACCAGTCAAGTAGGACCCTTCTGCCTGGCTGCCTCCTTTCTCTAACTACAGCAGGAATGCGGCCTGCGGAACTTGGCTCCTGTCGCCTGGCATCTTGTCAAGCTGATCCACAGACAAGAAAGCAATTGTCACATAAAGTGGGTCAGCAGCAGCAGCTTACCATTACCCTCTCGCCTTCGCCTGTGGAAGGGCCGCCGCTGCCTTCCTTCCCCTTTTTCTTTCCTCTGCTCTTTTCCCGCCATGTCTCTGTCATGTAATTGGACTAGAGCGGCTTCATTTCCAGCGGAGGCCTGCTCATTGTTCGTGAGCCACCTGTTGGATAACCAGCTCAAGATGCTGAGGATGATTTCCTTTCATGTCATTCCACTAGACAAACACTCATCCTCGAACGCAAACTCTGGGGACACTTCCTGAAAAAAGACCGCACACTCCCTCGTCCCGGAATGACTAAAAACCGATGCTCAGACATCACAAATCTGCAGCTGGACTAATCAAAGCATCATCAAACAAATTAAACGCCACGGCTCACTGCTCCATAAAACACTAATAAAGAAGCAAAGGACTGAATCATAGCTGTTTGTGGCAGGGCTGGATGAACGGAGCTGGCCTCTGTGGCTGCCATGCAGCTGCACCCACTGCCTCCAAATCGGGTTGGGAGGAGTCAGAGGGGCCTGAGGAAGGAGGATGGAAGAAGTGCGGGGTCTGACAGACACACATGCACTCGCTACAGTTTCCATCTCTGCGCTTAACTCCTAAAACAATGTCTAACAAAAGGAAAATAACCATTTCTCTCATGTCAGATGTGGGGAATCAGTAGGAATCTGCTGTCATGTTAATCTTGAAGGTTTTTTTACATAACTGGATTAAATTAAAGCAGGGTAGCTGACTGAATCTTTGACGAGTCTGTAATGGTGTTTTGCTAATAAGAAGCTTTAATTATGAGCATGACTTTTTAAGAACACACTCTAGATTAGGTTCACAGTTGAGGACTGAGTATGCATACTTCTGTTCCGCTCTAAAATTACAGGAAAAAGGCAGAGGACCTCTTTCATTTAAACTTGTCAGCATCTACCAAAATAAATAACACAATAAACCACAAACAGGCCGTTAAAAACCTGCTGTCCAACAGAGAGGAAAACAAAAGTTTGTGTAACACACCACCTGCATGCTCTGAGTAACCATACTTTGTTTGTGTAAGAGAGGAAAGTGGACAGATTCCTGTTAGTCTAAGCTCTATTCATCTAGCTTGTGTCTTTTAATGAACCACATCCTCCATTCTGCCTGTCGCCATTCATTAAGTTGTTCTTTCATCTGCCCCCACACCCCCCCCTTAAAGAAACCACCCTCTCTACCGAGTATGGGTGAACACAAACACAGACCCCTATTAAAAAATCCAAAAATCTGCCACCCAACCACTCGATCCTGACTCCAAATCCTGGATGTAAAAGATGGTGGAGATAGCCGCATGAATGGAGCGTCATTAAAAAAGGAGGAAATACACAACCTGTCTGACGGACAACACAAGAGATTTGCATGCCCAATTAGGGAGCTCCACAATCACTGTGGTTTCATGGTATCATTAGGAATGCGGTTCTTTCTTTTAAAAAAGCAGAGCCTGCAGGCAAAGTCTCAAATGGGCATCACCCGCTTCACTGGACACATTGCTCAATATAGTGTGACAAACAGTCAATTCAAAAGGGCACATCCTCGATCCTTGCAATGTAATCTGCATCTGGCCTTAAACACAATTTGTTCACAATCGTTACATTTGTCCCTCAGCTCTGTGGCTGTACACAAACAATGCAATCAATTATCATGACTGATTTAGTCATGAATGAGAGGAGAGGGGCTTTAACGCTGGATAACTCCTAATGCCCTCAGAGGGGTTGTTTTTTCTTCAAAGATTTCTAATTGCCACTGCAGCCGGGATTTTCTCTCGAATCGAAAAGCTTTTATAACACCTACCCTGTTTAAAATTGCAGCTTGCGCATATCATGAATACAACAGTGGCTCCATTGAGCTCAAGTGTCTTTTCAGATAAGAGTCAACAGGACCAAATGAGACAGATTAAAGTACAACATACAAGGGATAAGTGCCTGCAAACAAAATATGGCAATCTGATTTGATCCAGATCCAATCCATGTACATGCCTCCTGCTGCCGTCATGCTCAGTTAAGATTTGTACCGATGTGTGCAGGACAGGAGAGTGGGGAAAAAAAAAGGCTAACATACCAAAGGGATCATCAAAGATTCAGACTGCCAAGGAGCAAAAACAGTGACGGCAAGACTCATAAAGCCAAACTCGTGACTTTCCTCTGGCAGAATTTGACTAAACGGAGCTGAATTTGATCATATTAGAGAGCTATTTATGGTCAGATTTCTGAATCTTGGAGGCACACATACTGACACACCTTTGATTTTTTGAGTTTGGCACACACAGAAGGAGAAGATTATGAATAGGCATGCAAGTCAGACTGGGAACATTCCTGAGACTCTAGCTCCGCTGTAAACACATTTGATAACACTGTGCTCATGGAAACTGATGCAGACTTACACCATCAAGTTGCAAGCTCTAATATCCACATTAACCCAAACTGCACTTTTTAAGGACTTGTTTGGTCGCTCACCCAGAAGTGTGCATGGCAGTTAACCACCATGGTGCGCTCGATCAGCTCATCAGGGCACTCCAAGAGGTGGTGGCCAGAGACAACGCCGGCGTTGTTGATCAGTATGTCCACTTCTCCCACTTCTCTGCGCACCTTCTCAGCTGTGGAATACACACTCTCCCGCTTTCCCACATCACACACATAGGTGTAGACCTGTGGCTGGAAAGGAGGGACCTCCTCTACACCTCCAACAGGTCCTGCAGAGGGGAAAGAGATTGAAAGAAAAATGAGAAAACAGATCAATCAGCAGGTGTTACAGGAGAAAAAGAGGTTGGGATTTTCATGGCTGAATGATGCACACTAGAGTCAACCTATAGCACGCATAAAGAAGTGGAAATCTGGGACTGTGCAGGAGATGCATGTGAGGCACTGCAGCCCTTTCCAGGTTTATTGATTTGTGAGATGTGTCAGTGAGTTCATTTCAACACTGGGCTTTCTTTGATAGACCTATGCGTGCAAAGACATGGCAGACAAACACCTTCAAAGCGAGTACATAAGTGACCACGCGTTACAAATCTCTATCGCTGGAAAAAGAGGACTAAAAAGCACTCTTACCGTCTTTGGTAATGGGAGTGTCCAGTTCATGGTAAATCTGCCGCACCATCTCCGCTGTTTCCTCGTTGCTTTGGCTGTTTATGTCCCATAACACCAATATCGCTCGTCTCCGGGCGAACTCCTTAGCGAAGAGCCGCCCGAGGCCGCTTCCAGCCCCGGTGATCACGCACACCTGTCCCGCCACGCTCTTCTCCTTGGGCCGAACAACCCACTTCGCCCCGGCGGTGACAAAAGCCCACAGCACCTTGAGAATGACCACGAAGAACTCCGCGAGGATTATCATCATTTTGACCGAGCTTTAGATGAAGTCAAACGAAGCGGCGAAACGTCTTCCTCTTTAACCTGTTTGCAGCGGAAATGAGGGGTCAAGCCGACAAACTTGGCACACGGTGCGCGCAAAGAGACGATAACGAGGCGCATACACAAAGTGGAGGAAAAAAGCGCAGAAGAAGCTACAAATTCAGAGTAAAGAGAGAGTTCATATGCTGCTCTGTCAGAGTCCAGCTGCGGTGAGTAATTGTGAGCAGCTACTACAGACAGTACCTCCTACTACCTCTGCTGCTCTTCCACTCTTCTCATCCTTAGCCGCATCCCTGTCGCTATTTATTCAGTCCACCCATCAACGCTGGACCCAATAGGACGGAGCCTTGAGCGCCTGTCAGAATGAAGCGGCTACTCGGCGCACACATTCAGAGGTGATGTCACCCAAAAGGTTTTACCTAACACCGATCTGCTGCCATTCTCCTTAACTCATCATTTCATATGGATATCTTTCATCGAAAAGCCACTTCTTTTTTTTCTCTTTAACTTTAAGTCTTGATTCAAGTACATATATTTTGTGTTTTTAACTTACACTTTGATTGGAAGTTTTGCTTGGATTTAGATTTGAGAAATAATGACTGAGTTTTTTTTTTTTTTACATAATTTTATGCATTTATCAGGCAAATACAAATAAGTCCTAGTATCTCTTAAATTCAGGGTCAATGTCCATCCAAACTGAAACCGTCCACCTCCAAAACAGCTCGACTTAATTGAAACTTTTTTTGATTCATTGTATGATTCATATAAGGTGAGCTGGTGATACATATCAAGACTGTTTCTTACACGGAGATAAGAAGTTGCAGAAAGTGAAAGTGGATCAATGAGGTACGCTGTACGTGCCAAAATGGACGTAAAGCGGTTGGGCCAGTAGATGGCCTGATCCGTGTCTTTAGATATGACTGTAGATTGAGTTTTCTATGAGCAGAAAACCTGGGAACAAAGACGCATTACCTCCAATAGAGCTCCTGATGCAAATTTAGTGGGAAATCTTTTTTTTTTCCAAAACATTATTTATCGCATTTTGAAGCATGAAGTTGTTAATGGCAAAGCCTGTATTTTGAAAACTAGCCCACAATGTTATTTTTTCATGATGAGTAGTTTTATTTAGACCACTAAACAATATAAAAGGTGCTTCTAATGAGGGAGATTTAAGTCTTAATGTACTTTGAAACAAGATAAACTGTTATTTTGACTGTAGGCTTGATTCTCAGGTTTACCAGCAGATGTTTTCCTGTCTTGTACTGTTCATCACACCGCCTGTGTTTTACAACCTGATGAGGTGGTCTCTTCTCTTATGAGATCCACGATCCAGCGAGAAGGAGGGGAGTCTGGTGTGCAAAAAAAGGAGCGTTTGCTCCCTCTGCCGGGTAAAAGTGTGCATAACAACACCTGTGGCATTTACAGACCCTTTCCAAAAAATTAGAATATCATTGAAAAGTTTATTTATTTCCATAATTCCATTCAAAAAGTCAAACGTTCATAGATTATAGATTCAGGGTGGAGTCTACATTCTTACCTCTTCTAGATTATGGTGGTGTTTTATATATGAATGCCTCTGCCCAGAGTCTGCAAATGCTGGACAGTGTTCACCATGGAGCTCTGAGATTTATAACAAATTGTGGATTTTTAACTCATCGATGTACTTTATACTCCAAAGTCAGTTGGACTTCTCAAGTACTCATCAGCTTGGTCATTGGTACATTTTCATTTACAAAGGCATTCTTTGAAAATTCAGGACTACCTTTCCTCCTTATTGATCTTTATCAGACGGATTACACAACCTGAGATCATTGAGATTTATACAGTTTGTTGTCCCCAGAGTTCGAACTGAAATGGGAAAGAAGACTTTCAGGTTCCCTGCCCCCTCCGCGTGGAATAATCTGCAGACTGAATTTAAGCTGCAAAACTTGGTGTCTTTGTCTGTTTTTAAATCTGCAGTTAAAAGGCTGGAGTACAAACTCTCAGAATGTGTCTCTTTTATTCAATGTTTCCTAACATTTTTTTTCTGTATTGAGTCTGTGTGACTGTTTGTTGTAACTATGTATTGCTGCCATTCTTGTTCAGGTCTCCCTTGCAAATTAGATCCTCAGATCTCAATGGGACAAACCTGGTTAAATAAGGGTTAAAGATAAAAAAAAAAAACAAGTTAAAGTATTTCAAGTATTTTTTTGTTTTGTTTATTTTTACATAATTTGGGCTTCCAGCTCATAAAACCCACAAAAACAGGAATTCAAAAAATTAGAATACTGTAAATAAATCCCTATTTACTTCTCAGTTTTTTGCAGAAAAAAAAAAGAAATTAGGATCACATCAAATCAATCAAAATATAGTACTTTCAAAATGATATGTTGATCTTTAATACTTGGTTGCCTTACATTCATGTATGTTAAAGTTGCTGAGAATAGACAAGGCTACAAAAGTGCGAGCTTTCTTGGGACAGACATACAACCTCATTGTAAGACATGTTCCACCTGCTAGTTAGATTTCTCAATAATAATTTGGGTAAATTCCATATTCATAAATATACTTTTAAAAAAGTGAGTACTTAAGTTTGTTGCATTTCAAAATTACTTAAAAATTCCTTTTTGTCTTTGAAAAACAAAATGTGTGTTGAGAGACTATCTGAAATAATTGAGCTTCATATTAATTGAAACCCCAGAATTTGAACATTTAACTTTACTTTTAATTGTGTTGTGATTTTTTTTTTTTTCATATTGTTTTCTGGTCAGTTTGGTTGTTGTATCCTCGTTGTGTACTGGGATATGCTCTTTATGAAATGTGCAACACTTTTAATATGTGTTCACAACTTAACAGCGATAATCAAAATACTTATGATAGAAAAAATTATATCATAAGTTTTTCTCTCAACAAAGCCTAAACGAAAATTTCTCCAAAAAATAATGGACTGTTGAATCAGCATTTATTTATGTGGACTATTTGCATAGCTTGAGTTTTTCAGAATTTGAACATCCTGCAAGCCTACATTTTAAACTCAATTTTCAGGTAGTTACAATTAAACAAAAAAAAAAAATTCAAAAACAACCACAAAACCAGCTACAAGTTAGACAGCAAAGTAGAACAAAATCCCTATGATGGGATTAGGCCGTAACTAAAATAAAAGACATGGCATTTATTCTCTCTGTAGTGGGACTATGGAATGTTCAGTAGCCTATCTTACATTTATTACACATTAGCAGTGTACGGATAGGACAATGCATAAAACGCATAAAAGTCAGGCAGCTGAAAGGACACCCACTAGCGGGCCTCACTCCTTTAACGCGCACATGCGCACCAGGATTTTCCTCTTTCTCGGTGGACGCAATGGCGGACGCAGAGTGAGTGTTTTTCTGTTGTATGAAATCTAAGCACATCCAGTGTTTAAAAATAAATCATGGTTGAATTTCTGCCCTTAATGGATTACCTAGTATCTGCACTACTGTACTTTGAGTGTATTGTTAAGGATTATCGATTTTATTCTTATTAGGCTGCCTTAGTAACATGTATGTGTTGGAGTAGTACAACATGGCTGTCTCTCAAACCTCGGTGCGTTTCAACAAGTAGTTAACTTTTCAAAAGATGTAAGCCAAATTAATACAAGCCAATGAGTAAATTGTCGTGCGATATACACCTCTGTGTGTCCATTAGACGCGTTAGTTAGTATTTTGACAGGTTTGACATCCTTTGGAGAAGCCGGTAAATGACAGGTTAGCTTGCTATCGGCTATATCCAGCAAAGTGAAGCAGACGTGTCGCCTTACTGAAAGGCCTTGTTGATGTTGTGAGAGTTTTACTTGCTAAGTTTTAACGCTTTGTATTTGTCATTACAGAAAAAAAGTTCCGGCGGTCCCTGAGAGCCTTTTGAAAAGGCGAAAGGCCTTCGCCGCCATGAAGGCCCAGCGCATCAAGAAGATGCTGGCTGAGAAAAAGGTGAGCCACATGCTTCATTGAGTCAGTCTCTGCTCAAGTGCATGCACCGTAGGATGTCTCCTAAAGATGTCAGTGGTTTCTGTAATACTTCGAATTAGACCATGTGCTCTTGCATCTTTTCCAGGCCCGCAAAGTGACCAGGAAGCTCATCTACAAGAGGGCTGAGAAGTACCACAAGGAGTACAGGCAGATGTACAGGCGTGAAATCCGCCTGAGCCGCACTGCCCGTAAAGTGGGAAACTACTATGTCCCAGCAGAGCCCAAACTGGCCTATGTCATCAGGATCAGAGGGTGGGTACTTTTTACCATGAAGAAATATCAGAATTGTTAACAACATGAACATGGATCGCTTGTTTTAAACTTTTGAAAGTACACTTGTTCCTTGGCGAGCTGCAGTTTCCCACTGTTTGGAAATATTCTTTCCTACATTGTCAGTGTGAATATGCTAAGAACTGTTCTAAACTATGTGCTTGACAAAGTGTGCTTTTCTTACTTTGCAACATGGATATCCATTCAAGCAAGTTTCGATTAATGTAAGGGTTTGATTTGACAGGTGTCTGCCAAGCCTGTTTTTTTTCCTAGCAATCAGTCTTAATGACTGTTATCAGATGTGGTTAATGATGTTCCCTCTTTCCCCGACATATCGACCATGGTGATACAAATATGTATTAAGCCAAATCAGTCTGAAACCACTCCTGATCGCACCAGTGATAGAAGTATACAAAAACATGATACCACATGCTAATCATGATCTTCATTTCCCCCCTAGTATCAATGGTGTCAGCCCCAAGGTCCGCAAAGTGCTGCAGCTGCTCCGTCTGCGCCAGATCTTCAACGGTGTGTTCGTAAAGCTGAACAAGGCTTCTATCAACATGCTTAGGATTGCTGAACCTTACATTGCTTGGGGGTAAGGATGACCTCTTCGAAACTCTTCTCCTGATGTCAGGAATCAAAATAGTGGTGCTCTGCCATTTTGCTCCATGTTCGATAGATACGTACATCAGATGCTGCAATGGTGATGCATCCTGTGACTGTCGGTGTACCTCTGGAATGTGGTTAATGATGCTCAACTTTTTTCCCCATCTTATCGACCATGGTGAATACTGACTGATACTAAGCCAGTTTTGTCTGAAACCACATTCTGTGATGGTACAACAGCTACAAATTTATTGATGGTACAGGATGAAACGTGGGGAGATATGAGGGGGCATGCAGCACATGGTCAGGGCAGGACTTGCACTGAATGCTTACAAAAAGGAGTGTCTGATTAGGCCTCGCACTCTTAAGCATGTATATGAAAATGTATTGCAGTTTTCCAATTATACAGTTTATTTAGCTAAGTTTTCCAGATGTATTGATGTGGATCTGCCTGTTTGGTTTCATTGGCATACCATAGTGTCCTATTGTGATCTGGTCATCCTGTGAATGCAAGTAGAAAACAAACATCCTTGAACAGAAGTGAATCAGGAAACAGATCTTTTGAGATGAGTTCAACTATAAAGTCTTCAATAATGGCTCTCTTAAACAAGACTTGTGGCTTCTTAGGCTAGCAACGCAATTAAGTTTGAGACAGTGAAAATACATATGGTATGTTGTATCTGAACAGGTTAGCTTACAAGCTAAAGTTACTTAGCACAGATAAAAGTTAAAACAAAGACATTTAGCAAACTGTTAAAGCACACAAAACATCGTCATATGAGAGATCCGACGCTATGACTCTCCACAAGTTGTCCTTCAGGTCGTTATCTTTGTAATGTTTGTGTCTGTCATCAAAAAGCACCCTGTTCTCCGACACGTAAACAATCAGCCGGTCGACCACATTAGATATACCGGTGAATCTGACATCACAACAACATGCAATCTGTTTGGTCAGGAGTGGACACACAGTATGCGAAACTTTGGAAAAATTGACCATGATTCGAAAATAAATGCCCCAATATCGCAGGACGGGAAAACGTGGCTGATTTGAACACCTGTATTGACAGGATACAGGGTTTGGAAAAAAATATTGATGTCCGAAATAATCGCACAACAAAAATGGTCCCGGTGTGAAAGGACCTTCAGTTTGCCATGTTATGCTTTAGGCATATATTTTTTTTGTTTTGGTTGAGCTGCAGTCAATGTGCTAACTAGCTTGTTCTGCATGCAAAGATCAAAGTTGTCAGCTTCGACTTGGAGCACTGGTTTCTCATGTGTTAGATATTGTTGGGAGAGTCTTAAAAGAATGGGACACAAATGTTGAAACTATTAATGGAAGGCAAACTGTGGGCTATTCAGACATCAGCTTTCTGCCAGCAAACAGTACTATTTCTATCATAGTATTGTTTCCTCAAATGCAGTGCCGCACAGTATAAAGAAAAGTATAGTAAAAGTGGAAAGTAGAAACAGATCGAAATGCCTAACTTCTGTTGCAGTGTCTCATCTCACTGTTTAAAACCCTTTGGAGACTTTTTAAATCATTGAACAGTATAAATTAAGTGATGACTTTACAACCTTCATGATTTTAATCGTCCATAATTGCTGCACAGCGGAAGGTGAAAGGCTAGGCAGATAAAATCAAGCTGAAAAAAATAACTATATTCCCCAGCAGCTTAAAGTAATCAATGAGCTCCAGTTTGTGATTAACCCAAGAAATCAGCAGTGCTCACACTTTGTTCAGTTTGTGTCTCTTCTGTTGGATACTGCTGATGATCAAAAGAGCGGACATCAGTGACACTTAACTGTAATGATGTCTTACAGAGCAAGAAAAACAATTTTCAAAAAAATGTACAAGTGGTAAATATGTCCACACCTTTTGCCAGAAGTGAAATGCACCCTCCCTTTTATGCCTTTTGTTTACGCTGAAAAGTTTGCTAAATATGACACGGATATTAAAACAGCCCTCAAGTAATTGGTCCATAAATACGTTAGACAGTTGCTCACAACTTTTAATGTTTTGTCTCAGCAGATAAGCCTTTGACACTAAATTGAGAGATACCCTATCAAACTGTCTGGGAAACATTTTATAACTATTAGACTACTTACTATCAAAACTCCTTCACAGAGAATAACAAGTATGCAGACTTTACAATGTTGTGATAACTATATTGCTAAGGGCAACTTTTTAAAAACTATTTATCGCTTGTTTTCCCTCAGATACCCCAACCTGAAGTCTGTGCGTGAGCTCATCTACAAACGCGGCTATGGCAGGATGAGGAAACAGCGTATTGCCCTCACAGACAACGCTCTGGTGGAGAAGGCCCTCGGTAAAGAAATGTTTTACTTTTGTTTACAATGTACACCTGTAAAAGCGACTTAAAAAGCTTGATAATAAGTGCTCCATGTGGTTAATGATGCACATATTTTTTCCCCGTCATATCGACTGTGGTGAGGAAAACCGAAAACTAAGCCAGTTGTGTCTGAAACCACCTGTCAGTTGAATAGTTATTGGATTGTTGCACCTTCAAGAGCGACACTTGAATGAACATGTCTTTTTATGAAGTTAATTGTCAAAGGATGTTTGTTAAATGTAGCTTTGAGAGTGGTTAGCTTTGTTACTTAGCTTGCTAAACTGTTAAATCAACATTGTGGCTAACCCTTACTTGACGTTGAGAGGAGGTTATTTAATGTTAAAACCTGGATTATGTGTTGAGCATGCTGCTTTTTGGTCCCCAGGCAAATATGGCATCATCTGCGTTGAGGACCTCATCCATGAGATTTACACAGTTGGAAAGAACTTCAAGCCCGCCAATAACTTCCTGTGGCCCTTCAAGCTGTCCTCACCCCGTGGTGGAATGAACAAGAAGACCACACACTTTGTGGAGGGAGGAGACGCTGGCAACAGGGAGGATCAGATCAACAGAATGATCAGGAGGATGAACTAAAGTGATGGTGAGTTGCAGGTCTTGAAGGCGAACTGAGCTCATTAGGTGTGGTTAATGATGCATCTTCTTTTTTCCCCATCTTATCGACTATGGTGAAAACAAGCTGAAACTAAGCCAAATATGTCTGAAACCACACCAAAGCTGTTGTTCATTTTCAAATTGGATTATCATCCAGATAATCCTGTGTAGAAATAATTGTAAATAATTTTCATTCACTTAGTAAAGAGTCTTAAATGGGCTTTAGTTATGATGCAGGTTGTCTTGTTGGGTTTCATTTTGTGATGCCATTGTAATATGCTTAAAGACTTTTTATATACCTGTTCAAAGATTATTAAACTTTTTAAAGGCTCTTTGCATTGCTGTAACAAAACATTCAAGGTTCACTTGTATATGATAGATGTGTCACTTTCCCACTAAATCCTACTAACAAATGAATATTTACATCTATTGTCTGGTAACTAATCTGTTCTTTTTTTCCCTTTTCAAGGTTTTCCAAGGATACAAAATGTATAATAAAAACATGAAAAAAAAAAAATGCTTTTTGTCTTGTCGTTTTTGTCATCACTGGTAAACTGTGGTCTGTTTTGCCCACAGCAAATGTTCCAACTTTTTCACACTAAAACATAACACTGTTTAATACAGATGGAAGTTAGTCATATTGCTTTCAAAAAATAAGATAAATATCAGTCAAAAAAAGATGAAGTAATCTAGACAAAATTTTAACTGCGTATCCACATCATGAGACGTGGGTGAGTTTAAAATACCATTTAACCAAAGTAACGGTTTAGCTTGTTTCCATGACGACGCGGTGACTCGTTAGCATTTTGCTGCAGCAGCCTAGCATCGCTGCACGGAGATGGCCAGCTTTAAATTTTCGTTATAATGACCAGTTAAATATTTTCCCAAGCGAGGCCGGTGCGTGTGTTTTTATGGCGGCTCCAAAATGATGACTTTCCAGCTTAATCCATCGCTACCAACCGCAAAGGCTTTGATATCGCAGGGAAGCTCAAATTGCGGCCAGCGCGGCCCTGACGTGTCTGGATATCCAGCATTCAGTAACTTCAGGATGGGAGCAGGAGGGGGACCAGCAGCTTTCAGACAAAATACTCTCTTACGGAAGACATTTCCTCCGATACAGCCCTTGAACAGTGAGTATGCGTACTCTGAAATACCTGCTCTGCATCCAGATGCTGCAGCTAGCCTGACGTAATGTTAAATGGATGCTGACCATCAGTCCTCTATCTCTGCTGTAGAGTCCAGGGACTGGAAAGACCTGGTCAGTGACTTCATTGTTAGAGGGTAAGATCAAGACAATTGCTATTAGCACAATAACATTTATTATTAATAATAATAAAAGAACAAATGGGTTCAGTTTGCTGCATTTGTCACATTATTTGCTGGAGTTGGTTTTCTTCCAACCTGTGTGCTGGTATTGCTGACTTTGGTTTCTCCCCTTTTCAATATGTGTAGGTCACCTAACTTAGCCAAAGATGTCAAATTGGAGTTGGAAAACAGTGACCCCAAAATGGACCTCTGTGGCAGACAGCTGCTTTTTGATGATAAATGTAAGAACTGATGAACAGTGGTTTATCTTTTTATTATTGTAGTTGATAGAGGTAAAGAAGTCTCTGTATTTTGTCTATCAAACATGTAATTACCACTTTTGACCTTAGAAGTGGATACACATTGAATTTGAGGCTCCTTCCTGGATTTTAACCCCTGCTATCAGTAGATGGCGCTGTTGTCTCATATTAGAGTAAATGGTTTCCCTTCACTGTCAGATATTACATCCTTCAGGTAGAATTAAAGGTTCTTGTTGTCGCATGTTATTTGCTCTGTTCCTTAGATATTGTTGACAACATTGAATTGACAATTTGAGAATTGTTGCATTTACAGGTACAAGGCTAGAGAGAACCAGAACTGTGATGCCTCCACTGACAAGGGACTACCATGTGAACAGAGCTGGCAACTTGCCGCCCTTCAGACTGTCCAAGGAGCTTTTTCATAGCCACGCTGGGCGGCCCTTCACCCTGGGGTAACAACTGGATTAATGTTTCAGTCCAGTAGTTTGAGCTGCACTCTTCATTGCATATTTATGGAAGCAGCTGCACAGATTGCAGTAATGGAATGAGTCACTCTCTGATATATGAGTGATTTAAGACAGGAATATAAAACGAGAAAAAGGCAGACTGATACTATTAATATTGTGACATGCGTTATTTATCTGTTACAAACAGAAAGGGACAAGTGGTTGCTCAATGTTTAATATTCTGCTCGTGTGGGATGCACGATTATAGCTGAAGTTATTTTGCAGGGCCAAGAGATATCAGTTAATTAAATACCATTACTCCTTCATTTGTGGGAAGAGTTTTGTTAGATAGCACTTATTGTAAATAACAGAACTCAACTTTCACATTAAAAGTTTTGCAAATCAAAGAAATTTCACTCAGCTCCTTGTGAAGCTAAGTTGTACTGGGAAGAAAAACAGAAACAGGGACAAGAATATGTTATTTCAACAGCACTCTGTGGAGACATGCAGCATATTTTCATTTCTGTTTCAGTCACCCTGAAAGATATGAACTCGGCACAACTCCAGAAATTATTTTTCCCTCCACTTTGGTCCTAAATGGACGAAACACCTTCTCAGTGGGGAACTGCAAGCTCAGCAGGTACCATTTGCCTTTGAACAAAGTCAGACCAGGCCAATCAATAGTTCTCTCAATTATTCCTGTGCCCTATGCCTCTTCTGCTTTATTTCCGTTCTGCAGGCCGAAGGTGAATTACCCTACCTACACTCTGCAGACTGTTAGAGACAATCAAAAGAGTAAGTTGTTTTGAAGCTATTACTGTGAAGCCAAGACTTTTTAAGTACATGGTTGGTTATCCTTTGGTCAGGTATTTGTTGCGGTCTTGTAAAGTCAAGTCAGAATGTCTTGTCTGCAAGTGAAAGGGGTGGGAGTGCAACCTTCAACCTGTCCAGGTGTTAATGTTGATTTATTGGCTGCAAAAGTGACTTGCTTTATGGATGTTGCTTCTTCAAACAAAGTGGAACAAGGGGCCGCAGAGAGAACGGGTGTGTTTAGTGTTTTCAGCTGGTGTTAAGGGTCTTATTTTTAACTTTTGCTCCAGTTTTTTTAAGCAAAACCTCTGCTAATGCTCCCATTTTATGTTACTATTTACAAGTTTCATCTCTGGCAATCATGATATATCTGATATAGACATATCTGAAAGCCAGCATGAAGAAACACCACATACATTGTGTTTTTGTCCAAATGGCTCTTGTTTACCTGTTACCAATGTCTGTTTGTCCCCACCTGCGTTGGTTTAGACCAGTCCTTTCCAGACCCAATGGTCGGAGCGCCCCGCTCTTTCATGCAGAGGGTCACTGAGCTGTCCTCTCTGGAGGGGGAGACGTTGAGACAAGAAAAGCTGAAGAAAATGAAGAAACAGAGGAAGCCTCCATCCTGACAATCACCTTCTCCCCAGTCACACGGGTTAAGGATCAAAACTTTGGAGTCTGTGCCAACAAGGTCAGAGCAAAATAAAACCCTATGGGCACCCTGTTCCTTTCGGTGTCTTTTTCTTAGCGCTTGTTTGTCCTCGGCGACATTAGTTTCCTGCTTAACTTGGCTGATCTTCACATTTTGGGATTCCTGACCTGAGTTCCTCTCCTTTAGAAATGATATGCAGTATTTGCTATGAGAAATTGCAGCGTTTGCTACCAAAATAGATGCTGAAACTTATATATAATATGAAGTATTTTCTATTCTGATGTCACAGCTGCATGAAAAGATATTTATTTTACCTCTCTAATGGCTTGTAATGGCTGTTATGTAGTACTGCCATATTCCTCATTGTATCATCAGTGTGTTACAGATATTGTCAGGATTGACCTCATTACAGTAGTGTTTTAAACATTGCCGTTTAGATATTGATTTAGCTTTGTTGAGTAAGAGGACTATCTATGAACATATGATATAGTTTAGCAAAACCATTATTGTGCCTTGTTAAACGTCTTCCTGAAATTGAATAAATTTATTTTTGTTATTGGACTCTTTTTGTCAATGGACTTCTTCTCTGTTGGGATTCATGATTACTTCTGTGATGTGTAGCTACTATATGATCACACACTAACTAAGAGGTTTCCTCTTTGGCACATACACCACACACTGACCAGTACAGTTACGAGAAAACCCTTAAGGCTGCCATAAAATATTATCGCCATTGCAGATCTACAGAACAGACACAATGTGTGCCCCCAGATATCAGAATGTAGCGCTTTCCCACATAACACATTGTTTTGTTGCTGTATGGGGGGCAGTTCATGTCTCTGAACAGTCTTCTTATTGTATTGACAATTGTCTTTTTGTTTCAAGAGGAATGAGAACATTATAGTTTGAAGACTTGGCAGCAGGAGTTGAAACATTTGTAAAAAGAGTTTGCTCAATCTTATGTTCCCCCAGTTTTCACCTTTGCAGATGTAAACCTTATTCCTAGTCATAGTACAAACAGCTAAAGCAGATAGGTTGGCATCAAGGTTATAAGAAATTAACATTCATGTATTTAGATGACTGAATTTAAAACCACAAACCTAAAATAATAATGAACTAGAAAAGCACTCGGAGAGCGCAGACCTCCGCCAAGCAGCTCATGTCCCCCCTTATGTTGTGATTCACACCAAAACTTTTACTGTTACGTGTCTTTTATTAACTTTTATTTGTGTTTAAACTCGTATGTTCACTGTTCATAATGTTCCTAAAACAACAAAGCTCATATTAGATACATAAATGCATGATTTATTATGCAATATTTGTAAGCGTACACTTCCTTGTATCTTCATTGGTTATCTTTCAGCATTGAAAATTCCAACCACACCCTTATTTTTGTGTGTTCTGGATCACAGTATCCGGAATTTTGTCTGGATCAGGATCAACCTTTGACACCTCATAAAACTCATTGAGATCCTTTTGTGTTATTTTTTACTAAAGACTCTGGTCATTTTTATAGAGTTAAATGCAAAAATTCCAAAATTTGCCCTATATCACAATGATAAAGAATCCTTCAAAAAATTCCTGGGTCCAGAAGGCGACCCCGATCACCACCAAAATGTAATGGGATCCTCCTGGGGCTGAGACACACCTCTGGTGAAAATTTCAGGTCATCCGTCTGTAACTTTCTCCGTAAATTTGGTAACAGACAAACAAACAAATAAACCAACACTACCAAAAACATAACCTCCTTGGCAGAGGTAAAAATACTCACCTGTGGGGGTGATGGTGGGGATTATAAATGGTGTTGGACAATGACTGTAAAGCAGTTTGCCAAAGTAGCAGCCACTAAGTCCATGGATGTACCATAAGTCAGTAGAGGGTACTGCAACTGCAAAGCTGTACAAAATATCAAGAGAAAGAAAACATACATCAAAGTAAGCCCAACATCTTCATTAGAAAAAGTTAAATCAAAGTGGAAGTACCTTAATTCTGTCATTTTTTGTTGAGTAGAAGCAAGAGTCAAACATCCACCATACCTCCTTTAAACTGTGAAGCCCGTGACATAAGGTAATTCAGATAAATAGCACATCAAAGATAAGAAATACATCTAACTGTATTCAAAATGTGTTTATTTGAAAGGCTAAAGTCTACAGGGCATTGTAACACCCTAATAAGGAAAAAAACAACTAAATTGTGTGTTCTCCCCCTGTTATGGCCATCTTCTGATTTCAGGGGCACATGGTAGAACAGAGTCGAGGTGGTCACTTTGGCAGAAAACTGCTTTGTAGTGGAGAACACTCGGAGAGACAGATCAAGGTGCTTGCATGATCTTTCAAGTGCGAGATCAAGGTTTTCTTTATTCTTCTACTTTCTGGCTGAACAAAAAGTGAATGCACTTCTGTCAATATGAAACCCAGCCATTCATTTTGTTATATTTCAGGTGGTATACCCCTTGTAAACAACAATAACAACACTAGGGCCCCGTTGGGGCACTGGCGGGCCCGAGCTGTGTCGCCCCCCCCCCCCCCCCCCAACGCGCTGCCTCCCCGTCCCATTCGCGTCCTCTGGCCATCGCCCTCTCTGGTAACGCCCATCACTGCAAAGACCCTTTTCCTTCATCGGCGTTTGCTGTTCTTCCTGCCAGTGCGTGTTGCTTTCACTTACACTTGCCACAGCCAGCCTTGTGAGTGCCTAGCCTATTGGATATCACTGTCACCTACACAGGACAGTCATTACCTTTCTATTAATACTTTGTTTTTTAATTTCACATTAATTTCCATATTGTATAAACGACTGGAAAAAACTTGAGCCCCTGCCCCCGTATAATCATGTGCACGTCCCTGTTCTCGCTCCAAGGTGAATCTTCACTGCTCATGTTCTCCTCAGAAGCAGTCACCTCACTCCCCTCAGGTTACTGTACACATGCACCAACTGCCTGCTTCAGGTTTGGATGGAGCTTCATGGTTGTCTTTTGGAGAAATGAGCAGTCAAGTTGTGTTAGAAATTTGATTTTTTTCAGGGGCAAAAGGAAGCCTCTGCATTGTTGTCAAATATGTAAATAGCATGTTTTTGCAGGTGCTAAAAAACAGACTCTGAGTGTGTGTGTGTGTGTGTGTGTGTGTGTGTGTGTGTGTGTGTGTGTGTGTGTCTGTGTGTGTGTGTGTCTGTGTGTGTGTATCCTGCAGTACTCTGTACTCCTGCAGTGGCCAAAACGACTTTTAAGAATGTGGATATTTGGGTCATCTTTGGCGCCCCCTAGAACGTAAACCATGGGGTGCAGCGGCATGATTTTTACAACTTTGAATGGCCATGGGGTGTAGATTGGCCTGAGCAAATTTGGTGTCAGTGGGACGAAAGCCTTAGGAGGAGTTAGCCACATTCCAATGTGTGCGAATCGGCAAAAAATGCAAAATAGCCCTTTAACCGTACATTTTACAGATACGCGCCCATTGACTTTTTCGTAGATCTTATTGAGATACACGTGTGTGTCAAATTTTTTGTCAATACGACAAAGCGTACAGGCGTGACACTCAACAATGTGTATTTTCACCTTAGGGGACAAGAAAAAATGGACTTTTTATTCCTGCCATGGGGGGGCGCTCTTTTGGGGAGTAAAAATTCCTTCACAAATGTGTTGATGGCTGGACATTGCATCATCCTAGAAAACTTGGAGGCCAGTGAGGACAAAAAAAAAATTTATAAAACTTTTAAGAATGTGGATTTTTGGGTTATTTTTGGCGCCCCCTAGAACCTAAACCATGGGGTGCAGCATTATGATTTGTACAACTTTGAATGGCCATGGAGTGTAGATTGGCCTGAGCAAATGTGGTGCCGGTGGAACGAAAGCCTTCGGAGGAGTTAGCGAAATTCCAATGTGTGCGGATCTGCAAAAAATGCAAAATAACCCTTTAACCGTACATTTGACAGATACGCCCGCACTGACTTTTTTGTAGATCTTATTGAGATACATGTGTGTGTCAATTTTTGTGTCAATATGACAAAGCGTACAGGCGTGACAGTCAATAGTGTGAATTTTCACCTTAGGGGGCGCTATGGAGCCATTTTGCATTTTCTTGTTTGGGCGACTTCAGAATATCGAATTTTTCACCAGGCCCGGTCGTCCTGCCAAATTTCATGAGTTTTCGCCAGTGGGAAGTGGGCCATTTTCCAGTTTAAAGCGGAGGAAAAATAATAACTAGGGCCCCGGTGGGGCACTGTCGGGCCCGAGCCGCGTCGCGCCGCCCCCAGCGCGACCGCCTCCCCCTCCCGATCGCATCACACTCAAGGTCCAAAGATGTGTGCGCACTTGTCTGTGGTCATTTCCCATTATAATGAATGGGAGGCGCAGTTTCTACCAAAACGGTCGCTGCAGACAAACTACATGTCCTATTTGAAAAAAGTCTGGACCATGAGTGAGGGCACAAACACAGCTAGGATATATCCAAATGGCAAGTTGCTCCTCCTTACGGTGTTGCCAGGAGAGCGATGCGATTGAGCCATTGAGCGATGGGCAGGGTTAACTGGACTTTTTCTCCTGCCTTGGGGGGGGGGGGATGTGGATTCTTTTAAGAATGTGGATATTTGGGTCATCTTTGGCGCCCCCTAGAACGTGAACCATGGGGTGCAGCGGCATGATTTTTACAACTTTGAATGACCATGGGATGTAGATCGGCTTGAGCAAATTTGGTGTCGGTGGGAAGAAAGCCTTAGGAGGAGTTAGCCACATTCCAATGTGTGCGAATCGGCAAAAAATGCGAAATAGCCCTTTAACCGTACATTTTACAGATACGTGCCCATTGACTTTTTCGTAGATCTTATTGAGATACACGTGTGTGTCAAATTTTGTGTCATTTTGCCAAAGCGTATAGGCGTGACAGTCAACAATGTGTTTTTTCACCTTAGGGGACAAGAAAAAATGGACTTTTTTCTCCTGCCATGGGGGGGCGCCCTTTTCGGGAGTAAAAATTCCTTTACAAATGTGTTGATGGCTGGACATTGCATCATCCTAGAAAACTTGGAGGCCAGTGAGGACAAAAATAAAAAGTTATAAGACTATTAAGAATGTGGATTTTTGGGTTATCTTTGGCGCCCCCTAGAACCTAAACCGTGGAGTGCAGCGTCATGATTTGTACAACTTTTAATGGCCATGGGGTGTAGATTGGCCTGAGCAAATTTGGTGGCGGTGGAACTAAAGCCTTCGGAGGAGTTAGCGAAATTCCAATGTGTGCGGATCGGGAAAAAATGCGAAATAACCCTTTAACCGTACATTTTACAGATACGTGCCCATTGACTTTTTCGTAGATCTTATTGAGATACACGTGTGTGTCAAATTTTGTATCATTTTGACAAAGCATATAGGCGTGACAGTCAACAATGTGTTTTTTCACCTTAGGGGACAAGAAAAAATGGACTTTTTTCTCCTGCCATGGGGGGGCGCTCTTTTCGTGAGTAAAAATTCCTTCACAAATGTGTTGATGGCTGGACATTGCATCATCCTAGAGAACTTGGAGGCCAGTGAGGACAAAAATAAAAAGTTATAAGACTTTTAAGACTGTGGATTTTTGGG